AAAAATTGTCATAACTTCGTTAATTATTTACCGATTTTAATCATTCTTTTTTTAATTTGATGTTCTTTTTTACGCTGAATCCAAAAATGATTTTATATTTTTTCAAAATACAATATTTTTAAAAATAAAAGAGAAAATTTTTTTAACAAAAAATTTTTAATTATTATTTATAACATTTGACAAAAAATTCTTTTCGTACATATAATTCCATTGCATTCAGAATAATATTATGACATGAAAAAATTCAAATTTTTTTTATATAAGTGTGTAGCATTAGGTTCACATATGCACACCTGTCCAACTATCAATACAACGATGCTACACACTTATATAAAAAAAATTTGAATTTTTTATGTCATAATATTATTCTGAATGCAATGGAATTATATGTACGAAAAGAATTTTTTGTCAAATGTTATAAATAATAATTAAAAATTTTTTGTTAAAAAAATTTTCTCTTTTATTTTTAAAAATATTGTATTTTGAAAAAATATAAAATCATTTTTGGATTCAGCGTAAAAAAATACATCAAATTAAAAAAAGAATGATTAAAATCGGTAAATAATTAACGAAGTTATGACAATTTTTGCAAATTTGAACGGCTGAATTGAGTTGTGGCGGCGAGAATCACGCTCCTCCGAGTACCCCCACTCCGACGTTTAGAGGTTGAAAAAAGGATGTATTTACTTTTACTTGATGTAAATGAAAAATAAATGCACAAAACCTTATGTTCAATTTTTTTTCGTAAAATACATGTATTGAACTATAAGTGGCACAATTTTCAATTAAAAATATTAATTATTATCTAGTCAGGAATTTTTTGAAAAATAAAAACTAACTCTCCCCCCCTTGAAACTAGGTTGGATTTTTTTTTTGAAAAAGTTTTGTGAAAACAAATAAAATTAAATGCCGTTTACACTAAATTGATAAAGTGAAAATTGACTGAGTTATTCCATTTGTTTATGACAAAAAAACATACCCTTTTTTAACCCTTTTTATTATGCACTTAGATAAAAAAAATCAATTGGCCATTTAAATAGGATGAAAGTTTGACTTCTTAAGTGTACTTTCCAAAAAAAAAATCGAAATTCGATGGACCAAAAGTGGGGAAATTCCGTTGAAAAATTACATGTTTTTAGTTAACAAATGGAATTATGCATAAACTATTTCTCCGATCTAGTTAATTTTTTTTGGGATTTATTCAGCTTCGCAAGGAGAACATTCCTGGTAAGTTATGAACAAATTCGATAATTATTAACAATGTTATTAAACAATTAAAGAAGTGCTATTTTTAATGGTTTAAATTCATTTGCAACTAAACTAATTAACCTTTTTTAACGTATGACCCATCATTTGAAAGGTATTTCCAAGCTCTATAACTTTCAATAACAACTTTTTCCCCTAAAACTTAACCGGAAGCAACGAGCATCGAAAAACCATGTTTTCCAAACTTTGGCGATTGTTTACACTCTTTTTCGCACCCGGAAATCGAGAGCAAACTGTGGGGCTTTTATAAGGAGCCCCCAAACTACCAGAAACCGTTCAGACTTTGCTGTTCGGATTTTTGGGCAGTTTTTGCACTCACCGACTGGCCTAAAATACAAGAAATTCTTCTAAACGCAAAAAAAAAAAAATTATAATACAAAACAAAAATTCAAAGGTGAAATTAGACACTGAAAAAAATTGTTTAATAATAATTAATAATAACAAAAAGAAAAAAAATATATAAAAAATAAAAATATTTGTTATGAAAAAAAATTTTCTCTTGCGCAAAAATGCGAGGCAAAATGTTTTTCAAGAAAATATTGAAAGTTTTGAAAATATTAAAATTTAACTGAAGCTGCATTTACCTTGGGATTCATAAAACAATTTTTTGTTTGTGTTATAGGTTAAATTGTCGACATAAAGAACAACGAAGAAACACAAAGAAAGAAGATGAAGATACCTTCAACAAAGAAATTATCTTCTATGTGCAGTCTACTTCGTTTAATGTTTTTTCCAAATCCCATAAAATTAAGAAAAAAATTTTAACACTTATTCACTGCTCAGTGCTGCAAATTGGTTAAAATTTCATGAAATTTCTCATAGTCCGTTTGATAAAAATTATAAACGAAGAAATATTTCATTTTTCAGTTTCTTTATACCAATCAATTATGATTGTTAAATTAATTTTTATTTTTAATTAAGAAAAAAAAAATGGAGTTTAAATAAATTTGAGATTTTTTGTGTTTTTTTCACCGTTTAATTGTGGTTGTTAAATTAATTTTGATTTTTAATTTAAAAAAAAAAATGGAATTTAAATAAATTTGAGTCTTTTGAGTTCTTTTGATGTTTTTTTTTCATTTTTTGAGCTTTTTTCACCTATCAATATTGTGATTGTTAAATATCAATTTTAATTTTCAATTTCAAAAAATAATAGAATTTAAATAAATTTGAGCTTTTTGAATTTTTTTCGACAGACAAATTGTGGGTGTAAAATTAATTTTAATTTTGAATTTAAAAAAAAATAATAGAATTTAAATAAATTTAAGCTTTTTGAATTTTTTCTTTTTTATGTTTTTTTCACCGATCAATTGTGGGTGTTAAATTAATTCCAATTTTGAACTTCAAAAAATAATAGAATTTAAAAAATAAATTTAAAAAAAGAGATTTTTTACCGACGAATTGTGATTGTTAAATTCATTTAATTTTATAATTGAATTTTTATATTTAAAAAACAATTGCGATTGTTGAATTAATTTCTACTTCAATTGAAAAAATAAGAACAGAATTAAAAATAAAAAATAGCATAAATACAAAAAGTACAAAAATAAATAAAGAAAATTCGTGCAGTCAAATTTTCAGAAACGAGAACAAATTTGACTATTTCAGAGTAAATATTAAAAATTAATGAAATTAAGACACAGGATATGTGGAAATGAAGAAAAAAAATCTAATCTTCCCCTATGTATATCAATTCGATTATTTCAAAAAGAAGAAGTTAATTTTAAAAATTAACGCCCAGGAAATGTGGAAATGCTCAGAAGATAGAGAAAAAAACTATCAATGCGCCTCAATAGAGTTCTATTTGTTTAAAATACAAAGCGAAATAAAGTCACAGCGAGGCACACTTTTGGAAGGAAGAAATACAACAAAAGAATAGAATGAAGTAACATGACCGCATGATTTTCTAAACTCCAACACCGCGCTTATAATACCATTTTTCAAGTGTTGATGTTGTAGAATGATTACCGTTATTACAATATAGTATTTTTTTTTTTTATTTACTGGAGAGAAATAATCTCAATTTTTCGAGTGATTTCATTTTAAGACGATCGTCCCATTCTACCTTGAGAAATATATTAGGCGATCAATTTTTTTATTCTTTCTCTATTAGGAGAAATTTTTCAATGATTATTATATTTTATATTATTCAATTCTATAATATTACAAAATAGTTTTATTATTCGTCAAAATTTGATCGTAATTACTGTTACGATATTGTTACGTTACTGATGAATTATTTCACAAAAAAATAAAATAAAATAAAAAACTAAATCGAAACAAAATCACAAAACAGAAAAAAATTTTTTTTAATAAAAATTATGAAATCAAATTAGGAAATTTTTTTCAAACATTTGAGTCCTCAAATAAATCAATTCAATTTGTTGAGTCAATTACTCAACAAATTTTACAAATTTTTAAAAATATTTTCAAATAAATTGACAAATTTTTTAAATTATTTTCAAATAAATTGACTCAACAAATTTTTACTTAATTTGAAGATTTCATTTCATTTAATTAGATAATTAATTTAATTTTTTAAATTTAATTTAGTTTTTTTTTAGTTTGGCTAAATTTAATTTAATTTAAATAAAATACTATTTTTGTATTAGTAAAAATTTAAAAAAGGAAAGAGAATTGTTTATTTCTGTAAAAACTGAATCACAAAACTAAAAAAATGTTAATCTAATAGAATTTTTTTGGTAGAAATTATTTTTTAATAAATTGAATTAATAAATTTAATTTAGTTCAAAAGAAATTTAGTTCGACTTCTTTTCATTTAATGAAGATTTAATTAAGCAAAATTCTATTTTAGTGTGAGTAAAAATTTAAAAAAGGAAAAAGAATTGTTTGTTTCTGTAAAAAGTGAATCAAAACAAAAAAATTTTAATCTACAATTTTTTTGGTAGAAACTATTTTTAAATAAATTAAATTAACAAATTTAATTTAGTTTAATAGAGATTTAATTCGATTTCTTTTCATTTAATGAAGATTCAATTAAATTTAAACAAAATTCTATTTCAGTATGAGTAAAAATTTAAAAAAGAAAAAAAGAATTGTTTGTTTTTGTAAATTATCACTAAATCAACATTGACAATTGCAGTTAAGAAAATGACATTGTCTTTAATCCCCAAGAAGATTAGTTTTCTATCCTTAAAATCAACCATTTGAAAAGGTCATTCAATTTACGACGTAGATTTTCAATCTATTTCTTTAAAAAAACAACTAAAAATTATTTTTAAGTACATAAGGCAGTCAAAAATATTTTTCGCAGTTTATCCGCAATTATTGAAAAAAAATACATTTTAATCCAAAACAGTTGTTAAATTTTTTGTAATTGGCTCAATTAACTTCTAATCTCTTATTAAATATTACTTCATCAAAACCTTTTGTAGCTGATTGAACAGATGACCTCTTTCTGTATATTGTTAGAAATCTTTTAAACATTCAATTCTTTTTCTTAAAAAAATCTTTTCTCATTAATTAAAAATTTAATTACTTATTAGTTATTAGTAATAAATTTAATTCTTTAATCGAAAAGAATGTGCCAAAAAAATGTACACTAATAAAAAACAAAATATTTAAAATTCTAAATAGAATAATAAATTTCCAAAAGATTACAATTTTTTGTTTTTGAAACAATAAAAAGAAAGAAATATTTCTCCTCAGTGTATTATGGGACGAAGCCAAAGCAAGATTGTTTCTTTAAAAAAGAACACCGTATATAGTGGACTCACCAGAATGCTCGGTTTGCTGCACGTCTTCCAGTTGCAATTGCAACTGCATTCGAAATATCGTTATCAATTTTCTCAATTAAAAATATATTCACTCCTCCTCCAGGAATAATTTTTTTTAAACAATTATTAATCTTCATTCACTAGACTAATACAACAAAAACAAAATAAAATCGTCGAAACCAAAATACGTATTTCACTCCAATAATTCCAAGATCACCTGCCAAGTTCCTTTTATAAAGTTCAATCCACTTTGTGCGAAATTGAAAAAGTCAATCTCGCCAAGTTCAATTTTCAAAACGTCTCTCACTTTTTTCGGAGTTAAACTAGAAAGATGAATTTAAATCTGATTAATTTAGAGCGAAATTTAAAAAATACTAAAATTTAAAGACACGCGAAATTTTAAAGAGACAACAAAATTTTAGAGTCATCAAACTACATTTTTCCATCTAAATAAGAATGTCAATATCAAGTTTCACGTTTCTCGAAGAAAATTACAGTTTCTCTAAACAATAACCTCGAGTTCTTTAAAACGAGGACTTTTTTCCCCTCTTTTTAAACCACAAAATTTCAAGTTCAGTCACACAGAAGAAATAAAATCCGAAAGCACCACCACACTTGAAAGTTTTGAGTCCTGGAATATTAAGTTTAAACAAGAAAGTCCATGATAGAAAATGACGAAACAAAACTCGCGGGAACCTCGCCACACCTTGCCTGATCGCGACTGCCTTTCGAAGTGCGCCCCATTTGGAAGAAGTCTTCTGTTACCTGAACGAGTATACATATACAGAGTGGTTCAGGATACCAAGGGACCCCCTCCACCTACACCACGCTTCTCGGTACCTTCTTGAATCAATTTATTTCTTATTTTATGCTCAAAATTCCTTCTGAAAATATTCTCTAATTATTTTTCATATAAATAGGTGTATGATTTTTTTCATTTTTTAAACGATTCGAACAACAACAACAAAATAATCTATTCTCCGTCTCTCTATATAGAGAAAAAATAGAAAATTGTATTCTATATTCAAACAAAAAAAAGTAGAGAATATATTTTAAAATCAAAGTAAATTTTTTCATAAATTTAATGAACAGGGTTGCCACAAAAATTTAATTTTGTTTTTCTCGGATTTTTCCCTGATTTCCAGATAAAATTTTGCCTTTTTCCCTGACTCTAATAAAATATTCTGATTCACTCTAACAATGATTAAATACTCAAAAAAAATTCTCTAATACATTTATTTAGTAATTTCTTTAATTGTAAAATTATTTGAAAACATCAATAACTTCTTCATTAAATAAATATTTAATCATTATTATTTTTCCATTAGAATTAAGATGTTTAAAAATTTTTAATTTAAACTTTTTTGAAATTCAACAACTGTGGGAATTATTATAAAACATGAAGAAAGCTGACCGTGTGATAACAAGATTATTTTATATTATAAAAGAATATTTTTTTACTTTAACTTCGTCAAAATTATTTTCGTCATTTCAATTCAATAAACATTTTCTTGAATTTGTAACTACAATTCTTCTCTAAATCAAATATTTTTCATAATTTTTGAAAAAGTTCTTTGAGAATTTTGAAATTCATCTGTTAACAATTCAATTTTATGAAATTTCGATTATTTGAAAAATCTTCACTTAAATATATATACTAGAAAATAAAAACTTGAAATTTAATTTTTACGGAGAATTTTATTAACAACTTTTGAAAATATATTTAATTTTTTTTAAAGAAATTTAATTAAAATTTTACTGAAATTTATTATATAAAAGAATAAATTCTATAACAATTTTTGAAAATAATTGAAAACTTTTTGAAGAATTTTATTAAAATTTTTTAAAATAATTGAATTCCTAAAAGAATTTAAATAATAATTTATGTAAATATGTAATTGGATTCATGCGAAGAATTTTATTAAATTTTGTTTAAATAATTGAAATTTTGCCAAGAATTTTATTAAAATTTTTGACAATAATTTAATTCTTGAGAAGAATTTCGCTATCTATTTATAAAAATAATTTAATTCTTGACGAGAATTTTTAAAAAAATTTGAAAATAGTTTAATTTCCGAAAAGTATTTTATTATTTTTCTAAAGAATTGGATTTTTGTGATGAATATTGATATTTATCAAAATAATTGAATTTTGGAATAAAAATTTATTTAAATTTCTAAAAATAATTGAATTTTTGTGAAGAATTTTGTTATTTATTGAGATAATTGCGTTAAAACTTTTGAAATAATTAAATAATAATAAAAAATTCATTCTTGTCAGAAATAGAAAAAAATTTTAAAGGTTTTGTATTAGAATTCGTGGTAGTTTCATAGTTTATGAGACAAACAAAAAAGACACAAAACATTCAGAATTTTCTTATGAATTCTAAAAATCAATTTTTTTCCAGTAATTTTAATAAAAATCCCTGAATTCCCTGATTTCCCTGACCTGTGGCAACCCTGATAAAGTAAAGCGACAAAAATCTAATAAAAAATCGATTAAGAATTGACTTATCAATAAAATTAGATCCAAAAACGTATCAAAATGATATTAACTCATTAATCGGTATCTTGTATACTCTATCAAAATTTATCAATTTGAATTTCAAAAATAGAATTAGCAATTAATTTCTAAAGATAGAATTTTAATTTAACCAAATTATTATTTATTCCACTTCCAACTTCTTAGACGAATTTCTAAATTGTAAAATTTCCATTTATTTTACATCAAACAAACTTAATTTCTTTCAAATCTTATTTAGGTGAATATTTTATTTTTATTTTTTAAGAATATATTTAAAATTCAATAATTTACAACATTTTTTAATCGAATTTTTGTTCAATGAAATCTTGAAATATTCTACTTTATTTTTATTGTCGATTATAAAAGAAATTATTATCAAACTATGAGGGCCAAATGAATGAAAAGAAACAAGAAGTTTTGAGTTAAAGAAAAGAAAAAGAAAAATAATTTTGTTTGAGAATATTAATTAAATAATTACTATTTTAAAAATTGTATATCAATTGAAAAGAAATAAAAATATTTTTACGAAATTCTAAATTATGAAATAAGAAAAAATTTTTTAATTTTGAAATAAAAGAATTAAAAAAATTACTTTTTTCAAAAAATGATGAAATTAATTTTTGAAAAATCAAAAACAATTCAATTAATACACTTTACAAAAACCAACTTTCTGATTTATAATAATAGATAACAATTAACCCAGAAACTTTTATTTTGGCGAATATTAATTAAAAACTCAATAATTTAGAAAATTTTTTAATTGAAATTTTTTTTATGAACGAAAATTTAAATTATTCTACTTCATTACTGGCGATCAGAAAAAAAATTTTCCACTTTAAGAGAAAAGCAAAATTTAACGAAGGAAAAACATTAAGTTCAAAAAAAATTATAAACAATAAGAAAACTCTTCAGAATTGATAGAAACTTACAAAAAAACAACTAATTTTTGGAGAATTAATCAAAGAATATATGAATTACTTTTCAAAATTGTGTCAATGGAAATTAAAAAATTGATTGTAAAATTGAAAATTATGAAAAAAAGAAAATTTTGTACTTTTAGGAAAAAGAGAATTGAAAAAATTCCTTTTTTCAAAAAATACCTAATAAATTCAATTTTAAAAAATCAAAAACAAGAGAATTAATAAACTTTACAAAAACAAATTTTCTTGTTTATAATTATTGATAACAATTAAATCAGAAATTTTCATTTTGGCGAATTTTAATTTAAAATTTAATAATTTAGAGGTAATTTTTTAATTGCAATTTTTGCTAATTGAAAATTTGAATTATTCTACTTCATTTACTAGTGATTAGAAAAAAAATTATTCACACTTTAAAGGAAAAGCAAAATTAACGAAGGGAAAACAATAAGTTAAAGAAAAGAAAGAAAATTAAAGACAATACGAAAATCCTTCGAAATTTATAAAAATTAAGAAAAAATAGATAATTTTTCGAGAATTAATCATAAAATAAGAATTAATATTTTAAAAAATGTATCAATTGAAAAAAAAATCAGATCAGATTTGAAGAAATTACTTTTGAAAAAATTATCTTCTCAAGAAATGACAAATTCAGTTTTGAAACATCAAAAACAAGAAAATTAATTAACTCCACAAAAAACAACTTTCTGGTTTTTATAACAATTGATAACAATTAATTCCAAAAATTAATATTCAGGTAAATATTGAAATTTTCGAATTGGAAGTTTAGTTAATTCAAAATTTTTTAATAGAATGATTTCTATTAAAAATTAAGTTTAAATTTAATTTTTGACAAATGGAAGTTTTAATTTAAATTTGTTGAAATAAAAATTCTAAAATTTTTAAATTAAACAATAATATAAACTTTTAAATTTTTATTTAACAGTTTATTTTATTATCTAATTTCTATGTTTCTATTCGTGAAAATAAAGTTAAATAAAAATTTGGTTACATAAAAATCGTACATATTTAATGAAAATTCCTTTCAATAAAAACTAGATTTACAAGAAAATTCTTTCTTACGAAATTCGCTCAAATAGAAATTCACTATTACAAATTCAAATATATACTGATTTAAAAGCACATTGCATATTGCTTATAAATAAAAAAGATTTTCATTTAAACGAATCAACCTGGGAAAATTCTATTGTTAAAAATGGTAATAAAATTGTAGTTATCGTAGTTGTAATAAAATGTGTGGAAATAAATAGTAAATTAAAAGTATTTACCTTACGATTTTCAGAGGGATTCTCACTTCCATTATTTCTGTTCGCAGCAAATGATTGTTGAATCTTCAAAAATAAAGATGACACCTACAATCAAATAAGAAAGTTTAGATTTTAAGTAACGTCAGAGGTTAATTTACTGATTTGAAGACAAATATTTCATCTTTTATTAAGTGATTGATGTTTGTTGAACATTAATTTTAAACCAAACGCTTAAAAAGCAAAAAAGCATTTATAATCGCAGAGAAAATATTTACCATTTATAATCAATCAATTTCTTTACTCTCTACAAGTTTTTATATAAAATAATTTCTATTCACTATTTTTATTCATTTTTATTAATTTTTATTCACTTTTATTCATTTCTTTATTCATTCTTTAATCATATTTTTTAATTCATTTATTAAAATTCTTTTTCAAATACAACATTTTTTTCAAACACAAAGGAGAAAATAAAGAATTATATTTATTTATTTCAAAGTTATTTCAAAGTAAATAATTACCTAATTAGAAAATTTTTTTTTGGCGCAATTTTTCTACTTGTTTAATTATTTTAACGTTACATTAACAATTTCTGAATAAATTTGTCTTTAGAAATGAAAGACTCTTCAAAGTTATGTAATGTGAAAAAAAAATCAAAAACTGTTTGAGCATAAAATTAAAATGTCAGTTTCATTTTCTACCAAAGAGAGTTAAAAACAAATATTTCGTAACATAAGAATTTAAAATTAATTAGCGCTTTATAATTTGAAGCGTGTACATATTAAAAAAAAATTACTGCGCGAAGATTTAAAAAGTTTCAACAAGAAATGAATAATAAAAAATTGTAAACTTACTCGAGTCGAAAGGACGATAAAAGGAAATACTCAATTTCCTCTATACATGATTAATAAATCCCAGTTGCCATTGAAATTTGTATTCTAAATTTATCCATTGAACCTGAAAATAAAAAAGAAATTAAAAAATTAAAAATTATTTCTAATAAAAAAAATTATACCATTTTTTTACCAAATTTTAATTTTTCTTTCAAGTTAAAAAAAAGAAATGCAATATCATTTTCAACATTTAAGTGTCCCTTTTTTTCCAAAGTAAACTCAACTTACAGATAATATTTTATCACCGGAAAAAAGGGGAAAATAATTTACACAACACGTTCCGTCAAGAAACGCACTTTAAAAGAGGAACAAAATAATAAAATAAAATTAATTGAAAAATTGTAAAAAAAAATACTCTTGATAAAAAATAAAAATTTAGCATTTATTACGTATATTTAATATCAATATTCATATTAATAATTTATGAGTATCTTATTAATTACAATTATTTATATATTATTTATATCAAATATTAAATAATAATATTTAATGTTCAATAATTAATTCATTACACTCTCTGAGTATTAAGAAAGAAAATTTTAAGAGAAAAATTTTGAAAAGGAAGAAGACAAAAATTTTTATCATGTTCAAATGAGCGCGGTAATATTTTACAAATTTTTCACTCAATAAATAGATTCTCCTCGTGATTAAGTTTCAAATAAAAGATTCGCAGAAGAGGATATAGAAAGTCAACGTGATGTAATTTCGACCATCAGTACCGCATATTTTCACGAACACACACTCACACATACTCAACATTAATACGTCCTCTATTCGTGTTAACTTTCCTATATAAAAAAAAATGCAATAGGTAGTCACCATAATGAGAAGCCAGTTCTTTAAACTGTAATTTGCCTCTTGATCGATGAGTTAAAGCAGATAATCAAGAGTAAGATTCAATATCGTTAAATTAATATTCAGAAAAACGTTTTGTAGATTAGTTCATGGATATAAAAAAAATGAAATACAAGAAAAATGTAATAAAAGAAAAAAGAAAATAGAAAAAAAAGTAAAATATGCAGAATTACAATATTTATAGAACTAAAAAAAAATTCTGTAACATGATTTCGAAATTTGATTTATATATTTTACTGGATTTGAAATATTTTCACTATATTTAGAGAGTGAAAAAAATTTTAATTCTAAATTCTAAAAGATGCAGTTTCTTAAAATCTGTTACACGGAGAATGTCGAGAACAAAGTAAATATAATTATACTAAACTGACAAAAGAAGCTCGCGCATGTAACTGTGAAGAATTTAAACAGTTAACAACATTACAAATTTTTCTCCTACAATAATGAGGCACGTAAAAATTTCCCAAATACTATTTCATTCCAATTTCCATAGCGGGGAATTTTGGATTTCAATTTTTTTTTCAAAAATTTCTAAATGGTCGAATTTTTATTTCTATTTCACTAAAAGTTATTCATTTGATCAAATTTTCTTTGAATCTTTTCTTTTTTGAAATAAAATATAAACTAACTGACTAAATTTTCTTCCAAAAATTTCTGTTTCATTAAAAGTTCATATTTTCAGTTTTCTTCAAATTTGTCCTTTTTTGAAATAAAAAATAAACTTAATAACTAAATTTTCTTCCAAAAATGTCATTTCTCACTAAAAGTTTATTTTATGCAATTTTCTTTCAAAATTTCCTTTTTTGGAATAAAAAATAAATTAACTGACTAAATTTTCTTCAAAAATTTTCAAAATTGCAGAAATTTCATTTCTATTTGACTAAAAGTTTATTTGACGCAGTTTTCTTTGAAATTTTCCTATTTTTTAAATAAAAAATAAACTAATCGAATAAATTTTCTTCACAAAATTTCAAAAAATATAAATTTAATTTCTATTTCACTAAAATTACATTTGATAGTTTTCTTCTTGAATTTTCCTTTTTGGAAAAAGAATTTTTTCTCATTTTGTTTCAGAAAGAAATGAAATTTGTCATTTAACAATTTGTTTGAATAAATATTTCGATTCAATTGGTAATTTCCAAAATTTATAATATTTAGAAAAAAAAGAGAGAGAAGGAAGAGAATTTTTACAAATTATTTATTTTCGTAAATTTCAAAATTTATATTGTTTAGAGAAAGAGAGAGAGAGAGATGGGGGGGGGATTACAATTTAATTAATTCCAATTAAATACCATAATTTTTTGTTTGAAATAAAAAAGGTTTCTTATTTCTTATTTCTTTAAGTAAATAATACATATTTCGATTGATTTCATAAAGTTCAAAATTTATATTTTTTAGAGAAAAAGAGAGAGAAGAAAAAAAATAACAATAATTTTTACAATTTAATTAATTACAATTAAATATTACAAGTCATTTTTGGTTTGAAAGAAAAAATGTTTCTTATCTTGTTTCAAAAAAGAATTAAATTAGTAATTTAAAAATCCAATTAAATAACAAGTGTAACAAATATAACAAATCACTTGAATGAAAATTCTACCACATTTTCTTTCGAATGAATTTCAAATAGAAAAACATTGAAAAAATAGTACTTCAGTCGCATTCATGCGCCCCATTCTAAACTGTTATTTACGTTTGAATTCGAAGGTTGCGATTTAGAAAATAGCAATTGCGTTATAAATATACAAATTACTAGATCAATTTTAAACTTGAATGAAATCAAATTATGATGAGAAGTGAAAATTGCAAAAAAAAAATTCCCTCCCTCTCCATTTTTTGCCTCCAAATAATATACAATCAATTTTTTAGATTATAATTATTTTCGCGCACTAGCACACGGGAGAAAGTGAGAATCAGAAAGAGTTAAATTCTATACATGTAAATCAATGTGAGCAACCTCGCAATCCATGAAATGTCAGGGCTGTGCCGATTTGTAATGGCGGTTTTATTGTTTTATAATTTGTTCAAAAAATAAAAATAAATAAATAAAAAAATAAGAAAATATCTAACAAACTTGTTAAAGAAATTTCGAAAGGATAATTACAGTTAAACGCGAGCATTTAACAAACAATGTAAAAATATTATTTCAATCTTAGAAGACGATTTTTTTTCCAAACCAGTTTTAGATATCTATCAAGTCATTTTATAAGACGTGTTGAAGCAATTTTAAATAAGAGAAAAAAAAGAAAATAAATATTTACCTACAAGCCATGAGGAATTTAAATCTTGAGCTTAAATTAAAACCAGGCAGTGCTGTCATCTCGATGCGAAACCGCAAACCGTTGAATCATTGAAACTCAATCGGAAACCTTTAAACAATTACAGCGAAAATTAGAAATTTGATTTAAAGTTATTATAAAATTTAGATTTAATTTGAGAAAATGTAAATAAAATATGTTAAAAATGTTGGTTTAAAAATTAAAAGTAGAAAAAAAAAAGTTAAGAATAATAAAAAAGTTCCCAATTTTTGTTAGAGATTTGATAATTTAAAATAGAGAAAAATAAATCTGTTTAAATTGTTTTTGAACAACAATGCTAATTGTTAGTTTTAAAAAAATGATTTAAAAGACAAAATTAAGAAAAACGAAACGAAAAAATTTATCATTTTTGTTTGCAATTTGACGGTTTAAAATAAACAAATAAAAAATAAATCTCTACAAATTGTTTTTGAACAACAATAATTTATTATTGTTGTTAACTTTTAAGATATTTAAAAAAATGATTTTAAAGACAGACAAAGCAAGAAACATTAATCATTTTTGTTAGGAATTTGATAGTTTAAAACAAAGTTAAATTTTAAAAAATGAATCATTTTGGCCTGCGATTTGACAAAATTTAAAATAAATAAAACTAAATATCTTTAAATTATTTTTGAACAACAATAATTTATTATTGTTAACTTTTAAGTTAATTAAAAAAAATATTTAAAAGACGAAATCAGGAAAAAAACCCGAAAAATTAATCATTTTTGTCTGCGATTTGACAATATTTAAAAAAAATTTTTTTAAAATCTCTACAAATTGTTTTTGAACAATAATAATTTATTATTGTTGTTAACTTTTAAGTTATTTAAAGAAATGATTTAAAAGACAAAACAAAAAAAATTAATGATTTTTGTTTGCGATTTGACAATTGAAAATAAAAACTTAATCTCTTTAAATTGTTTTTGAACAAAAATATTTTCTTCTATAAATAATTAATAGTTTGGAAAAATGAATATTTTTTGCAAAAATATTGCAAAATATAAAATTAATAACTTACTATTATTTTTTGTAAAACCGTCTAAAGAAATTCTGTCCAAAGGTCCAAACATTAAAGATATTCCATTATTTTTACTTCCGATTGTTTTTCCATTTCCGTCATCATCTATCGTCATCTATTAAAAAAAAATTAACATTAAAATTTTATTCAGACAAAAAAATAATAAAATTTAAAGACAAATAATTTTCCTTGATCAATTAAACCAAAATTTTAATTAATATTTCACCAAAATTTTTTTTTTTACAATAAAATTTTGATTCTTTTATCAAAATATTTGATAGCAAGTAAAATTAGAAAAAAAAAGAATTTTGATATTCTCTTTAAATAGTAGGTATTTATTTTTATATCTAATATTTGTTTAAATAAATTAATATTTTATAATAATTTATTTATAAAAATAATTAATAAAATTTGTTATATTAGCAACAAAATTTTACATTTTGTTCAATTACTGGATTGCAAAAGAATTGTTATTTTTATTATTATTATATTATTTTTTAATTTGTAAGAATATAAAGTTTTTTTACAAACAAAAAATACGACTTTTAAAAATTCTTTTTAAACAAATTTTAGAAAATTATATTAAAAAAATGTAAAAAAAAAAAATAAAGTAGAGGTAAAAAAATAACAAACTTTGTTTTCTTTGTTTCAAAATTTATTTCGTATTAATTTTCATTCAGAAAACACATTTTCACAAATATCCAGTGACAGAAAAATCTCTTCTCACGTCTCTCTTTTCGATACAAATGCAATTGTATATGTTATAAAATTAGAACTTAAATTAGTTTTAGTATTTAAAAAAAATCACATATTTATCACTTTCTGGTATTGAAACAGGTTATAAACTAAATGCTGAAGTAGTCTCACTGGAAAATTAAATAATACTTCGTTGAACGATAAATGACTAATTGTAATAATAATAATAATAATCGTAATTGAATTACGCGCGTGAAAATAGTACATACAAAAAAAAGTACAAAAAGAAAGCTACCTTTTTAGGCAGCTTTTACAATTTTTTCAGCAGCTCGTGGTTGAGCTGGACTTTTATTTGTCTGTGACGCCGCTTCTTTTTGCGAATCAATCGACTTGTTGGCTGAATCCTTAATGGCCGGTGTACCAGTGTGTTGAATTTCGATAACTCGCTCCTTTTTATCCTCAATGGGAAGATCCTTTCGCGGTGCATTGATTGCCAATACTCCATCAGACGAGAGACTTGATGTCAATTTTTCAATGTCACATTGTTCAGGAACCAGATACTTCCTTGAGAATTGTCGCGAAATCCATCCGTGCTCGTCCTTTTGTTCCTCGTGCTTTCCTTCGACAATTACATTGTTGCCGACCACTTTTACCGTTATTTCCTCCGGTTTGAATTGTTGAACGTCCAAGCTCACCTGTAATTAAAGGCAATTTGTTAACAAACAAAAAAATTTTTCAATTAAAGAGGAAAAATAATTTGATTAGTCTTTTTTGCTGTAGCAAAAAAGACTAGACAAATTATTTTTAATCAAATTAAAACTAGACTATAAACTATTTTTCAAAAACTAGAATTTAAGGTTAGGAATGTAAAAAAGAAATTTAGGCAAATTTATTAAAAAAAAGAAAAGATTTTTTAGGAGAAAAATAAATTTTATTTACTTACGTTGAACTTTTGCTTGTCGGTATGAACAGTGGAGGTACCGCCTGACCTTTGTGTCAAAGCAAGACTCCTGTCGTATGGATGGCGTCGGTGAGCGAGCCGGCGATGCAAAATATGAGGTCTAGACACAAGGTCATGATAGGGAGAAATCGATAATTCCAAATCCTCAGGATGAAGTCCATGGCCAAAATGTTGATCGAAAACGTGATGGGGATGCTCCAAATCCTCCCACCATTTTGAGAACATCATTGGAACGAGTGACATTTTCTTTTCTTCTTTTACACAAAAAAACACTGTAACTTTCCTTTCTCCAAAAATCACTTAATCACTTCTTTTCAATACAAAGAAAAAAAAAAGATTTCAAAAACTCTTGATATCACCGAATTGTAATCGTTAAGAGAAAAATTTCCTCTCTGACACACAACGAAGCAGTGCACTCGTATTTATACCCTCGGTCGTTAAAGCGAAGGAAGGGATAGATATTACCAGAAATTTCCAGAATATTCAACGGTCGCGAAACAATCGCGAAATTTACCAACTTTACAGCAGCTGGTTGGGGAAATTTGTAAATTTTACTTGCATACAAAATACAAGTCTCTTGGAAAACACCGGCCGGCAACAGCCGGCACGATTATATTGACATGCAAATGAGGATATAAACAATTCTAATTCGAGCTGTTTGAAAATTTTAAACTCAGATACAAGAAAAAAATGGACCTTGTTCTTTGTTTCGTATTGTGAGAAAATTGCCAAATTCTCCGTAACTTCTGAGTTAAAATTCTTTTTGTATCTCCAAACTAAAAAGGAAATTAATATTTACAATCTATATTATTATTTTCAAGTCCAAAAGTAAATAATTATTTTTAAAAAATTATCGGAAAAACGTATTCTTTAATCTGTAGGATCTGTAGCTTTTTATCGATTTTGTAAATAATTTGCTACGTGACCACGTCATCATCTTTTTTCACTTTTCGATTTTTCGCTTATAATATTAAATTAATAATTTAATTTAAATTAAAAATAGATTAGATATTATTCTTTCGATTAGAAAATTGAAAATAATTACTACCTATTTTCGCTATATTTTCACATAAAGTTTCTTTCGTTCCTTTAGTTCCTTTCGACAAAGTCAACATAACCTAAAATTCATTTTTGAATTGAAATCATTGAAAAAAAGAAAATACCGAAAATACTTTTCTGAAAAGAAACTTAAATTTCCAAATGATAGAAAGAAAAATTAAATCTTGTGTATGAGAAACAAAAATTGAAATAAACACCAAAATCGAGTATAAGCGAGAAATTTCTAGAAGCTTCTCAACGTTTCGACAGTGTGTGTGTGAATCTAGATAAATACGCGGTCGGTTAGCAACACGCTCAGTATTACAAAAGTCTTCAAAGTGTTGACATCTCAAAGAAATTGAAACTGCATCAAACTTGTTTGATAAACTACCAAAGTTTGTGAAATTAAATAGAACAAAGTGTAATAAATTCTATTTCTATTATTTTTCAACTTTTTCAACAAGAAAAATGTCTCTCGTTCCATTGATGTTTTCCGACTGGTGGGAAGATCTCGATCGTCCTCATCACATCCTGGACCAAAATTTCGGTCTTGGACTACATCCTGAACAACTTTTGGCACCACGCAGCATGCTCCATCAACATGCTGCTCCTCGAAGATGCCCGATGATCTATCGACGACCTTGGGCAGACCTTTTGCGCGAGGAAGACGGTGGCGCTTCGACCGTACACAACGATAAGGACAAATTTCAAGTTCAACTCGATGTTCAGCAATTTAAACCCGAGGAAATTGACGTTAAAGTTGTTGACAAGTACGTGATCGTCAATGCCAAGCACGAGGAGAAAAAGGACGAGCACGGATGGATTTCTCGACAATTTACAAGGAAATATTTAGTTCCTGAGCAATGTAACATTGACCATGTGAAATCGTCCCTATCATCTGATGGAGTCTTGTCTATCGAGGTACCAAGAAAGGAACAGCCAAAATCGCAGAACGAGAAGGTGATTAAAATTCAACACACCGGTAAGCCGGCATTAAAGGCCGGTTCTGATAATAAGGAGATCAAGAAGACCGAAGAGAAGAAGTAAACAGGTTTTTGCCATATTTACGAAATTAACATACACAATTTTCATTATTTTCCCTAATATATATATATATATATATATAAAACACTTAAATGTAATTCATAATTCAGAAAATGTAACTTTACTGCCTTTCGAGACTGAGTGTTTAGAACTTGATAATATTTCTTTATTTAGTTCATTATGAAGACATTTTTATTTTTGATAGTTTCAAAGATAGTTGATAATCTAAGTTTCTAGATTTGTGATTTAAAAATGCCTAAGATTTATGAAATCCACACACAGTAGTTTCTACGATAATCTTTGTATTTCTTATTATTCTGTGATTTTTTGATGTTAATAAAATTAACAGTATAAATATAATTCTCTTGTGTTTCAATACAAAAAACCTATCCCCATTTATATTCCCATTTTTTAATTTCTTACAATTTAATTTTTAATTGGTAAAATTTTCTAATGCTGATATAAAATAATTGAAATCTCAAAATAACAATTTTTTTATTTAAGATATCTTTACAGTAAAAAACTTTAATTTAACAAATTGATTTAATTTTTCAAATTAAATTTTAATTCAACAATATTCAATTTAATTTTTCGAACTAAATTTTAAAATTCAATTCAATTTCTCAAATTCAATTTTATTTTTCATATAAAATTTAACAATTCAATTTAATTTTTTTAAATATTAAATTTAACAATAATTCAATTCCTCAAATTAAATTCAACAATTCAATTCAATTTTTCAAATTAAATACATTTAATAATTAAATTTAACTTTTCACATTAAATTAAACAATTAAATTCCATTCAATTTTTCAAATTAAAATCAACAATTCAATTCAATTTTATTTTTCATATTAAATTTAACAATTCAATTGTTCAAATTAAATAAATTTATTAATTAAATTTAACTTTTCAAATTAAATTAAACAATTAAATTCAATTCCATTTTTTAAATTAAAATCAACAATTCAATCTAATTTTTCAATTCAACAATTAAATACAATTCTATTTTTCAAATTAACTATAATGTTCAATTGAATTGAATTCATTTTTACAAATTAAATTCAACAATTCAATTCATTTTTTGAACTAAATTTTACAATTCAATTTAATTTTTCAAATTCAATTTTATTTTTTATGTTAAATTTATAACAATTCAATTCAATTTTTCAAATTAAATACATTTAATAATTAAATTTAATTTTTCAAATTAAATTAAACAATTAAATTCCATTCCATTTTCAAATAAAAATCAACAATTCAATTCAAATTAATTTTTCAAATTAAATTTAACAATTAAATACAATTCCAGTTTTCAAATTCAATATTTCAATTCAATTTTTGAAATTGAATATAACAATTAAATTTAATTTTTCAATTAAAATATAATTGTAAATTATAACACATTCTCTGCTCGAGTAATATTTCAATAAATAAATAAAATTCAACAAAATTTTTATTTTTAATATTCTAACGTTACAGAAAAAGTTAATTAATTTCCTTAAATATAAAAATCATCTAATAAAAAAAATATTAGTTTAATTTGTAATAAAAATGTTAATCTATCTAAATATTCAAGATAAAGTGACTTATTATTAAAAAAATTCCACTATTGGATTTTTTTTATATTCAAAATTTTAAAAAATCCATAAATTAATTTATAAACATTAATTTTTGTAAAAAAAATTTTTGTTCAAAATTTTGCAAAATATAAATTAACAGAAAATAAAAAAAATCTAATGAAAGTGCTCAATTTATACAAACACGTAAATTTATTATAAATAAATTTTTTCATAAGCCCAAAAAATTTTTGTTAATTTAAAAAAATCATTTATTTTGACTTGTTTTTTTGATTAAAAATTAATTTCCCTTTGTTTAAAAGAAATTGTCCTTTTTGAATTGAAGAATAATTATTTCTTTGGCCCTATATCAATGAAAAAATTTCCTTTATTTAAAAGACAAATTTCTTGGATTCAAAAAATAAAATTTGTTTAAACCAAAGAAAATTTTCTTTGAATCAAAATGCCTCTGTTTGTTTGAAAGAAAAATTCATTTTGAATGAAACAAAAGGTCAGCCGAAACAAAACGAATCGAAAAATCTTATTTCTTTGAATGAACAAAATTTTTGTCGTGGTGTAAGACTTAATTATAAATAATAATTAATAATAATAATAATAGTAATTAATAAAAATTACCAAAAGCTTCAAATAAAAATAAAATTGCTAATTTCTAAAATATAGAAGAAATTTGATGATTTCTGATTTTTTTTCAAATGTAACTATTTATATAATGTAAAGAAAAATTTTTCTGATAATTTTGACTCGAAGGAAATAGAAAAAAACAGAAAAGATGTAAAATTTCCAAAAACGGGATTAGTGAAAGGAATTAAAAAATTACATGTTTTAAATTTAATGTACAAGATTTATTAATACTTTTTGCTCTACAAATGTAATAACACTAAAAAAAAATCGACGATTGTACTTATTACAAAAAAATCATACACACTTCAATCGTTATTTCGATGAATTAAATGTACCGAACTCTTAATTTTATAGATGAAATGAAAAATGACACAAATGGCACAATGTTTTTTTTTCCAAAATCCTAATAATATTGATGTCTTGGAAAATATCACAAAATGGAAGGTATTAATTACTCGCAGAGACCCTTTGCTTTTCCTGTGGCTCTTCTTTCTTTTCAATGGCAGGTTTTCCAGTGTTCTCAACTTTTATGGGAATTTCCTTCAAATCTTCAATTGCCTCCGCTTTTCTTGGAGTCGAAATTGTCAAAATACCATCGGAAGAAAGTAAACTTGTGGTTTTTTCCGCTTCACACTGCTCTGGTACGACGTATTTTCGAATAAAGTGTCGTGTAATGAAACCGTGATCGTCTCTTTTCTCTTCGTGTTTTCCTAAAAATTAAAATATTACAAAGTTAGCGAAAAATATGAATTAAATACAAAGACGAATATAATTTTAAAAAATAAAATAAAATTACGAACTTAATAAAAAATATGGATTAAATACAAAGATGAATATAATTTTAAAAAAAAATAAAATTACGAATTTAGTAAAAATATATATTAAACTGGATTAAACATAAAGACGAATATTGCATCATCTAATTTTTTTCCCACTTTTCTTTTGTTTTCAAAAGTCGAAACTTTACTGAAATTCTTTAAATATTAAAACTATTTTCAATCACTTGGCAATTTTTGAAAAAGAAAATTTTAATTATTTTATAAGTACCAAATTTTGAGGGAGAAAATTAAAATTATTTCAGAAACGTAACTATTACGTCATGCAATTTTAGACTAGGAAAGAAAATAAATAAATAGGAAAATAATCTTCAAAAGAAAGTAAATGATAAATACCTTCGACAACAATGCAATTATCCACAAGTTTCACGTTTATTTCTTCGGGTTTGAATTGCTGGACATCCAGGGCGACGTGAAATTTATCTTTATCCGCCTTGACAACTGAATATCCATGATCGTCATCTCTCCAGAAGTCGTCGTCGTGGAAAAATTCCTCCAATGGTCTCACATAGGATGCAGGAAGTCTTTTGTTAAAATTCGATCTCAAAAATTTTTCTGGATTCATAGTCAATCCAAAATGTTGATCCAGAAGACGATGTGGTCGCTCAAGTGTCTCCCACCATTGAGACATTAGTTTTGGAATAATTGTCACTCTCGATCTCATGATGACAAATAAAATTTCTCTTCTTTTTCACAAAAACCGTAAAAATGACACTAAGTTTCGAAATAGTTGACGAAACGTTACGCTTGCACTTTGGTTTGATAGTGAGGCTGCAACACGAGTCGCGCCAGCTTTTATAAGTCGATATAGCCGGCCGGCGAAATTTCTAGTGCATCTAGAAAGATCCACACGCGACTCTTCTTTGTTCTAGAAACTCCGAGAATATTCCAGAAAAATCTTAATCGAAATATTCTTTCAAAATAATTATTTCACGATCCAAAAAAGAGGAAAAAACAGAAATCATCAAAATTTGAATAATATATTTTTACCAAATTAATATTTATTTCTATTTTATTTCTGATTTTAATGAATCAATTCTTTTTGTTTCAGAAAAATTCAGAAAATTATATTTAAAAAAATTTATACTAAAATATTATTTATAAATTTATACCAAAAAGTTTATATATTTATTAATATTTAATTTCTTAAATATTAATAAATATTTTATTTCTTAAATAAATAAATAAATATTCTGGACTTTTTTGCGACATTTCTTATTCTGAATAAAATATTTGTGTGAGAAGCTCAAAGATACAAAATTTGCTTTTCAAAAAACTTTCATGAGCCGTTGCTCATGAAAGTTTTTTGAAAAGCAAAAGTTAAACGTCTTGAATGACACAAACAAGATAAACGATTTTAGATACAGTTCATCGGAATATTCTCGAAATCCTGTTTGTGGTTTTTTTTTTTTTTTTTTGACTGAATATAAATGTCAGAAAAAAATTGTAAAGTCTATTGATTAATTTACAATTAAAATCAACAATTCCAACAATAAAATAAAAAATTGACAAATTTATAAAAATTTTTAACTATACAAATTTTACTGAAAGAAATAATTCTTTTATGACGAAATCAATAATTGAAATTTCTATTTTCTCTGAATAGCACAGCAGATTTTCTCTGTATCAGCGAATCATCATTAGACTCGTCACTGTTTACCTAGGAATTTTCTCTCCATTTGAACACGTGGATTTTCGTGAACACTCCAGATCATTCATCCCCCCACTTTTTTTTAGAGGAGCGCAACATAAATAATCCGAGTTTTGCGATTGCATTCTCAGTTGAAAACTTCATCGTCAGTTATAAACAGAAATCAATTGTGTCGAATTCGTTTTTCTAAATGAAAAATAAATCAAAATAAATCAAAACGAATTGAAAATATTAAAAGTCAAATAAATATTCAAACTGTGAATTTTTTTTTCGATTTTAATTCCTTCAGTGAGTGATAGAAAATAAAATCGATTTTTGAAGATCGGACAAACTTGAGAAAAAAATTTTTTCCTTTTGCAAATAATTTGGAAAAATGAGAACTCTACTTCCTTTATTATTGTCAGCCTGGTGGGCCGATTTGGATCGACCTCATCTATTCCTGGACCACCAAGATATGGCACTAAATCGACGATTTGAAAATTTCATGTTTCCCGAATGGTCCAACAGATTTTATTTGCCCTCGATTTTGGATCGTCCAACATCTTTAGATATTTTCGATCGAAACTGGGCCGATATCTTAAGACCAAAAGATAGAGGTATGTAAAATCTGAATCTCTAATTTTAATATCAATCTCATTTAAATAGAACGTTTTGAAAAAATGAAAAAGAGGAAAAGTTTTGAAAAAAAATTAATAGTTTTGAAAAAAAAAGTTTTTAAAAAGAAAAAGATAAATAAAGTTTTGAAAAAGTAAAAGAGGAATAAAGTTTTGAAAAAGAAAAAAAAATGAATATAATATTGAAAAAAGAATGAATAAAATTCGATTAAAAAAATTCTATCTCCTAAAACTGTTTCAGGGTCAACAATAATAACGGCCGACAAGAATAATTTCCAATTGATTCTGGACGTTCAAAATTTCAAGCCAAATGAAATTAAAGTGAAGATGATCGACAGATTCGTGATTATTGAAGCCAAGCATGAGAAGAAGGAGGAGAATGATAAAAAATGCAATAATATGCATTTTATCAAAAAATACTTTGTACCAGAGCAAGTTGATATCGAACAAATTAAATCCACCCTATCAACTGATGGAATTCTGATGATTACAGCGCCCATTAAGAAGGTATCCGAAGAGGAAAAGAAAGAAACATTAATTCCCATAGAGGAGACCGGAAAACCTGCAATTTCAGAAAAAGTCAAACAACCAGAAGTGGAAAAAAATTCAGAAAGCAATTCAGAAAACAATTCAGAAAACAATTCAGCAAACAATTCAGAAAACAATTCAGAGAAAAAAGCAGAAGAGGAAGAAGTTACAGTGGAAACGGTCGATGAATCAATTTAATTCCAAAAGATATAATAATTTTTTAAACTATTGTAATTAATTGTGATATTTGCCATATTATTCTCGTCATTTTAATATTAAGGTCAATATGACAATATTTATAGTTAGAAATCATGACACAGTGGTTATAAACTTTTGTCTTAATAATTATACCAAATAATGACTTTACAGTAAATTGTATAAATTTTAATAGTCTAAATTAGTTAATTATTAATAGTTACAAATAGTAAATTAATAGATACTAATAGAAAATTAATAGCTATTAATAGTTATTAATAGCTGATTATTAATAATTTAATTAATTAGAATCTGAAATTTAAATTCAAATTTCAATACTCATGTTCAAAAAAATGTCCTTTATACTTTTATAAAAATAAAATAAAGTGAAATAAAATCTGTAAAAATAAATTGTCCTTTCTTCTTTCTATTATCAAAATTCTTGCAAATTAATCCGTCCTTTTAATTTTCAAAACAAAAATTGAATTATTAACGACTTTTAATTTTCTTTTTAAATACATTTATTTATTCGAAATATCTACTTTGAAATTTTGAATTTTAAATATAAATTTTGTTTCATGTAATTTAATTTTAATTCAATATTACTCTATATTTATTTTAACAAGTAGCAATTCTCCCAAAGCATTTTGAAATAAATTCCCCTAAGCATTTGCCTGTCACCACTACTACAAAAGCACACGACCTTTCGACAGTGTACAAAGTATAATTGAAGCTCCAAAAAGAAGCATCTGTAAAATTCTAGAACAGTTAAAAAAAAACTCTTTCAAAGAAACAAACTAGAAGTTTCTTATTATTTCTGGAAAATTCTATTTCTTAACGGGAACAATACAAAGAAATTAGTTTCTTTAAGTATTTAAAAATTTACTTTGAAGTATTTAAAAATTTACTTTAATTTTTATCAACAATTTCTAATTTATTTGATTTTTAATTAATTTACAAAATTTGAATTTACTTTTTAATATGATCAAAATATTTATAAGAAATATTCAAAATTTATTTGAGAAAATGCAAATTCTCTTTCTTTAAATTTAACAATAATTTCTAATTTACATGTTTTTTTTAATTAATTAATTAAATTAATTAAAATAAATGCAAAATTTGCATTTCTTTCTAAAAATATTTAAATATTTATGAAAATTCAAATTTTCTTTCTTGAAGTTTATCAACAATTTCTAATTTATTTGATTTTTAATTAATCTACAAAATTTGAATTTACTTATCAAAAAATTGCAAAAATTTAAATATATAAGTATCTAAGAACTATTCAAGAATATAAAAATAATCTTTCTTTAAATTTATCAATAATTTCCAATTTACTTCTTCTTTAAAATTAATTTGCATTTATTTTATCAAAATATTACAAATATTTAAAAATTATTTAATAAAAAAAATATTTAGGTACATATTTAAGAAAATACAAATTTTCTTTCTTTAAATTTATCAATGATGTTTAATTTACGTTTTCTTTAAAATTAATTTGCAAAATTTTCATTTATATCTAAAATATTTAAAAATTATTTAATAAAAAAATATTTTTAAGAAAATGCAAATTTCTTTTCTTTTAGTTTATCAATAATTTATAATTACATGTTTTTTAATTAATTTGCAAAATTTACATTTATTTTATAAAAAAATTTTAAATTATTTAAATATTTAAGTATTTTTTAAGAAATTACACCTCGATGAAGTTCGCAACGTTTATAATCAACGTTTTGAAAGAAAAAATATTTTTCTACTGCAATTTTTGTATCCGAAAACTTTTTGCAACAATATTTTTTTCAACAACAATTCAAAAAGTTGACTTGTTAACAAAAAAATGTAGTTTTCTGAAAAAAAAAATATTTTTTCCTTCAATTGTTGGTTTATAAACGTCGAAAACTTCACCCAAGTGAAAATACAAATTTCTTTTTTTTAAATTTATCGATAATTTCTAATTTATTGAGGTTTTTAATTAATTTTGCAAAATTCGCATTTATTTGTCTTAACTAAAAAAAATTTAAAGAGCAATATAAAATGAAAAAGCAGTATATAATTAAAAGCAGTAAATAATTAAAAAGCAGTATAGAAGCTAAAAAGTAGTAAATAGAAATAAAAATAGTGTGTAGAAATACGAGACTTGAACTCAAGAATAAATGCGATAGTTAAAGCAGACAGTTACCAGACACTATTTTACTGTAATCAAATTCTATTATAAAACAGCGAGAAATCTATTTTTAATTTTTAATGAATTCAACGCAGTTTGCAGTTTCATTCATCGCTAGACGATTCAAGGTCACGTCTCGTATTTTCCTCAGCAGAAAAGAGTTACGAAAACCGGTCAATATATCCCCCCACTGAGTTGCCTTAGTAACCGGCATTATATATAAAAAGGGAGCGTCACTCAGAAACAGCAGTTACTTCAAATCATAATAATACCACGTGCTATTATCATTATTACAAACGTTATTATCATTTTTTATCAACTTTTGCAAACAAAGTGACAGAAGATACGAATTTTATTTCTAAAATTGTGAAAACAGTTCGCTGAAGGCAGCAAAGTTCAAATATTCATCGCTCCAGGATTTTAAAAATATTTCACTTTCAAAAATACTCTTCTTCAAAAGGTCAGTGTTTAAAAAATTTGAAAATTAATATTTTCAGAATCAATCTTAAATCAAGAATGGAATTTTAAAATTAGAAATTATTTAATTTTAATTTCAGTTAGGACTTACTTGAGGGGGGAAAAATGTCCTTGGTGCCAATGATCTTCTCCGATTGGTGGGAGGACTTAGATCGTCCTCATCGTCTTTTTGATCAAAATTTTGGAATTGATTTAAATCTGGAAGATTTGTTGAACACGGTTCCAAGTTCCGATGAAATGGTCGTCTACAGACCTGGTAGACGTTCCTTCCGCAGACGATATCGTCCTTACTCCCGAAGGAGTCACGGCAATTCGATTGTCGATTCGGATAAGGATAAATTCAAAGTAACACTTGATGTCCAACAATTTCAGCCAAATGAAATAAGTGTCAAAGTGGTTGACAAAAATGTAATTGTTGAGGCCAAACACGAGGAGAAAGAGGATCAGCATGGTTGGATTTCTCGGCAATTCCTTCGTAAATACACAATTCCAAATCAGTGTGATGTCGATAAAGTGGAGACTTTTCTCTCATCCGATGGCGTCCTGTCAATCACGGCTCCCAGAAAACAGGATCAAATTGAGCCCAACGAGAGAAGAATCCAAATTCAATTCACTGGCCAACCTGCTGCAGTTCGGCAAACGCAGCAGTCGATTTCCAATGGATCTGCGGAAACAATAGATAATAAGGAACAGGATCAAAAAACTCCAACTACGCCCCAAAGGGGACGAAAAACAAATGCAAAATCTACTTAAATTTAAATAAATATTTTTGCTTTTATTTTTCCTTTAAAATTCGTATTTTTTCTTTCAAATCCGTATTTTTGGTATCAAACCAGAAAATTCGGAGACAAAAATATATTTCACTTTTGCGAGTTAAATACTTTCAACTAGTGCGTAAATAAACATCTTTTCAAAAGATCGTATTTTTTAATTAATTATTATAAATATTTGTAAACAAGTAGAAAACATATAAATAAATATTCAGTATTTTAAATCTAATTGAATTACTTTTTTTCAAAATCATCCTACAAATTATCAATTCAATTATTAATTTTACGAATTTTTAACTAAAATTCTTTTTTAAATCGATTATTTTTAATAATTTTCGAAAAATTTCTTTAAAAATTTTCAAATTTTACAAACAATTATTGTAAACAAATGTTTACAATATTCAATTTTATGAAATTTCAATTATTCGTAAATTCTTCAATTAAATATATATTAGAAAATAAAAACTTAAGAAAATAATAAAAAAAAATTCAATTAAACTTTTTCAAAAAAAATTAATTTCAAAATTCAATTATTTCTAAAAATCCACGTTTTTAATATTCAATTATTATCTAAAATTTAAACTAAAATTCATTTTTATGAAATGGAAATCAATTTTTATTAGAAAATTCTACTAGAATTCAATTATTTAAATACAAAAATAATTAATTTATTGAATAATTGAATGTTTCTTACTTAAAATTCAATTCCCATAATGAATTTTATCACCAAATTTAAAAAAAAATTGAATTCTTTTGAAGAATTTTAATAAAATTTTTAAGAATAATTACATTTTTCGAGAAATTCGATTAAAATTTTATTAAAAATAATTGAAATTCTACGATGAGTAAATAAGTAAATAATTGAATCCCTAAGAAGAATTCTATTATTTTTGAGCAACATTTAATTTTTGCGAAGAATATTATTACGCTTGAAAATAATTGAATATTTGCAATAATTTGTAATTTTTCCAAAATTAAATTTTTTTTCGTGCTCTTAACTAAAATTCTTTTATAAATCCATTAGGATTTTTAATAATTTTTGAAAAAGTTCTTTGAGAATTTTCACATTTATTTGTTTACAATTCATTTTACAAAATTTCAATTATTCGTAAATTCTTCAATTAAATATATAGGTATAAGAAAATAAAAACTTCAAATAATTTTAAAAAAAAATCCGTAATTAAACTTTCTCAAAAAAAATTAATTCAACAGAATTGTTAGTTAAAAATATGGAAAATTCAGATTTTCACAGATTTTAATTTAAAAACATTTCAAAATTCAATTATTACTAAAAATTCACGCTATTATGCTTTTAATATTCAATTTTTATCTAAAATCTTAATTGAAATTCACTTTGAAATCAATTTTTCTTAGAAAATTCTACTAGAATTCAATTATTTAAATACACAAAAAACAATTTATCGAATAATTGCATTTTCATAAAATTGAATTCTTTTGACAAATTTTAATCAAATTTTTAAGAATAATTACATTTTTTCGAGGAATTCGATTAAAATTCTATTAAAAATAATTGAAATTCTGCAATGAGTTTTATTATTTATGAAAATAATTGAATTCCTAAAAAGAATTTTATTATTTTCGAAAATAATTGAATCCATGTAAAAATTTTATTATTTATAATAATAATAATAATAATAATTGAATGATTGCTAAGAAATTTATAAAAAAAATTTGTTAATAATTGAATTCCTGTAAAATTTTTATTATTTTATGAAAATTTTTTTAAATAATTGAATTCTTTTGGAAAATTTTATTAAAATAGTAGATATTAAAAATCATTGAATTGAGGAAAATTTTTGAAAATAATTGAAATTTTACTAAGAATTTTATTAAAATTTATGAAAATAATTGAATTTTGGATTATTTCAATTATTTCTAAAAATAATTGAAATTTTGACGAGAAATTAAAAAAATTTTTGAACATAAATTGAATTTGAGCGAAGAATTTTATTACTTTTGAAAATAATTGAATTTCTGCAATCATTTGTAATTTCTCTAAAATTCTCCAAATTATATCGTACAATTTACGAACTTTTCGTTTTTTCTCAATCAAATTACGGACTTTGCGGATATTTTTTTTTTAAAAAACTGACATTTAAGGACATAATTTTATTTGTAAAGATGATTTAAGCATTATTTATCACCTCTATTTGCTGCAAAATGAAAGCAGATTACTTTTCAAAACGAATTAAAAATAGAATTCCACATTTGACAACTCTCGATAAGTACACAGTTTACTTATCTAATTTGCAAAGTAATTATCTTTTTTGAAATATACGATTAAAATAAATATAAAAAAGCTACTTAGTTCAAAATAAAATAAAACTCACCGAAAAAGATGGAAATTATAATACAAAGTATGAAAAAAACTTTTAAAACATGAAAAAAAACAAAAAAAAACTGAAACATAACCTTACTTTTCTTCAATAATTAAAATTTGAAATTTACGTTATCTGTTGATGGAAGATAACAATTCTATATTAATACTGTACTCTGTACTTTGTTAAAATAACCATTTTTTCGAAAATGTGAGTAAGTGACAAGAAACAGACAGAAATTTCTGGAAAATTCGACAATATTCTAAAAGTTCTAGAAGGTGCTATTGTTTGCCAGAATATGCCGGCCGGTGCGCTGGGTGTATAAATACAGTTTCGAAACGCCGGTTTCCATCATTCGAATACAAGACGTCGAAAGTGAAACTTCGTGTTCATCATAATCTAAAGTTCATAGTTCGTGTATTATACGAAATCAAGTGTTTTTAAGTGTTTTACTGCGGTGAAAAGTAAAAAGTTTAAAATGTCGATTGCACCATTAGTATTTTCCGACTGGTGGGACCATCTTGAGCGTCCTCACTCTCTCTTGGATCAGGATTTCGGACTTGGATTCAATCCCCAGGAGTTAATGGTTCCGGCTTTGTATGGTAATCGTTGGGGATATGATAGACGACCAATGGTGAATTATCATCAACGACCATGGGCACGCAATCAAGGAACTTCTGTCGTCAAAGCTGACAAGGACCAGTTCCATGTAAGTTGGGTTTTTTTACACAATTACTTTTTAAATTTGAAACTATAAATTAAAATTAAAAAAAAAACTTAAAATTAAATTTTAAAAAGTAATTTTTTTTTGTTTTTAACTGAATTTTATGATTTTCACCTACAAAATTAATCAATTGCACTCTTTTCGAGTTGAAAAAGAATTAAATGAAAATTGATAAAAATTTCTTTCGATTAAAATAGTGAAAAATATTTGAAGCAATATTAACTGAAAAATATTGGAAATTTCTTTCGAATAAAATATCTAGTGAAAAATTTTCGTAGAAATTAACTAAAAAATATTGAAAAATTAAATGAAAATTAACGAAAATTTCTTTCGAATAAAATATTGAACATTTTTTGAAGAAATTAACTGAAAAATATTGAAAAAGAATTAAATGTAATTTGATAAAAATTTCTTTCGATAAGAAAGGGGAAAAATTTTAATTATAACTAAAAAATATTCTTTTTTCGCAGGTCAACCTGGACGTTCAACAGTTCAAACCCGAAGAGATTTCTGTCAAGGTCGTGGATAAATTCGTAGTCGTCCAGGGAAAACATGAAGAAAAACAGGACGAACATGGTTTTATATCACGACATTTTACACGAAAATATCTCATCCCAGAGCAATGTAACATTGATCAAGTGAAATCCTGTCTCTCTTCGGATGGAGTTCTTTCGGTTACAGTGCCCAGGAAGAATACTGAGACTGATTCAAACGAAAAAGTCATCCAAATTGAGCATACAGGAAAACCTGCAATTGCTTCCAAAGAACATGTAAAACCAAAGGAAGCCGAGGCGATGAAGACTGAGAAGAAAGTGTCTAAATAAGTTTTTTTCAGTTCACTTTTCAAAAAGTTCCTTTTTTCTTTGTTTCTAAAATTTATTTTTTATAACTAAGACATTTTTTCTACCTCTACGATATTTTCATTCTTCATAAGTGTCATTTGTTTCTTCCATAATTGACATTCCTAAGATTAATGACGATTATAATAAGTGAGTTAATTATAGATATCTTAAAGATTAGGTTTAAGATCAAGTTGATTATAAATATCTCAAAGATAATTAAATAAACTTGAATTATTTATAAACAGAAATATTTTTGTCTTTTCATTCAATACCCAGTTTTAAAGTTTAAAATTATAACTTTACCTATAAAATCAAATTTAAAAATTATTGAAAATTAAATTAAATAAAAATTATTATTATTATAGTTTTTTCTTAAGTTATTAAGGTATAATATTTTCAAAAAATTATATTAAAGAAATTCTTACGATTAATTTTTTAAAAATATTTTAAAATAATTTTTGAACGATAATAGTTTTTCAATTTTGAAAAATTTCTAAACAATTAAAATTTGGTAAAATCTTTTGAATTTTTGAAAAGTATAAATAAAAATAATCAAATTTTTGAAGAATTTTAATTATAAACAAGACCATGATTTCTCAAAAATTTTAATAAATCCAAAAAGTAAATTTTGAATCTTAAAAAATTATTACAAAACAATTCTAATAATTATAGTTTTTAAAAATATTTTATTAATGTAATTTTTTGAAAATAATTGTATTTCTTAAAAGAATTTTTGTATAATTTAAAAAAACTAATGAATTTTTTGATGAATTTTAATTAAAAATTTTGAACATTATTGTTTTCACCAAAATGTTAAAAATAATTCTAAAATGTTATTATTTTTGGAAACATGTAATTAAAAATATTAAAAATATTGAATTTTAAAAAATAAGAAGCTTATTTTCATTTTTAAATTTACCTTTAAATATTTTCCATTAAAAGTTTTGATAACTCAATTATTTTCAAAATTTGCAATTAAAATTCTTCAAAAATTGTAACAAAATACTTGAAATAAATTAATTATTTTCAATTAAATTTTACAAAATTTTAACTATTTAAAAACAATTTTTGAAAGATTTGTAATTATAGTTATTTTTCGCATTATAAAAATCAAAATAAGTTGCACTTTTTTTTACTAAAAATTGTGGTAATTTGTTGCAATGTTTGGAAGGAAAGTCGAAAAAGTCTCAATTTGCTTAATTTCCCTGACAACAAATTTTTTTCATGTACCTGACTTAATTTAAAATAAAATAACTTTCCTAACAAAACGTTAAGGTAAAAATATAAAAAATTTAAATGAAGTAGATTTTTTCACAGTTTTAATTTTCAATAAAGAATTTAAATAAAATTAAAACAAGATTTTTTAGTACAATTTAAATATTACTTTCATGAACTTCTACATGGGGGCGCAAAACTATTTATGGCGGTAAAATTTCAAAAGACAAGAATATAATTTACGTTTTTCTAAAAATAAGCTTAAAAAATATCATTTAACTATCTAAATAAATCAACCAATAACAAATTAAAATTACAATAATCACCACAATGGGTGAAAATGCAAAATAAATGTAGTTATTTGTTAAATAAATGAACTATCAATTCTCATTGGGTAGCAGACTATTATGCGTCACAATCATCCGCCATATTTTTTTGCTCTCTTGTTGGAAAGAAAACAAAAAACTGACGTGAAGGTTAATTGTCACAAGTTTTTTAAATGTAAAAAAACAATTGTGAATTATTTAAATAATTTTCTTTTATGTTCGGTATGAACGTCGTTAGAATAAATTCAAAAAATGTAATCTTTCTAATTCTGGGAATATTGTCAACGACAATCAAACAAGCACACATGGGCTATGGTGACTATTCAAATTATTGTTTACATCATTTAATTAATAAAAACAATACTTAATTGACGATCTTAATTTTTCTATTGTTTTAGAAAGTATAGCGAGTTATGCTCTAAAAGATGCGAATACAAATTCGACTCCTGCATTTTCCAATCGAAAGGTTAGAATTTTTGAAAAAAATCTATTTAATAATTTCTACTTTGCAAAAATTTTATTTGTCTTTTTCACTGTTTACTCGTGTTTTTTAAAAATAAGTGATATTCTTAATTATTTTTTCAGGAGGAATCAATTAATTTATGTCCCACTGGAGGACAATGTTCAGAATTAGGTGGAGAATGTTTAAAATGTAATTTTAATGCAAATTGTGTTTATGGTGACATTTACAAAGTCAACTGTACTGTCTTGGACCAGGTTGATTGTATTGTACGTAAATAATTGATTTTGTTCGTCTTTTTTGATTTTTCGTTTTTTTTTGTTCTTTTTTTTATTGTTTGTTTTTCTTTTGTTCTTTTTTTGATTTGTCTAAAACAATTGATTTCTATTTCGTTAAACAATTATCTTTGGGTATTAAAATAATTATTTTATTAAAGGGAGAGACGACCATCGAGAAAACATTTATGTGTCGATATTGTTATCAAACTGAACACTGGGAACATAAATGTCAACAGAAAAATTCATGCAGTTCAATTGCATCACCACAACAATATTATCGGTGAATATATTTATTTATACATTCAAAAAATTGTCAAGATTAAAAAGAAAATGTAATAATAATAATATATTTTTAAACATTCCAGAACGAATTGTACAGTTAATAGTGATGTGATTTGTTTGGGTAGAAGAACTTTTTTGAAAAATTTACCGTGCAATTGGACGGGAGGTTATCGTTGGTCTACTGCTTTTATATTGAGTATAACTCTTGGAGGATTTGGAGCTGACAGGTGAAATAGTTCTTTACATTAGTAATTAATTATTGCTAATTAAAGTAGTAATTTTGTTCAACTTTTCTAATTCCTCCTCTTTTATTAAAAACAGGTTCTACTTAGGTCATTGGCAAGAAGGTATCGGAAAATTATTCAGTTTCGGAGGATTGGGAGTGTGGACTTTAATTGACGTGATGTTAATTTCCATGAGATATTTAGGACCAGCAGATGGTTCTTTATATATTTAGAAAAATCAATATGCTTTCATCAGGAAGCAAAAAAAGACTTTAATATTATTAAAACTACTGTTGTTTTACTTTTAATTGTAAATCTAATTTTGTTATTTTTATATAAACTCGGCATTATAGTTTAGAAAATAATGAAAACTTATTTTTATTAATTATCACAATTCTAGAGTCATTAAAGTGTATATCATAATATATATTATTACATTTTAGCAATTTTTAATCTTGTTACCATCTTTAATTTGCAATTAGAAAAATTAATCATCCATCCAGGCCTCGGATATTATGATTTTTTCGACTATTTTCAAATAATGCGACTTTTATCGACTTATATTAAAAAATTGCGACTTTTTCGACTTTTCTTCCAAATTTTGCGACAAAATACCATATTTTTAGTATAATATGCTGCAACTTTTTTCGATTTTTATGCGCAGTATAAAAAATAGCTGTAGATAAATCTTTCAAAAATTATTTTTAAAAATTTTTTCTAATTAAATTTTTGAAATATATAATTAAAAAGATTTTAAATAATTGAAATTTAGTCAAATTAATTGAAAATAAATCCTTTTTTCAAGTATTTTATTATAATTTTTGAAAATTAACTATTATATAGAATTTTTATTGAAAATTTTGGAAATAATTGAATTTTTAAAAATTTTAATGAATAATCTTCAAGTGTAAATTCGATAAAAAAAAATGAAAATATTAAAATAGTTTTGAAAAAAGTAATTCTCTGACAAAGTAATTTAAAATTTTTTTAAATTTACTATTTTAGAATTTTTGAGAAATTATTTATAATTAAAATTTATCAAAAATTTGATTATTTTTTAAATATTTTTTAAAAACTCAATTATTTATTTGTTTAATAAATTTTTTTGCAAAATTTAACTATTTTAGGGAATTTTATTAAAATTCGTTGCAAAATTCAATTATTTTCAGAAATTTTAATAAAATTTTTGTCTAAATTCAATTTTCAGGATTTTTTTTTTAAATTTATTGAAAAATCAATTATTTTCATAAATTTTAATAATACTCTTTGCAAAATTCAATTTTTTCTGGAATTTTACTAAAATTCTAATTCATCTATAATTTTAATAAAACTCTTTGCAAAATTCAATTATTGCGTCTTTCAAAAATTATTTAGAAATATTTCTAAAAAGTTAATTTTACGAATTTATTTATTAAAATTTTTTTAATTTATTCTACCTTAATATCTTTAAAAAGAAAATATTGACGGTTTCGATTATTATATAAAATGGAATTTTTGTATTTGGATAATTGAATTCTTGGTGAACTTTCGGAAAAATATCAAAAAGTAATATAGATAATTGATTTAAAAATGAATTTTAGTTAAAAATTGTCGAAAATAATTGAATTTTTGTAAGGGTTATAGTTTTAATTTTAGAAATTATTAAATTTCAGAATTTGAAATTTTTTAAATTTTATTTCCCGGTGAAAAAAGAAATAAGAAGTATTTAAATATTTTATTTAGCAAAATTATAGAAGTTTTGATTAATTGAATTTAGAAATCAGGGAAATAGAAAATAAAATATTTGTGACAACACTAAATGAAATAATCGACTTTTTCTCTATTTTTAATCGACTAAAGCGACTTTTTTTGTTCGTTAAAGTCGATCCGAGGCCTGTCTATCAGAAATTGTTAATAAAAAAAGTAAAAATGAAAAAATGTAACTAGTAGATTTTATAAATCTAGAAACAATATATAATTTTAAGAAAAATTTGTTTTCAATTATTGTAATTTGGAATCAAATGAAAAGTTTTGGAAAAAAATTTCATATTTCCTAATTTGGTCAAATTTATGTCATTTAGAAAGGTTTGACAGGAAAATTAGCAAAAGGAAATTTTTCCCACAACTTGAATATTCTGTTGACATTTTTAGATCACTTTTTTTAGTATTGTAAGAAAAATTTTGAAATAATTTACCTGAGCTGAATTGGGAATACGATATACCTCTTCGAAAGCTTTTCCATTTAAAATTGTGATTCAAATTTTATACAAATGTTTACAAATCTTCTCTGTGCGGCTTTTTCATTATTGTTCCTTTCTCCTTCCATAACCTGTAAAATACAAAACAATTATTTTTGTCTTCCATTTTAATTCATAGTTGCAAATAATAGACGTAAACGAACATAATGTTAACAAAATCTTATGCTAACGTTTTGTTTGCACACAGTAACAATAGTTTTTGTTTGATTTTGGACTCTTCGTTGCAAATGTGCAATCTTAACCGACTTTGTCATTTTTGTTTAGAAATTTCTTTTCTCTATTTTTTCGAATGTCACAAAATACGACGCCATGGTCAATTAATGCGCAAGTACGAAAATTATTTTAAAAAAAGATAAACTTACACTTTTTTCAATCAAAAAGTTGAGTTAATAACAAACAAATCCTCACAGGAAACTTTTACAATAATGAAAAATTTTAAACAGTCTAACGACAATAAGTGATACACATAAGTAAACGCGTTTTGATAAGTTAACAAAATTGTCCTGGACTGTTAACCACCAATTGCAGTACTTTCCTTTCCTTTGTAATTAACAATTTTTATTCTTTAATTAAAATGAGTTAAAATAAGTAAAAAAAAAAGCATTATAATTAAAGAACATTTTTTATATTTCTTACTGAAAATTTTTTTACTTATTATAAGAATGAAGAATATTCTCAATTTTTGAACAAAATTTCAAAAAAAAACTTTCGATACACGCGTCGATTTATCGAATCGAATAGACGCCAAGTTGCCAAGAATAACCTCAAAAGTAAGAATATGTGAGTGAAAAGAATAAATTAATTTCTTTATTTTGTTTAAAACGTTAAAAAAAAGTAAAAATATCAAAAACTAGTAAGAAAAATACGTATTTTAATGTATCAGCCGGAAAGTGAGCTTAATAAAAATAAACTCGATATCTGAAGACCAATCACTATGAGTAGTTTTAATAAAACAGTTTCTTATTTTTATAATCCCGATGTGGGAAATTTTCATTATGGACCGGGTCATCCTATGAAACCCCATAGACTCTCTGTTATTCACAGTTTAGTGATAAATTATGGATTACACAGAAAAATGCAAACCTACAGACCCTATCGGGCAAATAGACACGACATGTGTCGTTTTCATTCCGAGGAATATGTGGACTTCCTCCAAAGGGTGACACCGCAAAATATCCAAGGTTACACGAAATATCTGAGTCAATTTAACGTTGGTGATGATTGCCCCGTTTTCGATGGTCTTTTTGATTTTTGTTCAATGTACACGGGAGCGTCACTCGACGGGGCAATGAAATTGAATAATAATGTCTGTGATATTGCAATTAATTGGAGTGGTGGTCTACATCATGCGAAGAAATTCGAAGCTTCTGGATTCTGTTATATTAACGATATTGTAATTGGTATTTTGGAATTACTCAAATATCATGCTCGTGTTTTGTATATTGACATTGATGTTCATCATGGAGATGGTGTTCAGGAGGCTTTCTACATGACAGATCGTGTTATGACAGTTTCGTTTCATAAATACGGAAACTATTTCTTTCCCGGAACGGGAGACATGTACGAAATTGGTTCTGAGAGTGGAAAATATTATTCGGTTAATGTTCCTTTGAGAGAGGGGATTGATGATGTTTCTTATGTCCAGGTAAATAAATACTCTAAATTAAATAAATTCTATAAATTCTTAATTCTCTAAATTAAATAAATAATCAATTATTAAATACTAGCAAAATTAGAAAATTTTTTATTTTCAAATACTTATGAATTTTTTAATAATTTCAGATTCAAACTTTAAAAAAATCCTATTATTAACTAAATTACTAATTGATTATTCTTGTTTATTAATTTCAAAAATTCTAACAAAATTCTTCTCAATAATTCAATTATTTTCATATAAATAATAACATTCATCGTAAGAATTCAATTATTTTTACAAATACATGGTAAAATTGTTTGCAAAAATACAATTATTTTTAAACAAAATTTTAAAAAAATTTCACCAAAATCTTTGCAAAATTTTAATTATTTTCAAAAAAAAAAATTTCAGGAAAGAATTTAATTCGTTATACTTAAAAACTTTGCAAAAATTCAATTATTTTCAAAAAAAAAATGTCACCAACGAATTCAATGTTTTCTTAATTCGTTATAAAATATTCCGAAAAAATTCAATTATATTAAAATAAATAATAAAATTCTTTGCGAAAATTAATTATTTTCTAAAATTTGAATAAATTCTTGGAAGCAATTTAATTATATTTATAAATAGTAAAATTATTTGCAAATTAACCTATTATATTCAAAACAATTTCACGAAAGACTTCAATAATGAATTTCTTAATTCGGTTTAAAATGTTTTAAATAATTCAATTATTTTCTAAAATTTAAATTATTGTTTGTTTTAAAAACTTGAAACAAATTGTCCATAAAATTCAATTATTTTAAAAATTTTTAATTAAAATTATTAAAGAAACTTTATTAAAAAAAAAAATTCAAAGAAATTCTTCAAAAAGAATTTAATTAAGATTTTTAAAAATTTTAATAAAATTCTTCGCTAGAATTCAATTATTTTCATAAAGAATAAAATTCTGCGAAGAAATTCAATTATTCTCAAATTTTTTGACAAAATTCTTTGCAAGAATTCAATTATTTTCATAAATAATAAAATTCTGCTAAGGAATTCAAATATTCTCAGATTCTTTGCAAGAATTCAATGTTTTGTAATATATTAATTTTAAAATTGAAAATATTTGAAAAGAAAAATTATTAAAAAAAGTTAGGAAAGAAAAAAGCAAACAACAACTAACTTCAAACTGCGAACTGATTACTGAAATACAACAACGGTTATTAATATATATTTTCTTTGTTTTAGGTTTTTAAACCGTGTATATCGCATGTGATGGAATATTTCCGACCATCGGCGATTGTTTTGCAATGCGGAGCGGATTCATTGGCAAATGATAGACTGGGATGTTTCAGTTTAAGTACACGAGGTCATGGGGAGTGTGTGAAATTTGTGAGGGATTTGAATGTGCCTCTTCTTGCTGTTGGTGGTGGAGGTTACACTTTGCGCAATGTTGCGCGATGCTGGACCTATGAGACTTCGCTCCTCGTCGATGAGCAAATAAGTAATGAGCTTCCTTACACAGAGTACTTGGAGTATTTCGCACCAGACTTCACTTTGCATCCAGAAGTGGTGACACGACAGGAGAATGCCAACAGTAAACAATATTTGGATTTGATCGTGAAGCACACTTATGACAATTTGAAGATGGTGCAGCATAGTCCGAGTGTTCAAATGCAAGATGTTCCTTGCGATGCACTGCCGCCAGATGAAGATCGACATCCCGAACCAGATCCCGATAGTCGACAAAATCCTCAAGATCTCGACAAAATTGTCGAGCCTGCCAATGAATACTATTCCGGTGATAGAGATCAAGACAAAATGGATGTTGGTGATTCGTAGTTGGAAATTCTTCTTTTATTTTACGACAAAACTCAAAATTTTTTTTCTATTTTGAGTAGAAACTTTGATGTTTAATTTCAATCATTTGCTCGTCAATTTAGTCTTCCGACATGAGAAAATCAAGTTTCAATTTTCTATTTTTTTAAAAATCAGTATCTGACAAATTTTTAGTAATTATTGTACTATACTAATTAGACGATAATCGTATATGATGAATTGAATATAATTAAATTTTTAATCACTCAGGTAATTAAAAAGGTTTATGCAACGAAATATTTTTGTACAAAGCCAAATGACTTAAAATATGAATGTGCAATTTTGTGAATTTTCCCGCGGTTATGAATTTTTATCGAGTGTGTGGATTTTTTTTTTAAATGCCTACGATTACATAATTATGACACATTTTTAGATTTTAATTTTTAGTACATAATTTACAACTAAACTAAACTTCATTTTATAATATTTATTTTTTGATCTCTATACCTAAAATATATTCTGTATCTAAATATACGGAATGATCATTATGTTCAGAAAATGAGGAATAGAGCAAAATAATCACACTGTATATTTAACATTTTTTGTGTATAATAAAAAATTAAGTGATTTTTGTTTTTGATAAACGTATTTGATATTTTTTTCAAAAACCCTGGTTCGCCCATTAGTTGTTCAGGGTGTCCACAGGGAAAGTCAGAGAAATGCCAGGAAAAAATTTTTATGTCAGGGAAATTAAGAAAATTAGGACTTTTTTCGACTTATTTTCAAAAATTGCGAACTTTTCGACTTTCCTTCCAAACATTGCAACTATATTTTTGAATCTTTTTCTAACATAATTAAATTTTTTAAATATCAAATAAAAATCTTTTTGAATAGTTGAAATTTTGTAAAATTTAATTTAAAATAATTTATTTATTTCAAGTATTTTGTTGCAATTTTTGTAAATCAACTTTTAAAGAATTTCAATTGCAAAGCTTGAAAATAATTGAATATCAAAAATTTTAATTAAAAATCTTTAAAGGTAAATTTAAAACATTAAAATATTTTTAAAAACTAATTATTAGAATTGTTTTATAATAATTTTTTAAGATTCAATTATCTTCGAACAATGTAAATAGAAATTTTTATGAAAATTTGCTTTTTGGACTTATTAAAATTTTTGAGAAATCATGGTCCTGTTTATAATTAAAATCCTTCAAAAATTTAATCATTTTTATTTATATTTTTCAAAAATTCAATTATTTTTAAAAGATTTTACCAAATTTTAATTGTTTGGAAATTTTTCAAAATTTAAAAAACTATTAACTTTCAAAAATTATTTTAAAACTATCAAATGTTACGCGCGCGGAACGTGAAATTCAATTTGAGATTATTATGCAATTTACAAAATTTTTTATTTTCAAATACGAATTTTTAAATAATTTATTTAGATTCGAACTTTAAAAAAATTCAATTATTAAATAATTTACTAAACAATTATTCTTGTTTATTAATTTCAAAAAGTTTAATGAAATTTTTCTCAAGAATTCAATTATTTTTATAAATAGTAATATTTTTCGTAAGAATTCAATTATTTTTATAAATAGTAATATTCTTCGTACGAATTCAATTATTTTTATAAATAGTAAAATTTATGCAAAAATACAATTATTATTTTTAAACAAAATTTTAATAAATTTTCACGAAAATCTTTGCAAAATTTTATTTATTTTCAAAAAAATTTCATGAAAGAATTTAATTTTTTTTCTTAATTCGTTATAAAAACTTTTCAAAAATTTAATTATTTTTAATACAAAACTTAATAACATTTCATGAAAGAATTCATTTTTTTCAATTTTTAATAATATTTTTTGAAAAAATTTAATTATTTTCTAAAATGTTAATAAATTTTTCGAAAGAATTCAATTATATTTATAAACAGTAAAATTCTTTGCAAAAATTCAATTATTTTCAAAAAAAATTTCACGAAAGAATTCAATTTTTTTCATAATTCGTTATAAAATTTTTCGAAAGTATTCAATTATTTTCAAAAATTTTAACAAAATTATTCGCGAAAATTCAATTTTAAAAATTAAAATATTTAAAAAAAATTAATTGTAAGAATTTCTTAATAATTTTTTGAAAATATTTTATACCTTAATAACTTTTGAAAAAACTATGGAGAAAATCAAATATTATAAAAAAATTGAGTTTTTGTAATAAAATAATTGAATAATAATAATTATAATAGTAATTGAATTCTAGAATAACTTTTGGAAATTATTTAGATTAATTGATTCACAGATGAAGTTTAGTTGAAAATTGTAGAAAATAATTTAATTCGGATTATAAAATTGTATTTTTTAGAAATTATTAAAATTCATAAATTTTACTCATTTTCCGTAAACATTCATATTTTCCTGTAAAAAGAATCTTGTCAGGAAAAGTAATTTTAATCAATTTTAATGTCAGTATAAATTGTCAGGGAAATTCATAAAGTGAAACCTGTGACTACCCTGATTGATACGCCCCTGGCCTGAGAGAACTGTCAAGTGTCAAAACTATAGAGTTTGATACAGTTGGTTTCAGAATAAGATTTTTTTCTTGGTCTCTTGCTTTAATTAATCCTCATTTACGATGATTTTGGAATTTATTTAAATCACTCGAGATGAACATTTGATTTACATTGTAAGCAAAGGAGTGAAAACAAAAAGAATGCTACTTGGAAAGATTGTTCTATTAAATGTGCCAATTTATAAACAAATACCTTTTGACGTCTGTGAGACATTTTACAAATTTTGAATCTAAGTAACCCTTTACCGTGAGTATTGTAAATTATTTATTATTTATTACAAACATTTCTGAATTCTGGAAACAGTTCACTTAAATATGAATGTCACTTTTTTGAGGTTATGTCCATTTTTTCCAATAATTTGAGTGAAAACCCTGTTTACAGATATAAAAAATATGTCAGAATCTCACCTGGAGAGAATTTCTAAATAGATGAATGATCAGTCTAATAATGAGATACATGGGAGTGTCTCGTAATAATGAAGTCGATATACAGAGCATTTTGCTTATGCCTTACGTTCGTGACTCTTTTAATTTTATTGAGAATTTACGACATTCGTACGAGGCCAAGCACAACGTTCTCGAAATCGACTATCGTTTTCGAAAGAAAAATTCCCGAGGAAGTTGTAATATGTGTTGTTGCCTGTGGAGATCGCTTAGAAGAATCATTGACAATGATGAAATCTGCCTTAATCTTTTCAAAACGATCGCTTCGTTTCATTGTTATTTCCGACAATAATTTGATACAAGCATTCTCAGAGAAATTGTCCGATTGGAAAGAATTTTATAATAAAACATTTACATTTGTCGTTAGACCTGTTGAATTTCCCGTTGGGGATAATGTTATGTGGAGAAAACTATTTAAACCATGTGCTGCTCAACGTCTCTTTCTTCCAGTAAGTAATTCAAAAATAGATTCGTTTTTAAAACGAAAATTATTCGAAAACAACAATAACTTCATTTTTAAATAAATATTTAATAATTATTTTTTTTTATAAAAAATTAAGATATACAGAAATTTCAAATTCAATAACATGTAAGAATATTATTATAAAACATGAAGATATCAATAACTCCGAGTCTTCGACTCGGAGTGATCGCTTTCTTCATGTTTTATAATAATCAAAACTTGCTACTTTGTTACTGTAACTTCTTCAAAATTTTTTTCTATTATTTCTTTTATTCATTTCTAGAATTTTCAACTAAAATTCTTCTTTAAGTCAATATTTTTTAATAATTTTTGAAAAAGTTCTTTGTAAATTTTCAAATTCTTTTGTTTACAATTCAATTTTACGAAATTTCATCGATTAGTCGGCAATTCTTCAATTAAATATATTAGAAATTAAAAACTTCAAAGAATTAAAAAGAATTCCATTAAACTTTTTTAGAAAAATAAATTCTACAGAATTCTTAATTAAAAGTAGGTATGAAAAGTTCAAATTTTCAAATATTTTAAATTGAAATTCATATTTTAAAACAATATTTATTAGAAAATTCAACGATAATTCCATTATTATTTAACTACAAAAATAATATTTTATTAAACAATTGAATTTTCATAAAGAATTTTATCAACAAATTTTTAAATAATTGAATTCTCTTGACGGATTTTTAATAAAAATTTTAATAAGACTAATTTCATTTTTCGAGAAATTTGATGAAAATTGTATTCAAAATAATTTAAATCCTGCCAAGAATTTTATTAAATTTTTTTTAAATAATTGAATTTTGGAGGGAAATTTTATTATTTATAAAGATAATTGCAATTTTGACGAGAATTTTTGTAAATTTTTAAAGATAATTGGATTTCTGCGAAGAATTTGATTAAAACTATTTTGAAAAAAAATTCAATTGTTACGCAAAGAATTTCATTAAAATTTTCGAAAATAATTTAACTCTCTAAAGAAATTTAATTAAAAATGTTTCGAAAATAACACTTAAATTCTAATAAATAAATTGTACCAAAGGATTAAAAAAAAATGGAATTTCTTTTCACAAATAATAAAATTCATCACATGATTTCAATTTTTTTAAAAAAATGTAGTAAAATTCGTTGCAAGAATACAATTATTTTCATAAATAATAATATTCTTCATAATAGGATTTCAATTTAAAAAAAAATGTAATAAGAATTCGTTGCAAGACTTCAAATATTTTTCTAAATAATAAAATTCTTCACAGGATTTCAATTATTTTTAATACAATTTTAAGTAAATACTCCGAAAAAAGTAATTATTTTCAAACATTTTATTAAAATTCTTCGAAAGAAATAAATTAACAATTATCAATTATTTACAATAATTTGTAAAAAAAAGTTCCTGCAGAATTTTCAAATTTATTTTGTTTGCAATTCAATTTTACAAAATTTTGATAATTCGGAAATTCTTCATTTAAATAATTAGAAAACAAAAACTTGAAATAATAATTTTAAAAAAAATTCAATTAAACTTTTTCAAAATTGAGTTATTTCTAAAAATTCATGGTATGTTTTTAATATTCAATTATTATCAAAAATTTGAACTGAAATTCTTTTTTAAAAAAATTTTTATTCGAAAATTCTAAGAGAATTCAATTATTTAAATACAAAAATAAATAATTTATTGAATAATCGAATGTTTGCTAAAATTGATTTCTCATAAAGAATTTTATCAACAAATTTTTGAATAATTGGTTTCTTTTAACGAATTTTAATAAAAATTTTTAGAATAGTTACATTTTTCAAGGAATTCGATTAAACTTGTATAAAAAATAATTAAAATCATGCGATGAGTTTTATTATTTATGAAAATGATTAAAACTTTCTGAAGAATTTTATTAAAATTTTTCTAAAATAATTGAATTTCGGAGAAGAATTTTATTATTTATAAAGATACTTGAAATTTTGAAAAGAATTTTTGTTTAATTTTTGAACATACATAATTGAATTTCTGCGAAGAATTTTATTCAAGTTTATAAAAATAACTGAATTTCTGTGAAGAATTTTATTATTTTTATAAATAATTGAATTCTTGCAACGAATTTTATTCAAGTTTCTAAAAATAATTAAATTTCGGTGAAGAATTTTATTATTTATTAAGATAATTGAAATTTTGACAAGAATTTTTTTTTTTTAATTTTTTAACATATTTGAATTTTTGCGAAAAATTTTATTACTTTTAAAAGTAATTGAATTCTTCCAACGAAATTTATTCAAGTTTATAAAAATAACTAAATTTCTGTGAAGAATTTTATTATTTTTATAAATAATTGAATTCTTGCAACGAATTTCATTCAAGTTTATGAAAATAATTGAATTTCGGTGAAGAATTTTATTATTTATAAAAATAATTGTATTTCGGTGAAGAATTTTATTATTTATAAAAATAATTGAATTCTTGCGACGAATTTTATTTAAGTTTATAAAAATAATTGAATTTTGGTGAAGAATTTTATTATTTATAAAGATACTTAAAATTTTGACAAGAATTTTTTTTTTTTAATTTTTTAACATAATTGAATTTTTGCGAAGAATTTTACTACTTTTAAAAATAAGTGAATTCTTGCGACGAATTTTATTCAAGTTTATAAAAATAACTGAATTTCTGCGAAGAATTTTATTATTTTTTTAAATAATTGGATTCTTGAGACGAATTTTATTCAAGTTTATAAAAATAATTGAATTTCGGTGAAGAATTTTATTATTTATAAAAATAATTGAATTCTTGAAAAGAACTGTGTTAAATTGTTTTTTAAATAATTGAATTCTTGCGACGAATTTTATTCAAGTTTATAAAAATAATTGAATTTCGGTGAAGAATTTTATTATTTATAAAGATACTTCAAATTTTGACAAAAATTTTTTTTTTAATTTTTGAACATAATGTAATTTTTGCGAAGAATTTTACTACTTTTGAAAGTAAGTGAATTTCTGCTATCATTTGTAATTGCTTCCAAATTCAATTTGTTTTTTAAGAAGATGTTTTAATTTGTTTTAGTGTTTTTAACTTATATTCTTCTATAAATCCATTATCTTTAATAATAAGTTTTTTAATATTTCTAGTTAAAATCTTTTAAAATTGAAATTTTACAAAATTTTAAATCAAAATCTTTTAAAGTTCATCTACTTATGAAAATTGTAAACGCAATTCTTTTAAAATAGAATTAATTTTGTCAATATTTAAGTGAAATTAGATTTTAAGAATAAACACAATAACTTGAGAAAATAACAATTTTCCATGATTTTGATCAAAATTCCGACTTTTTCAGGTTTTTTCAAGGTTTATAAAATTCCCTGAAATTTCCAGGTTTTTCATGTTTCTAGGTTGCGTGGCAATCTTGAGATTCCTAGTAAAATTATAAAACAATAACTCTAAGGAATTATAAAAATAATTTGACCATTTTGTTGAAATTTTTCTTCTAATTTTTCCAGACTTTGCTCAATGACACGGATTCCGTTCTCTACATGGACACAGACACGTTATTTCTCTCGCCACCGGAATTAGTTTGGGACGAATTTCAAAATATGAATTCAAGTCAATTGGCCGCATTGAGTCCAGAACATGAGGATCCAAATGTCGGCTGGTACAATCGATTTGCGAAGCATCCATTTTATGGGAAACTCGGCGTCAATTCGGGCGTAATGCTAATGAATTTGACGCGGATGAGAAATTTTCGTTGGACTGAATATGTTGTGCCAATATTTAAACAATATCAATTGAAAATCACTTGGGGCGATCAGGATATAATTAACATTATATTTCACTATCATCCGGAAAAATTGTACGTCTATTCTTGTCGTTATAATTACAGACCAGATCATTGTATGTACATGTCGGTTTGTAATGAGGTGGAAAAAAAGGGAGCATTGGTGTTACATGGCTCGAGAGGTATGTTCCATTCACAAAGACAACCATCATTTAAAGCTGCTTTTAAAGCAATTCAAGAATATCAACTCAACACCGATCCGTACGAAAATTTTCTCCTACCCATGAAAAATTATCTATCACTCGAAGACACTTCGAATTGCGGTAAAGTTTTAGGCGCATTTCTCGTTCAACCCGAAATGCATTTACATTCTTCGATGGGAATTGATTTTCAAATGACAGAAAACGAATGATAGAAAATGATTATAGAAAATGATAGAACGAATCATAGAAAACAAATAATAGAAATTTTCTAATACGATTTTCTACTTATAGATTTGTCTATAAAAGATGAGGGTAAGGGTAAAGTTTTTATTTTTTGATTCAAGAATGAGAAATATTTCTCAACATTTAGAATTTATTTTCTTTTGAGAACCAGGAGAACTTATAATTACCAAACGATATTATTAAAGTCAGTGAAAAATGCTGATTTTTGAGAATTAAAAATTTGATTATTCGTTTATTAAAATCGTATAGGTGCTAGAGCTTTCTTTTGTACTTATAGTATTATGTTTGACATGTTTGTATATAAATTGATATATTTTATTTTTTAATGTAGCAAAGTGAATTCATTTTGTATTGTGACTGTGATTTTCATCATCTTTTATAGTAACACTATTATATAAAAAAAATTAGAAATAATACACTCGGAATAGTGTAAAATATTGGTGCCAAGAAGACTTCTAAAGTCTCGAAAACAAAAAAATTCTTTATCACAAATCATTATATATTGTGAAGAAAAAAAAATTGTTAATTATACTACTTTGCCGAATTTGTAATTTGTATTGCAAATATTGTTTTTGTATTAAAATATGTTTACTCAACATCTTTTTGTCAATATTTCTTTTTTTGAAACTTTAATAGTTTTCTCAATCGTAATTAAAAAAAATTTTTTTTAATTTTGCAGAACAACTATTTTTTGGAATAAAAAAAATTTATTCTTGTTTAGATTTAATTTACTGGAGAGAATAATCAGAGTTGCCACAAATATTTAATTTTATTTTTCTCTGACTGAATCTTTTTGAAATTCAACAACTTATAAGAATATTATCACAAAACATGAAAAAGGCAATGACTCCGAGTCTTCGACTCGGAGTGATCGCCTTCTTCATGTTTTGTAATAATTTAAATTACCATAAAATTTTTCAAAAAAAGTTAATTATTTATAAGAATTCTAATAAAATCCTTCACAAAAATTCAATTTTTTTTGCACAAGTAATAAAATTTCTCAAAAAAATGCAATTATTTAAAAAAAATGTAATAAAATTTGTTGCAAGAATTCAATTATTTTCATAAATAATAAATCGATTATTCGGTAATTCCTTTTTAAATAAATTTTTATTAGAAAATTCTACGTAAATTCAATTATTTAAATTAGAAAATAAATAATTTATTGAATAATCGAATGTTTGTTAAAATTGATTTCTCATAAAGAATTTGATCAACAAATTTTTAAATGATTGAATTCCTTTAACGTATTTTAATAAAATTTTTAGAAATAATTACATTCTTCAAGGAATTCAATTTCGATTTATGAAAATGATTCAAATTTTCTCAAGAATTTTATTAAAATTTTTCTAAAATAATTGAATTTCTGTGAAGAATTTCATTATTTTTATAAATAATTGAATTCTTGCAACAAATTTTATATTCAAGTTTATAAATATAATTGAATTTCGGTAAAGAATTTTATTATTTATAAAAATAAATGAATTCTTTAAAAGAACTTCGTTAAATTTTTTTTAAATAATTGAATTCTTGCGAAGATTTTTATTCAAGTTTATAAAAATAATTGAATTTCGGTGAAGAATTTTATTATTTTTATAAATAATTGGATTCTTGAGAACAACTGTGTTAAATTTTTTTCAAATAATTGAATTCTTTGCGGCGAATTTTATTCAAGTTTATAAAAATAATTGAATTTCGGTAAAGAATTTTATTATTTATAAAAATAAATGAATTCTTGAAAAGAACTGTGTTAAATTTATTAAATAATTGAATTCTTGCGAAGAATTTTATTCAAGTTTATGAAATTACATGAATTCTTGAAAAGAACTGTTTTAATTTTTTTTTAAATAATTGAATTCTTGCGAAGATTTTTATTCAAGTTTATAAAAATAATTGAATTCTTGAAAAAAACTGTGTTAAATTTTTTTAAATAATTGAATTTTTGAGACGAATTTTATTCAAGTTTATAAAAATAATTGAATTTCGGTGAAGAATTTTATTATTTATAAAAATAATTGAATTCTTGAAAAGAACTGTGTTAAATTTTTTTAAATAATTGAATTCTTGAGACGAATTTTATTCAGGTTTATGAAATTACATGAATTCTTGAAAAGAACTGTTTTAATTTTTTTTTAAATAATTGAATTCTTGCGAAGATTTTTATTCAAGTTTATAAAAATAATTGAATTCTTGAAAAAAAGTGTGTTAAAGTTTTTTAAATAATTGAATTTTTGAGACGAATTTTATTCAAGTTTATAAAAATAATTGAATTTCGGCGAAGAATTTTATTATTTATAAAAATAATTAAATTCTTGAAAAGAACTGTGTTAAATTTTATTAAATAATTGAATTTTTGAGACGAATTTTATTCAACTTTATAAAAATAATTGAATTTCGGTGAAGAATTTTATTATTTATAAAAATAATTGAATTCTTGAAAAGAACTGTGTTAAATTTTTTTAAATAATTGAATTCTTGAGACGAATTTTATTCAAGTTTATAAAAATAATTGAATTCTTGCGAAGATTTTTATTCAAGTTTATAAAAATAATTGAATTCTTGAAAAAAACTGTGTTAAATTTTTTTAAATAATTGAATTTTTGAGACGAATTTTATTCAAGTTTATAAAAATAATTGAATTTCGGTGAAGAATTTTATTATTTATAAAAATAATTGAATTCTTGAAAAGAACTGTGTTAAATTTTTTTAAATAATTGAATTCTTGAGACGAATTTTATTCAGGTTTATGAAATTACATGAATTCTTGAAAAGAACTGTTTTAATTTTTTTTTAAATAATTGAATTCTTGCGAAGATTTTTATTCAAGTTTATAAAAATAATTGAATTCTTGAAAAAAAGTGTGTTAAAGTTTTTTAAATAATTGAATTTTTGAGACGAATTTTATTCAAGTTTATAAAAATAATTGAATTTCGGCGAAGAATTTTATTATTTATAAAAATAATTAAATTCTTGAAAAGAACTGTGTTAAATTTTATTAAATAATTGAATTTTTGAGACGAATTTTATTCAAGTTTATAAAAATAATTGAATTTCGGTGAAGAATTTTATTATTTATAAAAATAATTGAATTCTTGAAAAGAACTGTGTTAAATTTTTTTAAATAATTGAATTCTTGAGACGAATTTTATTCAAGTTTATAAAAATAATTGAATTCTTGCGAAGATTTTTATTCAAGTTTATAAAAATAATTGAATTCTTGAAAAAAACTGTGTTAAATTTTTTTAAATAATTGAATTTTTGAGACGAATTTTATTCAAGTTTATAAAAATAATTGAATTTCGGTGAAGAATTTTATTATTTATAAAAATAATTGAATTCTTGAAAAGAACTGTGTTAAATTTTTTTAAATAATTGAATTCTTGAGACGAATTTTATTCAGGTTTATGAAATTACATGAATTCTTGAAAAGAACTGTTTTAATTTTTTTTTAAATAATTGAATTCTTGCGAAGATTTTTATTCAAGTTTATAAAAATAATTGAATTCTTGAAAAAAAGTGTGTTAAAGTTTTTTAAATAATTGAATTTTTGAGACGAATTTTATTCAAGTTTATAAAAATAATTGAATTTCGGCGAAGAATTTTATTATTTATAAAAATAATTAAATTCTTGAAAAGAACTGTGTTAAATTTTATTAAATAATTGAATTTTTGAGACGAATTTTATTCAAGTTTATAAAAATAATTGAATTTCGGTGAAGAATTTTATTATTTATAAAAATAATTGAATTCTTGAAAAGAACTGTGTTAAATTTTTTTAAATAATTGAATTCTTGAGACGAATTTTATTCAAGTTTATAAAAATAATTGAATTTCGGTGAAGAATTTTATTATTTATAAAAATAATTGAATTCTTGAAAAGAACTGTGTTAAATTTTTTTAAATAATTGAATTCTTGAGACGAATTTTATTCAAGTTTATAAAAATAATTGAATTTCGGTGAAGAATTTTATTATTTATAAAAATAATTGAATTCTTGAAAAGAACTGTGTTAAATTTTTTTAAATAATTGAATTCTTGAGACGAATTTTATTCAAGTTTATTAAAATAATTGAATTTCGGTGAAGAATTTTATTATTTATGAAAATAATTAAATTCTTGAAAAGAACTTTGTTAAATTTTTTTAAATAATTGAATTTTTGCGACGAATTTAATAAAAATCTTTTAAAATAATTGAATTCCTTTAGAAATTTTATTACTTATGAAAATAATTAAATTATTTCGAAGAAATTTATTAAAAATTTTGTAAATTATTGAATTCCTGTGAAATTTTAACAAGAATTTTATTAAAATTTTTAAAAATATCTGAATTTAGAAGATGGAATTTTATTATTTATAAAGATAATTGAAATTTTGTCGAGAATTTTTTAAAAATATTTGAACATAATTGAATTTCTGCGAAGAATTTTTATAACTTTTGAAAATAATTGAATTTTTGGAATCATTTGTAATTTTTCCAAAATTTAATTTTTTTTATAGTATTTTTAACTGAAATTCTTCTATAAATCTAGTATTTATTAAAATTGTAAAAATTATTCATTAAATAATTTATAAGTCATAATTTTATGATAGTTTTTGAAAAATTAAGTTACTTAAAAAGAAATGATTGTCAGAAATGGAAATAATTGAAGGTTTTGTATTAGAATTCGTAGTAATTTCAAAGTTTAGGAAGCAAACAAAAAAAAACATCAAAATTCAGATTTCTCATGAATTTTCAAAATTCAATTTTTTCCAGTACTTTTACTAAAAATCCCTGACTTTTCCCTGATTTCTCTGACTTCCCTGACTTGTAGCAACCGTGATAATTGTTAATTAATTTTTTTCCGCGCATAATTTCAGAGACATTTGTTTCAAAGTCATATTCTCCAACCGTTTTTTTTTTTTTTTTGTATATATACGGGAAGTGCCTCTCGCAGCTGTCAAAGGGGGATTTAAAACCTCGAGAAGGAGAAAGCAAGATAGCTGTGTTGAAATTCCTTTCATGGAAGAAAGATAGATGTAAAAGGAATGACGTCATATTATTTCCCCGCTCGCCGAGAGTTCCCCACACCCTAAAACTCTCAATCGAGGTAGTATAGCCTTCCAAGTAAAGGAATCTTGGGTGAGGCTCGGGGCTCGGGGCCCGTTGATCTTTTCAAGAAGGCCTTTCAGTTACCGATACACCGTTTGTCGATGCGTTTGGTTGTCGTCAACTTATTATTGCTTACGTGTCCGTCTTTCCAATATGTCGTGGACAGTGAATCCAAATATAATTTAATAAAAAAATGCTTCAATTTAAAAAATACAAATTAGATTAAAAAAAAAGAAAACATTTTTGAAAAATTATTTCAGTGACAGGATTTTGTCCCGAATTTTTCCGCTACAGAATGATTGGTAATTTTGAATATCGTTCTGCGAGTTGTTCTTATCATTATTCTGACCTCGATCGACCTTCTTCAAGAGATGAACTCTTGCAGAGAAAAATTTCCCCAAAAATCTCTTTCAATGGTGATTGATAAATAATAAAAGTTCAGTAAAATATTCGAACTTTGAGAATTAATTTTTGTTTTGGAGAACGGAGAGATAACGGTTTTTTAAGTGAACCGAAAGAAGAGCAGATGTACGCTACTGGGTTATACTTAATGGGCGCAACAAGTGGTCGAAGATTCAAACGATTGGTTGCACATGGAGAGCGAAGACACTGATAATTTTTTTCTCACGCGATCAACCAACAAAATGTGTTTGGCTTTCACCGATGACATCCGAGTTTCCTTGTCCTCTTAACCTATGCAAGATTTCTTTCTTTTTTTTTTTTTTTGAAACAACTGTATATAGAAAACTGATCTGAAAAATGTCTTATCAACTGATCAGATGATTCATTATCAGATAAGGGAGATAAATATACTGCGGAAGGAAAAAGTCGAATACAATTAAAGATAAAGAGAGAAGAATTGTTGACAAAAAAAGAATATGTGTTTCCAGTGGCACTAGCAATTGAATAATTGATCAAGTGACAATGATGAAATTCAAGTCGCTGTTTCGGAGAGGACATCATAGCCATCAGTCTCAGCAGCAAAAACAGCCCCATCGTCACCAACGTAACAACCATAATCAACAATTGCAACAGCAACAAGTGGCGCCGCCGACCCAAGCCTCGTCGAGCGGTTCGCCGCACGAGGATATGTCGAAAAGATCACCGGAGGGTGCAGCCACAAGTGTAACGTGGCTGTCATCGTCGTCGGTGGGTCGTGATTTAGTGCCAACATCTTTAAGTGTCACCGGAAAGAATAACACATCGCGTAATCAGCATCAGAATCAAATGAAGGGAGCGCCCTTGGCAAAGGGCTCCTATGAAAGGATGCAGGAGCTTGAACGTGAAAACAACGGTCTCCGTAAGGAACGTTCTTCGCATTTTGATGGCAATTTACGAAATCCCTCCACTTGTGATCCAAAGAGACTCGATGAGCATCACGCGGAACTTGCGCTACTCAAGGTAAAATAATTATGAAAGTTTGCCGTTATTCCTTGGAAGTAGTTCTTTCCGCTCCATGATGCACGCGATTTAATGACCGCAATATATATGTATATGTACACACATACATTCGAATCGAGTGTTTACATCTTGACTATCAAAATAAAATTAAAATTCCTTCCCGAGTTCCTAAAAATCAATTTTTTGGTTCAATTAAATCAGGGCTCGAACCAGTGAAAGTATTTAAAAATATACGGACTTTACGGACCATTTACGGACCAACTGACAAAAATAAAATCAGGCCGAATCAGATATCAATTCAATTATTATTTTTAAGAATTTTTATCTAAAATTCATCTTTATATCGATTATTTTTAATAATTTTCGAAAAAGTTCTTTGACAATTTTCAAATTCATTTCTTTACAATATTCAATTTCACGAAATTTCAATTATTCGTTAAATTCTTTAATTAAATAAATATTAGAAAATAGAAACTAAAAATAATATTAAAAAAACTCAGTTAAACTTTTTCAAAAAAATTAATTACAAAATTCAATTATTTTGTAAAATTCACGCTATATTGCTTTTAATATTCAATTATTATCCAAAATTTTAACTGAAATTCATTTTTATCAAAAGAAAATCAATTTTTATTAGAAAATTCTACTAGAATTCAATTACATATTTAAATACAAATTTAAATGTAAAAATGCAAATAAATAATTTATTGAATAATTTAACGTTTCTTAAAATTCGATTCCCATAAAAAATCGTTATCAACAAATTTTCAGAATAATTGAATTCTATCAACGAATTTTAATAAAATTTTTAAGAATAATCACATTTTTCGACAAAATTCGATTAAAATTATTGTATTAAAAATAATTGAAATTCTCCATTGAATTTTATTATTTATGAAAATAACTGAATTCTTGCGAAGAATTTTATTAAAATTTTTTTTTTTTTGTTTTTTCGCAAAATAATAAAAATCTTTTAGCAGAAATTTAAACATTTTAAAAAGTTTTGATAAAACTTTTTTTGGTAGAAATTCAATTATTTTTAAGTCAATTTTAAAAAAATGTCTCAATAAAATTCAATTATTTTAAAAATTTGAATGAAATTCTTCGAAAGAATTCGATTATTATAATCTAATATTTTAACTGAAATTTATTTTTAAATCAATGTTTACGAGAAAATTCTATCAGAATTCAATTATTTAAATACAAAAATAAATAATTTATTGAATAATTGAATGTTTCTTGGAATTCAATTCCTATTGAAAATTTTATCAACAAATTTTTAAATAATTTAATTCTTTGGATGAATTTTAATAAAATTTTTAAGAATTTTTTTGAGGAATTCGATTAAAATTCTATTGAAAATAATTGAATTCCTAAAAAGAATTTTATTATTTAGGAAAATAATTGAATCTCGGTAAAAATTTTATTAAATATGAAAATAGTTGAATGATTGCGAAGAAATTTATAAAAAAAATTTGTTATTAACGAAAATTCTTGTGAAATTTTTATAATTTTTTGAAAATAATTAAAAGTTTTTGTAGAATATTATTAAATTTTTTTTTTAATAATTAAATTCTTTTGGTAATTTTTATGAAAATAGTTTATTACTTTTGAAAATAATTGAAATTTTGCAATTATTAAAAATAATTAAATTCTAATAAATAAATTGTAGCAAAGGTTATTAAAATAATTAAATTTCTTTGATAAATTTTAATAAAAATTTTTAAGAATAATTACATTTTTCGAGGAATTCGATTAAAATTATTAAAAATAATTGAAATTCTGCAATTATTAGCTTTATTATTTATCAAAATAATTAAATTCCTAATAAGAATTTTATTATTTGCCAAAAAAAATTAAATACCTGTAAAAATTTTATTATTTATGAAAATAATTGAATATTGCGAAGAAATTTAAAAAATTTGTAACTAATGAAATTCCTGTAAAATTTTTTTATTTTTTGAAAATAATTAAAGGTTTGTGTAGAATTTTATTAGATATTTGTTTTAAATAATTGAATTCTTTTGGAAAAATTTATAAAAATAGTAGATATCGAAAATCATTGAATTGAGGAAAAATTTTGAAAATAATTGAAATTTCTCCAAGAATTTTATTAAAATTTTTGAAAATAATTGATATAATTCGGAGAAGAATTTAATTATTTCTAAAGATAATTGAAATTTTGACGAGAATTTTTAAAAATTTTTGAACAAAATAGAAGAAACCATATTTTTAATATTCTCTTTAAATATTGTATTAATTTTTTTCCTATAAAAATAAGAAACAACTATTTTTCATCGCATATTGATATCATTACGCAAATAAATCCTTGGATTCCTCGCGGCATATTATTATTACGTAAATATTGAAATTGGTATTCAATTCAATTCTAATAATTTAACACCTGAGGCGTAATATGATTTTTTCCATTTTTTTTTTTTTTTTGCAAAGAAACTTATTTCAAAATAGACTGAAAGATGACGAATTACTGTAAGAATAAACAATGGAAATTTGTTTGCTGTTACATAAGCAGAAAAAAGCAAAACAATGATAATTATTGAATAATTTGTAAATTTGTCATCTGTAATTTGTAAATAATATTCTTTATTTTATTAAATTTCAACTCACTTGATGATGATGAATTTTTAACCTCCTGTTTGACAACAAAGTAAAAAGGCGGCAAACGTTTTATTTTGATTTTGTCCAATTTCGTCATTAATTGATAAAACATGTTTAAAAAACTTTGTAAAATTATCAACATTTGTATCTAAATTACAATAATATAAATTGCAGTAATAATAAATGTTGAGCTAAATGTTAAATTTCACACATCAGCAATCATAACGACAACCACGACAACCGTTTCGTTTCCAAATATATATACTGAATTTTAGAGGTTATGTTGGGTACATAATTCGTTTTTTTCGTCGACTGCAGTTGGAAAAATTGCTCTCTGAGAAACTTTTTTTTAGTTTTATAAACTTTATAAAGACCTGTGTGTTAAATTTAGATTAAATGTTGACTGAACGTGTAAATGTAGAGTTAAATAATTAGAACAATTAAAAGGAAAGATGTTAAAAAATAATTTGGATCCATTAACGGTAATGTATATTTACACACATATCGTGTAGGTTAGGTTCTTGCTAAATTTAATTTTTTTTAAAAAGTATCTTTTCTTTACTGTTTGTGAATTTTTTAACAGTGTAAATTGAATCGAAAAGTAATATTATAGTTGGGAATTAGAAAATTTTCATTGCCTTGTTTATAATAGGTCTTAGTATGGATTTTCCAAAGCTTATTAAGTTTACGTTCACGTTATATAATTATATCGTGTTGTACCCTTGAATTTCACATTTTTTCTCCGCAGTCTGCAAAAATTTGCAAGCTGATCATTCAGAGCGCTTCGAATAGCAGAAAATATTGCAAAATTCTTTGGAATTTGATGGTATTTAAGAACGATCTTTCATTAAATATATTTTTGTTTCATAGATAAAAAAAAATGTGATGTTACTTTTTCTTTTTTATTATAGTTATTTGAGTAATAATAATAAATAGTAATTAATAATATAGTGGTAATTAGAATTAGAAATTCGCATTTTAGAGTTGAAAACATTGAGAAGTATTAATTGTATTCTTAATGTTGTGTATATAGGATCAACATAATTCGGAACTAGAGCGCTTAGCCAGAGAAAACGAAGTTCTTCGAGCTCGACTCAGAGACGTTTCTCACTCTCCGTTATCCGATTCGGAGAAACAGCAGTTGTTGGACGCAACTAGACCTCACAATTCAGCCCCTGCCTCCATTGTTATTCATCAAGACGAGAATTGTGCACCTACAAATGTACCTCGAGAAAAGAAGGAAAACACTGGACCCGAGTGGGATAAACGGTCGTCGGTGTCAGAAGTGTCCGTTACCTGTCTACAGGACAGGATTCTACAAATGGAGGAGACCCATTACTCCACTAATGAGGAATTGCAAGCAACTATCCAAGAACTTAGTGATTTACAAGTAAATGTCCAAAATTTTGTTCAAATTGACAGTGTTTTGATTGTTTCGTTAAATTCGCAGTGTTTTACTCTGATTTAAATATTTTTTCTAGGCACAATTGTCTGAACTTCAAGCAGACAATGATAGGTTAAATGAAGAAAAAGGTGTACTACTCGAATCTCTCTGTAGACAAACAGAGAAACTGGAAGACTCTCGTTCCAAAGTTGACACATTACAAGGACTTCTTCTCCGTGAAGAGCAACCGCAAAAGTCCTGGAAGGGATACAACACAGAAAGAGAGCAAAAACTTGTTGATCTTCTCAAGGTATAATTCATTCCAAACTTTGGATTTAATTTCAAAATTCCAATTTCTAAATTTAAATCTTAAATTTAAAACTCGTATAATTTCGAAAATTAGCGTCATACTTAACCAGGGGTACCACCTGTAAACCAGGAAATGTCAGGGAATTTTATAAACTTTGAAAAAACCTGAAAAAGTCTGAATTTTGATCGGAATCCTAGAAAATTATTGTTTTCTGAAGATATTGTGCTTCTAGCTTGAAATCTAATTTTCCTTAAATATTTTTTAATTAAATCAATTTTATAAGAATTGCGTTTACAATTTTCTTAAATAGATAAACTTCAAAAGGTTCTTACGGACATTTTAATGTAGAATATTAAATAATTTCAAAAATTTTTTAGTCAGGGAAAATCAAAAATTAGTCAGGGAAAAGTCAGGGAATTTTGAAAATAAAATTTTGCGGCCACCCTGTTTCAATTTGAAATTTTGTAAAATTTCAATAATAAATGAATTAATTAAATAATAAAAATTTCACAGGAATACTATTATTTACAAATTCTTTATGGTATCCGGACAAGAAGTCCAAAACAAAAAGTCCAAACCAAAAAAATTCAAAGTAAATGAAATCCAAAAAAGTAAAAAATAAATAGTTTCATTCAAAAAGTCAGAAAATTGTTTTCCTGTCAATAAATAGTTTCACTTTGGACTAATTTTTTGGATTTTTTGTCCTGGTCAAATATTCCAAAGAAATTAAAAATCCAATGAAAAAAATTGAGATATAAAAATTTAAATGGTTGTCTTGAATGAAATTGTCCTTTTTTTGAGTTGCTCATTTCGATGACTGAATGAAAAGTAGATAATAACTTAACATTTTAAATTTCTGAAAATAATTAAATTAATCGAGCAATTAAATTGAAATTATATTAAAAAAATAATAGAATTTTTGTAAAGAATTTTATCAAAATTGTTGAAAATAATTGTATACTTATTTCTTGGAATAATTATTTTAAAAATTGTAGGTACAGAATAATTGAAATTTTTTTATTTACGAAAATAATTTAATTTTTGTGAAGATTTTCTTTATTTATGAAAATAATTGAATATTTGTGAAGAATTTTATTATTTATGTTTATAATTGAATTTTTATGAAGAATTTTAATATTTATGTAAATAATTAAAAACCTGCGATTTTAACATTAACATTTTAAATTCTGATTTTATAGCGTGAAAAGTAAAAACGTGGCTTTTTCACATGTTTCATTATTTATTTTGAATTTTTTTACTTTGGATATTTTTATTTTGGATTTTTTGTACTTTTGACTATTTTTCTTGCATTTTTCGGATTGGATTTTTGGTCCTGTCTTTATTAATTTCTTCGCAATAATTCAATTATTTTCATAAAAAATCAAATTTTTTACAGGGATTCAATTTTTTTAGTAAATGATAAAATTCTTTTTATGAATTCAATTATTTTCACAAATAATCAAACTCATCGCAGAATTTAAATTATTTTTAATACAATTTTATTGGAATTTCTCGAAAAATGTAAAATTTTTATTAAAATTCATCAAAGAAATTCAATTATTTTAAAAAGTCTTCCTATAATTTATTTATTAGAATTTAAGTATTATTGTGAAAACATTTTTAATTAAATTTCTCGAAAGAATTAAAATATTTTCAAAAATTTTAAAGAAATTCTTTTTAACAATTCAATTTTTTTCAAAATAATTTTAATAAAAATCTTCGTAGAAATTGAATTTATTTCAATATGACATATTGAAAAATTAGTCTCAAGAATTCAATTATTTTTAAAAGTAATAAAATTCTTTGCAGAAATTCAATTATGGTCAAAAGTTTAGAAAAATTCTCTTCAAAATTTCAATTATCTTTATAAATAATAAAAATTCTCTTCAAAATTTCAATTATCTTTATAAATAATAAAAATTTTCTCCAAAATTCAATTATTTTCAAAAATTTTTAATAAAATTCTTTGCAAAATTTCAATTATTTTCAAAAACTTTTCTCAGTTGAATCAAGTTTTTTTTACAGAGATTCAATTATTTTTAATACAATTTTAATCTAATTTCTCGAAAAATGAAATTATTCTTAAAAATTTTATTGAAATTCGTCAAAAGAATTTTAATTACCAATTTAAAAATATTTCTTTTTGTACACTAGCTCCTCCGACGGCCGCAAGCGGCCGTCTACGGTGCTAGTTTTTATATGTCCATTGTCCAAGTCCATTATTTCATTAATAATAATATTCAAATTTTTTCAGTTAATAATTTGCTTATTTATATTTGAAATGTTGACGTTTTTTTTGACAATGCAAAATAAGATTTATTATTAGTATTTTCTCTTAAAAAAAATAAAATTTATATATTCGCGCTCTTTTTAAATAAAATACGACTGCAGCGCCACCTTCACATGTACAAACAATTTTAAAAACACCCTTCTATTAAGATTTTACATTCTCATTGCCCATTCTTTACTTCGATACTTTTCGATACATTCGACCTTTCCACTCCATGTCTTTTTTAAGAAAGGACATGTCTTTTTTAAGAAAGGATATGGCCACATTTCAGTAAAGTCAGGGAAATGTCAGGAAAAAATTTTTTGGCAGGAAAATTAAGAAAATTGAGACTTTTTTATATTTTTATATAAAAAAAAATTTTGTCAGGGAAAGTAATTTTTATGTCAGTAAATTGTCAGGAAAATGTCAGGGAAATTGATAAACTGAAACTAGTGACCACCCTGATAATTGATTTAAATATGAATTTCAGTTAATATTTTAGATAATTGAATGTTAAACTCTAAATTTGAATTTGTAAAAATGTTTTCTTATTTGAATTAGTGACTGACTTTTTGCTTTTGAATTAGCAGATTTTACTAATAATTAGTCGTTTCTACTAATTTAATAGTAAAATTTACTAATTCAAAAGCAAAATGTCAGTCACTAATTCCAATTAGTAAACATTTCTACTAATTCAAATTTAGAGAAAAAGTATTATAGCTTGAATTTTTAGAAATACCTAGTTGAATTTAAAAAAGGCTTCAAATTATAATCTTTGAATGTTTGAATTTTTATTTTTTTTTTATTTTTTTTATTTCAAATTTAGAAAAAAAAGTATTACAGCTTGCATTTTTAGAAATACCTAGTTGAATTTTAAAAAGGCTTCAAATTATAATCTTTGAATGTTTGAATTTTTCATACTTTTTACTAAAAATTGTGTAGATTTTATTTGTTTGAAAAAGTTTAATTGAATTTGTTTTAAGTTATTTTAAGTTTTTATTTTCTAATATATTTATTTGATTGAAGAATTTCCGAAAAGTCGATGAAATTTCGTAAAAATTGAATTGTAAACAAAAGGATTTGAAAATTTTCAAAGAAATTTTTCAATAATTATTAAAAATAATTAATTTAAAGAAGAATTTTAGTTAAAAATGTTCTGGAAAATAATAATTGAATTGAAGTGATGAAAGTAATTTTGAATAATTTACAGTAACAAAATTCTTATAATATAAAATAATGATTTTATCATTCGGTCATGTTTTATAATAATTTTTTACAAGTTGTTTAATTTCAAAAAAGTTTTAATTAAAAAGTTTTTGAAAATGTTAATTCTTATGGAAAAATTATAATGACTAAATATTTATTTAAAAAAGATAAATATAACAATGTAGAATACAGTATTATATGAAATTTCCATGTATTCGTAAAAATTTATCAGGATTATTTAATTTTGTAAAATATAATGTTTTTTTTGTAAAATATAAATGTATTTTAAAAACCTGAAAAAATTCCGTTTTTTAACCTGTAAAAGTCAGGGAATTTGAAATAACCAAAAACGTGGCAACCCTGTTAACAGAAATTAATAAATAAATACTTAATTTATACAGTCTGTACTCCTACAGTCTAATTGAAATTTCTTTCAGAGTGCTCAAGAAGAACGAGAAAGTCTTCTGGAAAAGCAAGAGGAATTAAATTCGGAATTGAAAAATTTACGAGCGACCGTCGAGACAATAACTTTGGAAGCTGAGAGTTTGACGAAACGTGTTCAATTTCTCGAATCTGCTATCGAGGCTGTAAACGTGGAAAAAAAGGTTTTGGATCTTGAACTAACAGAATCTAAACAAGAGGGCGTGAACAAAGGAATAGAGATTAATAGGTTAGCGACACTTTTGGAGAATGCGAGAGCAAAAATCGAGGAACTCGAACAATCAAGACAATTGGAAAACAAAAGCGAAGCTGACGAATTATTGGACGCTGCTCGAAAAGAAAAAGACACTCTAGAAACACAGGCGGCAGCTCTTCAGGAACAATTAGCCCGATCATATTGCGAACACGATCGACTGAAAGATCAATTTTCACAGCTTCAAGAGGAGTTCAAGGTCTTTTTTCTCTCTTCTTCCCCTTTTTTTCTTTCTTTCCTCTCTTTTTTTCCTTCTTTCGTTTTGTTTAATAAATAAATAATTGTCAAATTTTTCCTTCTTCAGGTGGCGCGTAATAATTCGAAATCAGTTGTCGAGGACTTGGAATACCGATTGAATCAAGTAAAAGACGAGCGATTATCTGTTAACGCTGAATTGCAATTGGTGAGAGATTCTCTCGCCGAGCTTCAAGCACAATGTCAACGACATTTAGAAGATAAACGTGAATTGAAAGCGGCTTTAAGTGAATTACAGCGACGTGAACGTGACGCACAGAATCGTCAATTTGAATTGGAACGTGCATTAGCAGAAGAGAGAAAATTACGACAGGAGGAAAACACCGAGTGGGAACAATTTCAAACTGACCTCCTGATGACAGTTCGAGTCGCGAACGATTTTAAAACCGAAGCCCAAACCGAATTGGAACGCGTTGTCATGGAGAATAAAGCCCAAAGGGATAAATTGCGAGCCTTGGAGGCGCAATTGGATAAACTCAACGATTCTGGTGAGAGTTCCCTTTCTCATCAAAATTAGAATTTCTCTTAATTAAAATTAATTTCTCTTACTAAACATCTATTTCTATTAATGAAAATTAATTTCTCTTATTGGAAATTAATTTCTCTTATTGAATATTAATTTCTCTTGGTTAAAATTATTTTCTCTTGGTTAAAATCATTTTCTCTTACTTAAAATTAATTTTAACGAGTTATTTATTTGAATTATAATTAATAGCAAATCAGAAGAATACCGTCGCTCCGAATTCGAGGTTTCAAACAACACCGACCGAAACGCAACAGTGCGTTTTAACGAATGTACAACAGGAGATTGCAAGAAGTCGAAAGGCGAATATATCACGACAAGACTCGAGACTCTCGGTGAAATGTCTAATAGAAAGTATAGAAAACGCAACCAAACAGGCGAAAGCTGGTAAAAATTCATTTTCATTTCACTTGCTATTTATTTCGAGCATCAACAAAGCAATTGTCGAATTTACAATGTAATTTACAGGACCAGGAAGTAGGAGTAGCTCTACCTCATCTCTTAATTCAATAGGAACCAATGATGTGATATCTTTGAAGGCTCCTCTTCGTGATCAACAACAAATGTCCAATCTTATTTGTCCAACGAATTCTACTAATAATAATAACAAGAATCAATCTCCAAATGGAAAAAAGTCATACACAGGTAAAGATCATCTTTAATTTCACTTTTAGATTAAAACAGGGTCCGAATTAGGACCGTAAATCCCGTAAAAGACTGTAAATTTGTTTCAAGTCCGTAAAAGTCAGTTTTTTTTAAAAAAAGGTCCGTAATTTGATAGAAAAAGGACGAATGTTCGTAAATTGTACGATATAATTTGGAGAATTTCAGAGAAATTACAAATTATTTCAGAAATTCAATTATTTTCATAAATAATAAAATTCTTCGCATAAATTCAATTATGTTCAAAATTTTTTTAAATTTCTCGTCAAAATTTCAATCATTTTCAAAAATTTTAATAAAATTCTCTGTCAAAATTTCAATTATTTTTATATATTTTTCTCAATTCAATGATTTTTAATATCTACTATTTAAATACAATATTTTACAAAAGAATTCAATTATTTAAAAAAAATATTAATGAAATTCTACGCAAACATTTAATTATTTTCATAAAATAATCAAAATTTCACAGGAATTCAATTATTTACAAACTTTTTGAAAATTTCTAAATAGTTCAATTATTTTCATAAATAATAAAACTCATTGCTGAATTAAAATTATTTTTAATATAATTTTAATTAAATTCCTCGAAAAGTGTAATTATTCTAAAGACTTTTATTAAAATTTGTCAAAAGAATTCAATTATTCAAAAAATTATTTTTTTTATGTAAATAATTGAATTCTAGTAGAATTTAATTAAGATATAATTAAATATTAAAAGCATTATAGCTTGAGTTTTTAGAAATAATTGAATTTTGAAAAGGTTTCATATTAAAATCTTTGAAAACTGTAATTTTTTATACTTTTAACTAACAATTCTGTAGGAGAATTAATTTCTTTGAAAAAGTTTATTTCAATTTTACTTGAAATTATTTTTTTGGTGTTTTTTATTTTCTAATAGGTATAGGTATATTTAATTGAAAAATTTCCGAATTATTGAAATTTTGGAAAATTGCATTGTAAAGAAATTAATTTGAAAATTCTCAAAGAATTTTTTCAAAAATGATTAAAAATAATGGATTTATAGAAGAATTTTAGTTAAAAACACGCAAAAAAATTTAATTTTTGGAGAAATTACAAATTATTATTGCGAAAATTCAATTATTTTCAAGAGTAATAAAATTTTTCGCAGAAATTTAATTATGAACAAAAATTATTAAATATGTTTTTAGGAATTCAATTATTTTTATAAATAATATTAACACAATTTTAAACAAATTTCTCGAAAATGTAATTATTAGGAAAAATTTTATTAAAATTCGTCAAATGAATTCAATTATTTAAAAATTTGTTGATAAAATTCTTTATGAGAATTCAATTATTCAACAAATTGTTTATTTTTAATTTAATTAATTGAATTCTAGTAGAATTTTCTAATAAAAATTGATTTAAAAACTAATTTCACTGAAAATTTTAGATTATAATTGAATATTAAAAGCATTATAGCTTGAGTTTTTAGAAATAATTGAATTTTGAAAAGGTTTCATGTTAAAATCTTTGAAAACTTTAATTTTTCATACTTTTAACTAACAATTCTGTAAAAGAATGAATTTCATTGAAAAAGTTTATTTCAATTTTACTTGAAATTATTTTTTTGGAGTTTTTATTTTTTAACAAGTATATTATATTTAATTGAAAAATTTCCGAATAATTGAAATTTGGTAAATTTTAATTATAAACAAATGAATTTGAAAATTATCAATAAACTTTTTCAAATATTATTGAAAATAATGTATTTATAAAAGAATTTTAGTTAAAAACACGAAAAAAAAATTTAAATTTGGAGAAATCACAAATTATTGCAGAAATTCAATTATTTTCAAGATTAATAAAATTCTTCGCAGAAATTTAATTATGTTAAAAAATAATAAAATTCTTTTGAGGAATTCAAATATTTTCATAAACAATGAAATTCATCGAAGAATTTCAATAATTTTTAACACAATTTTAAACAAATTTCTCGAAAAGTGTAATTATTCTTAAAAATTTTATTAAAATTCGTCAAAAGAATTCAATTATTTAAAAATTTGTTGATAAAATTCTTTATGAGAGTTCAATTTTAAGAAACATTCAATTATTCAATAAATTATTTATTTTTGTAGTTAAATAATTGAATTCTAGTAGAATTTTCTAATAAAAATTGATTTTCATTTCATAAAAATGAATTTCAGTTAAAATTTTAGATAATAATTAAGTAATATAATCATGAAAAATTTAATTTATAGTTTTAAGTAAAATGTTCTCTTATTTGACTCGGACTGGTTACATTTTATCAGTAATTGGTCCGTAAATCCGTATTTTTAAATACTTCCACTGATTCGAGCCTTGTTAAAAGAAAAATCGTCATTTGAATAAAAATTACAATTTAATTAATCTTTTTTTTTCCTTAAAATAAAAAGAGACTAGAGATTAATTTTTTGTTTTGATTGTCAGATTCAAAGCAATCGGGACCAGTGGTTTTAAGTCCAAGTCAGTTGCTCGACACGGCAGCTATCAATGCCAAAACAATAGACTTTGTACGAAGGAATAGTGTCACGGATTTGTCCGATCGGAAGGATCCGCTTTGTGGCCTCGTGAAAAACGGCGGCTCAAGAAGAAATGCTCTGCTCAAATGGTGTCAGAACAAAACAATAGGATATCGCAATATTGATATAACAAATTTCAGTAGCTCTTGGAATGATGGACTTGCTCTCTGTGCAATTTTGCACACATATCTACCCGATAAAGTTCCCTACGATTCCTTAACTCCCACTGAGAAGAAGAGAAATTTCTCCATTGCCTTCACAGCTGCTGAAAGCGTCGGAATACCAACCACACTGGTAGTTTTTCTATTATTTTAATTTTAATTAAATGTAATTTCAAAAAAAATACTAAATAGTTTTTTCTTCTCTTTTTTCCGGCAGAATATTGGGGACATGTGCCAATTGGAACGTCCCGACTGGCAGCAGGTTATGACCTACGTGACCAGTATTTACAAGTATTTTGAGACGTGACTTTCCAAAAAAGAAGAAACAAAAATGAAAATGAAAAGAAAAACAGGGCATTGCCCTTCGACGCTTCCTAGAACATGAAAATATACGAGGAAGATACGTAAAGTCATCTAGTCAACTCATCGCGCGAACAACTTCCTCGTGTAACGGAGGTTGAATCTTGATCATTTTATATATACACATATACACGTCAGTCGTAGAAAAAGACTGCGTTTCACATAAATGTCTCTCTCGCATCGTTGGACTATGACTGACAGTGGTTTTTCATACGGTATATATATATATATAAGTCGCAGACTAAAATTCTTAGAGTACAAAGTCTGAAAGTTCTTTAAAAAAAAGACGATCGAATCTGCATCCTGAATCTCATCAAAGACTTTCTCAGGACTTGATTCATGAGATTTCTATCCTATATACAAAAACAAATTCAATGTTGTGAATTTTTTAATAGCTTCTCCCGCGTGCTTTTTTTTAACAAAAAAAAAGGATACATTGTTCATATTTACGCCACACGCTGAAGCTTTTTTTAAGATTTAAAAACATCCGGAGGTATTTTTTTCAAAATAAAGACTACATTTTTTATAGAAAAAAAAGAGGCTTGATAATTTTATATACCTTGTGATTTTAAAATAATTTTCTATTGAATATTTTTCAAATATTTTCAAAGAACGAGCGAAAGAATATTTTATGATAACAATATTTAGAAATTGGTATAATAGCTTTTTAATGTAGGAAAAAAAATAAAGATATTAATTGAAATAATTTGTGAGCAGCTGTTTCTTTATTTTTTTGCATAATCAACAAATATGAATTTTAAAAACCTATTCATGAAGACTTTGCCAATTCTATAATCGATTTTATATACAGTGTGTTAAATTCTTAATAGAATCTTAAAAAAAAATGTGTACATTTTTTTTATTTAAAAAAAAAACAAACAATTGATACACTTAAGAGAAACAGAACAATACAGTCTTTTTTTTTTAATAATAATTGAACAGTCTGTAACTATATTTTGATTATAAAAAATCTATTTGATAAAAACTATTATAATTTTTTTTTTCGAAGAAATTATTTGCTAGGCACGAAGTACAAAGAAAATTTGAGCTCTTTATTTTTATCAACGCCATTCAATAATAATAATTTAAGACACAAAAGTGACAAGCAGAAAAATCAATTAACAACTTGAGGCCATATTTCTATTTTAATCACACGTACAATATGATACGAAATATGATTCGTAATTTAAGTACGTTGCTCAAATTTATTGTTTCTTTTCTTTTACGTTGTTTTACACAAATGCACAAGTGCTTCACTTTTTTTTTTAATAATTTCAAAAACAAATACATTTTTCACAAACACTTGAACAAATTTTACTTGAAAAACATTTTTGGAATGTAAATTTCTCTTAGCCAATATCATTTTTTTCTATTTTGTAAAAATTGGAACTAATTGATTGAACTTGAAATTGAACATTAGTAAAAGAAAGGAATTTAAGCAAAAATTAATTTCTGCATTATTTTATTCAAAACAATTTTTAAATAGTTTTGTAAAAATTGTGCATACCTCATTGAGAATAATCGAAAATTTAAAAATTAATAATTATCGTACGAAATTCAAAAAAAGTATTTTTCTTTGCACTCAACATTATAAAGAAATCGCATTCTTTTTCCTTCAAACTTGCTAACAAAATGCTTAGAAGACTTTTCGAAAATCTTGATTTCATAAATCAATAATTTCCTTTAAAAATCTACCTAATTTTTCTATTATAAATAGAATACCAGTTTTTATTAACTTTACACTCAACTTTATTTTTTTTGTTTTAACAAATATTTTATAGTTCAAGTGTATTATTAATTAAAAGTTGATTCAATTCCAATTGATTTATTTTGAAATCAGAAAAATTTGATTTTCATTTATATTTAATAAAGATTATATTAATATTAATAAAGATTATATTAATAAATATTATTAATATTAAAATATTAATTAACATTTCCTTAATATTAACTAATATAAACTAATATAAACTAATATAATTAGTAATAATTATATTAGTTATTAATTAATAACTAATATAATTAGTTTAATTAATATAATATAATTAAATTAATATAATATAATTAATATAATTAGTAATTAATTAATTTAATATTTAATTAAATATTTTGAAAAATCAAAAAAGAAATTAATGTAAAAAAAATTTGATTATCGGTAAATTAATAAAATCACAATAAATAGGAAATATCTGTAAATACTCCGAAATATTCACATTTAGGCAACTCTTTCTCTACAATTTTGATATTCTAACATGTTATTACTTTTCTTTCTAATATTTGGCAAAAAATTCTACACCGAATATTTTTGCGATTGAGAAAATATTTCATATTATAAAACACTCAATTTAAACGATTTTCGTAAATGATAATAAAACATCTAAAATTCATTCTAATTTAACAAAATTCACTTTCAGTTCTGTATGCTGTCATATTTTGTATATAGCAAGATTCCGTTCTTACTTTTTTTGGAAATAACAGTTACCTACACCATTTAATAAAATTAGGAATTTTACTATAAATTTAATAAAAATAATTTAAAAACGGATTTTTTCTTAAAAGTGCGTTAGAATTAAACGAGTGGCTTTTTTTTTTATTTTTCGTCTCTAAAAGCTGGAAGCGCTCGGAGAGTATATAATAAAAAAATTGAATACTTTTGTGCGAAATTACTTAAAAACTAAAATGAAATAGATTAGAATATTAATAAATTTATACTCTAATGAAAAACTCTTCTAGAAAAAAAAAGTTTTCATTCGTAAAATGAGTATTTTTACCGCCTTCTCTTTTGACTTTGTAAAAAATTGCAAAAACTACATTCTTACGTCCCGCAATAGAAAAACTTGAACGAATAAATTGAAAAATGAAAAATGCTATCTATTAAACTCTCAATTCAAGAACTGAAATTTTGGCATTTTTTTTTTTTTATCCAAATTCGCAGCCATAAGGTAGCCTACTTTTTAATTTTTCTTTCTTTTTGAAATTAGTACCTATTTTCATTTTAAACTCGTTCTATCGCATCATTTGCCTCACCATTGGCAGCTATTTTATATTTCCTTTGAGGTTGATTAAACATCGTCTGCAATGGTACGTGTAACAGTTCAACAACTTGAATGAAATTCGGCTCTGAAGAATGAAAAATTGTAAATTTTTAGGAGATAATTATTTTGGAAAAATATTATTTGCTAAAAAAAAATATCTCACCATTTTCCGATGTTATAAATCCGTGTCTAATCATAAAGTCCAAAGCAACTGGAACCGAAGTTGTTTTAAATTTCGGCGAGAGAACAAGTTCGAGGCATTCTTGAACTGGTAATAATTCAAATGTTTCAACTTCGCCGTCACCATTTTTTGGCTTAAAATCAAGTGGCAATTCCAAATCGTAAATAAATTCTGTATTGGGAAATAATCCTCGTTCACATTCAAAAAATACAGAAACACATCCGGCACTCTTGAGTTTGGAAATTAAATTTTTTGGAATTCCCGCTTCCTCGCCAGCCTCCTTCACAGCAGTCTCGTGAATTCCAAAACCAACACTTAAACCACCGCTGACAAAATTATCCCAATAACTTGGCCACGTTTGTTTAGTTGAGCTTCGTTTTTGTACCCAAATTGAAAGTCCTTTCACTGGATCCATCACGTATCCATTGATGTCTACGCCGTATTTTCGAATTCCAAATAAACCTGTGACGAAAAAAGTATAGCAAATAAATATTGTCAGAAATAGAAAAAAAATCTTTCTCTTATCAAAAATAGAAAAAGAAACAAATGGACAAAAAATATTGTCGAGACAAAAATGGAAATTTTCTTTTTGCAGAATAGATAAAATTGTCTGAACTTACAAGTTGCTGATCGATCCATTTTAAATAAAGGCGGAGTGTTAAATTGAGTTCGAACATCGTAGTATTCTTCCCGCCAACCTCGTAGAGTGACGAATTTTCCTCCTTCCTTCCATTTCCTTAAAACTTGATCAACCCTTTCACTTCGTTCTGTATAATCTCTAAAGGCAGGATTCAGTTGAACGTATTCTGGTTGAACTTGAAACACCTGGTAATTAGAGTTAATGACATTTAATGACAACAAGAATACATTGTCTTCGAATTGCACGTTTTTTTCCCTCCTTTTTTCTCCGCTTTATTACCTGGGGATATTTTAAAAGTTCTTTCATCACATCCGGCCTCACAAGTCCCACTTGTTGTCCATCGACGACAAATGCTCTGCATTCACCTGAATGGAATCCTAAAAACATTTTGCAATTTTACTTTCCTTCACATTAAACCAACGTCATTTACAAATAACAATAATAATAAAATATTAATAAATCTTTTATTATAATATTATAAATAATAAAAAAATTAACAATAAAAATAATAATTATATTATAATTATTGTCTCATTATTATTATTATATAATTAAATAAAATTGTAATATTATTTAAATAATAATAAAATTGAATTTCTTATATTGACGATAAAAAATAAAATAAAAATGTAAATAATTGTAATAAAGAGAAAGAAATAAAACTGAAAATAATTTTTACAATAGTGATATTAGTAGTAAATTTTATTTTGCATTTTTCAACATAAAAGTGTTACTCTATATCAGTATGCGTCATGTAGAATTTATTTCTTTCACGTGATTACGAAATATGATATAAAAAACTTGTGTTTCGGTAAAGAAAAAAAAAGATACTACATACTAAAATAAAATATTTTAATACAAATTTTGCATTTTCTCGCTAATTCCAGAGAACAAAAATTAATAAATAAACAATAGAAAGTAGGTATATAATTTAAAAGTTCAATTTCATATCTTATCTATCTTTGAAAAAGACAGTTACAAGATAATAAGTAACAAAGCGCCTATTTCAATATAGGAAAAAGGTGACTAAAATAATTTTTTTAAAACAAAAAAAGATAATAATAAACTATCACATTTCTAATATTTTCAATATTCTAAATATTCATTAAATTCGAATATAGTACACAATCTTAATGATGGTTATTATACATCGAAAAGCGATGAAATGGCTAAAAAGTAGAAATGTTTACAAAAAAAAAGTACGCGACGTGTCTAAAGAGAATTTTAAAAATGTTAAAAATTATTTTTATATACAAAATAATGTACACGAAATATACAAATTTAAATTGAGCATCTGCCATTTGACAGATGCACTCCTCCCCTCCTCTTTTGATTACAAAACTACAAAAGAAAATAGCACGAAATAATTATTGGATTGAAAGGATTAAAAATAAATTAAAAAGATTAAGCAAAGTAGGTGAATGAAAATTAATTTAATAAACAATAATCAACGAATATTTTACTTTTAAAAAACATTTTTGTATTATAATTTTTCGCATATAATAATTGAAAAAATTTGATTTAAAGAAAAATATTTGAATTTTCTAATTAACACTCTAAAATGTAAATAATAAATGACACGTCATTGTTTGAAATCGATGGTGAGCTACACAGAAAAGTCAGGGGTTTTTTCTTGTTTGTAGCTTTATTACAAAAAAAGATGCATGGCGAAGGAGTTTGCGATCGATATCCTCCCTTGCGGGATATGAGCGTTTTGTCTTACCTGACAAGTAGAAGCAATTGCATTTTTTAGCTAATGATAATAAACGCGATGTCGATTCAGCAACAGTACCGGTCATGATGCTTTACTTTTGTCAACTGATTCTAACAACAAAAGTTAAGAAAATACAAAGTACACAGCGTGTTAATCCGGCTGAATGCACAATAAAGACTTTTTAGCAGCCGACATAACAAGAACATGACAAGAACCATGAACAAGAACCTAGCGACAACAAAAATATATGAAAGCGCTCATGTGTTAGCTTGAAGTACTAATAAAGAAGAGCGGTAATTTTGTTTTAAAAACAACAAATTTTGTTTTGTTTCTACTTTCTTCTAATTTACAAAGTTTTACGATTGTTGATTTATTCATAATTTATTTAGATTGATTTTACTTTTAGTAATATATGTATTAAATCTCCATTACTATTATGATATTATTAATGGTGCATTATTGTAGAATCACTGTAGCAGGTCTGGTTTTCTGTATAAAACATCAAAATGGTTTCAAAATAATTTTTTTTCTATTACTTACTCATCCTAGGACCAAGAACGAGAATATTGTAATGTGCGCGCTCTAAGTCGTGCTCCGTATTTATATGCAGGTCTCTGTAGTGCCCAAGTGCTGCAACAGCCAATCAGAGCGCGCATTGGTGAAAAGTGGGGGAAGCTCAGAGCTCCCTCTGGCTCCCACTATAAATACTGCGTAACCTACGGGACCTTCAGTTGATAACTGTTCTTTGAGGTGATTGTTGCTAGGCTTAAAATTTAAATTCGCTAATTTGTTCCTTAAATTGTGAAATTGTGTTTATTATAATATCTCAAAGTGGAAAATAGACAAGTACTTATCTCGATCGGAGTGATCGGAGCTTTAGACCGGAAATCAATTTATACTTTAATAATCACCCTTCAAGAAAGTTTTCATTAAATATAAAAATATTCTGATATTTTAGTAATAATTCTTCAGTGAATTGGAGTTTATTGTGTTTCGTATTGTCAATCGGTTGAAATTAGCCGACAGAAGAAAGTGCAAGTGTTGGAAATATTTTTCTTTCTCGGTCGGTAAAAATTTATCGAAGAAGAAATAGTGAATGTGTTTGGAATATTTGTGTTGTTTTTTCAATTTAATCCGTCGTGTTAATTGTTTGATAAAGATTAACAAGATGTTTTTTCTGGACAGTGATAATTCGGGATTGTTCAATAAGCGATTAGAACATTGTTGTATAAAGCAAGATGGCGCCGCTACAAGTGTCATTGGTCAGTTTTGCAATTCTAAATTTGTGTTTCGAAAGTTTTAAACAATATTAGTGATTAGTGGTGTTAATTATGTGATATAATTGTAATGAAAATTAAATGTCTATACATATAAGTGAAGTTTCCTGAAAGGATAAAATGAAGAAATAGGAAGAAAAGAAGTTATATATCTACTACTTTACTGACGGAGTAGCTCTGTATTGGAGGATAATGTACCAGCTAAGTTTATTGTAAGTCTAATTACCATTTCTATGTGTCAATTTCAAATGTTAGTAATATATGAAACAATTTAATATAATTATTATTTTCTTTTATTTTTCAGCATTTCAAAATCCAACATTCTTCGTTCGGTGAGTCTTTATTATGTTTTGACTATAATTTACAGTGACAAGACATTATTGCATTTATTATAAGTTGTCACTATTTTCGTTATTTGTACATGGACGGTATGTGAGAGAACCGTCAAAATGAGTGTCGCTGATGCAAAAAGAAAAAGAAAATAGTATACAAACAATAGGTATTAGGCGAAAATGCATTGCGAATTTGGCTGAATTTTAATTAAATAACAATACAATAGTTTTTACGACTTTTGCTTATATAAACTTGAAACAAAATTAATTCGAATAAATAGAAACATAATTTTAAATCTAATATATTTATTTTTTATTCTCCAAATGGCTACAGTTTAAAGTACAAATATTTTATTTTTGACAATCAAAATTTTTGAATTTTTTAAAAAATAACTAGTCGTTAAAATATGAAAAAAGAAAACTTTAGATAATATATATTTGAACAATGAATAGTATCGATTTAACATTCCACAAAAAAGGAATATATAAAAATATTGCATTCCAAAAGTAAAGGAAAACTGATTTTTTTTACTTTCGATATGTATAAAGTATTTTAAACTCTTAAAGTTAACATTTATTATAACAGAGATTTAATTAATTTTCCTATTAAATTGTAATAAAAATTTCTTTTCTGAATTTTTAAATAATCTTGAAATTAAAAAAAAGGGGACGAACAATTCGAACGTGTCATTAAGGCCTATTTTAATATTATTAGTACCTATTTTATATTACAGATTTGCAATCACTCTAAATTCTTGAATTTCATCTACCGTTGATCTTAATTGTTTTCACATTTTTTTGCTTTGCAATCTTATTAATTTATTTCTCGTTCTTTTTCTATTTTCATAAAATAATTCTCAATTTTACACTTTTCTTTTAAATAAACGTTGTATATTTTCACACGTTGATAAAATTAATTTTCTCCAGATATAAATTTAAACTGCAGCCAAAACAATAGTAATTATCTATTATTTTTTTACTTGCAGATATTTTTCTTGTCAATTGCTCCACTTTAGTCAATTTTTATCAATTTATTCAAAAATTAAAAATAGTTTTTTTTCCTACTATTATTTTGTTCGATTTTTCGTTTTGTTTTGTTTTCTTAAATCGGATATTTTGTTTATCTATTAAATTATTAGTTTTCAAACAAATGAAAAGAAGTGACTAAAGTTAAACTATGGAATAAACTTTAGAAAAAATTCTATCGAATTCTCTTAATAGAAAAAATGTATTTACTCAAAAGGCTTTGCTAAAGTTTCTTTTTATTTCCATATTCGGATAATTCTTGATCAAATATAAGTTAAATATGTATAATGCAAGTGAAATTTGTTTGAAAGTAAAATTTTTCGGTGTTAAATTGTTTTGCAAATATTTGAATAATAATCCGAAAATGGAGTAAAAAAAAATTTTTCTTTCCTGAAGCTATATAGCAGCAAACAAAATTTTTCTTTACAATTATAAATCAATTGTTATTATACATATACAATACTTACATACAATGCAAAAACGATTTTTTTTTCTTTGCTAGTTAATATAAAACTACTGGTGTTAAAATATATAACAGATTTTATTAAAAACTATCAATTATCTCCTGGTTGTATTCAATTACAGCTATGTAGTAACGATGCTTTTCCTTTTTTTTTTTTTTTTTGGTTTCCAATAAAAGTTGTTTTACTCCAAAAGAATATTTTTTCAACACGTTAAATATAACCTACAAAAATTACACTGATTCCGTAGCAAAGCGATTAATTTTCTCAGCGAGCGACTAATTTACAAGCATCTTAAATATTCAAACACTCTACCAAAAATGACGTTTCATCGTCATTAATTATTATTAATCTTTATTAACGTTTCCATTTTTTTTATAGTCGTATAATTTATTTTTTTTATAATTATTTTATTCATCTTTAAAATTACTCTGTATTTATATGTGTACATCGACGTCATCTTATGATATTATCAGCCATTTAAATTATAGTACAGCCTGAGACTTAATAATATTAATGTAAATTTTCGATGCAAATTAGTTGTTCCGCCCAGTAATTAATTAGCTAAAGCTAATATGTGCATTACATTTGAAACTGATGACTCTCTCCGAATATCTACTTTACGTAGACTATTCATGAGCAACAGAAATTATATGCTCATAAGTAATTGATACAATCAGATTCGTTTTGCAATAATAATAATAATAATAAAAGTAATAATAATATATGTATATATATTAGCAAATGTATACTTATGGACAGGAAATGTTTATAATATTTTGTACAAAGCTCCGAGGCTTCCCTAATTAATTAAAGTGGAAGCTCGTGTGCTTTGAACTTGGCGACGTGATTTTTGAGTTTAACTCAAAAATTCAGTCGATATTAATTTTTCTCTTATATACAAGTCATCTAGTTTAAAAGCCTAATCACCCTCGCTTTTGCTTCTAATTATTATGAATTTTAATTACAAGTGTTCACACGGATCTTTTACAAAGCACATTTTGAGATTCAATCTCAGAGCGATTTGCACGGAAGTTCTTTTGTTTTTTAAAAATAAAACTAAAATACATGTATGAATAAAATGCGAACGATCAACTCTTTCGGACGACTATACAGTAGTGAAAATACTGCCATAGTCGTGCGAAAATTAGTGAATCTTTGATAAAGTCATTCGTTTTGTGCTTGAATAATTCGATACCGTGGAAATATACATAAACTTCCTTTAATCATCAAATTGAAACTTTTATATTTTTAATCTAAATAATCAACCTGTTAATGATTTTGTTTTGATTTAGTAGCGAGTACTTTTTTTTTTTAGTTGAGAATTTTGCTATCCGATTAAACAAGTTGATGAGATAAAACTTAAAATATATTTGGACATCGTGACCAGTCTTGCTTATTTTTACACTCCCAGTATTCTCCAGTGTACATATGGCAAAGGCTGTCTGTAAATGGATCTTCTTGTTTTTTGAACCAAAGTGGTTCGTAACTCTCGTATGGCATACCTAAAATATTGGAAAAATTGTCTTCTGAGATTGTTTCGTAATCGATCTTAAAAAATGTCTATTTTTATTTATTAAACGCAGGCCTCGGATATGACTTTTATAAAACTATTTTCAAAAAATGCGAATATTTTTATTTAAATGAACACTGACGTGTTTGGTTAATTCAAATAAAAATATTCAATTGAAAAGTATTTTTCAAAAAAAATTTTTGTTTCAATAAAAAGAACTCGGTTTTTATGGTTTTTTAAACTTTTTTCGACTTATTTTCAAAAATTGCGCCTTTTTCGTCTTTTCTTCCAAATATCGCAACAAAATACCACATTTTTAGCATAAAATACAACTTATTTCGATTTTTATTTAGTGTCAAAAATAACTCAAGGACAAATCTTTCAAAAATTATTTTTGAATCATTTTTCTAATTAAATTTTCAAAATACAAAATTAAAAATATTTTGAATAATTGAAATTTTGTAAAATTTAATTGCAAATAATTGATTTTTTTCAAGTACTATGTTTCAATTCGTAAAAATCAACTTTTGAAGAATTTTAATTGCAAATTTTGAAAATAATTGAATTCTCAAGAATTTTAATGAAAAATCTTCAAATATAAATTCTGAAATGAAAATTAATTATTAGCTTCTAAAAATTATATTGAATTTTTTTAATATTTCTGAACAAAGTAATTATTAAAATTTTTCAATTCTAATTTTTGAAATTCAATTATTTTCAATCACATATTTCCGAAAATTCAAATACATACAAATTTTCTATAGAATTATTTTTAACATTTCGAAGAAAACAATCATTTTTAAAATTTCTAATTAAAATTCTTCCTATAATTAATTAGTACTTTTTTAAAATTATACAAAAATTCTTTTAAGAAATTAAATTATTTTCGAAAAATTACGTTACGATATTGTTTAAAAAAATAATAATTTTGCAAAAAGTCAATTATTTTCAATAAAATTTTAATAAAATTTCACGAAAGAATTCAATTATTTCTTTAAATACTAGAATCTTTGCAAAGATTCATTATTTTGAATAAAATTTCAGGAAAGAATTCAATTTTTTTTCTTAATTTGCTTTAAAACTTTCCAAAAGAATTCAATTATTTTCTAAAATTATAATAAATCCTTTGAAATAATTCAATTTTTTAAAAATTTTTAATACAATTTTTCGAAAGAATCCAATTATTTTCTAAAATTTTAATAAATCCTTCTAAACAATTTCATTATTTTTATAGCGAGTAAAATTCATGTCAAGAATTAAATTATTTTTTATAAATAATAAATATCTTCTCAGGAATTAAATTATTTTTAATACAATTTTAATAAACTTTAATAATTAAATATTTAATTTCAATTATTAAGAAACACGATTATTTTAAAAACTTAACAAAAATTCTTCATAAAATTTAATTACTTTAAAAATTTCCAATAAAAATTATTAATAAAATTATATTATTTAAAAAAATTCAAAGAAATTCATAAAAAGAATTGATTTAGGATTTTCAGAAATTTTACTAAAATTCTTCGATGAAATTCAATTATTCTCAAATTTGTTTGATAAAATTCTTTGAAGAAATTCAATTATTTTCAAATTTTTTGGTAAAATTCTTTGCAACAAGTTTTGAACGTTCAAATGAAAGAAATAATTTTTTTTAAAAATATGTTCTTAAATATTATTAAATACAAAATATTAAATAGATACAAAAACAGTAGTTTTGCAATAAAAATTAAAAACGCAGATTTTAAATTCAGAAACTACAGAATTAATTTTTTTTTGAAGTGGCGCAAAATTATTGCAATAAAAATTTAATTTCAATAAGAAATAATTAAATATCGTTCATTTGAACGTTCAAAATTTTAGGATCATTAAAATTCTTAAAAAATTTGATTATTTTTTTTATATTCTTCAAAAATTCATTGATTTTTAAAAGATTTTAAGTTACAGTTGTAATTTATAGAAATTATTGAATTAAATAACTTTTTCGACATTGTTTTGTATTTTTAATCGACTTCAACGACTTTTTTTGCGCTTTAAAGTCGATTCGAGGCCTGTAAATATTTAAAGACAAAAATAAACTTTGATGATTAACTCACCTTGATCAGTAGCCTTTTCTGCTTCGTTTTCGCGCGCTCTTCTCACAGCTCGTTGTTTTTCCTCCAGTCGAAGTTTTTCAGTGTTTGCCTCCTCCCAGAGTCCATCTTCCATTAATCGTTGATCAGGCCTTAGACGTGAATCAGTAGGAGCAATACCTTCTTCCGGTTCGTTAAGTTGGCAGGCTAACTCCGTGAAGTTGTAAAACTTTTCGCTATCTGGCCTAAAAAGAAGAAAACAATTATTGATGATTGACAATTGTTTCGTGAAAAATTCAAAAAAAATTATTATCATCGCGAAAATTGTTTAGAAAAAAATAATAATAATTCTTACGGTGGCATGTGACGTTTCCAGGCAAGAATATAGGGACCAGTCTTGTACACTGGATTGTCTGGTGTTCCTGTAGTGTTGGTGACTTGAGCTATTTCAATTTTCGTGTCCCACGTACCCTGAACGACCCATTTCACTTCCTTGGTGTTTGTATTCATCACAACGCCTTTAACCTTTCGTTGACTGTCTCTCGAAAAATATGAATATGGAGTGTACTTGAGATGGCACTTTATTCCATCGGTGTGATTAATGATATCCATGTCTCCACTTTGATCGACCCATAATTTTCCTACTATTATATTATGAACTGTTGTCGTCACTTTTCGCCAGGTATAGTGTTGTGAGTTTGAGTTAAATTCCAGGTGGGCTGTGCCGAGTGGTATTACCTGTAAATTATCATTTTTTACACTATTTTTCTCTAGAAAACTTTCTACTTTTGATGATTCGAAAGTTACAAACGTTCGAATGAATGTTTATTTGCCTTCTTCAAATTAAATTGCGTCACTATCAAAATTAATTAAAATTTCATTTTTTAATTTTTATTCATTGGGGCAAATTGTTAATTAATTAATTAAAATTAATCAGTAATTTATAAAAAAAAATATTATAGAAATATATGAATAAAATTAAATGCATAAAAAATAAATTTAAATATGAACTTTAGTTAAAAACACTAAAATAATTAAACTTTTTGAGAAAAGTTACAAACGATAGCAGAAATTCAATTATTTCCAAAAATAGTAAAATTCTTCGCAAAAATTCAATTATGTTAAAAAATTTTTTAAAACTCTCATCAAAATTTTAATTACATTCATAAATAATAAAATTCTTTTCCGAAATTCAATTATTTTCAAAAATTTTAATAAAATTCTTTATGGGAATTCAATTATTTTCATTTCAATATGAATAAAACTCATTGCAGAATTTCAATTATTTTTAGTACAATTTTAAAATACATTAAATTATATTCAATAAATTATTTATTTTTATAGGTATTTAAATAATTGGATTGTTGAATTTTTTAATAAAAATTAATTTAAAAATGACATTCAGTTCAAATTTTAAATAATAATTATTATAAATTTCTCAAAAATGCAATTCTGCAATTCAATTCAATTATTTTCTAAATTTTTAATATAATTCTAGTCAAAAATTCAATAATCTTCTTAAATAACTAAATTCTTTTTAAGAATTCAATTATTTTCATATAAATAAAACTCATCACAAAATTTCAATTATTTTTAATACAATTTTAATCCAATTTCTTCGAAAAATGTAAATATTCTTAAAAAATTTATTTGATATCGTCAAAAGAATTTAATTATTTAAAAATTTGTATATAACATTTTTGAATAAATACTAATCATTATTATTTTTTCATAGAAATTAAGACTTTCAAAAATTTGAAATTCAATAACATATAAGAATATTATTATAAAACATGAAGATATCGATCACTCCGAGTTTTCGACTCGGATTTAATTAATAATAATTAAAACTTGCTATTCTGTTACTGTAACTTCTTCAAAAATAATATTCATCATTACGATTATACATTTCTAGAATTTTCAACTAAAATTCTTCTTCAAATCAATTTTTGAAAAATAATTTTTGAAAAAGTTCATTGAGAATTTTGTAATTCTTTTGTTTACAATTTAATTTTACGAAATTTTGTTTATTCTGACATTTTTTAATTAAATATATTAGAAAAATAATTCAAATAATTAAAAAAAATTCATTAAACTTTTTGAAAAAAATTAATTCTACAGAATTGTTAATTAAAAGTATGAAAAGTTCAAATTTTCAAAGATTTTAATTTAAAACCTTTTGAAAATTTAATTATTTCTAAAAATCCACGTTATGTTTTCTATAATTAATTATAATCTAAAATTTTAACTGAAATTCATTTTTAAATCAATATTTATTAGAAAAATCTACGAGAATTCAATTCTTTAACTACAAAAATAAATATTTTGTTAAATAATTAAATGTTTCTTAAAATTGAATTTTCACAAAGAATGTTATCAAAAAATTTTTAAATAATTAAATTCTCTTGACAAATTTTAATAAAATTTTTAAGAATAATTTCATTGTTCGAAAATTCGGATGGAAATTGTATTAAAATTAATTTAAGTTCTGCAATGATTTTTATTATGTATTTATGAAAATAATTGAATCCCTCTAAAAATGTTATTATTTATGAAAATAATTGAATAATAATTTATGAAAATAATTTGTAAATAATTGAATTCCTGTGGAATTTTTTTTTATGAAAACAATTAAATGTTTGCGTAGAATTAAAAAAAATTTTTTTTAACTAATTGAATTCTTTTGGGAATTTTTATTAAAATCACTAAATTGAGGAAAGTTTTGAAAATAATTGTACTTCTGAGAAGAATTTTACTTTTGAAAATAATTGAATTTCTGCAATCATTTGTAATTTTGCTTTAAAAATTCAATTTTTTTTTAGTGTTTTTAACTGAAATTCTTCTGTAAATCTATTATTTTTAATAATCAATTAAATATATATTAAAAAATTTAACTAATTACAGAAGAATTTTAGTTATCAAAATTTTTTTAAATTTGTAATTAAATTCATTTAAAATTGACATTTTACAAAATTTCAAATCAAAATCTTTTGAAGTTCATCTACTTATGAAAATTGTAAACGCAACTCTTTTAAAATTGAATTAATTTTGAAATATTTAATTAAAATAATAGATTACAAGAATAAAGACATTTTTTCAAATGAAAAAAAAGCGTGGCAACCATGAAATATGTTCATAGTGTTTTTTTGTGAAAAAAAGTAAACAAAATAGTGTTCTTTCTTTTTAGGGAAAATGAAAAATTACCTGAAGGTATTTGCCACGAAATTTGGAAGCCATTGTAAATTCTTGCCAGCAACGCCATTTTCGCCCCTCGCAATATTGCGCTACCATTGGAGGATGATGGGAAACTTGTTCAGAAATCGATCTCCAGCCGAGATCGTCAGTTCTATCACATTCGTACGTTTCTCCTAATAAAGGATTAAAGGGTTTACCTGTCCTATTTGCTGTCGTTGAATAACTTGATACGGTGAAAGCGGCGATATACGCCATTTGCTCATATTTATCTGTACATTCTGCTGCCCTGAAAAAGAAATACAAACACAAATTAAAATTTAGAATTTTTCGTAAAATGTAAAGAAAATTTTCTTAAAATCCAAATTAGTAGAATTAGTAGAGAATTACAAAATTGCAAGAAATTTATACACACCTGTCGAGAATATGAGCATACTCGTAATCTTCCGCTAACCTTTGGAGCATACTAAGTGGTTCGGAGAAATTAACTGGCATTGGTATTTTCGATAATTCTTTCCCAATGGAGTTTTTCATTATACTCCATAAATTTAGGGGATAATTTGGTTTATCAGGAACTCGGGTTCTTCGTTTTCGTTTCGGCATTGTGGTTGTTATCCCGGCGCTGCTACTACCATTATTTGCTCGCCAAGGCGTCTGTAACAATTAAATAAATAATTTTTTTTTTTTAACTATAAACCATTGCAATAAATTTGCATTAATCCAAAGACAAAGTTAACCTTCAGTATAAGGCTTCGATATAAAACTTATACTTTTTCGTAAAACTCGTTAACCTTTAGATCTTTTATTGGCGATAATTGTATTAGGCGAATGATTACATAAATTCTCTTACTTGACAAATACGGGAAACATTAAGTGTTGTTTTATTTATAAACAATTCAGACTTTTGTATCTTGATTTAGAGTTTAATTATTTTCCTAAATTTCTGGGAACGTTCGAATAAACGAAATTCTTTCTTTTCTTAAATATTTTTGAATGCTAAATTTAAAAGTCTAATACAAAAAATAATAATACTAATAATAATATTCTAATGTTATAATAATAATAATATTACATAATATTTAATAAAATATTTAATTAAAGTTAAATATTTACTTAGTGAAGCACTAATTTTTTTTCACAAAAAAATAACATTTTTTACTTCTTTTAAAGAAAAAAAAATATCGTCGTTTATTTGAACGTTCGAATTTAGTTGAACTTTGAAATAATTGAAATTTATTTATTTCTTTTTCAAATTAGAAATTTACTACAATAATTTTGAGTCACAAATTAAAAAAATTAACTATAAAGTCTCTAAATTTTAATTTTTATCTCAAAACATTGTTCTCGCTTAGTTAATTTTTTTCACAATAGATTTCAGAAAAGGAAGAAATAGAATTTATTTTTTTAAAAAAATGTTACTGATAAATTTTTTATTCGTGTTCGGACATTTCGAAAACAATGTTTATTTATTTACAAAGAAAAAGAAAAAAAACACTAATTTACATATATATAAAACAATAGTAAAATTGAAAAAAAAAATCGTTAAGATGCAAGTTATACAAAACGGAGAATAAATATTAATCATAGTAAATGATAAAATCTTGAATCATTTATAACAAAAACGTAAGCTTTTAAAAATACTAATAATCGTCTACAATTACAATTTTAATCGTTTTTTATCCAAGAGCTGACAAAGTACTTGTACAATATTTCTAAGCCCCTTATTAGGAAGTGTTTCTTTACTTTCCTAAGTTTTCTCTATTTGAAAATATAATATCTTATTCATGAAGTCTAGAGGTTTGTCGATAAACGAAATGTGCCAACTTTCATTGTTTTATTAATCATTTTTTAAATTCCTTATTCTTCATTTTTGCATTTTCTATTCAATTATCTTTTTTAATATTGTAATTTCATCTTATTATAAAGAACGAAGAATTTATTTCTTTTTTACAAATTGATTTTTCCATTTTGAAAATAGAATAGACATAATTATTTTCCTTTCGTGCGGGAATATTTACATTTGTTTTGAAAATAGAATGTTCTGTAAAAATTTTCAACTTTTGAATTACGAAAAATTGTTTCGAAATTTAAATATTTTTATGAATTGCTCACTGAGATAAAAATGAAAAATAAGAATTAAAAATTTTTAAACTTCATAAATTATTTTTTAATTTTTATTTATTTTTTATCAAGAACGAATCTTTTTTCAAGTAAAATTTATCTTCTATTTATTTTCATGTGCGTTAATTTTTGAAGAAATTGATTGTTACTAAATAAACTTTCAATTAGATTTTCAAAAATTTCAAATTCAAACTTTTTTAAAATTAAAAAACTTATAAAAAATTGTTATAAAACAAGAAGATATCGATCACTCCGAGTCTTCGACTCGGAGTGATCGATTCCTTCATGTTTTTTAATAATTAAAGATGATCGAGTGATAAAATCATTATTTTATATTATAATAAAAAAATATTGTTACTCTGACTTCTTTAAAATTATTTTCATTATTTCAATTCAATTATTATTTTCTATTTTTAAATAAAATTCTTTTTTAAATCAATTTCAAATAATTTTAAATAAAATTCAATTAAACTTTTTCAAAAAAATTAATTGTCAGTTAAAAGTACGAAAAATAATAATTGAATTCTTCGAGAATTCAATTATTTAAATACAAAAGTAAATATTTTCTTTAATAATTGAAAACATGTTGAGGAACTTTATTAAAACTTTTTAAAATAATTTAATTCATGAGAAGAATTTAAATAATAATTCTTGAAAATAATTGAATTTATGCGAAGAATTTTATTAAATTTTGTTTAAATAATTGAAATTTTGCCAAGAATTTCATTACTTTTCAAAAGAATTGAATTTTTGTGATGAATTTTGATGTTTATCAAAATAATTGAATTTTGAAAACATTTTTTATTAAAATCCCTTAAAATAATTCATTTTATGGGAAGAATTTTGTTGTTTATTATTTTATTGAATAATTGAATGTTTCTTAAAATTGAATTCCTTTGTCAAGTTTTAATAAAATTTTTAAGAATAATTACATTTTTCAAGGAATTTATTTAAAATTGTATTACTTTTCAAAATAATTGAATTCTTGTGATGAATATTGTTATTTATAAAAATAATTGAATTTTGCAAAGAATTTTATTGAAATTCCTTTAAATTCTTGTTCACAAATTACATCACAAATTCTTGTGATGAATATTGTTATTTATAAAAATAATTGAATTTTGCAAAGAATTTTTATTGAAATTCCTTAAAATAATTGAATTTTTGTGAAGAATTTTGTTACAATTCTTGAAAATAATTAAATTTTTTTTTAAATTTTATCAAAATTCTTGAAAATAATTGAAATCATAAAAAGAATTTTATTATGTTCTAAAATAATTGAATCCCTGTAAAAATTTTATTATTTAAATGACAATTATTGAACTATTGCGAAGAAATTTATAAAAAAAATTTGTAAATACAGTCAGGTCTCGCTAAGTGTCGTCACTGGGAATTTTTTGAGACCGTCTGTCTCAGTAAGTGTCAGTGGCCTAAGCCACGCCCCTTTAATAAAAGTGGCCATTTCATTGGTTTATGTTGCAAACCGGTTTGGGGAAGTCCATTTTTAGCATTGGAGAGGGTAAAAAAAAGTGGGAAAAGTGACACTTGTTGGGTCTTGAACGATGACACTTTGTGAGTCATGACACTTACTGAAAACGACACTTGGCGAGACCTGACTGTAATTCAAATTTTTGTGAAGGATTTTATTAAAATCCTTAAAAATAATATAATTGATTTTTTGCAAAGGATTTTATTATTTATAAAAATAATTGAATTTTTGTGAAGAATTTTATTATTTATAAAAATAATTGAATTTTGTTGAAGAATTTTACTATTCATTGATAAAGATATTTAAAATGTTGATGACGAATTTTTTTTTAGATTTTTTTGAAAATAATTGAATTCCTGTGTTGATTATTGTTATTTATGAAAACAATTGAATTTTGCAATGAATTTTATTAAAAGTCCTGAATATAATTGAATTTCGGCGAAGAATTCTGCTATTTATAAAGTTAATTGAAATGTTGACGAGAATTTAAAAAAAAAAATTTTGAAAATAAATGATTTTCTGTAAATAATTTTGATATTTATTAAGGTAGTTGAATTTTTTCAAAGAATTGCGTTAAAACTTTTAAAATTAAAACAAGTTTCAACAGAATTGAAATTGAAATTTTTCAAAAAAAAGCACTTTATTAAATGATTTATAAGTAATAACTATATGGCAGTTCTTTGTAATTTTATGAGGCAAACAAAAAAGACACCAAAAATTCAGAATTGTCTTATGAATTTTAAAAGTTAAATTTTTTTCAGTACTTTTATTAAAAAATTTCTGACTTTTCCCTGATTTTCCTGACTTTTGGCAACTCTGATTAAAGAATTAATTGAAAAAAAAATTGTTTAGAGTAAAACTCACCTTATCCAGTTCGAGGGCTTTTAAACGTGAATTTGGCAGTGATTCGTAGTCGGTCACGATGAGAAAATTGTCATTTCTTGTACGATCAGCAGTGACTGTTGGATCACATTCTGAACTAGAACCATCGTCACTTCCTTGGGAATCAGTTCGATCACGTCCACGTGAGAGAGAATTGAGAATTGCTAACGATACAGGATCTGTCTCTTGTGCATCATAGAAAACTGCGTTATCTTCGTCGTCATCTGATTGCGGCAACAATTTTCTTATTCTCACCTGCTTTTCTCCTACGAATTTCAGTGAAAAATTAAAATTTTAAAAATACAGATATACACCAAGCGTATTTGTTCTTATCTTTTCGCAGATAAGAGTTAAAATTTATTTAAATATAGCATATAGTACGACTCGATACTTATTTTTTTTTAAATGACAAAATTCTTGCAAATTCTAAAAAAGTTTGTTTTTTTATTCTAAGACAATTTTTTCTGGCTTTTTAGATAAAGAAAAGTAGAGAAAGATAAAAATTTAGGTTAAATGAATTTATATGAATTATTATTTTAATTAATTCTAAACTTTTAGTGCAAAAGAAAAAAAATGGTTTATTTAATTTATTAGATATTTATCATTTTTTATTATTATTATTTATCAATTATATTTTATTTTCAATAATTGTAAGCAATAAATATCCAATTTTACTTATTTGAAATAGTTTCAAAGTTCAAAAATTTCTAATCGGCATTGTAAATGATAAAACTACTCTAAAATTCTTAGAAACTGGTTTAATCAAGATGTAGATTATATCTACAAACATTTTCACAATAACTGTAATTTAAAAATTCCTCCAAAAATAGGAAAAAAATTTTTCACGAAAATTTCGATTGACTCATCCACAAAAAAGTAAAGTAGGTTAGAATTCTTTTGTCAATAAGATTTATATTTATCATTTTAACACCAGCGAATTTATGAAAAAATTAAGTCCACTGAATTTTTACTTTAATAAAAAATATTCTCTTTCAACGTTTAAATCCAGATAGGAAATGATTCATCATATTTGCTCGCGAGTAAAAGCATAAATCGGTTGTTAATAAAATTATTTTAATCCAATATCTTCATAAATACCACTGATAATTGGGGAAATTTCATTTCCAATTCTTTTTTGATTGATGAGTTTATTATTTTAAGGAAAAATATGCAACTTCTGATTCACGAATGTAATTTGAGGGATAAAAGAGACGTTAAATCTTTTGGCAGAGTCTATAAGCAAAAGAGATTTTATGCGAACATGAACTTGTGATAGTGACACATCCTGTTTGTCAATTATATCATATGATGCTGACGTTTAGAATATTCTATTGAACGAGAAGTGTTGCATGAAGCAAATTTAATAAAAGTCAAAAGGGCAGAAACCTTTAGAAAATTGTAAATAAATTTATAAACCTTTTTTTCAAGATGCTGCTGAATGTTCCTCCTGACAATCAATAGCCAAACTTCTGTTTGCTCCGTTTCTTTTTAATTTCTTTTTCCCGAAATTCTGACCGTATAATTTATTAGCGATCACTTAGAAATTTGGAAATAACTATTGTATATATAGTCAAAAAAAGATATTGTTGAGCGTATTAAGCGAAAGACATTTGTGGTGGCGATTCGCAAGGCCACCTGTGCATAGAACGACAAACAGCTCCGAGCTCGTGACAAAGCGAACACGCACAACACGTATACTTAAAGAAATTTCTACACTGATTGGGTGATTATATTCCACTGAATCGAATATCAGTTTGTACATACATACACACCAAAGCACATTGAGAAAAGTATTCCCCTGCCATCTGGTATCTTACAATTCAACAAAAGTCGCTGACACATTCGCGAGAGATAATCAATATTTTCTACAAAATTTCCTCAAGGACTTTCTAATTTATACTTCTCTTTTGATCCTTAAAATAACAATTTTTTCAACAAACTACTTTAATAGATGGAAAATTGTTTTCTTTGGAAAATTGTTTTCTTTATCTAAACACTTGCAAATTACAATAATTGTCAAGTGTACAAATAATGTAAATTATTTCAATTTATTTATTTTTGCGAAATAAATTAAAAATAATTAACTTTTTGAAATTTTTAACAAAAAAAAATTGTCTATTTTATAATGAATTATTTTTATTCACGCTCATGATAGCGATAAATTTATAATATACTTACCATACTAAAAATATAAATTATTCTTTTTATCTATCATTTTATTTTCATGAAAAAAGCTTATCAAATTTCGTTTCAAACTTTAAATAATTTGTTTCTTGTAGTGATAAACGAATAATCTTATATCACTTACCTTTTTTTTGAGAAATTAAACTAAGATTTTAATACCTACTTATTTAAATAAAAAATAATAATTCTACTATTCAAATTAAAGAATTATATAAATTTCTCTGAGTAAATTAAAAATATGAAGCTGAAGTCTTTTTTTTAAACGAAAAATTAAAAAAGAAATTTTTCATTTTCCTCAAATTTTAAAGTTTAAATGTATATTTTTATGTGTTCAAATATTTTTCAAAAATTACTGGACTAAAATGAAAAATATAAAAATTGAATATTTATTTAGTCAAAAATTATTTTTTCAATTTTAAAAACAATATTTTTGCAAAGAAAAATGAAATTAAAAAAAGTAATAAAAATATTTAGACAAATTATTTTTTCAATTGTAAAAAAAATAATATTTTATAAAGAAAATTGAAATTAAAATAAGTAATAAAAATATTAGGCAACAATTTTTTTTTTTAATTGTAAAAAACAATATTTTTGTACAGAAAAGTGAAATTTAAAGACGTAATATAAAAATTAGTTCAAAAATTATTTTTTCAATTGCAAACCACAATAGTTTTGTAAAAAAAATTGAAATTTAAAGAAATAATAAAAATATTAGTCAATACTAATTTTTTCAATTCTAAAAAACAATATTTTTGTAAAGAAAATTGAAATTTAATGAAGAAAATAAAAATATTAAACAAAAATTATTTTTTCAAATGTAAAAAAACAATATTTTTCTACAGAAAATTGAAATTAAAAGAATTAATAAAAATATTTTCCAAAAATTATTTTCTCAATTGCAAAAAACAATATTTTTGTACAGAAAATTAAAATTTAAAGAAGTAATAAAAATATTGGTCAAAAATTATTTTCTCAATTGTAAAATAATAATATTTTGTAAAGAAAATAGAAATTAAAAGAATTAATAAAAAATTAGTTCAATAATGATTTTCTCAATTGCAAAAAACAATATTTTTTTAAAGAAAATTAAAATTAAAAAAATTAATGAAAATATTGTGATTAATTTGAACGTTCAAAACTTTAGGGAAAATAAATTGTCGCATTTTTTTTGCACTACCTATTTTTTTTTGTTTTCATAAACGTTGAGGTCTTCAGCCTCATACTTAAAATTTGGATTTTAGCTAAAAATTGAAAATCTCACGAAAACAGTGGAAAAAAATTATTTTATTCAAATTGATTTCTTGACTATAATAGGGTGTCTACTAACCAGGAATTCCGGGAAAACCGGGAATTTTATTTGACCGGGAATTAGCCGGGAATTTTATACCAAACCGGGAATTTTTTTACCAAAATTAAAAAAGTTTTATTATTTTAATTTCTTTTTAAAAAATCACTTTTTATTTCAATTTTTATAGGTATTTATACTGTTCTCTAAATTTAAGTTAGTTAAAAATAATTAATTTGATAGTAAAAAATCAATTCGACTGAAAATATGTAATTAAATTTGTTAAAGAATTTCATTAGAAACTTTTTAGCAAATAGAATTTCCAAAGTATTTTAATTTAATAATTGATTAATAATTGAATATTATAAAGAGTTAAATTCTAATGTATTCATGTTTCTTACTGCGAAGATTAATAATTAAAATTTTTATTAGTTAATTTAAAAAAATATACATACCTACTTAAAATTCTTTAATAAAATTAAACTTTCGCAAATTTTTTTTTTAATTCTGAAAAATAAGATTGTTGTAATTTTTTAATTCTATTGTTTCAAGATAATTGAATTTTTCTAAACAAATAATTGAAATTTTTTTAAATAATTGAAATTTGTTTACATTTTTTGAAAAATAATTGAATTCTTTTAAAGAATTTTATTTAAATTTTTCGTAAATAATCAAGGGAAGTTAGTGACCGTAATTATAATTTAATTTTTAAAATTTAAGGTCCCTCTTACAGTTTTAAATCAATTTTTTGCTTCTAAAAATATTATTAAACTTCTCTTAAATTTTTATAATTTTAAATTTCTGATTAAATGTTTATTACACTTATTAAGTAAATAATTAATTATTATTAATGATTATTATTTTCAAAAATTTTAATAAAATTCTTCACAAGAATTAAATTATTTTCATAAATAATAGCATTCTTTGGAAGGATTCAATTGTTTTTATAAATAGTGAAATTTTTTTGCAGAAATTCAATTATTATCAATATAATTTTAATAAAATTAAAATATCAAATTTTCAATTATAATTATAAAGAGACAAGATTATTTTTGAAAAATTAAAAAAATTTAAAGATTTATTTATTTTCGAAATGAGAAAAAAAAACCGGGAAAAAATTTGGACATAACCGGGAAAATCCGGGAAATAACCGGGAATTTTGTTGAACGAAAATACTAGACACCCTGTATAATCACTATAATCGAATAAATATTTAATTATTTTTTATATTTACTATTTGTAAAAATTATTGCCTCCTCTTTTATCTTCTATCTTATTTTTTTATCTGCTTTTTCAAATAAAATAGATAATCCTCTATTAAATTATAGAAATACCTAAAATTATATATTTCTCCTCTTTTCAAAAATTGCTTTTTCCGTAAATTAATATTTTTTTCCTAATAGAAAAATCCCTTTTCTTACCTAATATTAAATAAATTAAATGATAAAAAAAACTTGTGAACTTGATAACCAATTGCACTGGTTTTTAGAAAAGAAACAAATTTGTATGAAATAATTTTCTTTTTCAATGTTGCCTTTTAGATATTGGTTGAAATTTGATTTGAAAAAATTGAAAAGTAAATTGATAATAAATTTTGATATTAGGTAGTTCAAAAATATTACCTTCCATCTGATGCTCAATTAATGAGTCTGGTAAGGCGTGTTGTGCCGCTTCTTCTAAATGAGAATGTTGTCTAGCTAGTTGTTCAACCATTTTTTCGATTCTTTCTTTTTGGTCTCGTTCGTGCTGTACCATTTTTCTCCATTTTGGTTCTTGCTGTTGCGCCAATTGTAAATAATCGCTGCTTGCCTGAAAATATTAAAAACTGGTGAATGAATTAAAACATAAGTTATTAGAAACATTCATAATTTTGAATATTATTAATTCTTAATTTAATTGTTAAATTGATAATTACAATGTATAGTGCTTTGTATTTTTTTAGTTAAATCTTAAATGTTCCTTAAATTTTTATCGTTTAAATGAACGTCGATATTTTGTTACTATTTTTTTTAGTATTTTAACAAAATTTATTTGCTTGAAGGAAAATCATTTGAAGCCAAAAAATTATTTTTTATTAAAAAGATAAACTTTCAACTGTGAGTAAATGTTAAATTTATATTAATTTTCAATTTAGTATAGTAATTTTTAAACGTGGGTGAATTTCACAACGATTGGAGGAAAAAAAATACTATTTTTACCCAGAAAACAATATTTTTTGTTTACAAACTATTTTTGAATTGTTGATAATATCCAACAATCTAAATATCAAAATATAAGAAGAATTGATTGTTACTAAATGTTTGTTAGCCAAAAATTTGAGTTGAAAAATATTTTTTCTATTATATTGTCGATTTTATAAACGTTGTAAATTTCACCAAAGGTTTTTTGAAAATACAGAATAAATAGTTAAAAAATAATTAATAAATTAATTAATTAATAATTAATAATAATAATTCACAGAATAAATAGTTTCGTTCATTTGAAGGTTCAAAATTTTGTAGTGAAATTGAATGTAATGATTGTGTATAAAATTATTATTTTTTGTTGCCTTTCACGAAAATTTTCCAGATAATAGTAGAATAATCTTACGCTAATCATCGCAGTGGCAGCCACACGAAAAAGTGTGGCTCGTTCGGTAAGGCTTTTTACTTTTGTAGATAATTCATGGGAAACAGGTTCCTGAGTCTCTAAATCAGTTATGCATTTTTGAAGATTTGATCCTTTTTTCACTAGTAGTTCATAGCATGATTGCAAGTGTTCCAATCTTTCGGATAAGTCTTTTAATGTTGAAACTTGTTCCATCTTCTGATTGGCATTGCCTTGGTATTCCTCCTCCTCCTCTTCTGAAATAATAATTCGACATTATAATTGAAAATAAATTCATGTCTAATTAATTTTCAAATAATCCTTCCAAATAACAATGCAATAGCAGGGCTCGAAATAGGTCCGTAAATCCCGTAAAAGTCCGTTTTTTTTTGGAAAATGGTCCGTAAAGTCCGTAATTTGATTGAGAAAAAACGAAAAGTTCGTAAATTGTACGATATAATTTGAATAATTTTAGAGAAATTACAAATGATAAATAATAATAATAATAATAATAATAATAATAATAATAATAATAATAATAATAATAATAATAATAATAATAATAATAATAAAATTCTTCGCAGAAATTCAATTATGTTCAAAAATTTTTAAAAATTCTCATCAAAATTTCAATTATTTTTAAAAATAATTAAATTGTTCTCTGAAATTCAATTACTTTCAAAAATTTTCCTCAATTCGCAATGATTTTCGATATTTACTATTTTTATAAAATTTTCCAAAAGAATTCAATTATTTAAAAAAAAATAATAATAAAATTTTACACAAACTTTTAATTATTTTCAAAAAATAATAAAAATTTTACAGGAATTTCATTATTAAAAATTTTTTTTTAAATTTCTTCGCAACCGTTCAATTATTTTTATAAATAATAAAATTTTTACCGGAATTCAATTATTTTCGTAAATAATAAAATTCTTTTTAGGAATTCAATTATTGTCATAAATAATAAAACTCATTGTAGAATTTCAATTATTTTTAATACAATTTTAATGGAATTCCTCGAAAAAATTCTTAAAAATTTTATTAAAATTTGTCAAAAGAATTCAGTTATTTATAAATTTATAGATAAAATTCTTTATGAGAATTCAATTTTAAGAAACATGCAATTATTCAATAAATTTTTTTTGTATTTAAATAATTAAATTCTAGTTGAATTTTCTAATAAAAATTAATTTAAAAATGGATTTCAGTTAAAATTTTAGATTATAATTGAATGTTAAAAGCATTAGAGCATAAATTTTTAGAAATAATTGAATTTTGAAAAGATTTCAGATTAAAATCTTTGAAAAAGTTGAATTTTTCATATTTTTAACTAATAATTCTGTGTAATTATTTTTTTTTTTTTTAAATCTTTAATTGCGGATGTTTTTAATATTATTTTAAGTTAATTTATATTTAATTGAAGAATTTACAAATAATTGAAATTTTGTGAAAATGAATTTGAAAATTCTTAAAGAAGTTTTTCAAAAATTATTAAAAATATTGGATTTATAGAAGATGTTTAGTTAAAAATACGAAAAAAAAATTAAATTTTGTAAAAGTTACAAATTATTGCAAAAATTTAATTTTTTTACAGGTAATAAAATTCTTCGCAAAAATTAAATATTGTTCAAAATTAATAAAATGCTTCTTAGGGATTCAAATTCTTGAAAAATTTAATTATTCTTAAAAATTTTATTATTCTTAAAAATTTTATTAAAATTTGTTGATAGAATTCAATTATTTGAAAATTTGTTGATAACGATTCTTTATGGGAATTGTATTTTAAGAAACATTCAATTATTCAATAAATTATTTATTTGCATTTTATTTGTATTTAAATAATTGAATTCTAGTAGAATTTTCTAATAAAAATTGATTTAAAAATTAATTTCAGTTAAAATTTTAGATAATAATTGAATATTAAAAGCAATATAGCGTGAATTTTTAAAAATAATTGAATTTTGAAATTAATTTTTTTAAAAAAGTTTAATTGAATTTTTTAAATATTATTTTAGGTTTTTATTTTTTAATATTTATTTAATTAAAGAATTTACAAATAATTGAAATTTCGTAAAATTTGAAAATTTAATAAAATTTAATAATTTTCAAAGAACTTTTTCGAAAATTATTAAAAAATAATTGATTTAAAGAAGAATTTTAGTTAAAAATTCTTGTAAATTATAATTGAATTGTAAATGATTTTATAACTCGGTCATCTTTAATTATTACATATTATAAAACATGAAGAAATCGATGATTCCGAGTCGAAGACTCGGAGTTATCGACATCTTCATGTTTTATAGTTATGAAAAATTTAATTTTTAGTTTTAAGTAAAATGTTCTCTTATTTGACTCGGACTGTTTATTTTTTTTTTTGTCAGTATTTGGTAATTTTTCATTTTTGGTCTGTAAAGTTTGTATTTTTAAATACTTTCACTGGTTCGAGCCCTGCAATAGATATTAAGGAATAAAAAGAAGAGTTTAATATTCTTTTGTTTAAAAAAAAAAAAAAATGTATACCTGACTCCAAGGCTTGAATGGCTTTTGCTTTTGCCAATTCGAGTGCAGTGACCCATTGTTGTCGTTCAACTTCGGTAGATGCTTTGATGTGAAAAGTTTGAGTAGCACCATTGCTCACGATAAATGTACAAGCGTCCACTACGTGAATTAAGGCCCCGTGTAAAGATATTGATCCTCGACATGTGTGTGAAATTTCGGCAGGATGTCTAAACAGAGAAAAATAAACAAATTCTTCCTATGCTAAACAGTTAGATAATCGCATAACTCATTGAGATTGAGTTTCAAGATATTTATCATCATTAGATAAAGCTCTTTAATGTCAATCCGAATAAAGCAAATTCCTTGTTTAGTTGTCTATATTAGAGTTGATACTAATTTTTTTAATAGTTTTGAAAATCAATTTTTGTAAAGAATTTTTTTTTCTGCATTTATTATTAAATCAATTTTTACTGCAACAGGGTTGCCACAGGTCAGGGAATTCATGGACAAGTCGGGGATTTTTTATTAAAAATACTGGAAAAATTAAATTTTTTAAATTCATAAAATTTTTGAAAAAGTTACAAATGATTGGAGAAATTTAATTATTTTCAAAAGTAATAAAATTCTTCGCAGAAATTCAATTATTATGTCAAAAATTTAAAAAAATACTCGTCAAAATTTCAATTATCTTTATAAAATTAATAAAATTCTTCTCCGAAATTCAATTATTTACAAAAATTTTCCTCAATTCAATGATTTTCAATATCTAGTATTTTAATACATTTTTCCAAAAGAATTTAATTATTTAAACAAAATTTTGATAAAATTCTATACGCAATATATTCAATTTTTTTCATAAATAATAGAAATTTTACAGGAATTCAATTATTTTCATAAATATAATAAAAACACATCACAGAAATTCAATTATTTTTAATATACAATTTAAATAAAAAATTTCTCATCGAAAAATGTAAATTTTTATAAATTTTTATTAATTTTCGTCGAAGGAATTTAATTATTTTTTCTGTGCTCAAATGTTTTTGAAAATTACTGGAGTGAAATGAAAAATATAAAAATTGAATATTTATTTAGTCAAAAATTATTTTTTCATTTGTAAAAACAATATTTTTGCAAAGAAAAATAAAATTAAAAGAAGTAATAAAAAGATAAGAAAAAAATTATTTTTTCAATTATAAAAAATAATATTTTATAAAGAAAATTGAAATTAAAAGAAGTATGTAATAAAAAATGAGTTCAAAAATTATTTTTTCAATTGCAAAAAACAATAGTTTTGTAAAAAAAATTGAAAAAATTTGAAATTGCAATTTGAAATTTGAAATTTAACAAAAATTTATTTATTTACAAATTTTTTATAAATTTCTTCGCAATAATTTCATTATTTTCATAAATAATAAAATTTTTAAAAAGTTTTCAATTCATTACAGTAATTTTTACTAATTTATTAGTAAAATTTAAGAATTCAAAAGCAAATTTTTACTAATAAATAAATTATAGTAGAAATTACTAAATTATTAATAAAATTTGCTAATTCAAAAGCAAAAATACGTTTTTTTGAATATTTTTGAAGTAATATAAGTATTTCAATTTTCAATTAAAACTATATTAAAATTAATTGAATTATTATAAAAAATAAAATATTTTATTAAAATTTTGGAAAATAATTAAATACTTTAGAATAATTTTATTAAAAATTCTAGAAATAATTCAATTCTTCAAAGAAAGTACCTATAGGTATTAAAATTGCATTTGAAAATAATGAAATTTCTGCGAAGAAATTTATTATTTATAAAAATAATTGAATTCTTTCAAAGAATTTTTATTAATATTTACGAAAATAATTGAATTGTTTTAAAGAATTTTAGTGAAATATTTTTTAAATAAATGAATTTAATTATATTACAATTAAATTAAAAATAGTTGAATTCGTGCAAAGAATTTTGTAATTTATTAAAATAATTAAATTCTTTAGAGGAATTCAATTCAAATTAAATATTGGGAATAATTTAATTCATTTATTTTAAAAATATTTCACTAAAATTCTTTAAAACAATTCAATTATTTTCGCAAATATTAATAAAAATTCCTTGAAAGAATTCAATAATTATTTTTATAACTATTAAATTTCTTCGTAGAAATTTTATTATTTTCAAATGCAATTTTAAATTATACTTTCTTTGAAGAATTAAATTATTTCTAGAATTTTTAATAAAATTCTTCTTAAAGTATTTAATTATTTACAAAAATTTTTTATAATAATTCAATTATTTTTAATATAGTTTTAATTGTGAATTGAATTACTTATATATTACTTCAAAAATATTTTTAAAAAAACGTATTTTTGCTCTTGAATTACCAAATTTTACTAATAAATAGAAATTTCTACTATAATTTATTTATTAGTTTAATTTAATTTAATTTGATTTATTTATAATTTAAAATAATGATTTTATCACTCGATCTGGTCATGTTTTATAATAATATTCTTTCAAGTTATTGAATTTCAAAAGGTTCGAATTTGAAATTTTTTTTTTATGAAAAAATAATAATTATTAATAAAAGTAATTAAAGTAATAAAATTATGTTAAAAATAATTATTGTTGTTTCGAACAATTTTACAATTACGGAAATTCGTAAATAAATATGATAGAGCATTTTTTTTTTTTGAGTATCTAATAATTTTTAGAGTGAATCAGAATATTCTTTAGGGTCAGAGAAAAAGTTAAAATAATTTTGACTGGAAATCAGGGAAAAGTCAGGGAAAAAGAAAATTAAATTTTTGTGGTAACCCTGTGTAAAGAAAATTTTCAAATTAGACTAAATGTATTAATTTAGAACCAATTTTAGGAATTGAAGTAAAAAAAATGAAGCTTTATTACCTAAACGGTTATTCTAAACGGTTTTGATTCAAAACCCCCTTTGTTCTAATTTGACAACTTTTTTCTAAAAAGAAATAATGGGTTTATAAATTTTTGTTTTTTATGATAAAAAATGCTTTATATTGTTCGTTTAATATAGTGACACGCTTTGAAGAGAGATGTCTAAGAAGCAAATTTGTTTTAAGCTTCCTATACTATTTTTGCCTTTTAAATGTTTCTGTTTGATTTAAAAGTAAAATTTGCTTTTCTAAATTGTTTTCGATGAAGACAAACATTAATATAGTTTATATTTAGAGGATTTTGTGTATTTTCGGTATTTTTATTGCAAAAGTTATCTAAAATTTTTGCTGCTTAGATACCATTCTTCGGAGCGCAAATTCTAAGTATTTGTACCAGAAAAATTATACAAATACTTGATATAAAATTTAATAACATGCATTAAAATGTTGCATGCAATTTAGAATTTGCATTATTAAATAATCTAAGTTGAAATATAAAATAAATCGTTTTACCCTAAGGAGGCTTTTTAGTCATAACAGAAATAATGGTTTCAAGCCCTTGTGTTTTTGTATTATTTTTTTTAACAAAGCGATAAGTGTTAGTTGAATTTTATTACAAAAAGAGGAGTCAATTATTCGAATTTTAAAAATACATGTTTTACAAATTACAATAATAAATTAAATCACATTTTACAATATTGTCGAATAATTATTTTTTGTAAAATCTTTTTCTAAAGAGAATAAGAATAAGAAGAAGAAGAAGAAGAAGAAGAAGAAGAAGAAGAAGAAGAAGAAGCCTGTGAAATATTATGAATGAATATTAAAAGAAGCGTAAAAATTTATCTTCTGTGTGTGTGAAAAATGAGTAGAGAAGCAATATATGTCTCATGTTTTCATTGTGTCGAGATTCTTTTCCTCCATACGAATTGTTTTGATATCGCACAAGATGAAGAATTTGATTGTAAAGCATAAAGAATTCGAAACCTTGATCCCCAATGCAATTGTCAACAATATTTCAAATATTACGTTATATAACTACATGACTTTAATAGAAATGCAGGTGCAAAGTGGTGTATTACGTAACAGATTTGAAAGTAATTATACCGTTTCTGCATTACATGACAAATGGAGTTTTTAAGAATGATATGGAATGGAAAAAGAGAGACAGAGAGACAGAGAGTGAGAGAGAAAAGTAATGATAGATTATGTCTTGGACAAGAAACACAAACAAAAAAGTTTTTTTGGACACAAAATCTTGAAGGCAGACAATTTTATTATTATACATCATCACAAAACTAAAAGAAAAAAAAAGAGGACTTAATCGCCGGAAAAAATTAATTATACCGTAAACAAATGGAAGGATTAAAAATGTTTGGACGAAACAATTGAATATAATTCTTTTTCTTTTGTTAGAAGACTTTAATATATTTAAAGGAGGGTCAGGATTTCGGCGATTGAATTTTTTTTTGTTTTTACTTACTCGGAGGCTCTGCCAGCCCTCCGCTTGCGTCGCGTAGATATCTTTGGCCCCCCTGTTGGTTCAGCCCTAAACAGTCCATAAAACAAATAGGCCCTTTTTCACATATTGTGCACAATTTATTGCAAAAAGAAAGGAGAAACAAATTTTTTTCTTTTTTTGCCAAAAATGTAAATTTTTTCTAATTTTGCAATATGTCTAAATTATATTAATTATATCAAAGAATAAATGGGTTTAATATTATATACTGAAGTAATGTGTTTCTTCTCGATTGTATAAAAGTGTTTCTGTTTCATTGTCTCTAAATTTAAATCAGTGAAATATTATTCATTCTTAAAGACTCATTAATTATTCATCATCTTCATCATCTACTTTGCTTTCTTTTCTTCATTTGACGTACTTGGAAAAATTTTTATTTTTTTTTATTTTTATAAATTTTGGTGATATTGAAAATAAATTAAAGATTACAGGGATCACAGTCCCCTGTTTTACTTAATCCCATTTTTTTTAATCCCTTTTTATCCCTTAAAATACCTAAAATCATACATTTTCTTCCCTTTTTTCTTTATTTAACAACAAAACGAATAAAAATTGTTTGAAAGATTTTTGGTTATACTCGAAGAAAAGAATTTTTACTTTTTGCAAACTTTGAAAAAATTATAGTTTTTTAAAACTTACGAATTTTTTTATACAACTTTTGCTATTTATGAATTAAATTCCCAAACTATTTAAAAATTTCTGTAAAATCCTACTATTTTCAGAATAAATTTTACTCAATTTAAAGTATTTTTTTTACTAATTGTCAATAGAATTTACTACTATTATAAAATTGACTCAATATTTACTCTGGAAAAAATGATTTTTAATAACAAAATTTACTATTTTCAATGTTAATTTTTTTACAAAAGTTATTCCAATTTTTCTTGAATATGATGCAATTAAGTAGCTACCAAAATTTCTTATTTTTAGAGTAAATTTTACTATTTCTGAAGTAAATTTTTCTAATCTTTATAAAAAAAAATTGTCTTCGAAAATAGTAAAATTTATTCTAAAAATAACAATTTTTAATATTAAATTTTACTATTCTTGGAGGAAATTTTACCACAAGTTCGAAATAAATTTCACTAATTTTTTACTGCAATTCATTTCGGATATATAGTAAAATTTATGGAATTTTAAAACAAAAATTGCATTATAATAAAAATTTTGATTAAAAATTTAAAAAATTACAGACAATAGAAAAGATGAAAATAATTATACCTATCAATTAATTACTTCGGTTAAGTTCACAACGTTAATGTTCAACGATTGAACGAAAAAAAAATATTTTTTCTGACAAAAATAACAAAATGTTTTATTTACAAATTTTTCTTTTTCAAATTAATAAACAAAAAATTATGCAAATAATTTTTTATATAAAAATATAAAGAGAAAAATACTTTTTCTTCTAAATCGTTGACTATAAATGTTATAAACTTCACCAACGTAATTAATTAAAAGAAAAAAATTTAACAAATTAAGAAATTTATTAAATTAAAATAAATTAAAATTAAATTTAATTAAATAATAATGATTTCAAAAAGCTGTAACTAATAGAAAAGTAAAAAAAAATTTTAAAATAAATTGTTTACGCTATAATACATTTTTTTTACTCAATTTGAAAATTCCCCCTTTTTAAACTTTTTTTAAAACCTTTTTTCAAAATCACTATTTTTGAAAATTAATATCCCCCTTTTTTCTTATATTTCATGAAAAAATCACTGCGATCCCTGAAAGAAGAAGATTATTTTCGTGTTGTAAAATTAAATTTATTATAATTAATTAATTAAACTAATTATTTTCAATTAAAATGAATAATACTTCTGTATTTAAAATTTAGAAAGAGTGTGAGAAATTTGTGTCTGACAGTTGAAAAATGCAGATAAAATTCTTTAAAATAAGAATAAATAATAAATAACAAACAAAATAGAAAAACAGACGTTTTAATAAAACAGTTTAAAAAAAAGAAATAATAAATATAAAGGTAAAATAAAAAATAAAAATAAATTGACCTGTATTTTTTGAAAGTTATTAAATGATTTGTAAAAATTATATAGTATTTGATACAATTTTTTTTTTGCACAAAATAAAACATTCTTTTCAATTATTAAAATTTTTGAAATTAAAAAATTAAATTATATTAAAAATGAAATTTGCAATTCATTTATAAATAATAGTTTTAGAGTACTCTGGCCTTCAAGAATCTGAAAATAGTACATTTATTAGACGTACACATTAATAGGAAATATTACTTATAAAAATATGAAACGAACTTGAAAAAAATGATTTAAATGAAGTTTGTTTGAGTTTATTGTGCTAATGTAAGTGTCGAAAAAATGTTTTTAGACTGTTTTAATGAAATTTTTTATTTATGATAATTAATTTTAATTTTGTCTTTTTGAATAATTGTACAATCATAAGTAGATAACTCATGTTTTATTAAATTAACAACTTTTTGATAATTAGATGAATATTTGCTATTTTCGCTATTTTTTAACGCAATTAAATTATTTTCATTTATTTATTTACTTATATTTACTGAATAAATAAATTTTTATTTAAATACATTCAAACTATACGATTTTTTAATATCTACTGTTTCTTACTATTTATCATTAAAATTTTATTCTACTTTTTTTTAAAAACAAATGTCAGGCCTTTCAAAAAAAAGTTAAATTTAGAAGTTAACAAGAGCTTTGAATTATATATATATATGAAAGTCAATTATGACATATTTACATAATGACTTAGTCTTTTAGGAAAATCTCTGACAATTAACTATATAGTGTAGTAAGTTCTTTAGAAAAAATAAAAAAATTATTTTGAAATAAAAAAAAAAAAATTGGCGAACAATTATTTTTACTTATGCTTCAAATTATTTGAGACTGTTAACAAAGAAGGATATTTCAAGATTTTACAATATATTTATTTGTTCAGGTCATATATTGACCATCTTATGTTAATTAAAGATGTGAATTTGCAACTTTCGTAACTATAACTCATTAGCTGGCAAACTAAAGTCATCATTAACGCCAGATAGCGTGTTTAATTTTAGAAAATATCTGCTAAACAATATTTCAAAAAACAAAGGCAATAAATCGTTTGTAAAGTTGAATCTTGATTTTTTGAACAAAAATGTAACGTTGTCTTGACAAAGATGAGTGCACTGACTTAGGCTTTGACCTAATTTTACATACTTAACAATGTATTCTTTGATGTTTGTATATATTTTATAACATTTACTTTTTTTTATCAAGGGCCTTAAAAATGAAAAATTTGCATCATTATAATGAAGTGATAATTGTTTAAAAATACTGTCAGTGTCAAATTTCTTATTAAGAGCAGAGACAATATGAATGAATCATTGATTGTAATCGAATGATAAAAGACAGAAGAGAAACAAAATATTAAAACTTGATTTTAATGAAATAATTGACAATATTAAAATGCACAATTTTTGACAAATCTGTGCCAATCCATCGCCTCCAAATGTGGAGCTGGATTATTATTTTTCTTTTTTTTTACATGTTATAAAAGGATCTTAATAAAGAGGGGGGGAGGACTATAGAGAGGCAGGATCGCAGAATATATTATTTTTTTATAAAAAGAAAATGGATTTGCTAAGAAAATTGCTGGAACAATATTTCGAAACAAAGGGCTGCGATCAAAAAGTGTTAGTTTTTATTGACTTTAATCATATCACGTCCGAAAATACCTGTAGTATGACAGATGGCCATTTGACAGGACAAACCATCTGCGCTGATAACCTTTTAAATAGTTAGTCCATTTGAATAGCCAACCCTTCAAATCGCCTGAGCCATGTTGTATTTTAGGATCACTCATCTTTATATTAAACAACAATGCACTATTTCTTTAATGAGATTTTAAACACCGCAATAATCACCGTTCACATGATCATACGTATTGAACAAGACACCATTTTGAAATTGTGTTTTGAAATTATTCCGTAATACACCGCGGAATGAATACGTGGCAAGATCGGCAACAACCGATTTGTAAATATATATTCCCGTCGCTAGGTGGCTAGATAGTCAAATTTTCTGTCCCGAAAATTTAAAATAAATTAGAGAAATTTTCAAATGTCAATAGTACTAAAAATTTTTGTTGTTGTGGAAATGAATTTTACGTCCTAATGTGTCAAACTTTTTTTTGTTTGTTTTTAAACAATTTTGGTATTAATTGTGTACTTGATGATTGTCTATTTAACGTACGATAATTTTACATGTTAATTCTATTAATTATTAACGAGAATTTATTTTTTAAAAATAAGATTAGATAATGAAATAACAAAATTTTAAGTTTGAGACAATTTAGCCCCTGTTTGTAGACAATCTCTTACACTCATGTTTGACTAGCAGATCTAAGTCTTATCTTATTTCCTAATCATAATTTCTTCTGCCTTTTTGGTGCATGTAAAGCCCTAAAATGACTTTTATTTAAAATTTAGTAAATGATAATCTACTACCAAAATTAGGTAGTTAAAAATTTTTTAATACAATTAAATTGATAAAATTAAAATTTTAGAAATAAATTAATATAATAAATAAATACCTAAACGAATGAAATAAAAATAATAAATAATTATTTAAATTAATACAAGAGTAAACAATACAATAAATGTTTAATAATTTATTTATTAATTAATTATTTATTAGAATAATCTAATTATTATTATTATAAAATTATAAATTGTTATAAAATTAATTATAACCCTAAAAATATAATGAATTAATTATTAATTTATTTCATAATTATTATTATTTTTATCTCAATCTTTAATAATATATTATTTTATTATAAATAACAATAATGAGTAAAATAATTTAAATTGATATACATATTACAATTAAAGTTCATTAATAATTAAAATTACTAAAATAATTAAAATAATGATCTTTTAATTGCATAGTTTCAAGTTCAATTTTATTTTTAGTATTTATTTATAAACTGCACTTTGGAAAAAAAATTTTTTGTTTATATTAATATATAATGTATTTTTATATGAAAAATACATTTTTGTCTTTGAAGATGAATATTATAATTCGAATTTAAGATGCAAAGGTCGCAATTTTTCGAATAACATTGATGCGACCTTAACATAATTTTCCATAAGTAGAAATGATTTTATAAGAGTAATATATAAACTTTTGAAGACAAATCCTTTTGCAATTATGTGATAAAATACAGCGTGATATTTTTATTTTCTTAAAAAAATTATCTTTTTTCTAAATTAAATTTTCAAAATTAAAATAGAATTAAAAAATTAAATTGTTCGATATTGAATAATATTATTGAATTGAATTAAAATTAAATTAATAAATTAAAAAAATGAATTATGAATTAAAATAATTAATTAAAAAAAGAATTAAAAAATTGAATTAAAAAAAGTTAGTTTTTGAATTCATGAAAAAAATTCACTTTTTTTTAATTCAAGGTAAATAATACAAATTTATTTGATTTTTTGCTTTCTCATAGATGAGGAAGGATGTATTTTTAAATTCAATTAATTTTTCTCGAATAACAATATTTTTTAACGCGAGATAAAAAAAAATGTTCTAACAAGTTTTGTACATAGTATTGTAAATTTAAATGAATTTAAAAGATTGGAAACTTGATTCGATCAACATTAAAAAACACTCTAATGATTATACAAATTAACAAACACAGGAGGATAAAAATAATAGTAAAATATTTTTCCCAGTTTGTGCAATAAGAAGGAAAATTTTATTTATTGAGGGAATTCCATGCAGTAACCTTTTTTTCTTCTTCTTCTTACTAATTAATGTTCATTTGAATATACATAAATAATTGCGACATTGGCAGTGAAAAAAAGAAACAAAGACATTTCAAATATTTCCAATTTCAAAAATTCTTCTTCTTCTTTTCCCATTGTTTTCCTAAATTGAAAAATGAAAATTTATTGTTTCTTTAAAAAAAAAAATTGTTAATTACCCAAAAGTCGAGTTTTAATTTGAGATTATGTTATTGACTATTATTTAGTACCTATTGTTCATTAAAAAAGTAGTATTTATTACCTCGCTCTTTCGTCGAGTAAAAACTATTAATTTATTAACTGTTATTTATTATACATATTATGTATATCTATATTTGATAAATAATTACTTATATTTATTATTTTGCTAGGAAGCTAGTGTTTTGTAAAAATAATAAAAATTGAAAAAATAAAAATGGAAAAATAATTTTAAAAAATGAAATAAAAATTAAAAAAAAGAAATTTCTTAAGCTTTTTGAGAAATAAATAGAGAAAAGAAGTTCCTGCGAATCTAGAAAAGAAATTTTATTCATTTATGCATAAAATAAATCAAAATAAATTGGACTTTAAAAGACAAACTGCATATAGAATCTTTTATAGTAAGAATTGCACAATATGTTATTCCAGCAATCACCTCGAGCACTCTACCATAAATAATTTTATTACGATTGTCTCATATAATTTTTTAACGCTCAAAAGTGTCGGAAACAATGTCAATTTAAAAAAAGACTAAAAATCAAAGGTTGAAACAATGGAAAAAGATAATCCATTATTCCTGTACTTTTACAAAATTACAACAATTGTGGATAATAGCCAAAAAAAACAATTTTTTTTTCAAGTTAATTATTAACCATAAATAATTAGTGAAAAATAATTAATTAAAATTATTTAACAATCAATAATCATTATAACTTATCATAATAATGAATAATAATTTTTTAAAATTATTTATCATTAATAATCATTTATCTATAATTTATTCGTAATCAATTATTTAGAATTTAATAATAATAATAATTTAATATAATAAATAATATAATAAATTTAATAATAAATAATAATAATTAACCAATAATAAATTAATTTATATTTATCTACATTTACTACTATAATTTTCAAGTAAAAAAAAAATATTCTTGGAATTAAATTTATTAGCTAGTGTCGCATTTTAAATAATTTTCTTAATGATAATAAATTTATTTTCTCGACTGGTTCGCTTATTGTGAGTTAATATGAAAGTCATATAGATTTTAAATTTGCAAATTTAACTGTGCGAATTTAATATTCCGATTATGAAACGTTATATGTTAATTACTTTGACATATTTTTAATGCTATGTCATCAAATTTTTTTCCGAATGTCTATAGCAATTTTTGAAAAAAAAATCTCTTCAAAATATTCGCATTTATCGCAAAACTGTCAAATATTTATGCATTTTAATATTTAATAAAATTTTAAGCAAAATCAAATAAAATTAAGTAAAATAATTAAATATAATAATTTTAAACATATGATAATTGAAAAAAATTATTATTTATCATAATATTTTCTTATAATTTTTTATTATATTATTTATTGAAAAATATAATAATTAGTTTTCCAAATGAACGAAATATTTTTCTGTGCTCCAATATTTTTTCAAAATTACTAGAGTTAATATAAATAATTGCAGAAATTCAATTATTTTCAAGAGTGATAAAATTCTTCTCATAAAATTCAATTATCTTTGAAATTGAAAAAAAATTCTCGTCAAAATCCCATAATTATCTTTATAAATACATACAAAAATTTTTCCCCATAGTTCAATTATTTTCAAATCAATTTCAAATTCATAAAAATAGTACGCAAACATTTAATTATTTTTATAAATAATAAAAATTTCTCAGGAATTTAATTATTTACAAATTTTTTATAAATTCCTTCGCAATAATTCAATTATTTTTATAAATAATAAACTTTTTTTAAGGAATTCAATTATTTTTATAAAAATAATTAAAAATTGTAGAAAATAATAATTGATTTGAAATGATGAAAATAATTTTGAAAAAGTTACTGTAATATTTTTAAATTCTTAATTCCTATGGAAAACTAATATTGATTAAATATTTATTTTAAAAAAAGTTATTGATGTTTTCGAATAATTTTACAATTAAAGAAATTCGTAAATAAATGTAACAGAACATTTTTTTGAGTAAAATTTTTTTCTTTATTTTCTAAAAATTTAAAAAGTTTCAATTTCATCAATTAAAATTTGTAATTTGTAATAAAAGAGAAGAATGAGTTTCTGAACAATATTGTTATTGAGAAATATAAATTATGCATAAAATGGGTATATTTCCTATTTCTTAATTATAATTTTTTAACAATTAACAATTTTCTCATATTTTTTATAAATAAAAGGGAAAAATTTTGCATAATTTGGATCAGTTAAACGAAATTGGTTATACAGGGTGGCCACATGCCAGTAAAGTCAGGGAAATGTCAGTGAAACAAAATTTTTGTCAGTAAAGTCAAGGAAATGTCAGCGAAAAAATTTTTTGTCAGTAAAGTCAGGGAAATTAAGAAAATTGAGAATTTTTTCAAATTATTTTTTAAAATTGTGACTTTTTCGACTTTTCTTCCAAACATTTCAAGTATTTATTTACAATTTTTAAAAATCAATTTTTGAAGAATTTTAATTGCTAATTTTGAAAATAATTGAAATATAAAAAATTTTAATATGAAAAATCTTTAAAGATAAATTTAAAAATGAAAATTAATGTACATTAGCTTCTAATTTTTTAAAATTCAATATTTTTAGTATTTTCAATTACATATTTCCAAAAATTCAAATACATACAAAAATAATAACATTTTAGTATTATTTTTAACATTTTGGAGCATACAATCAAGTTCAAAATTTTTAATTAAAATTGAAAAAAAATTAATTATTTTTTTTAAATTATACAAATTTTTTTTTAAGAAATCCAATTATTTTTGAAAAATTACATTAAAATATTTTTAAAAACTAATTGTTTTATAATAATTTTTTAAGATTCAATTATCTTCGAACAATGTAAATAAAAATTTATGAAAATTTACTTTTCGGACTTATTAAAATTTTTGAGAAATCATGGTCCTGTTTATAATTAAAATTCTTCAACAATTTGATCATTTTTATTTATATTTTTCAAAAATTCAATTATTTTTAAAAGATTTTACCAAATTTTATTATAATTGTTTGTAAATTATTCAAAATTGAAAAACTAAATTACCGTCAACTGCGGGGCTATTTTGTGCATCCGGGGGCTATTTTGTGCACGCGAGTTTTTTAATGAAAAAAATTATTAAAATGAATTATTTTAATCTGCTATTTTGTTAAATGAAAGTTGGATTACATGACAATAGAGAGCACTAAATGTTATTATTTAATTCTTTGTCAATTAAGAGAAAAAATTTCCTAAAAACGGAAAATTTGTTTAAAAAATTTTGAAAGTTCGGAAAAATTATACCATATCTTCTAGAGTTTTAATGTGTCTCATAAACTGAGTTAGATATTTGTTGTCAATTGTGTTGTGATGATACATACGTAATGCGCTAACTTTTTATTCATTATTTTAAGAGAAAAGTGGAAAAAATCAAATATTTTTCAGAAATGTTTTATTTAGTAAGTAAAGAAGATTCTGTATATCATTTTTATACATTTTTGTCTTACTTTTCTGCCAAACAATATTTTAAAAAAAAAAAAAACAAAAGCATACACAAAAACTAACTTCAAAGTGTGGACAGACAGAATAAAATAATGAAATACGAAGAAGTTCATTTCTTTTTCTTTTTCTATTTTTATTGTTATATTATAATTATCACATTAATAATTTTCACTTTTTGTTCTTAAATAATTGTTTTTTATAATCTAATCATTGATCAGTGTGTGCGGTACATTTTTTCTGCAAAATAACAAAGATAAATCACTATAAATTGTCATATTAAATTGAATTGAAATTTTTTTTTTTTTTTTAAATACCTAGTAACACTTTCTAACTGATAATGAGTAATTCTGAGATTGTTGAGGATGGGAACAAAAGATGATTAGATTAAGTCAGCATCAGGGCGCAATGATAGAGATAAAATTATACCTGTATATAATTTTTCTCTAGGACAACTTTCTGAGTGCATCATATGTATATACTAAAATATTATGCACATCTAATATACTTACACGTTTATTAACTTGTGTGCATATAGACAGTTATTATGTGGCCGATATGGCTTGAAGGCAATTAGTACTATTGTTATGATTCGAATAGGAATGGATACACTTTGCTTTAAAGTCTCAGTTACTATCAAGAGTTCAGAGTCACCAGTTGACTTTTCTACTTCACAAGTTTTGTGTATTTTTTTTCCCTTACTTTCGCATCCTGTAAATAAATTACATAAATAAATATTAATTTCAAATATCACTTCAAGTGTTTATTCGTATAATTTTTTTTTCTTTCTTCTTAAATATTTTGCGAAAAGACAACGTAATGTTTAAACAAATGGATTATTGTTGTGTGATATTTTCTTAAGTATCTGAAATTTCGAAAAAATGTTTTATTCTAAAGAAGGAAAATAATTTCTTTCAAATTTGAATTTTTATTAAATAAAAATTGAATTATTAAAAGAAGAAAAGTGAGTGATAATTATATTTAAATAATTGTACATTATTAATTTTTCATAATTGGAAAAATCAAGTGATGACGAAAAAATGAACCTTTCGGTTGAGAAAATAAAAATTTAGTGATAATTTTTCGCACGTTCGGTGAACAATGTAAAGGACCTGAATTCAAGAAAAAAAATTCTTTTTTCATTGAAAACGGATCAGTTGCATCATGTTTCAGCATTCTCAAGAGGAGTCATTAGCTAACGGAAGAAGAGTATTAGTCTTAAAAATGTCGAGGCAGTGAATCTGGATTGTGTAAAAAAAATATCTTACAAGAGGTGGAATGAAAAAATTGTGTTTTCTTATTGGAGAAAAATGCTTAAATATCTGCGTGTGAATAAAACTAAAGTCATTAAGAATTTAAATACTCACATACTGAAGTAAAAAACTATATTTTATATCTAATTTTCTATCGAGAAAAAAGAAGAAACAAAAAAAGAGGAGAAACAAACAAAGAAGAAAGAACAAGAATAAATATTAAAACAGAAAAAAATGATTAACGATAATTTAGAATTGGGCAAAACAAATTTATTATTTCTAAAAGAGGAAAAATCCTCAATTGAAAGAGATGAGACGAGAACTAATTTGAATTTAGGAGCCTCGGATGATCCACCAGGTAAATCGAGTAAGTCGACGCAAATAGATATTTCTCAATCGGGTTGGAAGACGAGTTATGGCCAGAGATCAAGACCATTGTCAATGGGTCATTTATCGAGACAAAGTCAATATGTTGAGTCAAATTATTCGGGAATGTCATCTGCTCAAAGTGAAGTGATAATATCGCCTAGAAATCGTTATCAAAATAGATATATCGCCGTTGATATGATGAAATTAATGCCAAATCAACAACAATCCGTTAATCATTTGCCGATGAATAATCAAAATTGCAATTGCTGTTGTATGTGCAATGGCTCACAACAAAAACCAAATGGATTGGGTCCCGATGCATTGGAGGATCAGAATGGACCGGAGGGTCTCTCATGGCGAAGACTGCATATGAGTAGAGCAAAACTTAAAGCCACTGCAACCACATCTGAACTTTTAAGTGGTTTTGCAATGGTGAGAATATTTTATCTGAAAAAAATAGAAATAATAGTTAATTTCTTGTGAGATTTAATTGAAAAATATTAGTTTCGAATTCATTCGATTCGTTGGGCAATTGATTCAATTCAAAATTAAATATAGATTTATCAGGTTTTTAGACCATTTTTTTCAAATACTAATAGAAATCTTATTTTGAGAAATTTTCTCTTTTTCTATAAAGAACTATAAAGAACGAATTTTACTACTTTTATAGCAAAAACTATAAACTGACAGAAATTTCCAACTAATTTTTACTTCGGGAAAGTAAATTCTACTTTTTCTAAAGTAAATTTTTGGGAAATTTAGTAAAATATACTTAGCAAAAATTACTCTAAATTAATTTACTCTTAATTTACACAAAATAGTTAAAGTTGACAAAAATACACAAAAGTTCCAGACAATTTAGAATTTAGGTTTTTAAATAGGAAAAGTTAATTATGTTCAATTTTTGAAAGCTGAAATGAACAAAATATTTTCATGATTTACTGATTTTAATAGAAATTAGAAAACTTTATTTTACAATAAGAAACTTCATAGCTAATTAATTTTTTTTTGATACGTAACGCAAAATTATTGTCACCATTTCTTCTAAGGATATCAAATTGAAACAAAAAACGAATCAAAACGTTGCTTCGTAATTCTTTTGATTCGTTTTTTGTCTGAATTTGATATCCTTAGAAAAATTGTGGTAATAATATTTGAACACAAATTTTATTACACAAAATATCCTAATTTTGTGTTAAAATTTTGATAAATAAAATTCAAATAAAATTTGAACAAAAATTTTAAACGTTGAAATGAACAACATATTTCTCATTAAAAATATTAATTTACTGATTGTAATAAAAATTAAAAATCTAAATTTTACATTTAGAAACTTTATTTATTATTATTATTTTTTTTTTATAAGTGACACAAAATGATTGTAATTAAATTTTTATTTGAAGAAGAAATAAATAAATTTTGTTCATTTGAACGTTCAGAACTTCTGATCCACAATTTTTGAACGTTGAAATAAAGAAAATATTTTCCAATAAAAATATTAATTTACTGATTGTAATAAAAATTAAAAACCTAAATTTTACAATTAGAAACTTTATAATTAATTTTTTTTTATACGTGACGCAAAATTATTGTAACAAAATTTTAATTAAAAGTAGAAATAAATAAATTTCGTAATTTGAACGTTCTAAATTTTTATCCACAATTTTTGAACGTTGAAACGAAATATTTTCATAAATAGTAATTTATGGAAATATTTCGTTCGTAATAAAATTTGAAAACCAAAATTTTACATTTATAAATTTTATAATTAATTTTTTTTGAATACGTGACGCAAAATTATTGTCATAAATTTTAATTGGAAGAAGAAATAAATAAAATTCGTTCATTTGAACTTTCAGGACTTTAGGAACATAAAAGTTAGTCTATTATTTTTTCTTGTTAAAAAAAATTTTGAAAACTGAAAATTTTCAATTTTTAGTTTTTATTTTTTAAATTAAAATTAAAATTATTTTTATTTTTTTTTAGTTTGGATCTTCATTTTTTGAATTTTTTATTCATGAAAAAAATATTTCCATCATTTTATTAAATATTTCAGTATTAAATTTAAATACTCTTTTTGCTTCGATTGATTCATATTTAAATTTATATTTACACTTTTTGCCGCACTTTATTTGCGTTTTAAAAAGAATTATTGAAAACTCATCATTCTCAAAAATTATTTTCACAAAGTAAATTTTGAAATAATTGATTTATTGACATTGCAATTTTTTTTTTTTTTTTAATTATTTTTGCTGCAAGCTCATCATCATTAAAGTCGGGATTTTTTTTTTCATTAAAATTTCTTATAATAAACAAGAATCGAAATATAATATAGTGATAATAAATAATTTATAGCAATATTTCGAAATGAATTATATCAGAAATAGTATTTCTTTTTTTTCAAAAGAAATTTCTTTGCGGAAATATTTTTTTCTGAATTTTCATTCATTCTTGAAAAGATTTATTTTTGAAAAAAAGAAATAAAAATATTTTCTGAAAATTTATGTAAGTTTCTTTAAAGAAAATTTAAATTTGATTTTTATAGAGGTTTAATATGTATATCTAAAAGTCTATTATAATCAATTGGCCATGTAGTCAACAAAAGGCAATTAAAAGATTATTACAATTTTCAGAAGTAGTTTTATGATTCAGTAAATAAACGGCGATAAGAAATGCGGTAATTCTATTTAAAAAAAGAGATTTCCTCAGATTTAAGTTCTTTAGTACTTCAAAAAAAATTTTTTGTTTAAAAAAGAGAGATTTTTAATCGTTTTCAATTTATAAAAGAAGGGAAAAATTGTCTTCTTGAGATTTTTTTGTGAATTTTTCTACATTGTAAAGAAAATTGTCGAATTAATACGTTGCTGAAGTTTACAACGTTTATAATCAACGATTTAGAAGAAATAATATTTTCTATTCAAATTTTTAGATATTTTTGCACAAAAACAGTTTTATAAATTTTCAATTGAAAATTGAAAATAGATATAAGTATTTCAAAATAAACTATTTGAACTAGAAAGACTATTTGAAAATAGTTTTTCTTTTTCTCACCATTTTCAATTGAAAATTAAAAATCAAAAATTAAAAATTGCAAATTGAAATAGAAAAATTTGTAAACAAAACTTTTTGTTTTCGTCAAGAAAAATATTTTTTTCTTGCAAAAAAAACTGAAATGAATTTTGATTTTCGTTATTAATTTTTGTTTAGGTGGCTATGGTTGAGTTGCAAATAAACGAGCCAACAGAAGTTCCTGAATGGCTATTCGTAATGTTTGCCGTTTGTACAACTGTACTAGTTTCTGTTCATATATTCGCCTTAATGATAAGCACATATCTTCTGCCAAATGTAGAGGCCATTAGTAAACTTCAAGTAGCCAGTCTCGTTACGGAATCACCACACGAACGAATGAGAGGTTTCATTGAATTGGCCTGGGCATTTTCAACAGTATTAGGACTCTTTCTTTTTTTAGTTGAAGTTGGAATTCTCTGTTGGGTGAAATTTTGGGATTATTCATTCACCGCTGCTACAGCAAGTACTGTCATTGTGATACCAGTGCTCATTGTTTTCGTTGCATTTGCCGTTCATTTCTATCATTCTCTGGTCGTTTATAAGTGCGAGACTTCTGTAACTGACATGAATGAATTAGAAAACATAAAAAGGAAGTTAGACAATGTGACGATCAATCAAAGTAGTGTATAAATAAATTCAATGTCAATTCTAATATTTCTCCTTTTGTTTCAATTTTAAGACTCAAAAAATAAAATAATGATAAAGACAACTTAAATTGTTTTTTATTGCATTTTTAGTTATAATTTTCAAACTATAAAACAAAATCAGAATATTCTATTCTAATTTTAATTTAAGTAAATTAAAATAAAGGTTGTCCTAAATGACTGTAAACTGTGATAAATTAATTTTTTTCTTTATTTGTATTTTTTAATTAAGCTTAAATAACACACACATACACACGAGATGAAAAAATGTTCGAAAGCCTTCACGCAGTCAATAAAAAAAAAGATAAGATAACATTCAGAAAAGAATTTTTTTGTGTTTGTATAAAAAATGAAACAATAGTTTTGCATATTAAAAATTCTTTTCAACAATAATATTAAGGGGAAGGTAATTTTTTTTTGTTGAGATTTATGTTCTATGATAAAAAAAGTCTACTAAATAAAATATGAAATTTACGCATCGTGAGGAATCATCGTTTATTGTACAATGTTTTTTTTCAGTTCTACTATATTTTAATCTGCAATCTAGATATAGATTTGTATTACAGAACTCTATGTTATTTCGTTAATTATAATGAAATGTCGGTTTTTATTTTTTGTTTGTAAGATACAAACTTCTTGTACAAAAGTTAAATTTCACTTCTAACTGTGAATGTACAAAAAAAAATGTTATTTGTATCGAACAGTCTTTTCCCAATAAATCTATTAAAAAAATAATAGTACAAAACAATATATCCTTTAACTAATATTGTAAAATTACTTTATAATAAATTATTATTAGTAATAGTTCAATTTTTTTTCACACATTAACTTATTGAATAGTTAAGAAAAAAAAATTTTTTTTTAGTGAAAATAAAACATTTTTTTTTTAATTACAATTTTTCAATTAAATTTAATTTAATTAAAAGAATTTAAATATTTTTCTCTTTTTTATAAGTTTTTTCTCTCTTTTTTTTTTAGAATAAGATAATTTTTCAATTCTTCGATAAAAATAAAAGAATAATTAAAATAGAGGGTGAGGGGAGAAATCGCTTGTGCTATGGACGGGTGAACAAGTATCGGGAAGAAACTTATCGAAAATCAGTAAATTATCTCTATACAATTAAGAGATATACTTAAAATCTAATCTTATATTTTAATATTGAAATATCTTTTTCACACAAACGTTTTGGATTTAAATGACATAATTTTTGTTCCTTTCTATTACGTATTTTTCTTTTACGTTCTTTTTAATAACAACAAAAATTCGCTTGCAAGTCTAGTGCAGACAATGATTACTCGTGAATAAATTTTTAAGTTTCCGGTACATTGGAAATGTTATCGATCATGTTTAATATATAAAGTGATTAAATTCGCTGATCGAACACTTATAACTTACTATTTATATAATTTGTCCGTGAAAATCGGTTTTTATTTTCAAAAAATTATTCGAAAAAGTTGAACATATTCAATATTCAAATAAATATGAGAGCAGTGAGAAAATTAAACTAAATATAATCATATTTAAATGAATCTTTCGTCCAACAAAAATATCTATCAAATTGGCATTTTTTTAAAAATATTTTCAGTCTTAGAATAATAAAAGCAATTACATAAATTAAATTGTCAAAAAAATATCCCATCCATAGCATGAAAGTTTCAATTTTTTTTTACTTTATGCAAAATGATTCCCCGATTTTTGTGACTATTTTTAAACCGCAAGAATTAAACTCTTTTTGAGTTTCATTCTTTCAAGATAGTAAAGACTTATTTTTTAACGTAGAGCTTAAATTCTTTATCTTTTAAGTTAAAAATTAACTCTACTTTGTAACTCTTTTTCTTTTTTTAATCGAGAAATAAAGAGAAGCTTGACCTTTAGTAACTCTGCCTGCAGAAAACTGCAACTCCAAAACCCAAAAAAATTTTTTTTCATATGTAGAAATTATAATGAATATATTTACACAAATATTACTTCGTATCAAACTAAAGCAACTTTAAAATACGATCACAACCTAAATTTGCATTTACTGGATTTATCGTGTATTCCTTCGAGTAACATTTTTACAATCTTTTTTTTTTTTGTTACTTGAAGAGTAACTCTACGTATTACGTACAATTGGGAGTGTGACAATTTGTTAATAATAAATTAAATAAAAAATCTCCTGTATTTATATCAATATATATAATATATAATATACTAATAACAACGTTTAGAGTGGAGTTTTTTTTGAAAATAAAAGGATTTCAAAAATTAAATACAGTTCATATTCACATATGGAAACATAATTTTTCAAATTGGTAATATATCCACAAAATTTCCTTCATGGTATTTAGTGAATCCATATTTAGTGAATACTTTTGTACACACTTAGTTCTTTTTTTTTGTTCTAAAAACTTTTTTTTCATGATCACATAAAACTGTAAATATTCAACAAGATTTTAAATCCGAAAATTGTTTTTTTTATCTTTTCTCTACAACTAGAATAAAAGGAATTAACAAGCATCAAAAATTTTCCACTAATCGTATATCATAAAATTCGTATTTAAGAACACGATATGACTCTCATATCGTATATATTTTAATATGAAATAATTCCTTATGTCTGATTACAATACCTATTAATAATAATTTCGTTCAATTTTTCTTTTTTCTTTTTGTTCGATTTTCTTATTTGTTCGCTTTTCTTTAAATGACAACACTTTCTTTTTTGTTACTCCACTCTCTTTTTTAACAGGCTATGTAAAATTAAATAAATCACTGAATAATAATAATATATATACCTATAGTTACATACAGTCCTTGTTCATTTTTTTCTGTTGATGTAAATTACGTTAACATCTTAATGACGAGAATAAAAAAATGTCTCATCTAGGATGAAACGAGAGGATTACTTACGTAGAAATGATACTGATGTAAAAAATGAATGAGATGCTTATAAGAACATGTCCAATAGAAATTGCGAGAATGCATAGAGAGCTGTCAAACCTCCATGTGTTTTGTTGGTACTTGAGATATGAAAGGTTCACTCCACATTCGACGTAAATCCCCCTGAAATTTATTTTTTTATTTTAATAATAATATCAGAGTAAATTGTGAATTTAATTTAATTAATGTAATTAAATTAACAGGGCTCGAACCAGTGAAAGTATTTAAAAAATACAGACTTTACGGAATTACTGAAAAAAAATATAACCAGTCAGAGTCAAATAAGAGAACATTTTACTTAAAACCATATAAATTAATTTTTTTCATAACCATAAAACATGAAGATATCGATCACTCCGAGTCTTCGACTCGGACTGATCGATTTCTTCATGTTTTATAATAATTGAAGATAACCGAGTAATAAAATCATTATTTTATATTATAAGAATATTGTACTTCTTCAAAATTATTTTCATCATTTCAATTCAATTATTATTTTCAAGAATTTTTAACTAAAATTCTTCTTTAAATCAATTAATTTTCGAAAAAAGTTGTCTGACAATTTTCAAATCCATTTGTTTACAATATTCAATTTTACGAATTTCAATTATTCGTAAATTCTTCAATTAAATATATAATTTAGAAAATAAAAACTTCTATTAATAAAAAAAAAATTCAATTAAACTTTTTTAACAAACTTAATTTCAAAATTTAATTTATTATTTAAAATTTTAAATAAAATTTTTAATAATAATTACATTTTCCGAGAAATTCGATTAAAATTGTTTTAAAAATAATTGAAATTCTGCGATGAGTTTTATGATCTATGAAAATAAGTCTCTTGAAAACAGTCGATTTTCTGCAATAATTTGTAAATTCTTCAAAATTAATTTTTTTTTTTTATTGTTTTAACTAAGAATTTTTTATAAATCCATTATTTTTAATAATTTTTAAAAAATTTTCTTGAGAATTTTCAAATTTATTTCCTTTTAACTGAAATTTATTTTTAAATTAATTTTTATCAGAAAATTATACTAGAATTCAATTATTTAAGTAGAAATAATATTGAAGATTTAATTTAATTCTTGAAGATAATTAAATTTTTGCGAAGAATTTTATTACATATAAAAATAATTGAATTTTTGTGAAGAATTTTATTAAAATTCTTGAAGATAATTCAATTTTTGCAAAGAATTTTATTATTTACAATAAAAATTGAATTTTTGTGAAGAATCTTATTCTTTATAGAAGTGATTACATTTTTTGTGAATAATTTTATTAAAAATCTTGAAAATAATTGAATTTTTGTGAAAATTTTGATTAAAAGTGTTGAAAGTAATTGAGTTCATAAAAAGAATTTTATTATGTTCGAAAATAATTAAATCCTTGTAAAAAATTTATTATTTTTGAAAATAATTGAATTATTTCGAAGAAATTTATAAAAAAAATTTGTAAATAATTGAATTCCTGTCAAAATTTATTTATTTTATGAAAATAATTAAATCTTTGCGCAGAATTTTATTAAATTTTTTATAAATAATTGAATTCTCTTGGAATATTTTATTAAAATAGAAGATATTAAAAATCATTGAATTGAGGAAAATTTTTGAAAATAATTGAAATTTTGCCAAGAATTTTATTAAAATTTTTGAAAATAATTGAATTTCGGAGAAGAATTTTATTATTTCTAAAGATAATTGAATTTTTGCGAAGAATTTTATTATTTATAAAAATAATTGAATTTTTGTGAAGAATTTTATTAAAATTCTTGAAAATAGTTGAATTTTTGCTAAAAATTTTATTTTTTATAAAAGTGATTAAATTTTTTGTGAATAATTTTATTTAAAATCTTGAAAATAATTGAATTTTTGTGAAAATTTTGATTAAAATTCTTGATAGTAATTGAGTTCATAAAAAGAATTTTATTATTTACAAAAATAATTGAATCCCCGTAAAAATTTTATTATTTATGAAAATAATTCCTGTGAAATTTTTATTATTTTATGAAAATACTTAAACGTTTGCGTAGAATTTTATCAAATTGAATTGAGGAAAATTTTTGAAAATAATTGAATTTTTTCCAAGAATGTTATTAAATTTTTTGAAAATAATTGAATTTCGGAGAAGAATTTTATGATTTCTAAAGATAATTGCAATTTTGACGAGAATTTAAATTTTTTATTTTAATTTATAAACATAATTAAATTTCCGCGAAGAATTTTTTTACTTTTAAAAATAATTGAATTTCTTCAATTATTTGTAATTTTTCTAAATTTCTCCAAATTATATCGTAGAATTTACGAACTTTTCGTCCTTTTCCATTCAAATTATGGACTTTACGGACTTAGTTCGAGCCCTGAATTAATTAAATATAATTAAAATATAAAATGATTGATAAAAAGTCACCTTTAAATATGCCATTGTGAGCAATGGCAATAATGTAAAGGGCACGAGGTACAATAAGGCAGGCTGTGCAGCTTTGAACACCTCGGAGCTGACTGTGGCAGTAAGTAGACCAAGAAAATAACCAATGAGAGAGCAATGGAAGTAGCTGATGCGACTGAGATGTCGAGGTGGAGGTACGCCCGCCTCACAACCACCGGGCATTAATTGAGTCTTTTTATATGCATCGTATCTTAATACAAAGCAAAGTAAAAGTCCTGGCATCACAACATCGCCAAGACCCAACATTGAAAAATGTCCCGACTGATGCATCGATGGGAATACTAATTTTCCAGGTAATGATAATTTTGGCGCTTCTCTTGCAACACTTCCCAAGTGAAATCTCCTAGCAACCAAACCCACTGGATTATCCGCAGGACGTGTAGCTACCTGTTAAAATCAAATTTACACTAGAGAGACCATTTTGAATTTCAAATAAGGAAGCGGATCTGATTTTCACGAATTTTAATGAAGCTTGCAATTTTAGACCAAGATTTAACTAAAGATTTAACTTTGTTATATTCAAATGAAAATATGGTTGGAAATTAAAATACTGTTTTTTTTTAATGTTAGGGATCACATTTAGTCCCACTTTTATCTAATTCGTTTCTTTTTCCACTTTTTTTATTCCCTTAAATTAGTAAAATCCCCTAAAACAACTAAAATCATACATTTTCTCCCCCTTTTTTTCCTTATTTTTCAGAAAAACATAAAAATTGTAATTTTTGTTTATTAGAATTATAGATACTATTTCCAGAATAAATTTTACTAAATTCAAAGTATATTTTACTAACAATTTCCAATAAAATTTACAACTGATATAAAATTTATTCTGGAAATGATTTTTAATAACATAATTTACTAGGTATTTACAATTTAATTTCCTCTTTCTTTAAAATTTACTCTCTTTTTGAAAATTGAACCCCTTCCTTAAATAATATTTCATAAAAAAATCACTGTGATTTCTATTTTCCTAAAGTTTCGAACGTTCATATGAACTTATTACTTTAATAATAATATAAGAAGTTTATCACTTTCAATTTGACGTTTATTTACAAAATACTGTTCTTATAATTAAAAACTTAATTTTTGACTAAATAATAGTTCAGTTAAAATATTATTATGCAAATTAACAAAAATTGTTATTTTCAAATATTAATTTCAATTTTCGAATAATTCCAGATTCCAAATTTTTAAAAAGTCAATTACTAACTAATTTACTAATTAATTATAATTATTTAATTGTTTTTAAAAAGTTTACTTATTTTCAATATTTTTCAATCTTATTCAATTATTTTTAGTACAATCTCTATAAAATTTCTCGAAAAAATTCAATTATTTTTAAAAATTTGATAAAATTCTTCGCAAAAATTCAATTATTTAAAAAAATTTTTAAATTCTTTATGAAAATTAATATTTTTAATGCAATTTTAATTAAATTTCTCGAAAAAATTCAGTTATTTTCGAGAATTTTAATAAAATTCTTAGCAAGATTTCAATTATTTTCATAATTCATAAATTTTTTCGTAGGAATTGATTTATTTTAAAGAATTTTAATAAAATTCTTCGCAGAAATGTTATTATTTTGAAAAAATTTTGGTAAAATTTTTTAGAAGAATTCACTTATTTTTAATTTAATTTTCATAAAATTCTTACCAAGATTTCAATTATTTTAATAATTAATAACATTTTTCGAAAGAATTCAATTATTTAAAAAAAAATTGTAAGTAATAACATTTCTTGAAAGAATTTAATTTTTTCAAAAAATTGTTAATTTAACATTTTCGCAGAAATTCAATTTTATTTTCTAAAATTTTGAAAAAACTCTTTATAAGAATTTAAATATTTTCAATGTTATTTGAAATATATTTCTCGTAAGAATTAACTTATTTTGAAAGATTTTAATTAAATTTTTCGTTGAAAATTTAGTTATTTTGAAAAATTTGGATAAATTTTTTCTTTATAAGAATACAATTATTTCGTATTTAAAATTATAAAATAGAAATAATCTAAATGAAATATGTTTAATTGAAAACAATTTGATTTAATTAGGTTTTGTTATTTTTTAATCTTCAAAGTATTAAATTAGAATTTCATTAATTTTAAAATTCAAATCATTAAAAAGAAAAATTATCAAAAATATTAGAAAAAGAAAACAACTAACTTCTAATTGCGAACAGTTTACTGGAATACAACAAAGATAAATATTGGAGGAAAAAAAAATTTATTTCGTTCAATTTAACGTTCAAAGCTTTAAGAAAATGTGATCCCTGAAATATCTATTAGTGAAGAAATATTGAATATTGAATAATAAATCAAATCCTTCCTCTAAGAGGAAGAAAAATAAATCTTTTTTATTTGAATATTAAAGAGGATGATGATGAGGATTCATTACCTTAACCATAACATTTGTGCTGAATATGTAAGATGAAAAAAAGACCCAAAAGACATCGTAGATTAAAAGTCCTGTGAGAAGCAACGTGGAAACCTTGAGACTAGGGAGTCGGACGAAAGCTATAAATGCAACGCACAGACCCATTCCCATAGCATCCATGAGTAACCAATGACCAGTCAGTACCCATATACAAACTATGCTGACACTCAATGAAAATGATAATAATTCTGCTCCCGTGAACCTTCCACAGACGCCAAATGATATTTTATTACCGTCTGAACAGGGACGAATTATATACTGACACATTGGTAACAGAAGAAATGCCAGTGCAACAGTGGCTATAACTGAAAAAAAATTCAATATTACTCTTTCTGCTTTCCATTTTCCCAAAGCTGGACAATTTTTTTTTAACTTTCAAATGAGCGAAATATTTTCTTTTTAATATTTTAATACATATTTTTCTTTTAACTATTTTTATTACATTCACATTTTTTATGTAATTTTTTGACTTTATCACTCGGTAGTCTTTTAATTATAAATAAAATTTAAATTCAACTTTCTAATTAATTTTTTTTCGACATGTGAGACATTATTCAAATAAAATTTTAATTTAAAGAAGAAATAAATATTTTGGATCATTTGAAGTTTCAGAATTTTAAACAATGAAATTGAAAAATAACTTACTCGCTGTGCAAATTGCAAACAGCATCTGCATACTGTCAAAAAAGAAAAACATGACGAGCAGCGATATGGAAGCACCAAGAGGTAGACAAAGAGCATGCATTGTATCTAATGTCTGCACACTTCCCCCTGAATTTTCTCCATTTCCAGTGTTTGGAATACCAGATAAAAGATTATTTCTCTCCTTCTCTTTTTCCCGTTCTCTTGCTTCTTGCTCCATATTCAGAGATCGAAAACTGCCATAAACAATCAGCAGTATCGATATTAAAAAAGTGGATACCCTGGACGAGTCCATTATAGAATAAGCCCTAAAAAGAAAGAAAAAAAAGAAATGTTTAATTATTAACTACTTTTCGTTTAATCAATCATAAAGTTTGCGATAAGAATATGAAAGGGAAATCGTTCAAAGGAAGTATTGGATTTCAAGTTATCTCATTATCGGTCAATGAAAGGAGTTCAATTAAAATTTCAATTAAATTTCGAATGTTCTTTCAAAAATATTTTTTAAATCAAAAGCATTAGTTTGAATAAAAAACATTTTCTTTTGAATCAAAACCATTTTCTTTTGAATCAAAAGCATTTTTGAAATTTGACCAAAAAAATTGAAATTTAATCAAAATTTTGAAAAGCTATTTAAAAATAATTTTTCGTATCTTTTTACCACTGGTAATCCACTTGATTGGTGGCCATGATTAGATAACTCCTGGCCGTTGCAGGTGATGCTATACTAGGATGCGGAGCGACATTTAGATGCCTTTTATTGCGCCCCTGATAACCAGCATTTGAGATCACCTGCAGTCACAACTGTAAATTAGAAAATAATTAATTCAATTAATTTTTTCCCTTTTTTTCATCATAATTAATGTTATTTTTATTTGTTAACCATTTTTTCTATGTTTAAAAATTGTAATATTTTAAAAGTGGAATTTACAGATTACATTATGTTTTGGTAAAAAAAAGTACTATATAAAATATTTGAATCACATCTCGCGATACTGGATACGTTACGTAAATCTATTTTCATATTGTGAGAAAATAACTTCTAACACGCCTTAATATAATAAACGATGAGAATTATTTGCATGCTGCAAACACTCGCCTCTTGCAATTTATTGGAAACATTTTTTAAAGTAAAAAAGAGAAATGATAAAAATTTCACACAGGAAAAATATTAAAATAATTTCTTAAAATATCGATAAATCTTAAATGATTAAATTTAAAAATTAGAAATTTACAGGAAAAAATTAAAATTTAGTAAATACCTTTTTGTAGTGAATAACATATCAATTGGAAGGTAATTGGACAACTTCGGTCACCATCTGAATTTAAGATAAAATTAACGATTAACGAGTGTTTAGAAATTTTCGTTCCTAGCACATTTACTTCTCGTTTCTTATTTGAGAATTGTGTTGGTATTTATTGTGTTAGTCATAATTGTATGCAAGTTTTAATTCTCTCTCTTTAAATACTATCTTTAACAATGCCTTGAGAAGTAAGAGTGCCTATGCAACTTGAACTGAAATGTCTAATTTTTTACATAACACTATTTTTAAAATCTCAAGAGCAACTTAATCAAATCCTGACCTGCACACTATATACGCAATATTCACACATTTTATTTCCCAAAGAGAGAAAAAAAAACAATTAGAAAGTGAACTAGACCACTTTCATTCACTGCACAATTAAGAATATTAACTTAATTTCATTTTTTTTGAAATTTTCTTCTTTTTTTATTACCTCAATTTCAAGTGAGATTTTTTTTCCATTCGTGTCAATATTATTAGGTCGTAATTTTTTTTCCCCACAAATTCTAGTCATATCCAAGCCTCGAATGTTTTTTTTTCTTCATTAGAAATAGAATCTTGAAATTGATTTGTATCCTGCGATGATAATAATCGGTCGTTGATGAAAAACAACTTTAACCGCACTGACGAACATCAATGAATTCCGCTTGTTTCATAATTTTTGACTTTTATAAGTATAAACAATGAGAAAAAGATAGGAAATCAAAGAGAAACAATGCAGATTACACTCTATAAGGAGAGATTCCAGAGTGCATTCATGCGTAACATTTGGCTTCTTTAAAATTATGGTTAAACCTATCAAATAAATTTTGAAATTTCACTGACGAAAATAAATTTTTTTAGTGCTGAAAATTTTACGGGAGGTGGCTAAATTAGTTAAAAATCGTTTGAAAAAGAGAGGATCACCATTTTGGTAAACAGAGAGGTCACGTGACTGGCCTCTAGCTCGAGAGACTGAAACTACCGTATTCTCTAATAATGAATTCTCTTTCAATTTTATTGTCGTTTAAGAACTTACCTGGTTCCTCCGAAGTTTATAATCCCTCTTAGTTCTCTCATTATCTCATGAATCCATTAACCTCCTTTGTAATGATGATAATATGACAGGAATAGCAGAAAAAAAGATGGATTATTTCTTAACGTGAGATCGGTCAACTAACTGGTCAGGTCGTGTGGTGCTTGACAGAAACTGCGTCTGCGAAGTCTCCCAGACAAAATTAATGTACTCGGTGTTCCATTAAAAATAATCCTATTAAGTAATTATATCCAAAAAAATCTACAAATTTGCTTATAACGTTGATTACTTTTAATTTGAAAAACTATTTTTTCTATTCTCAAACAGAGTGAAATGATTATTTTGTTTTGAGATATTGTCTGGAAACAATAGAGCTCAGGAGCGTAACTATCGAGAATAATTTCCCGGTCATTAAAATCAACAAAAGCATGGTGTAAAAAAAATTTTCCTTTCAAATAAATTTTAAATAGAATACATTTCTTTAAGGAATTTTTTGAAAGAATACTTTTCTGCATTTAGAAAAATAATTTTCTTTAAAAATATTTATTTAATTTTTTTTTTCTTTGTTCACTTTGTTCTTTCAAAATGGTTTTATTTTATAAACAGGGTTCTCTAGGTATAAATTGAGGGGTTCGGGACGAACGGGAGACTTGGAAGGGATACTACCGGTCAGGTAGCAGTGACAAGCCTTGGGTCGCCCACTGCTACCTGACTGGGATTATCCCTTTCAAGCACGCGTTCGTCCCTTTATTCTATGGAGCCCCTCAATTTTGAAAAGGTACGTACGGCATTGTTCTGGGACATTCATTCTACTACAGGGTGTGTTAAAACTAAATCAAGTACGGAAGTCTTTTTCTAGACTTTTTTTCGAGTTCAATAATGATTTTTAGTTCGTTTAGGGACATTTTTGATGAAAACTGTCCCAATTTATAAATTATTTATTTAAAAAAATAATTATAAAAATTTATGAATGTCTAAAAAATTTTAAAAATTGTCTTCCAAGCCCGGCTAGCTCAGTCGGTAGAGCATGAGACTCTTAATCTCAGGGTCGTGGGTTCGAGCCCCACGTTGGGCGTTTCTTTTTGAAATTTTAAGCAGAAAAAAAAAAAATTTTTTTTTAAAATTTTTTAATGAAAAATATTTTTTCATTTTCTTTTTTTTATTAATTCGAAAATAATAGAAGAAAAATTTATTATACATGTACAAGTTAATTAGTCCTGTAATAATTTTCTTATAATGAAAGTTTTTAATTATGTAAACTAAATAATTAGTAAACAATTTTTACAGAAGCAATTAATAACGTAAATGTTTATTATAAGAGAAATAATATTCATTTATTGTAAATTTTAACGGGTTGAAATTGAGAAAAAACAGTATTGATTATCCTTGTGGACAAAGATTGATTTTTATAAATTTGAAATTGCGCGCGCTTTATTTTCGTGACGTCACGCGCATTAATACGAAGAATGGAGCGTTTGCGCGAGGGACTGCTTTCGGCGGGCGCCGCCATCTTTGGCAGTTTGCTAGCGGCGATCTGACGAGGTGTCTGTGTTTCGGATATACGCGTAACTGGTGTGAATTCTCATATCTCATCCGTTTTTATCCTTAAAAAAATCCGTGTGCATCCAGGATGTCGGAACGGGACGACAATGTTTACAAAGCAAAACTTGCTGAACAGGCTGAACGCTACGATGGTGAGTTGATATTTTTTGGAAAAAGTTGGTTCCTATCGCTCCTTGAAAAATCTGAAGTCGGTGGGGTATTCACTTGGCTGTAAAAGTGTCTCATTGAACGCTTCATTCTAATCGTTGAGGTCAATTTTTTTTCCGCGTCACATTTCTTAAGTTTTTCTAATGATTGAATTGTGTTATCTGTCAAAAATTACAATGAAACGTCAAAATTGACTGATGAGATGCCGGTCGGTGTTTCGTCTTTGGAAGCGACCCTCCCTTTTTCCAAGCTTGCCCGGAGAATTTCCATTCATCCGGATATTTCTCACTTCTATCTTAAACATTCATCTTTTTGTCTTGCTTATTAATTGGATTCTTAATTTTTGAATGTTATAAGGATGGGCGCATCTTAAAATCAGTGTTGCTAAGCGTTTTGAACCGGATCCCAATGAACCTTTTAAGTCAGTCTTCGCATTGAAATGACGCATAGACACGACACCCACCGATCGCCAGCATACTACGTACCTACCTACGTAGTAACGTGCTCTCTTGCAGCCCCTGGCCTTGAATGCGTTAAAGAAATCGGCTTCATGAAAAAAAATCATCTTTCAGCAATTTTCGCTTCTTACTTTCTCGCTAAAAGGACGCGCATCCAAAAACCTACTTTTTCATCCAAATTAATCCATAAAGTTCATTTTTTTTTCTTATTTCAATGTACATTCCTAAATAGTAACACCGATTTCTAATGTATTTTACTGCGTCACGTGACTGACACATAATTTTTAAACGACTGTCATATTATCTACGCTGTAAGACACTGCAAAAAAAATTCACGCTCACATTCCTCTTTTACACTAGTTTCCACTCCTTTTCTTCTTTTGCGTCATCTGAATATCCAAATTGTTTTGCAATTTTACGTTTTAGAAAAAATTTTATTCAAAACACAAAGAAAAATTTTTCAAGCCATTAAAAATTTGTTACATGATTTTTCTAACTTTTTAAATAAATCAAAAATATTTTGAAATCTTTTTCTAATTTTTTTTGTACTTAAAATTTTTACTCGAAAAAAAAATTACCTTACATTTCAAGTTTTGTAGTTTAATGTAGAAAATATAAAAAATGATTTCCCAGGTAGGAGTTACTTTATTTAATATTGATAAATTAAATAAATGAATGTGAACGGATTGATAAAAGTGGTGATGTAAAAGAGAATTGATATTTCTAAAATTGTTTTACATCTCTTTTATGATTGGAAAGAATGAAAAATGATTTGATAGAAATGTCATAAATTGAGAAGAGTACATAAAAAATGATGATTTTTTTGAAGGGGGGTACTTATTAATAGAGAAAACAAGTGTATTTAGTCAGACAATTGTTACTATTTGTATAATTGTGGTGGTAGGTGTTAAAAGTAGGGGTTTAAATTTGAGGGTTGCAAAAGCAGGCGAAGGGTGAGCTCGGTTAGAGGGTGAGAGAAGGAAGGGAGGTCATAGCTGAAGGAAAGTATTGATCTGCGTCCGCTATCCTCTGTTCCTGTACACTTAAGCTTCTATACTCGATTTACACTAATTTTCAGTGACATTATTTAAATTTCATATATAAATTGTTGTTCACTCACTTTTTCGTTGTACAACAATTTTTACTTAAATTAAAGATGCAAAATGTCAATAAAGAAACTTTGGGTTGAAAAGTAAATTTCGTGTTGATTTTGTTTATTTATTATTATTATAGCAAATTTATTAATAGTATAATATAATTTTTACATTACAATTATTAATTTTTAATCATTATTTTAACTTCGTTTGTTTAATGATTAACGTATTCTGATATTGAACGTAAATAAATTTTACTGCAAAAGTCACTGAAGAAGTTAAATGAAAGAAGTCAAATTATTAACAGGAAGAAATTCATTTGTTTAATACGCTTGATAATTCAGTGAAATAATTTAACATTTTTATCTTGTATTCACTTTTATTAAATTTTAATTATGTAATTTTGCGACTGAATAAAGTTTAACTTTGAAAATTATCGTACATTTTCATCAGGACAAATTATTTTTTTTCTTTCTTTAAAACGCGATTTTCGCCCGAGTATTTTTCAAGAGGGATTTTAAAATTAAATATTAAATACAAGCGTTAATTAGCACAAGTAAATATGAATCTTGTCTAAACATGATAGCTATTGTTCACTGAAATTTTGTTTCACAAATAACAAAGAATACATTTTTTAATTTCTTTTATTAAAGTTTAAAAAAAAAATCCAATAGGAAAGATATTTTTCTGACTCAAAATTACCAAAAGTTTTAATTATTTTGGTTTGGATTATTATCAGCGAGGAAAATTATTTTAAATAATAATTAGAATGAAAAATATTAATATTTTATTTTCTTTAATTTAATTTAGAATATTATTAATTTCCCATGTTTTGGAATTATTTTCTAATTGAGAAAAATTGATTTGATAACTTCGTTTTTCAAACATTAAAAAAGTGAATGTAGGGAAATTAAAATGACGAGATTTATTGACTAATAATGGCAGGATTTTACTCCAAACATAACATTTTCATGGCTATTTTTATTCCCCGATGAGAGGGAGGGTTGCAAGATATTGTCACCACACTTTCGCCTTTGCACTTTCTAGTATGCAAATAATTTTTATATTCATTTAAGTGAAATAATTTAAAGGTGAGTAATTTCACATTAGAAATCAATAAAAGTCCCAAATAGACGATATAAATATGACAAAGATATTTTATCAAAAAAGTTAAGTAAATTTTTTAAATGCAAGCAAAATATTTTCATGTGAAAAAAGAGAAAAAAAATTTCAAAATAAAATATAGTAAAAATTTGGATAGTTTTTAAATATTTTTTCACATGAAAATAAGTGATTTTTTTTTTTTTTTTTTGAATTTATTGATTTGAAGAATTAAGTTTTTTTTCTTGTTTTTCAGAAATGGTGGAGGCGATGAAGAAAGTAGCATCACTAAATGTTGAGCTCACTGTTGAGGAGAGGAATTTATTATCAGTCGCGTACAAAAATGTAATTGGTGCGAGGAGAGCATCATGGCGAATAATTTCGAGTATCGAACAGAAAGAGGAGAACAAAGGTGCAGAGGAGAAATTGGAAATGATTCGGCAGTACCGATCCCAGGTAGAAAAGGAGCTTAGAGATATCTGTGCTGATATTCTTGGAGTTTTGGAGAAGCACTTAATTCCATGTGCGACAACGGGTGAATCCAAAGTTTTCTATTATAAAATGTAAGTATTTGTTCAAAATACGAGAGAAGGGAAAGAATATTTTCTTATTTCTTTTTTTTTTTTTTTTGTTTCTGTAACAGGAAGGGAGACTATCATCGTTATCTGGCTGAGTTTGCGATTGGCAACGATAGGAAGGACGCAGCGGAAAATTCTCTTGTAGCTTACAAGGCAGCAAGTGATATCGCGATGACGGATTTGCCACCGACTCATCCAATTCGTTTAGGACTAGCACTCAATTTCTCCGTGTTCTACTATGAAATCCTGAATAGTCCCGATAGAGCGTGTCGCTTAGCGAAGGCTGCTTTTGACGACGCGATCGCCGAACTCGACACCCTTTCCGAAGAGAGTTATAAAGATTCCACCCTTATCATGCAATTGCTCAGGGACAATCTTACCTTATGGACCTCGGATATGCAGTTGGATGGTTAGTTTCCTTGACTCTATCGATTTTACTTTTCCTTTAATCTTTTCAAATTCGCCAACTTTTTTCTTTAAAATATTTTTTTCGATTTAGAATCCTTACCTGAAGTTCCAACCACAGATGCAAATCATGGCGTTGCCGTGATTACTGTTGGCCTTTAAAAATTAGTAAGACTCCTCATCCTTAATCCTATCTATCCTTTGAAAAAATTCAAAAGTACCTAAGAACTTCTTTTTCACCACAAAAATATAATTTTTTTTTCTTCTTTTTTTTTGTTAACAATGTAGAGATTGACTTGAATGATTCATCAACAGGTGAAGGAGAACAGAAAGAACAGTTGCAGGACGTGGAAGATCCGGATGTATCGTAACTTTAGCTACAGTGAGTGTTATTTGCGTATACAAATGAAACACAAGAAAAACAAACTCTTAATAACGTTTAAGCAAAAGAAAACAATTGAGCAGGTGGGAGGTCGGGGTGGGGAGGGAAGGTTTTTAGCAATTGCGTGACCCTATGTACGCACGTACGGTTACTCCAAAAACAAAAAAAAAACAATTAAAAGTTAATAATAAATCATCCAATCACATGTTGAGTTATGGAGCACGCAACAAGAAAATAAAAATCAAGTAATAAAAAAAAACGACACGCACCCTGCGAAATAGTGAGATTGCAAGCATTTAGTGAGGCGATTTTTTATAATTGCCGATAAAAAAAAAACGCATCGGAGGATTTGCATCGCGTATGTCCGAATTAAAATTCTTGAACGGCTGCATTTCTTATTTATGAGACATAAAAAAAAAACTTCGGATAATTCTCTAATCTTAAAACTGAATCAGTGGGAGTTGTCGAACGTTAAATGACATCATCGATTCAACGTTTTTTTTCTCCTTAGGGTAAATTCCTTTTATGTATTTTTAGAACTTTTATGAGCTACATAAAAAAATTAGAGCAAGTATTTTGCTGCGGTGAAAACGATGTCATGTCGTCGAATTCGCATTCTCTTTTTTCTTTTTTTTATATATATACAATGTGCATAGATTGTCAGTACTTTATCACCACAGTATTTCTTAAGTCGCGAAATAAACAAATAAAAAAAAAAGAAGAAAAAAAATAAGCGTATCACATCTACGATCGATATCCTATATGTAATTTCTTTTCACTTAAATTAAACTGATCTTATGATTGGTTCAACGACACAGTTTTCAGAAAAAAAAACAAAAAAAATTTTCCCCCCCTTCGAAATAGTCTTCCTGCTGCTTGATTACAGGTTATTGTATTCTGCTTCACATATATATTTATATGTAAATGTTTTTCATTATCTTTCGAATTTTATCGGGTTTTTGCCGCTGACGCATGTTTGTACGAGACCAAGATAGAATGGGAAAAAAAATATAACTTTGACAGGACTGACTTTTAGATAATCGATTTATAGAAAAAATACCCTTTTTTTGATTTGTGAAAGATAGTACAGTAATCTGAGGAAAAATTTAGAAGCTAAAGGAAGATGATAAAAATGAAAATTGCTTCGTAAGATTTTTATGCTTCACAAAATTTTTTTTTGGAAGCGGTGATGTTCGAATCGATTTTAGATTGTCAAAGGAAATCCTTTCGTCGTTGAAAATCAACTTCTGTAGAATTGTATTGATACCAAAACTTAGCATGTTAGTTGACCTGTAACGAGAATGTACGTTTGCATACGTCTTTTATGTAAACTGTATCGGTAGTTGTGGTACGAGAAATGACAGAATAAATGGCTCTCTGTACTCTGCTTTGTTCTCTCTTCTATATAATCATTACTGAAATTTACGAATCCTCCTTTTTTTTCTAATTTTTCCGCAAACTTTTATTTTTCCGGTAACTATAAAAATTGAAAATGTAATAATTTTTCAATCGTAATTGAAAATAAATTCTTGACAATTTTGCCACATTGAGCGAGAGACTCGTATTTGAATTTTAACTCTGGTTTACGCGTGCAAAACTTTTATGAATTGCCTCCTGCGCATGCTCAATATTATTATGGAAAAAGTAATCAAATTACAAGAAATTTATACTTATTCAACATTTTTATTGATATTTGTTTTTTTGTTAATTAAAAACTTGAAAGAAAACCTATTTATTATTTATAGTGCTTAAAACTTGAACCTTAGTTAAATGAAAATGACAATCTGAAAATGATCATTTACTCGAATTTGTTAATAAGCTTTATTGAATCACTAAAATTTATTAACAAATTTCTACATTTTTGTAATTCTTCTTATAAATACATCATTCGTTATTAAATTATGAAAACCTAAATCGTCTTTATTTTATATTTGAAAATTTGAAATTTGAACTCCGAATCCTTTTTTACAAGAAAAAACTTGACCCTTCTCATCCAGATCGAACGCGTGATTTTCATCGGCAAATTTGAAAATTTTGAGACTGAGATCAAATGCGAGATAATAAGAAAAAAAAAAATAATCAGGCGAGTGCGAAGCGTGAAAAAAAAATTAAAAAGTGTCGCGTGCCCCTGCATTTAAGTATTATATCAGTAATATCGATAATTACATTTTAAAAAAAAGTATCTATTACAAAAAGATAAAATAATTGAAATAATAATATTATGAGTAAGAAAAATATTCATAATTTTAACTGCATAAGACGTCAAAGCGAGATTAATTAAGCTATATAAAAAAACAAATCTTTTGCATTAGGTGAAAAACTGATGATTGTACAATTACATAAAAAATGAAATTAATCGCGAATGTGGAGTGTATGGGCAATGAGAATATAAATTTCAACAAAAAACAAATTCATAGAGCGAGAGTGTGAGAAAACGCCGCAGATAGAACGAAAGATAGATATTCTCTTGATTATGTGTTTTAGCACAAAAAAAAAAAAAATGAAAATTTTTGCGAATCTCTTATAGTCGGAGACAAATCGTAATCGAAATTTGAGATATTAGGTTTGTATTAGAGTCAATACACCGAAAAAAAATTTATTGTAAAAGGCACACGTGGAGGAATAAAATGAATACAACTGTCTGTCAAATATTTTACTTTATTGAATGTGTTTATTTCACATTTTTTGAAGAAACAAAAAATTAGTCCTCGTGAAGATAAACGATTTTTAATCGTATTCTCAAGAGTGAAAATTTTTTTTGAAAAAACTATTTTTTAAATCGTCGATATTTTTTTAGAAATCTAGGTTTTTAACCAGAGTCAATAATACTGTGTGTGTGCGCGCTCTTTTTCTGTAAATTAAATCAATTTTTAACAAAGAAATGATTTTCTCCTCTGAGGTATGTTTAGATCAACATTCTTTAGTATTCTATTTAGAGGATTTTCTGATTTCGACGATGTGGGTGACATTTTTGGACTTGATTTTGATTGATTATTTAGAGCCACCGATCGATTGCGGGGAGAAGATTTCGTCTTTAAATCACTGGGTCTATTTCTAGATGATCGTAGTTTGACGTTTTGCAACATATCTAGGGAAACGAGTGGTCCCTTTTGAATCGGAAATGAATTTCTTCTTGTATTCTCCTGAAAATTAAATTTTATTTCGATTTTATTTTTTAATTTTAATTAAAAGTTTATTAATTAATATTTGAGTAAAATTTTACTTTTTTCAATTAAAGGAGAAATCTTTTGACTTTAAAAGTCAACAAGTGAAAGAAAAATATACTTTTCTTTGCATAAATTTTAAATTGTGATCTAAATATTTTTTTCTTTTTGCAGAAAAATAAACAAACCTTTGAGTTGTTTGGAGCTTTTTTCAAAGTGACTTTCAGTAAATCTTCGACTGTAATACTGGGTCTGGTTGAAGAAGTTGATGAGCTTTTCTTTGCAGGTGTTTTCTTTTTGTGTTTTTTGCTGCTTTTAGGAGTTGGCGTATTTTGTCGGGAAAAAGGAGATTTGGGAAGAGGAGGAGGTGGAGGAGGAATAAAGGGAATCGAAGAAGTTGGAAATGGAGGTGGTGGTGGTGGAGGAGGAGGTATCGAGGAAGAAACATTTTGAGTTAATGATGAAGGAGGCAGCGGTAAAGAAGACTTGAAAGTCATTTGCATATTTTTTAGAGTTTCGTGTAAATTTTTTAATTCTTCGACTAGAACTGAACTATTTTGTACTAGTTTTTCGTTGGCATCGCGAAGAATCGTTACTTCTTTCGTCAGAGTTTTTATCGAAATTTCACTGGATATTTGCACCTGAAAAGAAAAGACTTACAATTTACTGTTATTTAGAACAATTTCTTTTTGTAAACAATTTAATTTTGTTATTTAATTCAAATTTTTTTGAAGTTTTTTGCGATTATCAAAATAATTTTTTAAAAAATCAAACAAGCAGACGAAAAATTGAAACATTTATACCTGATTTAGTCTTTCGGAGAAATTTGTCACTGTCGCGGAAAAAACCATTAAATTTTTATCATTTTCACATTTAATGACAGAAAGAATTTGATTGAAATTTTTGTTCTCCACAGACGCTGTACAATTTGATTGCGAAACAATTCGAGAAATTAAATTCTTTGGTCCTTGTATGAAAATCTGCTTCAAGAAATCACAAAATTTGATTGAAATCCACGAACAAATCTCGGTTACCTTTGGGAAAGGTATTGTTAATTTTCTAATGATTAACATTGATTGTCTAAACAATATAAATCGTGAATTTTGTTCAAAGATATTGTAATAATATTTTTTCGGTGTCAGTGAGACGATTTTCTGAAATGAGAAAATTTTTTTTGAGGACTATTTTTTGATAGATAATTTTATATACTAATTAATAACAACTCACGGTTTAATGAATTAATTGTTAATTTTATAACAACTAATAGTTTAATTAATTAATTGTTTGTAGTTTAATAACAATTAATTGTTAATAATAGTTGGTTAAAAAAATTATTCAATAAGAAAATAATTTAATATTAACTAATTAATATTTTATATACTAATTAATATCAAGAAGTAATTTAATAAGATTAGCACCTCTGATAATTTTTCTCGGCAGTCTGGTACAATTAAAAAATCAGTCTGAGATTTAATTGCACATGAAATTCGATTCTCGTGATTGTTATTAACCTCTAGTTTTTGCACCATGGAAAACTTTTCTTCGTCAAAAAATGTAGATAAATTTTTATTTGTTGGAGAATTACTGTCGTAACCGCTCTCATATTCATTTATTTTAATTTTTGACTCTTCGTTCAATTCACTTGTTCTATTTTCAAGTCGAGTGGAGATCACATTATTACACTCTTCTAAAACAGAACGTAAATATCAAAATTCAACAACTAAAGCTTCAGTATTTATTATCAAAATAAATTCAACTAATAATTAAATTACTTAATTATCAACTGATAGCTTGTAACAAAAAACAAAAATTGCCTTTTACCTGATAATTGTTTCACAATAGGTTCACTAATTGTAGTTGCAAAATCCTCTTTATCAGAATCATTTTCTGGCATATCGAAATCTAATTTCAATTTTGGAATTTTTGGCACTGGTCTAGGACTAAAGAGATTATCGAGATCGTCCATTTTAAAAGGTGTGTGAAATAAATCATTTGATGGTGTTTGTTGATTTTTTCTCCTCGACTCGGAATAAAAACTATTTGGTGTTTTTACTGGAGTTCTTCCTGCGGAATTGAGAAGAAATTTTTGTCTTTCAGCGTCAGGCGAGAGTAAAGAAAAAGGTGATTGATCATTTTTCTTAGACCCATTATTTCTCTGTTGATGAAATCGTTTAGGATTTTTCTTTCGAGTCATTTTATTCTTTTTTTTTTATATTCCCCGGCAAGTTTCTCGTTTTCAACTTTCACTTTATTTATTCTTGTTATAAAAAATAGTTTTAAAAAAATTGCACACGTTCAAAAATCGACGATTTAATAGAAGATTTAATTTTAATTCATTTCCGATAGAAAACCAGTTTCCGCAGTCATAATCACTATACTATCATTTTATTTATTTACAATCTGTACTTTCAAATCGAAAGATACGTTATTATTGGAAAGAAAAAGATTTGAAGGTTGGATTTTATTCAAAGTTGTAATCTTTAATAATTGTAAACAGCCTATTTTGTTTTGAACTAAGGAATTTGTATAATTTAATTTACGATTAATTATAGTAATTAAAATATTTTCATTTTTAATTTAAAAACATTATTTTTTGATCTAAATTTGTACTTTTAGTTTATTAGTTAAATGTTTAATGTAAACAAAAAATTGAAAATTGTTTTTTGATTGTTGAGGGCTTGAAGTAAAAGCGAGTAAATTAATTAACGTATGTCTCCGGAGGAAACTTTAATCGTATTTTACAAGAAATTACATGATTGAGGTGCAGTATTGATATTAAATGCTGCGAATTATTGTTGACAGTCGACTGAGGGTTATCGGGAATACATTATTGGTATCTTTTTTTACAATTTTCGTGTATAACTTTTGTTTTACAATTCTTCTATTTTTTTGTTTACTTCTTGTTGATGAAATCTTCTCCTTTTTGGATATTTTTCTTCAACTCTGGAATAGCATTTTTCAAGAGTTGCTCTTCAAACGAGCTCAATTTTCCTAAACCGTGATTTTTCTCTACGCCATTTTTCTGAAAAAATTATTACTAATTATTGTAATATTGTGTATTTTTAAGCAGAATTTATAGAGAGAATTTGTGTTGAAAGTATACTGCTTGGAAATAATAGACTTACGCCTAAAAGAATTGGGGTTGAAAAGTATTTGGCATCTGTGACATTTGACCTGACGTATGAGCATTCGACGACATTTTTCTCGCCATTGAGTGCTCTGATGAGGGAGAATCCAAATCGAGCTCCAGCGTACGCCATTGAGAGGGTAGCGGAACCAGTTCCGGCTTTTGCTTTAACAACTTCCGTTCCTGCCTCCTGAATTCTCTCCGTGAGCGCTTTTAGTTGATCCGCAGGGAATGAAACTGATGGATTGCATTGAGAAATTAGGGGAATGATTGTGATTCCACTGTGACCTCCAATAACCGGAACATTCACCTTCTGGGGATTGTGACCCTGAAAAAAGATTTTTAGTTTTCATTTCAAAGAGAATTTTTTCTGCGAAAAATTAATTTTTCATATGAAATCATTTTTTTGTAATCATACAAAAAGTAAATTCACACTGGAAAAATGATTTTATTTAATTACAGGGTTGCTACACAACCTGGAAACCAGGAAAATCAAACATTTCATTATTTTCGCAAATAATGAAAATTTCACAAGAATTTAATTATTTACAAATTATTTCCATATATTATTTAATTATTTTCATACATAATAACATTTTTCACAGGGATTCAATTATTTTCGTAAAAAATAAAACTCAATGCTGAATTTCAATTATTTTTAATACAATTTTAATGGAATTCCTCGAAAAAAGTTATTATTCTTAAAAATTTTATTATTTATCAAAGAAGTTTAATTATTTTAATAACCTTTGCTACTATTTACTTATTAGAATTTAAGTATTATTTTCAATATATTTTTAATTAAATGTTTTTAAAAAATAAAATTATTTTCAAACATTTTAATGAAATTCTTTGCGTAACAATAAAATTCAATTTTTTTCAAAATAATTTTAATAAAATTCTTCGCAGAGATCCAATTATGTTTAAAAATTTACAAAAATTCTCATCAAACTTTCAATTATCTTTATAAATATAATAAAATTTTTTTCCGAAATTCAATTAAATTCAAAAATTTTAATGAAATTCTTCTCCGAAATTCAATTATTTAAAAAAGCTTTAGTAAAAATTTTAGCGAAATTTCAATCATTTTCAAAAAGTTTAACAAAATTCTCGGCATAATTTAAATTATCTTTATAAATAATAAAATTCTTCTCTAAATTTCAATTATTTTCAAAAAGTTTAACAAAATTCTTGTCAAAATTTTAATTACCTTTATAAATAATAAAATTATTCTAAAGTTCAATTATTTTCAAAAATTTTAATAAAATTCTTCTCCGAAATTCAGTTATTTTTAAAAAGTTTAATAAAATTATCGTTAAAATTTCAATTACCTTTATAAATAATAAAAAATTTTTCAATTCAATTATTTTCAATAAGTTTAATAAAATTCTCTTTAAAATTTCAATTAACTTTATAAATAATAAAATTACCATCCAAAATTCAAGTACTTTTAAAAATTTTAATAAAATTTTTGACTAAATTTCAATTATTTTAAAAAAGTTTTATAAAATTTTCATCAAAATTTCAATTAATTTTATAAATAATAAAATTCTCCGAAATTCAATTATTTTCAAAAAGTTTAATAAAATTCTCGTCAAAATTTCAATTTTCTTTATAAATAAATTCAAAAACTTGTTCATAAAATTCTTTATGAAAATTCAATTGTTTAATAAAATATTTATTTTTATAGTTAAATAATTGAATTCTCGTAGAATTTTCTAATAAATATTGATTTAAAAATGAATTTCAAATTAAAATATTTGAATATTTGAACTTTTCATACTTTTAATTAAGAATTCTATAGATTTAATTTTTCTCAATAAATTTAATCGAATTTTTTTTAATTATTTGAAGTTTTTAATTTCTCATATATTTAATTGAAGAATCTTAGATTAATAAAAATTTCGTAAAATTAAATTGTAAACAAAATAATTTGAAAATTCACAAAGAATTTTTTCAAAAATTATTTTAAAAAATTGACTTAAAGAAGAATTTTATTTGAAAATTCTAGAAATGAATAATCGTAATAATGGAAATAATTTTTGAAGAAGTTACAGTAACAAAGTAGCAAGTTTTAATTATTTTAAAACATGAAGATATCAATTACTCCGAGTCTTCGACTCGGAGTGATTGCTTTCTTCATGTTTTATAATAATATTCTTATATGTTACTGAATCTCAAATTTTTGAATATCTTAATTTCTATAAAAAAATTATTAAATATTCATTTAAAAATGAAGTTATTGATGTTTTCGAATAATTTTCGTTTTAAAAACCTGGAAAAATTCCGTTTTTTAACCTGTAAAAGTCAGGGAATGTTAAAAGAGCAAAAGCGTGGCAACCCTGATATTATTTGAAATTAATGAATTAATTTTAATAAATTAACACCTTGGCCTCTCCGATGAAGGTATTTGCTCTAACAATATCAAGAGTGGTTACTCCAAATATCCTATTTGGATCGTAGACTCCAGCTTTTTGCAAAACTTCGCTTGCAATTGGCACGGTGCTATTTACAGGATTGGAAATAATCGCCACGAATGCCTTGGGTGCCACTTCGGCCACCGCTTGGGCAAGATCGCGGACAATTGATGCATTGGTGTTGAAGAGGTCATCTCGGGTCATTCCTGGCTTGCGAGGTACTCCCGCAGGAATGATGACGACCTGGAAATATTTCGATGACGATATTTACATGACGATCTAAATATTTAAAATCCCTCGTGTGGAAAATAATTTCCAACGTATTTTTTCATTTTTATTTCTTTCATTATTATTTTTATTTTGTTATTTTTCTTTCTTTTATTATTATACCTATTTATTTTGTTATTTTTCTTTCACAATTACCTGTGCTCCCTTGAGAGAATCTCTCAGCTGATCGGGACCATTGTAGGCCTTGACTTTCGCCGCAGTGTTGATGTGAGACAAATCAGCAGCGACTCCAGGAGTATTGACAATGTCGTAGAGAGACAATTCCGTCACTAAGGGCGATTCCTTCAATAAAAGTGACAGTGGCTGGCCAATGCCTCCACTTGCTCCCATGACAGCAACCTTCGCATTGTGCTAAAATTTTTCACAATTTTTAACTTAAAAATATCCCTAAATCGTCACAAAAAGAAAAATTGATTGCAACGAACAAATTTAATTTTCTTTTCGAAAACAATTGAATGAATCGATTTATTTCTTGATCGTCAATTGTTTCCATCATTGTTTATAGTAAAGTCAGTAAAGTGTTTAAAAGTATTTAGTAAATTAGTAATTATATTTATTACAACTGCTAAATTTTATTTTGTGATACAAAAAAGGCATATTACAAAATTAAGCAACAGTTGCATAACATTTTCATTTGCACTCGAATCTATTAGTATCGTTTTTGAAAAGAGTTGGGAATTCCTGATTAATTAATAAATTAATCTTGAATCTATTTTCATAGTAACATTTTAGAATTTTCTATTAGGAAATTAAGAGAATTAATTGAAAAAAAACACGTGTTGGAAAGTAGAAATTGGAGCTACTTGACTGGGAAAATATTGGAGTTCGTAGTTTTTAAAAGAAAAATATTAAAATAGGCGTGATTTCACAAACCCTGGCACTGGTTGACAATTGTTGGGCTCCTTTTTGAGCAATCGAGATTGTAGGTTTTATAAAACGGGGCAACATTTTGTATAATTTTATCTATAAATTAAAATACTGTGAAACTCAAGTTTCAAGCAAAGTAAATTGTCGATAACCTCTCAATGACACCGTAAAATCCACAGCAACTCCACGTCCTTGCCAAGATAAAAGTCACTTTCAAAAGTGACTCGAGAAAATTCTCTAGATTCTCTACAATTCTCTAGTGCGAGAATTTTCCCAAAAAAGTTAATTTGAACTTGTTTTTTGAAAAGGGGATTTTTTATCTAGTATAAAAATATGATTAAAAGAAGAAAGTTTAGATTATTGAATTTTTCCTGTAATATACTTGCTGAAAGTAATAATAAAGTTAGATTGGACCTATTTTTAATTGAAGAAACTAAATCAATTGAATGCAGATAAGTTCACAAAGTGGTAATTTACATAATATAAAGGCGATTACATAAGTTTCTATTATTCTATTCTACGACCTACGTGATACGTCAATATTTTCGTAAAGAATCGTTCACTTTACTTTACTTGCTGTTCTAAAGACAACTTCAGACAGCTTTATATTTATTCATAGTTTGTTCATATTCCTCATTGTTTTTCAAGGTTTTCATTTTCAAGTGTCAAAAATTGTTAAACCTCTTAAAACAATTGAGATATTTAATAATTACTCATTGTTTCAAGTGTAAATAAAAAAAGAAAATGGTTCAAATAATCGACAAAATATCTACCTTTTTTCATTATTGGTACTTCAGATATTTACTTGTGACAGAATTGTACATGGTAGAAAAATGGGAAAGACACTTTATTAGTATCCTTTTGACATTATTTTACTTATTTATTATAATTACTATGAAAATTATTGAAAATTTGACAGGCAGACTTTAAAAAAAAAATTTTATTTAGTAATTTTAAAGTTGTAATAGAAGATAGTTGTGACTAATGGAATAGACATAACCTCAAAAATATTTGAATTCATTAAAGTAAATCGCAAGTAAATGAAGTAAATGAACTAAATCAAGTAAATTAATTACAATAATAAGAATTTAAGATATTCAATAGAAATCAATCTATTCTAAGAAAATATTTGACCTTGTAAAATGGAAACATTTTGAATTTTAAAATAAAAAGAGAAACGTTAACGATTGAATGAAAGTTAGTCAAATATTTTAATATTTTGAAAAGAACATTAACAATTTTCCTTAATATATTCGTAGACATCTTTCTAATATCAATGTTCTGTTTATTCTTCTTCTTCAACTACAAAGCAGTATTACCAACGACTTCTTATCTTCTTGCTATAAATGAATCATAATTATGCACGAAAAAAAATCAGTTTTTTAGGAATAAAATAATGCATTTAAAAACATTTTAATCATTGGCACAGAAGTTTCCAAATGAATGACACAAACCGTATTTATTTTTGTAAATAGACAAAAGACACGCCTCTATCTTTAACAGATTTGTTTATATTTAATGATGACGAGAATATTGTCTCAACCTTGTAAATATATATCCTGTTGAAAAATAAAAACTTGCATAAAAATGGAAATAAATTCTTATTGATTTGTTGGAGAAATTCAAAACAAAATTTTAGTTAGTAAAATAAAATCGAACGTTAGATAAATTTCAGGGTGTCTACTAACCGGGAAATTAATTTGACCGGGAATAAGCCAGGAATTTCTTCTTAAACAGGGAATTTTTTCACCGAATTAAAAAAAGTTTTATTATCTTAATTTGTTTTTAAAAAATCGCTTTTTATTTCAATTTTTACAGATAATTATACTGGTCTCTCTCTAAATCAGTCACTGATTCAAATATAGTTAGTAAATAAATTTTAAAAAAATTAACGAATTAATAGAAATTTTGTAAAATTCATCTGAAAATAATTAAATTTGTTAAAGAATTTCATTAAAAACGGAGATTAATAATTAAAATTTTTATTAATTAATTTAAAAAAAGATACACACAAAATTTTTTAATAAAATTGAATTTTCGACAAGTTTTTTTGAAAATTCTGAAAAATAAGATTTTTGAAATCTTTTAATTCTACTGTTTCCATATAATTGAATATTTATAAACAAATAATTGAAAATTTTTGAAATAATTGAAATTTGTTTCCATTCAATTAAAAATCATTAAATTCATTATCATTTAGAGAATTTTATTTTAATTTTTCGAAAATGATCAAGGGAAGTTTGTCACCGTAATTAAAACTTTATTTTTAAATATTTCATCGCAATATATTGAATTATTTTCATAAATAGTAAACTCATTCTAAGAAAAATTCAATTATTTTCAAAAGTAATAAAATTCTTCGCTGAAATTCAATTATGTTTAAAAATTTATTTAAATTCTTCTCAAAATTTTAATTATCTTTATAAATAATTAAATTGTTCTCCACAATTCAATTATTTTCAAAAATTTAAATAAAATTCTACGCAAACATTTAATTATTTTCATAAATAATAACATTCTTTAGAAGGATTGAATTACTTTTATAAATAGTAAAATTCTTTGCAGAAATTCAATTAGTTTCAATACATTTTAATAAAATTGAATTAATCAAATTTTTAATTAGAATTATAAACAGACAAAATTATTTTAAAAAATTTTAAAAATTCTTTGTTTTAAAGAATTTTTTAAAAATATTATTTTCAAAACATTTTAAAAAACTCGTCAAAAGAATTTAATTATTCATAAAAATTCTAATAAAAATTTTTGAAGCCATTTGTAGATTCATTTATGTTTGAAATCAAATAAATTTAGATTTGATGAGAAAAAAAACCGGGAAAAATTAGGATAAAGTCGGGAAAAAACCGGAAATTTTGTTGAACGAAAATAGTAGACACCCTGATAATTTATAAGAAAGACTCTTTCGTTTGAAACTGTAGGAAAACAATGAATTTTAAAGTACATGCGCAAACTTGGTATATCGAATTAACAAATGCTAATCCATACTGTCAATTATTTTCATATTTTGAAAAGAGTTATTAAAAAATGCAGAATATTTTGAAAAAAGATGAAATTATACCTTTGGACGAGATGTTTGAAGGTGATATTCAAGAAATTTTACAGAAAAGTATTAACAGTATTCTAGAAATATTTTGAATTTGAAATAATTTAGAATACAATTTTTTTTATTTTGTAATGAATGACAGAAATTTAAAATCAATTTTAAAATTAATCGCAAGCTTACTGTGAAATGGATCCTCTTTCAAATTCAATGGGAAAAAATCTACTGCCATTATCACAAAGTGACAAGTGGTTATCGAAAGCAAGAATTCTGGATATGAATAAATTAACCACAACTGACACTGGTTTGTGTTTCTTTAAATTTCGAAAAAGAGCATTAAATTTTGAAGAATATCTTTCATATTTAGAAGATTTGGCTAATACGAAAACTCTCGATTTAGAAGATATGAAATATAAGATGCAAACTGTCAGGGAACCATTAATACTTGAAAAGAGAAGAAAAGGCGAAAAGAATAAGGCAAACTAATAATTTTTAAATTCTATATACAATTTTATTTTCATTTTATTTTCAATAGAATAATTTTTAAAAGACACTCTTGAATTTTCTTTTTACAAATTTCACTTTCGTTTTTATCCCACTATCTTTAAATTTGTCGTGAATAAATAATTTAATAAACAATCACGATTTAATTTTTAAAAACAAATATTTAAATTTTTAAATATTGTTAGAAACAAAAACATCCAAATTAAATAACTATTGAAGTTTCATACAATGCTTATTTGATATCACGAAAATATTCGCGGGTAACAATAAATATACAATTATCACAAAAAAAAATTAATTTTCTCTTCTCGAAAATAAATATTTTCTTTAATTTTTTAAGGCTCTTGAATCACAAAAGAGCATAAATTTTAGTTTTCTTCTTTTGTGATTCTTTAAGTATCAAAAATAAAGCTGATAACAAAATTTATGAATAAATCACTTTCGATGAAGCGCAATAAATTTGATTAGATTTCTGGAAAAAGCTTCATTCTCGATGCACTATGAAAGTTAAAATATATTTCTTTCCCTTTATTTTGAAGTACTATTAATTTTCTCTTTAGTACTATTATTTTCTCGAATTCGTAGAAATTATACGTTCTTTTGTATCCACTTTAAACCATCTCTGACATTTCCAAGACTGACTCTACTGAGAAAACTTGCGATTAGTTGATATTCAGGCATTGTTCTACGACCACAAGATTGAGTCGAGAGACTTCTTTGAAAATTATTTCGTCTCTCGAAATAAAGTTCATTTTCATCTGAATTTTCTTGATTATCTTCCGACATTCTCCGACCTTCACAAAGTACTTTTGTCGTCAAGCACAAAAGCCACTGAAGAATCTGATTAAAATTAAATTTACATTTTTAAATGAATTTTGGAACTTTAAATAAAAATTAAAAACTACAAATGAAATTAGTAAAATATATTAGAATATAAATTCAATACCTCATTACTGGATGGAATTTTGCCTTCGTTTTGTAACCAAGCACTCGGTGACCAGAGGTACAATTGCATAATTGTTGCTGCCATCTCCGTACTCAGTCGCTAAAAAAAGAAAATTTATTAACAATCGGAAAAATGTGTGAAAAATCATAATATCATTTTTGTAATTTTTGTTTTTTTTATTTGTCAGCATACTTTGTATAGACTTCGTGACAGCATATTTTTCACCAAAGCAGAAATAATAACCGGAACATCTTCTGGAAGCGGTGGAAGAGCTTCTTCTTGATAATTGTAATTTCTCAAATTCTCCGTTTCATTTCTATCGAAATAGAAGGGATTTCGAGTACCAAAAATCTCATAGGCAATTGTCCCTGCAGTCCAAAGATCGGCTTTGGAATAATTTATATTTGTGAAAGGCCCTGGAACTGCATTGACAACTTCCGGTGCCATTAATGCAGCATTTCCTCCTTTATCAATATCGAGAGAATTATAAGGAAGATATAATCCATGAATTTTGTCAGCCAAACAACATCCAAAGTCTGTAATCACCAGTGATGGACAATTGTCCGATTCTTCCGATAAATCGAGTAAAATGTTATCACTCTTCAAATCTCTGCCAAGAAAAAAAATATTGACATTATAAATAATATTTATCTTTGTAAAAAATTGGAATTTATATTGTAAATAATATTTCTTATCTTTGTAAAAAATTGTAATTTATTTTGTAAATAATATTTATCTTTTTAAATAATTATAATCTATTTCGTAAAAAAAAATTCTTATCTTTTTAAAATCAATCAATTATGATTAATTACATTTTGGAAAAATGATTTAAAAAACAATACCTGTGTGCAATACCGTGAGCATTCATATGAGCAATCCCCTCCAATAACTGCGCGAATAATAAAATCGATTCTCTCGTTCGTATATTTCGATCGACGAAATATTCTTTCAATGTTGTATCGTATCTGGAATTTAATTAAATTAAAAAATTTCGATTAGTGGAAAAGTAATTTTATTATTAAATTAGATAAATATATTCCGGATTGACACAGATTAGGGAATTCAGGGAAAAGTCAGAAAAAGTAGAATTGTTCAGGGAAATCAGGGAAAAGTCAGGCATTTTTATTAAAAGTATATACTGAAAAAAATTAAATTTTTAGAATTCATAAGAAAATTTTGAATTTTTTGTTTGCCTCACAAATCTTTATAAGTAATAAAATTCTTCTCCAAAATTCAATTATTCTCGAAAATTTTAATTATTTTCAAAAATTTTCCTTAAGGTCATGTTATTCAGTGGTCACGTGCCCCATATACTTGACTATGGAAAAACTTTACACTGAATAACATGACCTTAAGTCAATAACTTTCAATATCTACTATTTTAATAAAGTTTTTAAAAAGAATTAAATTATTTAAAAACAAATTTTAATAAAATTCTACGCAAACATTTGATTATTTTCCTAAACAATCAAAATTTCATAGGAATTCAATTATTTTTATTAAATTCCTTTCAAGCATTTAATATTCAACAATTTCAATAAAATTCTTTACAAAAATTCAATTATTTTCATAAGCAATAAAATTCTGCACAGAAATTCAATTATTTTTAAAAGTTTTAATATAATTCTTTACAAGCATTCAATTATTTCCAAAAAGACTAAAATTCTTAGCATGATTCAATTATTTTCAAGATTTTAAATAGAATTCTTGGCAAAAATTCAATTATTTTCAAGAATTTTAATAAAGTTCTTCACAAAAATTTAATTATTTTTATAAAGAATTAAATTCTTGGCAAAAATTCAATTATTTTCAAGAATCTAAATAAAATTCTTGGCAAAAATTCAAATTCAATTATTTTCTAGAATTTAAATAAAATTTTTCGTAAAAATTCAATTATTTTCAAAATTTTAAATAAAATTCTTGGCAAAAATTCAATTATTTTCAACAATTTTCATAAAATTCTTTACAAGAATTCAATTATTTTCAAGAATATAAATAAAATTAATAACAAAAATTGAATTATTTTTATAAAGAATTAATTTCTTAGCAAAAATTCTATTATTTTTAAGAATTTAAATAAAATCCTTCGCAGAAATTCAATTATTTTTAAGATTTTAAATAAAATTCTTCGCAAAAATTCAATTATTTTCAATTTTAATAAAATTCTTCACAAAAATTTAATTATTTTTAAGAATTTTAATAAAGTTCTTCGTCGAAATTCAATTATATTCAAGAATTTTTATAAAATTCATTGCAGAATTCAATTATTATTTTTGTAAATAACTATAATCTATAGAAAAATTCAATTATTTTCCAAAATAATTGAATTCTTAGCAGAAATTCAATTATTTTTACAAATTTTAGTAAAAATCGTCGAAAGAATTCAATTATTTAAAAATTTGTTGATAAAATTCTTCATGAGAATTCAATTTTAAGAAACATTCAATTATTTAATAATTCATTGATTTTTGTACTCAACTAATTGAATTCCCATAGAATTTCCTAATAAAAATTGATTTAAAAATGAATTTCAGTTAAAATTTTAAAGTATAATTGAATATTAAATGAGTTATGGCATGAATTTTTAGAAATAATTAAAGTTTGAAAAGGTTTCAAATTAAATTTATTCTGTGAATTAATTTTTTTGAAAAGGTTTAATTTAATTTTTTTAAAATTATTAGAAGTTTTTATTTTCTAATATATATTTAATTGGAGAATTTCCGAATATAATCGAAATTTTGTTATAAATTTCGTAAAATTAAATTGTAAACAAATAGATTTACAAATTCTCAAGGAACTTTTTCAAAAATTATTAAAAATAATAATTGATCAGAATTTTAGTTAGAAATTGTAGAAAATAATAATTGAATTGAAATGATGAAAATAATTTTCAAGTAGTTACAGGAACAATATTCTTATAATATAAAATAATGATTTTATCACACGGTCATCTTTAATTATTATAGAACATAAAACATGAAGAAATTGATTACTCCGAGTCGAAGACTCGGAGTTATTGATTTCTTCATGTTTTATAATAATATTCTTAGAAATTGTTGAATTTCAAAATGGTTTCAATTTGAATCTTTTGGAGAATTTTAATTCCTATGGAAAATTAATAATGATCAGGGAAAAACACAATTAAATTTTTGTGACAACCCTGGTATAAACAAATACCTCTTCATGAGAAGAAAAAGACTCATATTTCTTCCTGAACCGTCCGGATGGATTCTCGAGGGCAAAGCGTCCGGGTACGCTTTCAAGGAACCTGGTAATTTAGGCACTCGGTCTGCAAATACTAAATACATTGCAACGATATTGGGATGAGGTGGAAGTACTCGTTTGTTGTCAATCATTAATTGCTCCCAATTAGCCAACTCTTCGTTTTGATAATGTTTTCTTGCGGGCACAGTTTCTCGATACATTGCCCTCAATATTGAAATTGCATTCGATTCGGCGTCGTAGTTGAACATCATTTTTAATGCGAAGGGAAAAAGGGAAATTTCACTGTTATTGTCAATGACAAGCTGTTTGTTCTCTTCTTTTTCGGCAACAGTTTGTAAACGTGCCGAATGAACAACAGCTGAACATCCTTTCGCAATCAACGGACCAATAACGAAATCCTGTAAATTTGTCGTCCTATCGTCAATTAATGTGGTTTCGTAATTCTTATCATTCTCAGGTTTATTCCATTGTAATTTTGATACGGCTTCCTGAAACAATATTAATTTCTACAATAATAATAGTTACATAATTATTTTCTATAATTCTACTTTTTTTTATTTTTTTTTCTTTCTATTTTTTTAAAGTGTAAAACGGAATTTACCCTAATTTCCCAACAGACACCTTCCAATTCATCTTCTTTTGTTAAAATCCCCGTTCCGGATGCTAGGGAAACACCGACTAGAGCGAAAAATGGTCTCGAATCACCAAAAAGTAATCGACTTGCTGCTCGACGACGTAAATTTGCGGCTAAACTATTTGTCACTCTCTTTAATATATTATCAACGAATAATTGTCGAGCTTGAGTCCCCAGAAAGCCGAGACGCCAACCAGTAGTTGGAGTACTGGTACCCGGAGGTACATGGCCCTGGGATTTTCCTAAAAAACAATTTTTCTTTTTAAATACAAAATACTTTGGACAAAATTCGTTATTTAACACTTTTATTTACTTTAGCTTCTTTAAGAGTGGCCTGTTGGACAGGGAAACCGCGAAATGACAGTGTCTTGACCGGGATTTTGAAATTTGTTTTAAAAACACTGATTATTTTGTGAGAAAAATAGAAATATTTATTTTAAGACTTATTAATTATATTTCATTAAAAAAGATTAAATTATCTTCTATAAAATCGTTTTATTTTGTCTGGGAATTTAAAAAAAAAGCCATATAAAAATATTCAATTTCTAGAATTTATAAGAAAATTATGAAAAAGAAAATATTAAATTTAATTTCAAATTCTTTCTATTTCTAACAATAATTAAACAAAATATAATTTTAATTAAATTCGTCGAAAAAATTTGAAAGAGAAAAAATTCCACATCCCATAAAATAATGAAAAATAAATCAATTTAAAAATTTTTTTTGCAATAATATTATAACTAAGCAAATTTGAATTGGTAAAAATTTAAACTAATTACAACAAAAATAATACGAAATTTATAAAAATTAATTTTTAAATAATAAATAAAGTAAATAAAAAATAAAAATAAATAAAATTTCGTTTCTTAGAAAATAAATTTTTAAAAAAACGTATTTTGCATTAATATATATCAATTCGTTTTTTTACAATTATTCATAAGCAAATTTTTCTATATTTTAGAATGTTAAATTAATATTAGCAATATTAATAGAGATTGAATTTTTAAAAGTTTCAAATTGAAGTTTTAGAAAAGTTGAATTGTAAAAGATTTTAATTAAAAATTCTGAATAAGTTAGTTTTTTGAAACTTTTGTATTCACATTTTTTTCAAATTAATTATATTTTTAAATATATAATATTTAATTGAAAAACTTTCAAATTATTCAAAATTTTATGAAATTCTCTTGTAAACAAGTTTTGAAATATTTTAGTTAAAATTTTAATTTTTTTTGAAATCTTAATACCTATGGAAAAATAATAGATAGTAATTAAATATTTATTTCAAAAAATCTATTTAACTTCCAAATGATTTTGCAGTTAAAGATACTCAAAAAAATGTATTATAAACATATTTTGGAGTTTTAATTATTTTTAGAGTAAACTAAAATATTTTTAGGGTTTGGCCAAAAATCAAGGTTTTGTCTAAATTCAGGGAATTCTTTTAATCTTTCATGGAATTATTTATTTTCAGAGTTATTCTTTATGACCGGGAAATGACCGTGAATTCTTTTTTATGAAAAAAGTGGCCACCCTGTTCTTTGTTATTCTATAATTCTAACCTCGTGTTGTACACTACTTTTAACAGTGTTAACGAAGTAAGAATTGTTTCGCAAATTTGACATTGAATTCGATCTACATATATTTATAATGATGATTTTTGACAATGTTTACAAAAAGACTACGTTGCAAAAATAAAACTCATGACCTTCGAAAATGGATAAAAATCAAAAAGGACAATATAAACTCAAAAGACAATAATAAGCTCCATAAACTCACCTATTTGTGAGACGTGTATCTTGTTAAGCTGTCCTCGATAGTAGCAGCTATTAACGCGGTGTTCCGGATTTCTAAGGGTTCGCAAAACAATCCGACCATTTTGTATAAAACGATATGCTGCAGCCCGCAAAGACATCTCCTCCTGGGCCGAGACGGCCCAACGGGCAAGTCCCGGACCCAAAAACCAGGCCTTCACTGCGGAAGGCAAATTTGCCAAAATCACCTCAATTTTTCAAAGATAATTCTCCCTTTAAATTTAATTGTTTAAATCTTTTTTTTACACTACGCGCATTAAAAATAAACCTATTACCAGCTATTACGACTGAATTTTTGACATGAAGACGAAACGAAACGAAGACGTTCTCGTGCCCTGCTATATGAAGTTAGCTCCTCCTCTCAAAGTAATAATTTTCCTTAAGTTGGTATACAAGTCGATTTTTTCAAATTTTCGCGCGAATAATCGGCCAATAAGCGCGTTTGAACTTTGGAAATGCGCCTTTAAGCTTGAACAGGGTTACCACGCAACCTGGAAAACTTGGAAATGTCAGGGAATTTTGATTGAAATCATCGAAATCCTGATTGTTGTATTCTAAAGTTATTGTGTTTATTCTTGAAATCTAATTGAAGCAATTACAAATGATTGCAGAAGAACAATTATTTTCAAAAGTATTAAAATTTTTCTCGAAAATTCAATTATTTTCAAAAATTTTAATAAAATTCTTGATAAAATTTTAATTATTTCCAAAAACTATCTCCAATTCAATTATTTTTAATATCTACTACTTTGATGAAATTTGCGAAATTTGCTAAAAGAATTCCAATAATTAAAAAAAAATTTAATAAAATTCTACGCAATCATTACATTATTTTCATAAATAATGAAACGCATCGCAAACTTTAAATTATTTTCAATACAATTTTAATGAAATTCCTCGAAAAATGTAATATTATTCTTAAAAATATTAATAAAATTTATCAAAGAAATTCAATTATTTTAAAAATCTTTGCCTATATTTTTAATACATTTGTAATTAAATTTATTGAAAGAATTAAATTATTTTCAAAACTTTTAATGAAATTCTTTGTAACAATTTCATTTCTTTCAAAATAATTTTAATAAAATTCTTCACAGAAATTCAATTATTTTCAAAAAGAATGAACTTCTTAGCAAAAATTTAATTATTTTTAAGAATTTTAATAAAATTCTTCTCAAAAACTTAATTATTTTTTATAAAGAATGAATTTCTTAGTAAAAATCCAATTATTTTCAAAGAATTTAAATAAAATTCTTCATAAAAATTTAATTATTTTTATAAATAATAAAATTCTTTACAAAATTACAATTATTTTTATAAATAATAAAATTCTTCACAAAATTTCAACTATTTTCAAGAATTTAAATAAAATTCTTCTTAAGAATTCAATTATTTTTAAGAATTTTAATAAAATTCTTTACATAAATTCAATTATTTTCATAAATATTCAAAATTTCATAGGAATCTAATTATTTTTATTAAATTCCTTCCAAGAATTTAATATTCAACAATTTGAAAAAAATTCTTCACAAAAATTCAATTATTTTCATAAGCAATAAAATGCTGCGCAGAAATTCAATATATTATTAAAAGTTTAATAAAATTCTTCACAGAAATTCAATTATTTTCAAAAAGAATGAACTTTTTTAGCGAAAATTCAATTATTTCTAGGAATTTTAATAAATTTCTCCACAAAAATTAAATTATTTTTATAAATAATAAAATTCTTTGCAAACATTCAATTATTTTCAAGAACTTAAATAAAATTCCATTATTTTCTTAAATAATACAATTATTTTTACAAATTTTAGTAAAATTCGTCGAAAATATTCAATTATTTGAAAATTTGTTGAGAAAATTATTAATGAGAATTCAATTTTAAGAAACATTCAATTATTTAATAAAATATTTATTTTTGTATTTAAATTATTGAATTCTAGTAGAATTTTCTAATAAATATTGATTTAAAAATGAATTTCAGTCAAAATTTTAGATAATAATTGAATATTAATAGCATTCTCGAATAAATGTTTAGAAATAATTAAATTTTGAAAAGGTTTCAAATTAAAATATTGAAAATTTTAACTTTTCATACATTTAATTAAGAATTCTGTAAAATGAATTTTTTTAAAGTTTAATTAATTTTTTTTTAATTATTTGAAGTTTTTAATTTCTAATATATTTAATTGAAAAATATCACAATAATCGAAATTTCATAAAATTAAATTGTTAACAAAAGGATTTGAAAATTCTCAAAGAACTTTTTTAAAAATTATTATAAAAGAATTGACTTACAGAAGAATTTTAGTTAAAAATTCTAGAAATGAGTAATAGAAATAATGAAAATAATTTTTGAAGAAGTTACGTTACAGTAACAGAGTAGCAAGTTTTAATTATTATAAAACATGAAGAAAGCGATTACTCCGAGTCAAAGATTCGGAGTAATCGATATCTTCATTTTTTATAATAAAAAAAATATTCTTAAATATATGTTATTGAAAATCTTAATTTAATAAAAAAAAGCGAATATTTTAACATGTTTTTATGTATTATTATCGTTTAGTTTAGAAGTATTTCTACCTTAAAAAAAAAAAAAAATTATTAAACCTAAGTTATGGAAGAAAATACGACAGAAGTAAAATTTGCAAATTTTATTTATAATTTGCTATTTATTGACGTTAGTTAATGCATTATTTATATTTCATTTACATGATGTGTTATTAATTTTTCAATTCTTAATTTAAAAAAGAATTCTAATAAAATATTTGTAATTAATTGAGAAATATTAATTAATATAAAACTTTAATTTCATTATATTTTAGTTGCAGAGAAAAATACTTTTTGAATTATCCGCGTGAGAAGTTAAATTTTTTTTCCATAATAAAAATTGACTTTTATATTTTGTTTTATTAAAAGAATTCTTTTTACTATTAAAGACAGTTTACGCTAATTTTATTTTATCACACGACACAATTTGTTTCAAAAATACCATTATTAAAATTATGAATTTAGAATTAAACTTCTCACAAGCGAAATACAAATGTAGTAAGTAATTTTTACTCTTAATTGTAACTGTAAGATTATATTTATGCAAAAATGGAGTCACAAGCAAAAAAAAAATTTTCCAAAAAAAAAAAAATAGTCTCGTGATTTCTTCATAATATGAAGAGAAAAAAAAAAGAAACTTCGAGCAATAGTAATATGCCGGAAGTACAGCACTTTGGGATCCATACACCTTTTCTATTCATTAAAATTTCAAAAATTCCTATATTCATTGAATTCATTACTCTTTACGTATCAGAAGTTGAAACACGTTTGAGGTATTTTTTTGTATATAATTAAAAACAGGAGATACACAATTTTTCAATTGATAATAAAATAATAAGTAGGCCATGAATCATCAGGGATAGAGAATATCGTAATGACCTGGACGATAAAGTAAATGAACTGATGGTGTGGCATTTTCGGGAAAATCATGAGCTATTACCTCCTTCTCTGCACCTCTGTCCATATATTTTACTCGCACACCCGTACCAAGTGCCGTACTCATTGCAATTATATGAATATGATCTGATTCTTTGAACATTGGTTCCACTTCCTGAAAATTTAATAATTCTCTTAATATTAATTATTCAAGGAAAAAACAAACATTGGGGTCATTCACAAACTACGTCACGCTTTTTCGGACTGATTTTTACCCCCTCCCCCTTCGTCACATTTTTTACACACAAAAAAAATTTTTTCCACAGTTAGTCACACACAGCTTGACACCCCCCCTCCCCCCACCCCTAGGAGTGTGACGTAGTTTATGAACTACCCCATTCGGCGTCAAAAACTATTTTTTTGGTTTCGCAAACAAAAAATAATTCTGACGCTAAATTCATTTGTAATAAAATAAAATTGAACTATTTTTCTCAGAGTTGCCACAAAAAATTAATTTTATTTTTCCCTGACTTTTCCCTGATTACCAGACAAGTAATACAATTTTTCACATTAGTTCAATTATTTTAAAAAATATAGTAAAATTCGTCGTAAAAATTAAATTATTTTCATAAATAATAAAATTTTTCATAGGATTTCAATTATTTTTAATATACCATTTTAAATGAATTCCTCGAAAAATGTAATTATCTTTAAAATTTTTTGCAATAATTCAATAATTACATTTTTAACAAATAATGAAAATCTTTGTTGAAATTAAAATATTTTCAAAATCTACTATTTTAAAAAATTTGTTCAAAAGAATTCAATTATTTAAAAAAAATGTAATAAAATGCGTTTCAAGAATTCAATTATTTTCATAAATAATAAAATTCGTCACAGGATGTCAATTATTTAAAAGAAATGTAATAAAATTCGTTGCAGGAATACAATTATTTTCATAAATAATAATATTCTACATTAGATTTCAATTATTTAAAAAAAAATGTTTTAAAAAATCGTTGCAAGACTAGAATTATTTTTCTAAATAATAAAATTCTTTACAGAATTTCAATTATTTTTAATACAATTTTAAGTAAATTCTCCGATAAATGCAATTAATTTGCAGAATGTTATTAAAATTCTTCCAAATAAATAAATTAACAATTATCAATTATTTATAATAATATTTGGAAAAGTTCCTAGAGAATTTTCAAATCTACTTGTTTACAATTTAATTTTACGAAATTTTGATTATTCGGAAATTCTTCAATTTAATATTTAGAAAATAAAAACTTGAAATAATAATTTCAAAAAAAAATTCAATTGAATAAATAAAAGTTTCTCAAAATTTAATTTTCATAAAGAATTTTTCCAACATTTTAAATAATTAAATTTTTTCGACTAATTTTAATAAAATTTTCAAGAATAATTACATTTTTTGAGGAATTCGGTTGAAATTGTATTAAATATATAATTGAAATTCTATTATGAGTTTTATTATTTATGAAAATAATTGAATCTCTGTAAAAATTGTTATTATTTATGAAAATAATTGAATTTTGGAAAAGAATTTTATTATTTTTAAAGATACATAAAATTGAAATTTTGATCAGAATTTAAAAAAATTTTTAACATAATTGAATTTTTGCAAAAATTTGTAACTTTTTTAAAATTTAATTGTTTGTGTTTTAACTAAAATTCTTCTATAAATCCATGATTTTTAATAATTAATTAAATATATATTACAAAAATTAAATAAAACTAATTTCAGAAGAATGTGGATTATTAAAATTCATATTTCAAAAATATAAGTTCTTTTAATTTGTTTTATTAAATTCATTCAAAATTGAAGTTTTATAAAATGTCAAATTAAAACCTTTTGAAGTTCATTTATTTATGAAAATTTAAAACGCAACTCTTTAAAAATTCAATTAATTTTGAAATATTTAAGTAAAATTATCTGTATTAATAATCGTTGCATTCGGGTAATCTGTTCGTAGTTTAAAGTTAGTTTATTGTTGTTTGCTTCTTTGTTTCCTAATTTTTTTTTCTTTTTTCTTTTTGAATATTTTCAATTTTAAAATTTATGTTTTAAAAATCATTGAATTCTTGCAAACAATTTTATCAAAAAATTTGATAATAATATAGAATTCTTTCGAAGAATTTTATTACTTCGAATAATAATTGAATTCTCACGAAGAATTTTGTTAAAATTTTTGAAAATTCTAATTAAATTTTTTTTGAAGAATTTCTTTTAATTTTTTTTTTTAATAATTGAATTTCATTAATAATTTTCATTAAAGATTTTGAAAATAATTGAATTTTACGAATAATTTCTTCGAAGTTTTTAAAATAATCGTGTTTATTAATAATTGAAGTTGAACATTTAAGTTTATTAAATTCATTCGTGACATTTTTTTGAAAATAATTGAATTTTTGCAATGAATTTTACTATTTATAAATATAATTGAATTGTTTCGAAGGATTTATTAAAATTTTAGAAAAAAATTATTAAAAATTAAAAAAAATTGAATTCTTTTATGAAATGTTATTGAAATTGTATTAAAAATAATTAATTTATTAAAATTTTAAAAAATAATTGAATTCTATTTAAATTTTTTATAACGAATTAAAAAAAATTGAATTCTTTTGTGAAATTTTTTTAAAATAATTGAATTTTTGCAAAGAAATTTTATTAACAATTTTAAATATAATTGAATGTCTGCGTAGAATTTTATTATTTGTGAAAATAATTTAATTTTTTTAAAGAATTATTTAAAATCTTTGATATAATTAATTTTCGCGAAGAATGTTATTGTTTATTTAAATATTTGAATTCTTGCAAAAACTTTATTAAAATTTTTGAAATTAATAAACAAGATAAATTTTTTAAAAGTTTGAATCTGAAATTATTCAAAAATTAATATTTGAAAATAAAAAATTTTGTAATTTGCATAATAATAATATATTGAATGTCACATTCTGCGTGTTAGCGCGCAAAACGTTTTCTAGTTCATTAAATAATTAACAAGTAATAATTTTATGATAGTTTTTCAAGAATTAAATTACTTAAAAATTAATTTTTGTCAGAAATAGAAAGAATTGAAGGTTTTGTATTAGAATTCGTGGTAATTTAATAATTTGAGGCAAACAAAAAAGACTAAAATTCAGAATTTTCTTATGAATCCTACAAATTTAATTTCTTCCAGTACTTTAATGAAAGTCCCTGACTTTTCCCTGATTTCCCTGATCTGTAGGAATCCTGTTTCTAGTATTTAGAATTAAAAATTGTCACCTGATGGCAAAAATCCTTGACAGTTCGATCGCCCTCGATGAAATTTTGAAAAAATTCACTCTCTCGTTGTAAATGACCAGATGTTATTAACCTAAGATAGACGACGACGTAATCTGAATAACCTTGTTCATTGAATAGTTTATGCAATTCCTCGTAACTTGCTTCTGTACCTCCTCCAACTCTGTCAATTACCTCCATAAACTGTAACAACATTTTTTATTTATTTTTTATTTTATTTATTTCATTAAAATTTTATTTATATTACTTTTATTTTCTTATTTTAAAAATAGTCGTTTTTTTTGTGGAATTAATGCTAAATTTGCATAATAGACGAGTTTTTTCTCACATGATAAGAAAGGTCAAACACGTAAAATTATGTATTTCCAGGAAAATAGATTTTAATTTCCCGTTACTTTCAAAGAAGAAAAAGAATAATAATTCTACTCACTGTATCGTGAAAATCTTCAACTGTAAATTGAGGAAATCCTAAAGATACTAAATTATCTTTACTGTTTAATGCGAGTTCTCTAAATTTTTCATACTCCTCTTTATTGCTGATCAACCTCTCAAGATAAGCGTAACTAAACGCCCGAAAGAAACAATTTCCATCTGGTCTCGTTCTTCGAAAATATGAATATTTTTCACCCAAAATCTTTGCTTTTGACAGATAAACTTCATCTTCAGCGTATTCGCTCTCAAGGGCCTTTAAAGATTCTTTCTCACCGACAAGCGCTATTGTTTCCGAAATCTATAAAAAAAAAAGAAATTTTCTTAAGTATAATCTATATATTCAAATTATACTAATAAAATAATACTTTTTTTCTACATACAAAATAAAAATTATTATACAAAATAATTTTAAAAAAAATCAAAAGATAGAAGTATTTCTAAACGATTAAAAATTCCTGACAAACAGAATAAATTTTAATCTATAATTTTTTTTTTTATTAACATATTTTATCTACGAAACATTTGTTTTGTGCGATTAAAAATTGTAGGAAAAAAACTATTAATTTTTTTTACCCAAAAAAAAGCCACTAACCTCTTTTTCGATACGTCTCTGTTGCTGCAAAATGAGTTCATCTTGATTGATTTCTGTAATAAAATAATGATTACTAATTGTCTTGAGAAAAATGTAAATTGCTATATTAAGAGACAATAGGAACCTGAATTTTCCGTTGATCGTTGATTAAGTGGTTTTTCATCCATATTTTTATTGAATTTTTAGTAAATTTTAAAGTCACGTCAAATAACCAACTGAACTGAAAACAAAAACTCCGAAAATCAGATTGACATTTGAGATTGGTAACTATGATTTCTGTCAGTTGGGTTGGTATCTCTGATCTTTAAAGAACAGAATCGGCGGGTAATTCAAATTATTGCAATTTTTTTTCAATAATTTATAATTAAATAAAAATATTTAGTACTATAAATGTTTTTTATAATAAAATAGTTAATATTTAATTTACTATAAATGTTTTTATAATAAAAAAAAAGTTTAAATGAAAAAATGTACGGACTGTGCAAAATGTTATAAAATGAAATACAAATGAAATTTTACTTCAAATTATTGATAATCGTAAACATATTTTAAATTAAATATTTAATTTTATACTTAACGTATTAAATAATTTACTGTTTTTTTTAAAGAAAATAAACAACGCACAATGTGAAGGTGTTTTTTTTATAAAAGAAAACATTGTATTTTTTTTTATTACAATTATATTTGTAAAATAGCAAATATTTATTCGTTCTCCTCGGAACGCAAACGTGCGTTGGGGTTCGTAACGCGAATTGAAAGTTGTTGAGCGCGTTCTACAATAATCTTTCGTTTCTTACTGCTAACTGCATGAGCGATTTCAGCGCAGAATTTTCTGTTCTGCATCATCAAAACTTCCAATTCCTTAAAAAAAGAAAAATGGTTAAAAACAATTAAAAGAATGATAAAATAATAAATTATCTCTTCTTCAAAAAATTTTTAACAATAATCCAAATATATTTATATCTAGAATATATATTTTATATCTAGAAAGAAAAATGGTTAAACCAAAATTAAAATAATGATAAAATAATAAATTATTTCCTTTTGAAAAAATATTTAACAATAATCTAAAAATATTTATTGTCTAGAAAAGATTCAATTTAATTCAATAGAAAAAATTCATACACAAAAGGTGGAAAATTGCAAATTTTGCAGAAAAGACAAAAGGAACTTTTAAGAATATTATTTCACTTACTTTGACGTTATGAACGAGAACTTTCTTGAATCCAGTGGGAAGCATATGACGGGTTTTCTTGTTGCTTCCATAACCGATATTGGGCATCAAATATTGTCCCTTGAAACGCCTTCTGACTCTGTTATCAATACCCTTAGGCTTACGCCAGTTCCTCTAAAAAAAAATATAAATCATTGGCATACATTCTTTAGTTTTACAAATTCGAATCATATTTTTAACATTTTTGACATGATGAAAAAAGTATGAATTTAATTAAACACAAGTATGAATAAAATTCTGTTTTCTCTAGTAAATTTAATTTTGATTCTAATAGATTGAAATCTAGATGTCAAACTATTCTTTCAGAAATTTTACTTTGCATACATTACGTATTCATTATTTCGCTTATATTTTAATGGAAAGAGAAATCTTTCTATTAAAATATAAGCGAAATAATGAATGTGTCGAAAAGTGAGGTTATGTGGTGTTAATGATAAAATGTTTTTACCTTCAATTTATCATAGCGATCACTTTGGTGGCGAATGAACTTTTTCGTTCGCTTTTTGACGATTTTCGGTCTGTATATCGGTCGGATGGACATGGTTCTTCGAATTTATAAGCAACTAAAACATAAACAGTAAAAAATATAAGTAACACTTGTCAGCACACGGTCATTGTTTTTCACTGAATCACAAGTGAAAGTTTTATTAAAGATTTCAAGTAAAATTGACTCAATTATCAATAACTATAACACTTAATCAATAAAGAGAGACATTTTTTTTAAGTAAATGTAAATAATTATTATAATTTATTTACGATTGTTATAAAAAATATGGATTTTCAAAAGTCATACGTACTTCGAAGAAAAATATATATCGGAAAAGGCTTCCTTTCAACCCAACCTTTTTGACGAGAAAGTTAGAAGGCGGATTCACAAACATCTTTTTAATTCTGTTTTAAACACAAGTATCTGATTGGTCAATCATTTGTCCACGTTTCCTCTCGACCAATCACAGTGAAATGTCAATGTGGACGATGTTATTTAAAAATATAACCTAGAAATTAGTGACAGATGTTATAACAATAACAAATAAATAAACAATAGTCACGATAGTAAAATAAAAATTAGTGAAACAATTGCTATGAATTGCTTTTTGTAAAAATACTTTATTTTTATGAAAAATTTTATGAATAAATCAAATAAATATACGAATTATTAAAAAAATTTCTTTTTAATAAATAAAAATGAACGTTGTTAAGATAAAAAGAAGTAAAATCTCTAATTCGACTCGTGAAGAATTGGAAATTCTTGATAAATCAGTAAGTGGAAAAAAATCCTTTGTTTTTGTTACGTAATTTAAATCTTGCCCTTCCTAATTTTTATTATTGCAGATTTTGATTGATAAAATCCTACAACTAGAAGCTCATAATTTTCAACTAAAATCTATAATCTCTAAAACTCTAAACAGTTCGGATAAAAAATCGACAAAAATAAATAATACGAAGAGAAAATTTGATTTTTCGAAGTAAGTGAAAAGATTAGAAATTATAAACAAGGAAAAAAAATGATATTTTAATCTTGTTTTTTCAGACATCAGAAAAGACATATTTTTTTGAAATTTTATTATCTCGGTTGGGACTATCATGGATTTATGGAACAAGAGAATACGATTGAAACGATTGAACACCATGTATTTGCAGCGTTGAAAAAAAGTTGTCTCATTGAAAGTAGAGAGACATCGAATTATCACAGATGTGGCCGAACTGACAAGGGTGTCAGTGCTTTTTCTCAAGTTATTTCCATAGACGTTCGCAGTCAACTTGATGGAGACAATCAAAATAATCTCGATCAAGAACTTCTTTACTGTAAAATGTTAAATAGACTTTTACCGAAAAATATTCGCTGTATCGCCTGGTGTCCCGTGTCAGAAAATATTTCCGCAAGATTCGATTGTAAACGAAGAACATACAAATACTTTTTTCCAAGGGGAAATTTGAATTTAGATCTTATGAATCAAGGGCTGGATTTCATGATTGGAAGTCACGATTTTAGAAATATTTGCAAAATGGATGTGGCAAATGGTGTTGTGAACTTTAATCGTACGATATTAAAGGCTTCGGTGCGTTGTATTGAAGAAAATCTTGAGACAATATCAGGTATTTTGTGTTATTTATAAAAGGAATGCTTCTCTAATTGTGAAATTTAAAATACCTGAATTTATTTTTATCAGGTTATGATATGTGCGAATTGACAATAATTAGTCAAGCTTTCTTGTGGCATCAGATTAGATGCATAATGGGAATTTTATTATTAGTTGGATGTGGAAATGAGAAACCTGAGGTAATTCAGGAATTATTGAATATTGAACAGTGTCCTAAGAAACCACAATATAATTTGGCTCACGAAGTGCCGCTGAATTTGTTTCATTGTGAATTTGAAACGAACGATTGGTTTATTGACAAAACGGAACTGGAGGAAGTTGTAAAAAATTTACAGGAAGAATGGACGTTTCATAGCATCAAGTAAGAGTCACTTTAAATATTCTTTCAGGGTGGCCACATGTCAGTAAAGTCAGGGAAATGTCAGGGAAAAAAATTTGTTGTCAGGAAAATTTAGAAAATTGAAATTTTTTTCGACTTATTTTCAAAAATTGCGATTTTTTTCCAAATATTGTAACAAAATATCATATTTTTTAGTATTAAATGTAACTCATTTCGATTTTTATAGTGCGAAACATAACTACAAACAAATCTTTCAAAAATTATTTTTGAACCATTTTTTCCATTTAAATTTACGGAAATATACATTTAAAAAGATTTTGAATTGTTAAAATTTTGTAAAATTTAATTGAAAATAATTAACTTTTTTTCAAGTATTTTGTTAGAATTTTTTAAAATCAACTTTTGAAGAATTTGAATTGCAAATTTTCAAAATAATTGAATTATCAAAAATTTTAATGAAAAATCTTTAAACGTAAAATATTTCATTAAAATTCATCAACAAATTAATTACTTTTTTTTAATAATACAAAAACTCTTTTAAGAATTTCAATTGTTTTCGAAAAATTACATTAAAATATTATTAAAAACTACTTAATTCATTAGAATTTTTTATCGTAATTTTTTCAAATTAAATTAGCTTCGAATAAACCAAATAAAAATTTACTTTTTTGGACTTGTTAAAATTTCGGAGAAATCATGGTCATATTTATAATTAAAATTCTTCAAAAATTTGATTATTTTTATTTTTTGAAAATATTAATAAACTTAAGAAAAAAACCTGGACAGTTACAATTTTTATAAAAAATTGAATTTTTGTATTTAAATAATTTAATTCTCAAAGAACTTTCGGAAAATTATTTTAAATAATTGATTTGGTTTATAGTTTATAGTTGAAAATTGTAGAAAATAATTGAATTCAGGAAGAGTTATAATTGTAATTTTTTATAAATTATTGAATTTCATAAATTTTACTCATTTTCCGTAAACTTTCATATTTTCCTGTGAAAAGAATTTTGTCAGGGAAAATAATTTTAATATCAGTAAATTGTCAGGGAAACTGATAAACTGAAACTTGTGACCCCCCTTTCCCCTGTCTTTGAATAAAATGGAAATTTAGAAAAAAATATTTGTTTAAAGAAGGAAAATTTTCAATTTTTCAGAACGACTATGATTAAAACAATGCTGTTAAATTTGCCACAAACAGAAAATACAAATTTTCAAAGCGATTGTCTACTTCGTGGGGTGGAATCGAAAATTTACACTCCATTAATGAAAAGATTGACTTGCGGTTAGTGGCACAATTTTCCTAATTTAATAATTATTGAAAATTGAAAATTATTTAACCAATTTCCATTTACTTTACAGAGAGTTTAGAGGAGAAAATAAAGCATTTCACAAAAAAACAAAAGATTGAAGTAAAAGTGACGAATCTTTAAGAAGATTTTTAAATTGGTGAATTAGGAATAAATTCATTTTTTATAAATAAAAAATGATATATTTTACATAGTGCGGTAAAAAAAATGGTTTTTTAACTAAATTTGTTATCAGGAATGAAATAAAAGTTTATAGACAACAATTCTTCCGAAAAAATCAGTACTACTGTGAAAAATTATTTTAAATACTTTAGATCTTGTACTCTTTGTTAAGGGAAATCGTTGCCTGGTATTTGTATCTTCAGGAAAAAAATCGTTGATAATTGATAAATCTTTAGAATCTTCTCCAGATTCAATGGAACATTTCTTACCGGCAAATCCACCTTGAAATTCTATTTCTATTTCCGATAAATCTACAGGTTCTTCGAAATTTACTAAAATCCACTGTGGAGTTCCCTAGAAGAAAAAGACAATCATTAATTTTTGTTTTAATGATAAATATTGTTTTTATAAAATTTTTGTATATAAGTATGTTTATTTTTTTTATTTGTTTCTATAAAAAAAATTTGACACTTACAGAATCAGAATTCCAACAAGTTTCATTTGACTCGTCAAACATATATTGTTTACCGAATTCTTTCACATTTTTGTTCAATACGGAACTAACCCTAAAAATTTCAAAAAAACAGGTTTTTAAATAAATGGAAAATTATTAACTAATTGAACTGAAATAATAATTAAAAGTCCACTTACCTGCAGGTAAACTTTTTCTCCTTTAATAAACTCATATTGTTTTATATAACAATATTGATAGAATAGATAGAAAACATAAAAGAATTTTAATAATCTTAATAATTTATGTTATTTTGACAGATAAACACATTTTTCCATACTTTTTTTTTATAGAAAGCGTGGTCACTCTTAAAAAATTTATGTCGAGTTCACATGTTTGCACGATTTTGTCCAGATTGAAATGTAAATACGCCTTAAGGTTTTCTGATTTGGATGCGCATCGCACTAATGCGCAGTTTGTGTTTGTCCTTCGTCAAAACAAAACATTTTTAAAAACGTGTTGAAAAGGAAGAATAAAGTGAATTATTTTTAGTATCCAAGGTTAAAAACTATGTTTATAAATGAAATTTTGACAAGAAAATCTTAGGTAATTATCATGGAAAGTTATTAAGTTGTAATTTAAATGTATATTGACAGTTTGTAGATCATAACCTCAAATTTTGCTCTATTGTTGTAAACACGGTAAACACTTTAAATATAACTTTTAATTATAGTGTTTTTTAATAGATAGAACATTTATATTTTTAATACTCACATTGTTTAGATTACGTTTATATATTTTTTTATTTACGTTTATGTATTATTTACATTTATAACTGAAGTTCATCGATTTTGTCTATTCATTTATTTTCGTGGTGGCCACATGTCAGGGAAATGTTAGGGAAACAAAATTTTTTGTCAGGGAAATTAAGAAAATTGACACTTTTTTCGACTTATTTTTAAAAATTGAGACTTTTAATTTTCTTTCCAAACATTGCAACAAAATACAACGACTTTTAGTAAAAAAAAAGTGCAACTTTTTTTGATTTTTATAATGCAAAAAATAACTATAAACAAATCTTTCAAAAATTGTTTTTGAATCATTTTTTAACATAATTATTAAATTTTTCAAATATTTCTATAATAAAAAACTTTTTTAATTGTTGAAATTTTGTAAAATTTAATTGAAAATAATTTATTTATTTAAAGTATTTTGTTAAAATTTTTCAAAATCAACTTTTGAAGAATTTTATTTGCAAATTTTGAAAATAATTGAATTAGGTATCAAAAATTTTAATGAAAAATCTTTAAAGGTAATTTTAAAAATGAAAATTATCTTCTAATTTTTTAAAATTCAATATTTCCAGTATTTTCAATAAAATTATTATTCTATTTTATAAGAACATTCTACTCTTCAAAATTATTTTTATCATTTCAATTCAATTATTATTTTTAAGAATTTTTAACTAAAATTCTTCTTTAAAGCAATAATTAATTTTCGAAAAAGTTCTTTGACAATTTTCAAATCCATTTATTTACAATATTCAATTTTACGAATTTCAATTATTCGTAAATTCTTCAATTAAATATACATTAGAAAATAAAAACTTCAAATAATATAAAAAAAATTCAATTAAACTTTTTCAAAAAAATTAATTTCAAAATTTAATTATTTCTAAAAATTCATGCTATGTTGCTTTTAATATTCAAATTATTATCTAAAATTTTAACTGAAATTCATTTTTAAATCAATTTTTATTAGAAAATTCTACTGGAATTCAATTATTTAAATATATAAAAATAAATAATTTAATAATTGAATGTTTCTTAAAATTGAATAAAAATAATTACATTTTTCAAGAAATTTGTTTAAAATTGTATTAAGAATAATTAAAATTCGGCGAAAAGTTTTATTATTTGTGAAAATAATTGAACCCCTAAGAAGAATTTTATTATTTTTGAACATAATTAAATTTCTGCAATAATTTGTAATACAAAAAAATATTTTTTCGAATAATTGAATGTTTCTTAAAATTCAAATCTCATAAATAATTTTATCAACATATTTTTAAATAATTGAATTTTTTCGACGAATTTTAATAAAATTTTTAAGAATAATTACATTTTTCGGGAAATTTGTTCAAAATTGTATATTAAAAATAATTGAAATTCTGCAATGAGTTTTATTATTCATGAAAATAATTGAATTCCTAAAAAGCATTTTATTATTTACGAAAATAATTGAATCTCTGTAAAAATTTTATTATTTATGAATTAGAAAATTTGTAAATAATTGAATTCCTGTGAAATTTTTATTATTTTAAATTATATAAACATTCTTTTAAGAAATTCAATCATTTTCGAAAAATTACATTAAAATATTTTTGAAAACTAATTATTAGAATTGTTTTATAATAATTTTTTAACATTCAACTATCTTCGAACAATGTAAATAACAATTTATGAAAATTTACTTCTTGGACTTATTAAAATTTTTGAGAAATCATTGTCATGTTTATAATTAAAATTCTTCAAAAATTTGATCATTTTTATTTAGATTTTTCAAAAATTCAAAATTATAAAGAATTTCTTTATAATTTTTTGAATATATTATACCTTAATAACTTAAGAAAAAAATATTGAGAGTTACAATTATTATAAAAAATTGAGTTTTTGTATTTAAATAATTAAATTCTAGAAGAACTTTTGGAAAATTATTTAAATTAATTGATTCAGCGATGAAATTTAGTTGAAAATTGTAGAAAATAATTGAATTCAGGAAGAGTTATAATTGTAATTTTTGATTATTAATTTTGATTACTTTGTGATTAAAATTAATAAGTTTTACTTATTTTCCGTAAACATTTATATTTTCCTGTAAAAATAATTTTGTCAGGGAAAGTAATTTTAATATCAGTAAATTGTCAGGGAAATTGATAAACTGAAACTTGTGACCACCTTGATTTTACAATCTATTGTCAAAAAAACTTTACGTTACTCATAAAATTAAACACTTTCTTTACAGTTAAAATGGATTTCGATTCAAATGATAGTTACTGGAGTAGTTGTATTCGTCTCATTGAAAAAACATTCGTCCCAAGAATACAGGAAGGAAAAAATCGTCCTTGCACTGAAGACGATTTCAAGAATCATCGTTCCACAGTCAATCAAAATTGTCAGGATATTTTGTCGATTCTACAGCACATTTTGGATGAGCGCAATGAAACAAGTATGTCATTAAATTCTTCAAAAGTTAAAATTTTTAAAAGTTACTGTATAATAATGATCGGTGAAAATAGTCAGAAAAATCTTTGGACTACAATTGAGTCTCAAGAAATTTGTAAACAAATCTCTGAAATTCTCTGTGATTTATATTCTTGTGAAAATCTCTCACAACTCATTGAACAAAATCAAGATGACGTTAGTCGAATTCTCACCACATTGAGGCCAAAATTATTAAAAGACACATGGAAAACTTATCCAGCTTCGATTATTTGCTACAAATGGTTCGTCACTCTATTGAAAAAGTCACAAGTCATTAATCATTTTAATGACATAATTCCCACGGCATTAATAATTCTCGATGACTTTGAAGTGGAGAATAAAGTTTTGGGTTTGGAATGTATTTCCGAAATAGTGCAACACTGTCACACGGAAAAGCAATTTGTTGAATCGGGATTCGCTGAAATGATACTCTTCAATCTGAAGAAATTTATTTATGAAAGAGAAATGAATTGTACATTAGTGTTGTACAATTGTATTGAGAAAATTTTAAAATCTCTAGAATTAGGAAAGGAAAATTTCAATAAATTCGAATGGAGTGAAAGGGATAAAATTCTTGAGGAACTATTAGACAAAATGGCATGTGAAGATAATGGAAAAATTCGTGAAAACTACATGAGTGTCTTGGTGGAATTGTTAAATTCATTGGGTAGTTTTAAATGGTGCGGTAGAGTGATAAGAATTATTGATCGTTACTGTGAACATTACGGTGATTTAAATAGTTTGAAAATTACTTTAGACAGTACGAAAATTATTCTGGGTCGATTTGAAAAGCGAATTTCGGCTCATAGCGAAAGTTTGTTTACAATTTTTCTGAAACTCTATATTAATTTGAATGAAATACAAGCGAGTGAAGAGATTTTTCAGAGTTTGGAAGATTGTCTGTATTTAGTGTGTCAATCGTCGCCGGAAATGATCAAAGAATTGATGCAAGACGATCGAATAGAATTGAAATTTCGAACTGACTTTGTTAAAAGAATATTTGAACTTGACAGTTGATTACAATATATAATTATCAATACTTTTAATTCGCTCTACATTTTTTGTTTATTGATTTTTGCAAAAAGTTCTTTTGCCACTGTTGGTAATTTTAAGAAAATCAAATTGCGACAAAAACAGGGTTGCCACAAAAATTTTATTTTTCCCTGATTTACAGACAGAACTTTGAGTTTTTCCCTGACACTAAAAAAAATTTTTGATTCACTTTAAAAATAATTAAATACTCAAAAAAAAATGTTTGTAATATAGGATTTATTTTTAAATATCTTTAATTAAGTAAAAAATTATTCGGAATATCAATAGATTATTCAAATTTCAAATCCCTTTGAAATTCAATAATTTATTTTTTCTAGAAATTTTAACTATAAAATTCTTCTCTAATTTAATTTATTTTTCATTTTTTTGAGAAATTTCCGTAAAAAATCAATTATTTAAAAAAAAATTAACCAAATGTCAGTAAAACAAAATTCAGTGAAACAAAATTTTTGTCAGTAAAGTCAGGGAAATGTCAGGGAAACAAATTTTTTGTCAGTAAAGTCAGGGAAATGTCAGGAAAAAATTGTTTGTCAGGGAAATTAAGAAAATTGAGAATTTTGTCGACTTATTTTCAAAAATTGCGACTTTTTCGAATTTTCTTCCACACATTTCAAGTATTTATTTACAATTTTTAAAAATCAATTTTTGAAGAATTTTAATTGCAAATTTTGAAAATAATTGAAATATCAAAAATTTTAATGAAAAATCTTTAAATGTAAATTTAAAATTGAAAATTAATGAAAATTAGCTTTTAATTTTTTAAAATTCAATGTTTTCAGTATTTTCAATTACATATTTCCAAAAATTCAAATACATACAAAAATAATAACATTTTAGAATTCTTTTTAACATTTTAGAGAATATAATCAAGTTCAAAATTTTTAAATAAAATTATAAAAAAATTAATTAGTTTTTTAAATTATACAATATTTTTTTATGAAATTCCATTATTTTCGAAAAATTTCATTAAAATATTTTTAAAAACTAATTGTTAGAATTGTTTTATAATAATTTTTTAAGATTCAATTATCTTCGAACAATGTAAATAAAAATTTATAAAAATTTGGTTTTTGGAGTTATTAAAATTTTTGAGAAATCATGGCCCTGTTTGTAATTAAAATTCTTCAAAAATTTGATCATTTTTATTTATATTTTTCAAAAATTAAATTATTTTTAAAAGATTTTACCAAATTTTAATTGTTTGAAAATTATTCAAAATTGAAAAACTACCTATTATCTTTAAAAAATTATTTAAAAATATTTTTAAAAAATGATTTATAAGAATTTCTTTTTTATAAGCTTTTGAAAATATTAATACCTTAATAACTTAAGAAAAAACTAGGGAGAGTTACAATTATTATAAATAATCGAGTTTTTGTATTGAAATAATTGAATTCTATAAGAACATATGGAAAATTATTTAAATTAATTGATTCATAAATGAAGTTTAGTTGAAATTTGTAAAAAACAATTGAATTCAAGAAGGGTTATAATTGTAATTTTTAGAAATTATTAAATTTCACAAATTTTACTCATTTTCCGTAAACATTCATATTTTCCTGTAAAAAGAATTTTGTCAGGGAAATGTCAGAGAAATTGATAAACTGAAACTTGTGGCCACCCTGAATATATTTAAATATATAATGAATTTCAAAAAAATGTGAATAAAAATATTTCAAATTTTTATAACTTTTTATAATTTTCAAATCTGAAATAATAAATTTAATTTTTGCGTAGAATTTTATTCAAATTTTTGAAAATAATTTAATTGTTTTGAAGAATTTGAATAGAAATTTTATGAAAATAATTAAATATTTTGAGGAATCGAATTAAAATTTTATTCAAAATAATTAAGTTCTTTTGAGAAATTTTATTAAAAGTATATTGAAAATAATTGAATTCCTACGAAGAATTTAATTATTTTCCATTATATTTGAATTGTTTCGAAGAATTTTATTTAAACTTTTAAAAAATAGTTAATTTTTTTCGCGGGAAATTTATTAAAAAGTTGAATTGAAAATGATAATTAAATTATTTCCAAGAATTTTATTAAAATTGTTTTGAAAATTATTTAATTTTAGCAACAAGTATTAAAATTTTGAATAACAATTCTGTTCTTTCGAGAAATTTTATTAAAATTGTATTGAAAATAATTAAATTCCTGTGGAGTTTTAAAAAATTTTTTTTTTTAGAAAATAATTGAATTGTCTTTGAAAAATTTTTTCAAAATTTTTGAAATTGGTAAATTAATTTGTTTTGAGGAATTTAATTAAAATTGTATTGAAAATAATTGAATCTCGTCCGAAGTATTTTATTAATGTTGAATTTTTTTAAATTTTGTATTTAAAATTATTTAAAAATTGAAGTTGATTTTCGAAAATAAAATATTTTGTAGGTATGTAATTTACATAATTATAATAAATTAAATATGTAGCTATATTTTTCCTAGTTATTCATATATTATTTATATAAATTAAAAACGCAACTTTTATTAAATTAAATTATTTTTTGAATTTTTAAATAAAAGTATTTGCAAAATTATTTAAATTCTAATTATATTCACATAGTGAATCGCATTTTAATTATATTTCACACGAAATTTTCGTAAAACAAACTTTTTCGAAATGTAAAAAGATTAGTTTAAAGGCAATGTGAAAGAAAAAGAGAATCGAAATTTGTAAACAAAATTGATTATTCAAAACAAAGAAATTCTACAATTGTGACAGGTAACTTGTATAGTGTGCCACTGACTTGAAACACTAAATGCACGTTTAGCGTTCGACGAACGTACTTATATTCGATTTAAAATCTAATAAAAATAGTCAATTGATTCATTATTTTTTGAACAACATTCTCATAGATTATTTTTGACTTGAAAATGTTTTTTTTCTCTTTTTTTTGGTACGTTCACTGTTATATTAATACTGTTCAGCGTAACGTAATACACATTTTTTTCTATAGATTAAAAGAATTATTCAAGTAGAACATTAAATACTCTTGGATCATAAAGTTAAAAAGAGCCTACTTTACAAGCCAGTGACTTTAAAAAGCAATCGAATGAATATCTACTGACCATTACCACAGGAATATTGCATGATATATAACATAATTCGAGTGCACAATAGACGATAAAAATATAAATACTATACAATTTATCCAAAGTAAAATATAATAATAGATCTTGTATCATACGTCTTATAAATAGTATTCGATATTATAGAATTCCACATATTAACGTAGATCAGGGTCTTTTTTTTTAATAATAGACATAAAATAAATTATAAAATGTCTATAAGTTATTATCTTATCACTTTGAATTGAATGCAAGGAAAACATGATTTTTTTTTTCATTTTATGTATATATATAAATATTTATATATTTTATCTTTTTTTTCGTAATGTGACTTTAACGTCAATCAAACGTGTATAATTAGCAACTTTTTTTTCTTTATATACAAATAACATAAACTAGTGTCTTAGATTGGTTGTAATTTTTTTTTTTTTTTTTTTTTTTTTTTTTGAAGAATAACTTTATATCTTCAATTTTTCATAAGACGTAATTTAAGAGAATAAATAACGACGATGAATTGCGACGTAATCGTAAGACTCGTTAATTTGCACATAAGTACATGAAAGCGAGAAGCAATTTTTATATTATATGTATATGTATGGGACAGATTTCTGTCTTTTACGTCTTTTTAAAATTTACACAACTTGATTTAGCATTCTCGCTAAATAATCTGCACTGTTAATTAACTGAAAGCAGAATTTACAATTAATACTTCTTTTGTCTAGAATGACAAACAGTTTTTAATTTCTGAACGTCGTGGTTTACTAAATTCTGAAAATCTTGAATGATATACTTGAATTTCTTCTTTTTTTTCTTCTTTTTGTATTACGAATGTCTTGAAATGACATGCTTCATTTTCGTTGGAAATAAATTCGACGTGTAGTTTGTTACATTTTACAGGGCGAACAAAGATTTATCTTCGTCCTTATTGATTTGTCTTTGAATGTTAGTACCACTTCCGGTGGTTGTACTGGTTGCAGTGGTCGTTGCCGGAACTGTTGGCAGAGCTTCGGCTGCTGCTGCTCGCTCTGCTAAAAATCTGTCAAACTCGGAAGATGTTAGTGACTGGTCCCCTTGAGCTCCAGGCTGTCGGAACAAAAAATTCGGTTAATACAAATTTTTTCTTGATCGTATTTTTAATATTTATATTTAAATATTTGTATTTAAATATTTGTATTTAAATATTTGTACTTAAATATTCGTACACATAATTTTTACATAATAATTTAAAACACATAAACATTGATAGGCGTTGAGAAAAAAAAAGTTGAAAATTAATTTCTCTTACCGTATGATCTAACCAAGCTGCCATCTCACTGAATTCAGACTCTTGATTGTGCTAAGCAACAAAGACAACAAAATAATAAAAACTAAGGACATTCATGACATAAACATTGAATTAACGGAACAATAGAAAAAAAATATTGTAACTTATTTTTTAAAAAAAAGGAAATATCACATTTTTTGTTACATACTTGTTGCTTTCCGTGTAATTTGAGAACTTGTGGTTTTTCATGAAAGCTGCTATATGAGTAGAAATATTAAACGTGCAACTTGATAGTAGAAAAAAAATAAAGCTACAAAGCGTTGCAATTCTAGTGAAAGAGCAATGTTACTCTACAGAAATTGCAAATTAATTTAAATGAAATTAAAACTTATCACAAGTTTAGGTGGTCACAAGTTTATCAACTTCCCTGACATTTATCTGACAATTTACTGACATTAAAATTATTTTCCCTGACAAAATTTCTTTTACGGGAAAATATGAAAGTTTACGAAAAATGAGTAAAATTTATGAAATTTAATAATTTCTAAAAATTACAACTATAACCCTTCCTGAATTTAATTACTTTCTATAATTTTCAACTAAACTTCATCTCTAAAGTAATTATTTTAAATAATTTTCGAAAAGTTCTTCTAGAATTCAATCCTTTAAATACAAAAACTCAATTTTTTAATAATTGTAACTCTCCATAGTTTTTTCTTAAGTTATTAAGGTATAATATTTTCAAAAAATAATCAAATTTTTAAAGAATTTTAATTGTAAATATGACCACGATTTCTACCAAATTTTAATAAGTCCCAAAAAGTAAATTTTTATTTGCTTTATTCGAAGATAATTAAATTTTAAAAAATTATAAAAATTAAGTAGTTCTTAAAAATATTTTAATGTAATTTTTCGAAAACAATTGAATTTCTTAAAAGAGATTTTGTATTATTAAAAAAAAACTAATTAATTTTTTGATGAATTTTAATGAAATATTTTATAGGTACCTACATGATTTTTTTCTTCAAAATGTTAAAAATAATTCTAAAATGTTATTTTTTGTATGTATTTGAATTTTTGGAAATATGTAATTGAAAGTACTGAAAATACTAAATTTAAAAAAATTAGAAGCTAATTTTCATTTTTAAATTTACGTAAAAAGAGTTTTCACTAAAATTTTTGATATGTATTTGGAAAATTTGCAATTAAAATTCTTCAAAAGTTGATTTTCAAAAATTTTAACAAAATACTTGAAAAAAATTCATTATTTTCAATTAAATTTTACAAAATTCCAATTATTCAAAATCTTTTTAATTGTATATTTTGAAAATTTAAACAGAAATATGATTCAAAAATAATTTTTAAAAATTTTGTTTAGTTATTTTTTGCACTATAAAAATCGAAATGAACTACATTTAATACTAAAAAATATATTTTGTCGCAATATGTGGATAAAAAGTCGAGAAAGTCGCAATTTTTGAAAATAAGTCGAAAAAAATCTCAATTTTCCAAATTTCCCTGACAACAAAATTTTTTCCTGACATTTCCCTGACTTTACTGACATGTGGCCACCCTGTTTATTATCTCTAAAAATTTGACGCTATTTTACTGATTTCGTGATTATTTTGCAAAATTTGTCAAAAGCGTGGAAAATAGAAATTAATTTCAATAGAAAAAATATAAAAATAAAATTTTGGAAAGAACAAAAAACGTGGTATTTGATTTTTAATGATCCACAAGTTTTGGTCGTTCAATGAACAGAATTTTTTTTCATTTACGAAATTTCATAAATTTAATACTTTTCATAATTTAAAAACAAAGTTTTCAAATTATAAACTGTAATAAAATATAAAAATTGAAATTCTACTTTTAGAAACAATGATTTTTTTTCTAGTTACGCAAAATTGTAATAAAAATTTCATTTCAAGAAGATAATTCGGTTCATTTGGACGAAATTCAAAACTTTAGGATCAAGTGATCTAAAAAGTTACTAAAGCTAAATTTTCAAAAAAAAAAAAAAAAACAAGCGAAAAAAAATAACAAAAGTGATAAATGCTAGTTTGCAAGCTGAAATTCTACTAAAGAGAAAGTTTCGTAGTGACGATTTTTGGATTACTATGAGACTATACAACAGAGTATGAAACAACGAGACAAAGGCAATTTCCATCTCTAGAAGGGAGATAAAATTCTTTTGACATTAAATTTACGATCCATACTCTACTGTTTGAAATGAAATCAAGCGAGTTACGCACAGTGGAACTAGATGTGGTAGTGGTAGCAGCATCAGGAACAGTAGAAGCAGTCTGTTGTGAATGTTTAGGGTTATTGCGATTCAAAATCGCCGTGCTTAATCCATCTCCGCTCACCTGCTCCAAATTGTCTTCATACTTGCTGCCACTGAAATAAATCATCAAATTTAGTACAATTTCTCAAATTTTCTCTCTTTTCTTTTCAACTCTCGTACTCAAATTTTCAGCACCAGAGAAAAATCTTTGGAAAGAATAATATTAGAGACGAGTAATTATGCAAGAGAGAAATTAATTAAAATTGAAATATTCACTTAAAAATGAAATATTAATTTTAAAATGAAAAAAATTTTGTTCCTGTGTGACAAGAATGATCAACCTGCTCTTAGACGTTTCGTAATTAGTGTTTCGCGACTGGGCAAACATATCGAACTCATCACTGTCGCCTTCCTTCTTCGGACAAATTTGAATAGCGTCGACTCGCTTTTCGAGTGGTTCCACTCCGTCTGATAAATCAATTAAAGAATCGCCCTCCTGTTTATTAGACTCGGCATTTGGTGGGCGACCTATCGCCTGCGCCAGTAAAGCACTCGGTGCCACTTTATTCTTTGTGTATCGAGAATAGCGTAGAAAAAGATTATTCAATTCATCATTGACGCGTAACAATTCCGCCGTCATTTCATCATTCGCCAATTTTCCAATTAGATCCACAACACGTTGTTGCATTGCTTTACAAGTGTTATAAAGTTCCTGTGTGAAAAAAACAATTTTTATCAGTTTGTATTCCCAATATTGCAAAATTTCAAAAAAATATTAATAATTCCTAATATTATTTAAAAAAAGAAATTAATTACTTATTAATATTATTAATTATTAATTACTAACAAATGATATGCGCGATACGCAGTACTGAATTTATTATCATTATTCAAATTTACAAACATTTTTTATTTTTGAATATCAACTTCAATTTTAGAATATTTGCAGATTCAAAATTGAAAAAATTATCATATTAACATAAATAACGCTAATTTACTATTTTCAAAAATATTAATTAAATTACATTTATAAATAGCAAAGTACTTCAGAGGAATTCAATTATTTTCAATACAATTTAAATAAAGAAAAAATTCAATTATTTTGAAAGAATTTAATAAAATTCCTCGAAGAAATTCAATTATTTTCAATATTCTTTTAAAGAATTTGATAATTTATTTAAAAAATTTAATACAATTCTTTAGAGAAATTCAATTAATTGCAAAACATGAAATAAAATTTCTTGAAAAAAATAAATTATTTTCATAAATTATAAAATTGTTCAAAATAATTCAATTATTTTCAATACAATTTTAATTAAATTCCTCAAATAAGTTTATATTTAATAAGAATCTTCCAATTAATTCAAATGATTTCAAAACATTACAATAAAAATTTATGCAAAGAATTCAATTATTTTTGTAAAAAAATAAAATTCATTCCAGGAATTAAATTATTGTCAACGATTTTAGAAAAATATTCGAAACAATTTAATTATTTTCATAAATAACAAAATTTTTTTCAGGAATCAAATTATATTTTTCAATGATAAAATTCTTCACTAAAATTTGATTACTTTTACAAAATAATAAAATTTCTCAAAAGAATTCAATTTTTCAATATAATTTCAGAATCAAAATAGAAAAGATACACTTGTTAACGAATTATATATATAGTTATTATATTAAAAAATGTTAATAAAATTCTTTGTAAAATTTCAATTATTTTTAAAAAAATTAAATATTCTTTGAAGAAATTCAATTATTTTCATCAATTTTGATAAAATTCTTTATAAAAATTTAATATTCTTTGAAGGAATTCAATTATTTTCATAAATTTTGATAAAATTTATTATAAAAATTAAAGTAATTTGAATACAATAATTTTAATTAAATTCATTGAAAGAATTCAATTGTTTTCTAAAAAAATTTATTAAAATTCTTAAAAATAGTTCAATTATTTTAATAATTTTAAAAAATAATAAAATTCTTCAAAATAATATACAATATAGGTATTTTGAGTACAATCTTAATTAGATTTTGGAAATGAATTTAATTATTTTTGAAAATTTTAATAAAATTCTTTTAAAGAATTCAGATAATTTGAATAATTATAATAAAATTTATCTTTAGAATTCAATTATTTTCGAAAAAAATAAAATTCTTCTTAGGAATCCAAATGTTGTCAAAAATTTTAGTACAAATCTTCAATATAATTCAATTATTTTCATTATAATAAAATTCTTTCTGGAAATTCAATTATTTTATAAAAATTTCAATAAAATTCTTCTAAAGAATTTAATTATTTTAAATTTTAATTAAATTCCTTGAAAGAATTGAATTAGTTTAAAAATCTTTTTATAAAATTCTTCAAATAATCCAATTAATTTGAAAAATTCTATGTAATTGTTTATTTTGAAAATTTTGCTTTTTGATATTAAAAAAAATTATGTTTAATTAATTGTTATTATTTAATGTTGAGAACAATAAATTAGCGTTTTGTTAATTTTAAAAGTCAAAACATTTAGAAAGAGAGATTATCAAAAAAATTAAGAAACATAAAAAGCAAACAATACAATTAACTTCAAATTGAGAGCAGATGATCGAAATACAACGATTATTTATATTCACAATTTCAAAATTTTCTGCTTTAAATAAATGGCTTAGAAATTTACTAAAATTGGTAAATTTTCAAGGCTCACTGTTAGAAGTTCAAGATCAGCGGCATCTGGCTGTTGATTTGCTGCTTGTTCGGGACTTGTGAGATAAGCGAGCATTTCCGAAAGGACACGCATATTTCCTTGAACAACGTCCAATTCACTTTGGAGTTTGACAAGTTGTTGATCGCTCAGCTGAATTAACTGATTGGCTGCTTGCATTTGTGGTGGGCCCGCTATTATTGAGGCTTGGTCCTCTGTTGGATTAGTGGTTAAATTTTGTTCTGATTCCGGAACACTCTGAAATTGTGAATATTGTTTTAGTTCTCTTCTTTTACTATCTTTATCAGAATATTTATTTATTTAACTACATCATCACTATCCAAGAAGGATCATAAATTTTTAACAAAATACAATAAAAATATAAAGCAAAATTTAAGCGAAAAAATTAAAAAAAAGGAAAAGTAGTAAAAAAAAATAAACAAAACCTAATCGAAAATGCAAAATTTAAGAGAAAAAATAAACAAAAGGAAAAGAAGTAAAAAAATGAAATGAAACATAATTGAAAGAAGAACAAAAAATGAAACGGAAATAAAAGAGAGTAAGAAAGTGGAAAGAGAAAAGTGTTGATTACCCTTTCAGGTGTTATTATAGGTGCCATTGCATCTAAATCAGTCATTGGAAATTGTATGCCTTTGGCTTTAAGCTCTTGATAAACTTGAATCACTCCTTGCGTGTGGGGCAGACTACGAAAAGTGTCTGCCCAAGTTTGAATAAGATTCAATACTTTCTCTTGAACGGCAGTAGGTGGTTCATTTTTTGGTCCAATTAACTTCACTAACTCTTGTACAAATTCTCGTGAGCATGACAGTGCGTGAAATCGTTTTCCACAGTTTTTCACACAAGTCTCTAAAACCTATAATTAAAAAAAAGAAATTCAATTATTTCCATTTGTTACAATTTTAATAAATAATATATACAATAATACAATAAATTTAAATCTACAGTGAATCAATATTGATATTTTTGTCTTATAGTCGACTTCTGTTATTAATATAAATATATATATACTAACAGTGAGGGTATACATGACGATGGTGTAATTTTTTCCAGCAGCCTGGTTGAGTCTGCGCTTTATGGCTTTAATTGCATCTCTTGGACCTTCTTCTGTCTCGTTAATTATATCGCAGATTTCCATATTCAGGGCCCAATTTTCACTGGAGAGACTGCCATCTGTGGCTTGCTCTGAAAAAAAGAAAATGTTGTTCAATTCAAAAAGAAAAAATTTTATATTCAAATGATTTTAATTTTTAAATTCAGATTATTATTTACTATATTTAGTTATTAGCTACTATAATTAAATCATAATCTCGACACAATTGTTTCAAGGACAAAACGAGAAAGCAGAATAAAAAAGACTACGTCACTGTAAGGTGATAACTTTTTAATATTATCCATAAAAATCAAAGACAAATGTTTATTTTTCTTCCTTGAAACAATTTTTTCTATCAATAAATAAAAAAAAATATCAAATATATACTTGTATCTAATATCTAAAAATTGATAAAACTGTCATTGTTCTTTATTCGTGGGCGGGAATTAATGAGGGAAGAATAAAATTATGACAATAATAAATGTTTAATGAAATGAATGAAATAAATAAATAATAAATTAAATCTAAAAAATATTTCTAAAAATTAAAACTTAAAAAATAAAAAAAAAAGTTTTCCAAAAAGTTTAAAAATAGATTATCTTAAAAATTTGATTGTACATATATTTCGCTGGCTATCTTTAAAATAAAGTCTTCAATTTGTTTTGATAACTCTAATGAATGACTCATAAAACATAATGCGTAGGTATATCTTGACTTATGCGGTATGCGGCGACTTATCTATATACCTGCATGTCAGAAATTTTCCATAGAGAATAATAAATGTATATTATTCTCTCCAATTATAATATTAAGAGTTATGTTTCGCATTAATTTCCATTCATACATTTTTTTTGAACATTAAAGAAAAAGATGAAAAAAATTATTTAAATCAATTATTTAATCAAACGGTTTAACGATTTTTAATGAAACAGAACTCAACTGTAACAATATGAACTCGTCTGTGTAAAAGTAGATCACAAACAATGTTGTCAATGCAAAAATAAGATGCAATTGAAGTTAAATTAATTTTAGTTTATCGGAAAAAGAGATAGTTTAGAATGAAACTTACCTATTCTTTGGCCTACTGGTGTGGAAAACGGATTAACATTAACACCGAAAAACGACATACTGAAAGTTGTGTTGTTACTGCGATTAACTTGCAGCAATTTTCTTATTCACTGTGTCATAGGTGAAATTTACAGTTATTCACAATAAACACTTGGTTATTGAAATAATTATTAAATTACAATCAATGCAAACAACTAAATCATATCAAATTATTGATGGGCTAGTGTCAGTAACTGTGACGTTCTTCTGTCAAAGCAGGTGACAGTTCTGACAGCTGTCAAAAGTTTGTTATTGTTCGATTGGTTGGTAATAGAACTCTCGACCAATTGGAATTTAGCGAACTTTTCACATCTGCAAGGCGCGAAACTTACGTAAAGTTTCTTGCGTTCGTTGCGTATTATACTTAACCAATTGTCAGTTTTGCCAACTTTGGATATTTAAAAGTAAATTAGTTTATAGAATTTCTTTTTTTTATTATTTTATTATTTTTAACTTTATTATTATAAGCATTAAGTAATATAATTAATGTACAGTTTAAGTGGTAATTAAATTGAAAAAGGTTTTATGAAATTTTGGCGGGAAAAAAAATTGTCCACTAATCACAACACTGCGATTTCTTGTATTAAAATAAATCAAATAAATTGAAAGAAAAATTGAAACTAAAGTATATTTATTGAGAATAATTTAATTCTGCATTATGATACAAAAGAATAAAAATGATTATATTTAAAAAATACTACTTTTTTTGAAAAGATATACAGCTTTCTGATTGGTTGCTAGCTGGCAAAAAATACAACCAATGAAATTAAACCTTCAACGCCCGTTTTCATTAGTTTTCTGACGCGGTTACAAAATTATACGACTTATCTTTGTTTTGTCCCTTATAAATTATTTATCTGTTTTTGTCGTTAAAATAATAGAAAAATGCCTGAAAACGTGGTAAGTATTGCTAATTGATAATAAAATTGCTTTTTAAATTCATGTTTTTCGGGTAAAATTTATTAACGAATGAAAGCATTTTTTTTGCAAGTGAAGAGGTTATGTCTACTTTAACAATTTGCAATTTTTCTTTTTTGAATAGTTTTCTTAAAGAAAAATTGCAAATTGAAACGTTTTCATAGAAAATTACTCTTTAATTTTAAGTAAAAATTTTCCTTCTCAGGTTTTAAGACATTGTTTATTTCAAAAAAGATTTATTTATCGATTCTTTACGGCGTCGAATTTATATTAGCAAATGAAGGAAATTATATTTTCTTGCTACTTTTCTAATAGTTCTTTTTTTCTATTTTTCAGCTAAATGCGGACAATGCAACTGAAGTAAATGGCGGTAGTGGTGAACCTCATGAAACTGACGAGGAACCTGGAGAAGATGATTTACACTTTGAACCAATAGTATCATTACCTTTGATTGAAGTGTCAAATAATGAGGAGGATGAAGTAGAAATGATTAAATTGTACTTGCTTTTAATTTCAGTTGACTTCAACTGTCAGTTTATTGTTTCAATAGTAAAATAAAATGTCAACTTTTATAATTTTAGGAGAGCGAAACTTTATCGTTACGATTCGTCGAATAATCCCGCAGAATGGAAAGAACGTGGAACTGGAGAAGTAAAACTTTTGAGGCATCAAACAAAAAATACAGTTCGAGTTGTAATGCGTCGTGATAAAACGCTGAAAATCTGTGCGAATCATTTTATAACACCTTGGATGGAATTAAAACCAAATTGTGGTAGCGATCGTGCATGGGTTTGGAGTGTCCTCGCAGATTTTGCCGATGAACAAATAAAACCGGAGCTTCTCGCCATAAGATTTGCGAATGCTGAGAGTGAGTCTTTTTTTATTTACTAATTTATAAACTTTGATTTACGAAATTCTGTTTTTTTTTCGATATTTGAAATAATTAAAAATTTGTGTTAATTAGAGTTAGAATTAGCTTTAGAGAAAAATAATTTTTATAATACAAACGCATTTGCGTTTTTGAAAAAAAAAAATTGGAAACACTTTGAAAATAATTTAAACCATCTTTTAAAGATGCAACTCTTTGGAAGGAAACTTTTGAAAAAGCAAAAAAAATAGTAGGCTCAGAATGTGAAATTTATTCTGGCAAATCGAATCCAGATGATTATAAAAGTGATGACGATGATAGCGATAGTGATAGCTGTAGCGAAGTAAGCTATGAAGAAAGTGACAATGATGAAGGAAAAGAAAAACTTACAATTACGGAGATTAATGACACCAGTAAGGAGGTAACGAAAGAAGAAACAAAATCCAAAGAAGACGATGTTAAAAAAACAGAGGAAGTGACTACGGAGCTGGATAAGCTCACGGTAAAAAGTGAATAGTAAAATTAATTTTGTAATAGTAAATTATGAAAAATTTATATTTGGAACAAGCATTCCATACTAGCACGCACAACAACAAACAAAAAAAATGTACGTCATACACACACTCTCATCCCCCCAAAAAAAATGACAAAACATTTTTTTTTTTTATACGAATAATTAGTAATAATCATTATGAATTAATGAAAAATCATAAGATTCGTACATTTCAATTTTATCATCAATGATATAAAGAAAGAAAATTGTTAATAACGACAGACAATTTTTAATAAATCTTCAATTTTTTTATTAATAAGATGATACTTATATACTGATATTATACATGGAATCTGTGATTTTTTTTACGAACAAGAAGCGACAAAGTATATTAGAACAAGTGAATATATTACTAGTGAGATCTGTCATTAAAGAAAAGTAATAAATAGGTTCTTAAGTAAAAATTTTCTCAGCTGTACAAAATTTCCAATATCTTCAATATTTTTAATATTTTCAATATTTTTAATATTTTTAGTATTTTTAGTATTTTCAAAAAACTTGAGAATCCTTTTTATAAAAATTGATATCACAAATGCTTCAGCCTTTTTTCCAAGACTAAAAAATCATATCACTATATTAAGTTTTATACTATATTAGGATAAATATAATTTTTTTTTTTTTTGTGCAAAAGTACTTTTTACTTTTGAATGGATTTTTTTAATTTTCGTACACTTAGAAAAAAATGTGAATGTTCTATATGTCGCAATAGTTGCATTTTTTTTCTCTTAATATAAAGTTGCTTATAATTCGTCTTTATGGGAAAATGATTGTAATATATTCTTTCTCTCCTCCATTGAACGTTTCTTTTCCTTGGATAGTTTTCCTTTTAAAAGTCCGTCAATTCTTGTTTGTTCAGTTTGTACAAATACATTACCGCGATCCATTATTCTTTCCATTGTTTTTATATAAACTTTTGCTGCCGTTCTTTGTGCCTCTGACAATGTCTCCTCGTAGATTTTCGCCTTACTCAAAATTTCCTGGACAAGAAAAATTTTCTTTATGGGAACATTTTCTTTTGGAAAAATTTTTAAAAAATTATTTTAAATTATTTAAAATAATTGAAATATTATTTGAAATATTATAAAATCGTCTAATTTTTGAATTTACATTTTGAGAAAAAGAAATTAAAAAATCAAACCTGTCTATTTTTCTCATTTGATGACTTGAACTCCTCTGCAAGTTTGTCCAATTTTTCTATACAACCTGGTAGGCCGATATAAACGCCGGATTTTGCTTTAATGAATCGTTTGATATTTTCCGATGTAAATTGATCGTCAGTTTCGGTGACGAATTTAAATGGTTCCTTTCTTCCATTTACGAATAGTAATATTGCTGGATATTCGTCTTTTTTTACATTAAAACGATCGGCAAGATCCGTATTGTCCTTATTGCCAAAATCTTTTATTCCTACCTCGGCTATTAAAATATCGGGCGAATTTCTCGTTGCTTCGGCAACTTTTCCATATTCCTCGTGTTTCTCTCCGTAGGGAAAGGCGACATCGAATTTAACAGCAGCAACTTTAAATTTTCCAATTATCTGAAAGAATTGTTAAATACATTTTTTTCCTTTATTAAAATTCTAGAATTATTTTAAAGTCGATTCTCAAGGGACATGGAAAAGAATCAAATTTTCGATTATTTTATTTATCGAATGTTTTGAGTATTTTTTTTCAAAGGACTAGGAAATAAATTCAATTTATTGAGAAATTTCATTTATCGAAAATTGATTTTATTTTATTAGAATTTTTACAAGTAAATCAATTTTTTGTGAATATTAAATAGAAATATAGGCTTTTTGATCTTTAACAATAGAAACATAATTTTTGAAATAGTAAAAATTAAAATTCGTTAATTTAAAAATAAAAATTTTCACCTAGAAAAATTTCTGTTATTTTATCTATAATTTCAAAAGAAAGAAATTAATTTTTAAGATTGATTTTAATTTAATTTTTTGGGCAAATATTTGTAATATAAAAGTGATGTATCGAATAAACGTCTCAAACATTATTGATCTGCTTTAATAGAACTTCAATTATTAAGTTATATATTTTTCTTTTTAGTCCTTTATTAATTTCTCAAGTATTAGAAATTGGAAATTAGAGATTAATAAAATTAACAATAATATTGTATTAGAATTTTTCTGTCAATTGTTTCAGTTTATTTGAAATATTCTTTCATTTAAATTACAAGCGGACAATTATAAATTACCTTATCGAATGAACTTGAATCTAATGGAACACATCCTTTACAGTCTTCAGCGGTCGTAAATTGTAAACCAACAACAATTAATATTGTAAAAATGGAATGTAATACATTTTGCATTTTGTGGAGTGAAAATAGAAATTTGAAAATATGAAAACTGCAAAATTTAATACTGAATTCTTTTTTTCGCAATGTGGAATGTTCACTTAGCACGTTTTTTTACTGGTCAACCTTCACACTTTTATGATAAGAAATCTTCTTTTTTTTTATCTCTGTGTACATAAATGTCCTTCCAAAAAACCAGTTTTTGTAATTTTTAAACTACAGTAATTTTTTTTTGATAATAGAATCTATTTTTGTTGGATTTGTTTAATTTTTCCAAAATCGTCTTCTTTTGTAATTCTTTTTTTTTATTTGTTTATTATTTATTATATTTGGAAATGTTTATTTTTTTATAACCTTCGGAACCCGGTTTAGCGAGAGTATCTAGTATACTCAATTTTTTTTTATTATTATGATTATATATTTTCTGGCGAATGCTCAGTCAACTTCCAGCTGCTGCGTCGAATCAGAATAAGCCACGAAACAGCAGCTGGAAGACGCGCGATTATTCAATGGTCACTATAATGTAACCATGGTATTTTTTCGGAGCAGATTTTCCCTTTTTCTTTTATTTTTATATCATTGAATGATGTATTTTTCAGAAATGTACGAATTTTATGTGAATTTTCCTAATTTACAATTTATTTTTATTTTGGAAAGTTAGAAATGTTTTTTTTAAAGAGAGTGAATTTTAATTCACTACTAAATGTATTTTATATATTTTCTATTGAAAACAAATTATTTTAATACAAATATAAAAAAAAATTTAAAAGAACAGAGTGTTTAGAGAAAAAGAAAAATTTAACAGAAAAAGAATATTTTTATAAAAAAAAAAATTAAAAAAAAATGTTGTATCTATTTTTCTTAGAAATGAAAATTTTTCTTTATTTCACGTATTATTTTATAATATAGTGATATTATTTTCAATAAAAAAATACAATTTATGTTCAAAATAGAATTTTTTTTCGTATGGAAGATTATTTTTTTTTATAAGAAAAATCCGAATGGAAAATATTTTCTTTTTTCAAAATCTTGATATTTTTCTATTACTAATATTATGGATCAATTATTTACTTCTATAGTCTATCAATAATTGTGCTTGACTGTTTAGAGAAAGTATGTCAATTGCCTTTGTTTATTTTCTATTTCTGTGATTTTAAATTATTTCTAATTTTCTATCTTCTATTTTTGTTTTTTTACAACTTTTTTATTCTTTTGCTATTTTTTTCTAGTCTTTTATGTACTTTTTCACAATTTTTTTTCGTTTACAAATTTTTTTCTAGTCTTTTAAAATTTTTCCCTATTCTTTTACTATTTTTTATTCGTTTACTACTTTCCCTATTCTTCTACTACTTTTTTCTTTTTTACATGGTCCTTAAGTTTAGAACGAAATTTATTTATTTGTTATTCAAATAAAATTTTTTATTATATAATAATTTTGAGTCAATTTCAAAGCTAATTTTTTTAATTATTTACATTAATTATTTTTAAAGTTTTTAAACGTAAAATTTAAGTTTTCAATATTTATTGCAATCAGTAATTAATGAAAATATTTTCATGAAAAAATATTTTGTTCACTTTTACGTTCAAAACTTGTGGATTATTCTTTTACCCCTTTTTCTATTCTTCTAGCTTTTTAAACTATTTTTAATAATATTTTCTTCTATTTTTGACTATATTTTTTTATTTGTTATTTTATTATTTATATGTAATTTTTTTATAATAATTTCTATTCTTCTATTATTATCTACAATTTCTATTATTTTTTCTCCATTTTCAATTTTTCTCAATTTCTTTTTCCATTTTTCCAAATAGATTTAAATAATTAATTATTTGAATTGATTGATTGGACTAAATTGTCTCCTATTCGATAATAAAATATTTTCCAATCACTCTATTGATCGTAGTAAAATTTGTAAATGCGAAATTAATTATAATTATAAATAAATTTGTTGTTTTAGATTCCTCGTTCCTCTTGAGCAAGTTCATGGATGATTTTATAATGGACACACACGAGATTTGCAAAGCAAGGTCGAGGACATCAAGTGCAGTCGATTTTTCCACTTTCAGTTTTCTGAATTGTGCTATCATCACCTTCCGCTTCTTGGCAATTAGATAAAGTGGAAGAAGAAAGCTTATCCCTTGGAGTATTACGCCATCCACGATAAAGATTCTCCTCATCCCGAAAGTAATCACGCAACTGATCGAGCTTTATACAGTGTGCTTCTATACATACAAGAGAGAGAGAGAGAGAGACAGAGAGAACAAAAGTTATACATATTGAAAATCTGAGAACATATAAGGTTTGACTTTGAACTTTAAAACTATCTTTTGACAAAGCAAAAATAGCACGCGACACTAACTTATTCTCATTTCCATTGTCTATTAAATTAAACAAAATAATTTCAAACACTATATTTAGAATATTAGTTTTTAAATTTTAATATTCTATTTAATATTCGTTTTTTGAAAGAAAATTATTTTTTATTTACTCTAGTCTCGTGAAAAGTCATCCACTAAATTAAATTAGTCAAATTTTCTACTAATTTTTACTTCTTCATTTAGTAGTTTCAATTTTTTGACTCAAATTTTGGTGAAAATTTACTAAGAATTAGTAGAAATATTTATTAAATTTAAACTAGTGGATTTTTCACTAATTTAAATTCTAAAAGTGATAATTTGAATTTATTGGGAAGTAATAACAAAGATTAAATTTTAATTATTTTGAAATCGGAGAAATCGAAATTTTGAAAAATTGCTTTCGCTTCGGATAATTTTTGACATTTAAAGTTATACAGGGTTGCCACAGGTCAGGGAAATCAGGGAAAAGTAAGAGATTTTTATTAAAAGTACTGGAAAAAATTAAATTTTTAGAATTTATTAGAAAATTCTGAATTTTTATGTTTTTTTTTGTCTCATAAACTATGAAATTACCACGAATTCTAATAAAAAAAACCTTCAATTTTTTCTATTTCTGACAATAGTTTATTTTGAATAACTTAATTCCATTGGAAAAATGCCATAAAGTTAGTACTTATAAATCATTTATTGAAGTATTTTTTTAAAAAATTTTAATTTCAGTTCTGTTGAAATTAGTTTTAATTTTGAACATTTTAACGCAATTTTTTTATAGAATTCAACTATCTTAACAAATATTAAAGTTCTTTCCAGAAATTCAACTATTTTAAAAAAAAATTTTTTAAATTCACGTAAACATTTCAATTATCTTTATAAATAGCAAAATTCTTCGCCGAATTTCAATTATTTTCAGGAATTTTAATAAAATTCATTTCAAAGTTAATTAATTTCAATAATTTTCAAAAATTTTTCTTAATTCAATGATTTTCAATATTTTAATATTTTACTATTTTTAATAAAGTTTTCCACAAGAATTCAATTATTAAACAAAAATTTTGATAAACTTGTATACGAACATTAAACTATTTAAAATAGTATTTGCATAAATTTTTTCGGAAAAATCAAACGTTTTAAAATTTGGCATTAAGTTCTTCGCAGCGATTGAATTATTTTCATAAATTTTAAAATTCCTTTCAAGGATTTAATTATTTTTATAAAAATAATAAAATCATTCGGAGGAAATCAATTCCTTTCATAAATATAAATATTCTTCACAAGAATTCAATTATTTTAAAAAATAATAATTTATTTTCAAAAATTTTAATAAAATTCATGGAAAAAGTTCAATTATTTTCAAAAAATTTTCTTAATTCAATAATTTGTATAATTATTTTTATAAAATTTACCAAAAGAATTCAATTATATAGAAACAATTTTGACAAAATTCTACACGGATATTCAATTATTTTCTAAAATAATGAAAATTTCACTGGAATTCAATTATTAAAAATAGAATTTGCATAAATTTTTTCGAAAAAAATCAATTGTTTGAAACTTTTCTATATTCATCGCAATAATTCAATTATTTTCATAAATAATAAAACTCATTGCAGAATTTCAATTATTTTAATACAATTTTAATTGAATTCCTGGAAAAATGTAATTATTCTTAAAATTTTTTATTAAAATTCACCGTAATAATTCATTTATTTAAAAATTTCAGTTAAAGTTTTAGAAAAAATTGTTTTCTATGTATATTGCAGTAAAATTGATATATACTCCTTTTTTTTGTATTAAAATTGATATAGATTATTATTCGATATTATACAATACCATGAAGAGTCTCCAGATTGTCGAGTTTTCCTCCAAAGTCCTCCGGTAGACATTCTGGAGGAATATATTCATAGATTTCCGAGACTTCTCCGGAATAAAGATGAAGCTGAAAAAGCGATACCAGATGCACGCATGACTTACTTGCTTTTATGAAAATATTGTTTATCCCTTCAAGCAAAAATACGATAGAACAATACAAAATTTATAACTTAAAGTAGTTCTGACATTTCTAATCTCAAAGAATAGTTTATTTTCTGCAAATATATAAAGTAGAAGAAATATCGATCATAAAGAGTAAATGTCAAAAAAAAAAAAAAAAATAGAAAAGTAACAAAAGTAAAAAAAGTAAAAAATAACAAAATAACAAAATAACAAAAGTAAAAAATAACAAAAGTGAAAAACTAAAACAGTAACAAAAGTAAAAAAAGTAAAAGAAAAGGAAAAATATTAGAAGAAAGTAAAAAAAAATTAAAGAATTAAATAAATAAAAAGGAAACATTAGTTTTTCAAAATAGATAAATATTGTCAAAAATAAACATTAAAAATGATCGTTTTAGAATATTAGTGTCAATGGTGAACCATTTAGAAGGAGGATTTTTCGTCTATTTTTTTAAAGCAAAAATTTTGTTTATTGTAGAGTATTTTTATAATATTGTGAAAAATTTCAGGTACCATTTCGAAGAGCTCCCGCTTCATGAAGGGCTTGAGGAGGGAAAGAATTTTATCCATGAACCAAACGGTATTCAGAACATGGATCCCTTGAAGTCGAATGGGCATTCCTTCCTGGAGATATTCAAAAAATTTGCGAATACTGTTGACTGACAATCGGGCCAAATGGGCTAATTTCACGCCACGCATATCGAAGAGAAATACATAGCCAGGAGTGCATCCCTCAAAATAAAGACTTGCATCAAGAGTCATTCCAAGCAGTTTGATACCATCATTGAACATGTATGCCGTTGGTGCTGTATTTGCCAGTCTGTGGAAAATTATTTTTCGCCCCTCTCTGTCTGGTAATGGCAAAGCGACGAATTGTCTGTAAGTGGAAATCATTTAATCTTTAAAAAAAGGCAATTAATTTTTCCAAATTTATAAATGAAATATAAATCGAGTTTTAATATCTTAGTCCCCTATATATAAAGTTCATAGAACTCGGGTAGTTCCGAAGTTGGACCAATAAATTGCCCCGATAAAATATATTGAATCTTTTCTGTACTAAGTACAAAATGTTATTGGCAGTTTTACAAATTGCACGAAAAAAAGAAGCTATTGTCCCGAGCAAATTATCTTAGGAAAATTCTTTAATTGTCTCTTCAAGACATTTTTTATGAAAATAATTGAATAGAAATGATATAGAACTAAAATAACAAAAAAGGAAAAAATTAAATAAAAATTCCGTCTATTCATTTCAAATTTTTTAGAATTAAAATCAATCGATTTTTTTTAAAAATAAATTTCTAGAAGTGGAAAATAAATTCCTAATGATTAATTGAAAAATAAATAAATTTAAAAAGAGAAAAATTATAAATAACACAAAACGAAAACAAATTTCTAATAATTAATTTAAGGTGAATAAATTTAGAAAGAGAAAAATTATAAATACACAAAACGAAAATAAATTTCTAATAATTAATTTAAAGTGAATAAATTTGAAGCTGGAGAAAAATAACGTACAATGCCTTTAGGGAATGTTGAAGAATTTCTGTTTTAGGATCTCGGTCTTTAAAAAATTCAGGTGTTGTTGCTCGCAGTCTGTAATAAACTTCCATACATCGAATACTGTCTTTTTTATTATAATAGCAACTATGTGCAAATAATGCAAGTTGTTCATCGGGAATGTTTGGCAGGCCATGATCCTCTCCCCATTCTCTTAATTCATCTAAAATTTCATTTGTTAATTCAGGATATTTGTCTCTCGACTCTTCTACATTGTGCCCCAGTTTCATTCTTTGGTCCATGTTTCTGTACTGGAAAAAATCAGAGAAAAGAAATTAGAAATTTTTTTAATATTTTGAAATAAGAAAAAATATCGAAATTCCAGTTTGAAAAACAAAGTAAATTAATAATAGGATTCATTTCTGAGAAAATAAATATTATTTCAATATAAGTATATAATTATATTAGATTGAATAATATTAATTAACTGAATTAATTCATACCATCAATATGATAAATTAATTATTAATTAACATTAATTAAAAACAATATTGTTAATTAGTAAATAGATAATAATACTAATTAAATTTAGAGGTCAATTTAGAAAATATTAATATATTTCTGTAAGAATTGTCAGACTTTAAAGTTTTTAATATATAATCGATGAGATCACTGATTTCCAATCAGTGAGTTTATAATGCCATGACTCGTGCAGTCAAAGACTTCCCTTGGGGTAATTGATTAGGTTTATCTGTTCGTTAACAGTCTACACAAACTAATCAACAGGCCACAAGAATAAACCATATTGTTCATCAATTTATATTTTCCCCTGATTTCAATATATTTATTTTAAATATTTCATCTTCTGACAATTATTTATCTTTTAATTTCTCCCTTATTTTTATTGACAATAAACTATTTATCTAGTTAAACTAATTTTAAACTAAATTTTAACTAATTTACTAATTTACTAATTTTTCTCAAATTTTCGTTCAAAAGAACGAGAAAATTTTTTTCTAGAATATTTTTAAGAATTATTTTTACTTTAATTAATATTTAACGTTAATTAATTTTCGATTAATTCTTCAGAAAAGACAATTAATTAAAATTAAACATTTACTTTGTTAAGAATTAATTTTTTAATGTGCAAAATAAATTTTTAGAATACAATTTACAAAATTAAAAGAAGTAAAAAATATCGTTTCTCTATAAAGTTTTCAACGTTTAAATGAAAGAAATTTTTCTTTTTAAATATTTTTAAAAATTACTATCGACAAAGGACAATTAATTAAAATTGAATATTTACTTTAGTTGGGAATTATTTTTTTTATTATAGAAAATAATTTTTTTTGCAAAAAAATACAAAGTGAGAGAAGTAAGAAAATTGTTTAAAACTTAAGGAACATGTTTCTGTACGAAAGTAAAAAAAGTAAACAAATGAAAGTAGACTTTAATATTTACCAATCTTGAAAATCAAACGCTATAGTTGCACCTTTTTGCTATTAATTATTTTTTATTTGTAAATAATATTTATTCATTATATTTATTTATATTTATTTAGATCTATTTGTTAATTATTTATACTTATTTGTTATTTATTTATATTTATTTCTTATTTATTTATACTTATTTGTTATTTATTAATATTTATTTGTTAATTATTTATTATTTGTTTTCTATTTATCTACTATTTTCGTACTATTTGTTTATTATTTTTACTATGTTTTTCCTATTTATTTACTATTTATTTATTTATTATATCTATTTACAATTTTTCAATTTATCGTTAAAGTATTCATCTCGTCCTTGTTCTCTTTATCTCTCTTTATATTAATTTATTTTCTATTTTTTATGGTTTAAAAATAAATTCAAAAAGTTTTGTGTATACACATACTGTCGTGTGCGATTATTATTTAGAATATGTCTTTTTGTTTCAGAAAGTTTTATCAATTGGAATAATTTCTACTTTGTATATATAGAAACATATTTTTTATTTCAGTTTTCAGTGGAAATAATTTTTATAAAATGAAAATTTTTCATTTCCATTAAAATTAAGTGATTATAAAGAGGGATGACACTTTTGAAAATTCGTTAAATTTTTTAACACACAAAAAATTCTGCATGCAAAATGTCACGATATAACCGGTGAAGCAGTTACGAAAGACTGACCTGAGGTTTCTTTCAAGAAAAAGCAAAACGTTCTTAAAGTGAATGTCGAGTGTTATATCTATATATACATATAGAAATGTATTTGTAGAACAAAGAATGCACTAACTTAATTCCTTTTTAGTTTACGAATTCTATTTTAATTAATTGTTTGTTTATTATTTTTTTTATTGTCTATTTATTTATCATTTACTTCATTCATTTATCATTTATTTCTTTTTTTATTATTTATTTTATTTCTTTTTCATTTATTTTCCATTATTTATTTATTATTATTGTCAGAAATTGAAAATTTTTTTGTTTGCGGAAAGAATATTTTAAATTGAATATTATTTTTCCTTATAATGACAAGTATATGCAAAAATTTATGTGAGTTGAAAATTTTTTTTAGTAAACTTTATTCTTTTCAAAGTAATTTATTTTTGATAAAAAAAACTTTATGAATGTGGTAATAGAAATACGGTAAATGAGCAATTTTTTTTTTTTGTTAATTTTTTGTAAACTTCTATTAATGCAAAGAGCATTGTTCGAAAATATTGTTTTGTCCGCACCAGTTTATTTTCATTTCTTTTAATTACCGAAATGTTTGTATTTTTCAACTTCCAGGAATGGAAATTTTTTAAAGATTCTATTTCGATTCATTATTTTATTTTCAGAAACTTAAAAAGTCGACTTAAAAATTTATTTATTTAAACTTTTACAAAAAAAAAAATATAAGTTGACAATTATAATAATTTTAAATAAAAATAAATGATAAATAATTAATAATTAATAATTAATCATTAATAATTAATAATTAACAATTAACATTTAATAATATTATTTTTTAATTCAACATAAAAGTAATAAATATTTTTTGCTTTTTCAACTTAAAACGAGACATATTATAATTGTAGAAAAATCGTTTACGTCACAGTCTGCTCATTTTGTGTCTATATTTGAATTGATAAAAATTGTCATTTGTTATGTCATCGACTTATGAATTTCCAATCGTCTACTAATAATAATAATAATAACAATTGCGGTCATACATGTATGTTAATGGTAAAATTAACAAAAAGGTTTAAAGTTCATATTTGTGCGACTATGAAATTTTCAAGAATTTTCAATATTTACCAGACTCGAAAAAGAACGTTTCTACAGTTCGCAGTGTGAAGAGATTTTTACGAGAAAAAAAGAATAAAGAAAAACTATAAAACGATAAAAGTTGCAGAATAGTGAAAACTTTTGATAAAAAGTTAGAATTTTAAAGCGAGGATTGAATAAAAAAGAGGAGAAAATAATTTTTATATTTTTTTTATCGAAAAAAATGATTTTTAAGAATAAAAATAGAAAAAAAAACAAAAAATGGAAAATTTAAAAATGACAATAGTAACAATAATATATTTTTTAATGACTTCGAAGGGGGAAAAAACTTTAACTGTAGGAACACGAAAAATTTGTTTTCTTGTGATTTAAATTTTTTGGAATGTTTACATTTTGTTGGGAAATGAATTTTTTTAAATAATAAGCAAAAAAGGAGAAAAAAAGATTATTTTCTGGAAATAATTGAGTTGCAATGTTTTTCATTGTCGTATGTTTCGCATATTTACATAATATATAGAAACTGAGAGTATAGATCAGGAAATGCAAAATGGAAAAAGTAAAGGGGAAAGTTTGTAAAGCTTCATTAGCGTTTGATCTTCATCTCGGAGAATGATACTTGGAATTTTATTTTAAAAACACTGTTGAGCAATAAATATGTCAATTTTTGATTAATGACAGCGAATACTACATGTGGATTCGATTTTTTTCAGTTTGACAAGTTCTTTTCTCTTGATATTAATTCGTCTAAAAATTATTTTGTATTTTAACTGTAAAACTAGAAAATAATTTTTTTTGTACTATTTTTTGTTGTAAATACTTAGAAAATAAATATTTACACAAAAATTAGTTTAAAATTTTGTTAAAATAATTAAAATATTGTGGAAATTAATTATTAATTAGTAGATAATAAAATTATCACTCAGTCGTCATTAAAAATAAAAATATTGTTAATGTTTTTAATTTTTATTTATTTTATTTATTTGTTAATTTTTTTTTAACGAGACAAACCCTTACGTAGAAATAGTATGAATTGTTTAAACAAACTTGTTTATTGTTTACAAAAAAATTTTTTATTTTATTTATATTTATTTATTGCATTTTAATTTCTTACGAGAATTAATCTTCTTTCTTTCTTTTCGCTTATTGTTAAATTTAGTTTTTTTGCCTACAAAATGTAGAAACTGTAAAATAAATAAATTATAAAAAATAATTTATTTGTTCACTTACATGGAAAAAACTAATTTTATTTTATTTAAAATTTTTATTTTTATTTAGTGAAAATAAACCGGAGGAATAAAGTAAATGGAAAAAAATGGAAAAATTTTTTTAAAGACTCCTTTGGTCTGTGAAATTAATTCCGTGTTTTTTTGCGGCAAATAATTACGTAATTATTACTTGAAACACGAAATTTGGAAATTTAAATAAATATTTTGTATAGACTTTGTATCTATAGCATCTCTCATGTTTACAACATTAACGAAAATGTCACGCAAATGTAAATTGCTTTCGTGTCCTTAAATTTCTGAAAACCCCCTCAAGCGATGTATTATCTTCAGTTGTCCTTGCCTATGTATTAGAGATTTATTGTTTACCTTCTTCTTGGAAAAATATTATTCCCTTATAGAAAAACTAATTTTTTTTTTTGAAGGAATCATTTCTTTATATTTTTATAATAAAATATTTAAATCAATTTTTCTCATCAAATATGACAAATGTTTGGCAATTTCCTTCGTGTATAATATAATTTTAAGTAGAAATAACAGTTATGGTCAGACGGAATGAATTTTTCTAAAGAGGAGAATATAAATTTTTTTTTGACAAGATTGCTTTAACTTTCTTAAAAATGAAAAACTGTTTTCTTCAAAAGGTTTTAATTTAAAAATTTTATAAAATTTCATTAGAAATTTTAAATTCAATCGTATTATTAATAACTATAGCAAATGATACACGCGCCAGCGCACGGAACGCGGTATTCCATTTCTTATTATTTTGTAAATTGAAACATTTCATATTTTCAAAAATAAACCTCAATTTTTGAATGATTACAGATTTAAAATTTTAAAAATTCACTCATTAAGTACATAATATTAAATATTCTTGTTTATTATTTTAATTTTAAATTTTAGTAAAATTTCTCGAAAGAATACAATTATTTTAAAAAATATTAATTAAATTCGACTCTTTTCAAGAATTTCAATATAAATTTAATTATTTTCAACAATTTTGGTGAAATTCTTTTAAAAAAATCATTATTTTCCAAATTTTTAATAAAATTTTTTCAAAAAATTCAACCTATTTTCAAAAATTCAGATAAAATCCTTTGAAACAATTCAATTATTTTAATGAATTGTAAAATCATTCCCAGGAATTTAATTATTTTCATAAATAATAAAATTTATAAGTGAATTTTTAAGAAGAATTTTCAGGGTTACCACAGGTTAGGGAAATCAGGGAATTCAGGGAAAAGTAAGGGAAAGTAGAATTGGTTAGAGATATCAGGGAAAAGTCATGAATTTTTATTAAAAGTACTGGAAAAAATTAAATTTGAAGAATTCATAAGAAATGAAAATTTTTTACTAATTCGGACCAGAATGAATTTTTTTAAATTAATTAATTTTTCAAAAGTCTTAATGCAATTATCTTGATAAATAACAAAATTCTTTACAAAAATTCAATTATTTTTAGGAATTTAAAAAAAATTCTTTGTAAAATTCAATTATTTTCATAAATAACAATATTCATTACAAGAATTCAATTATTTTCAAAAGTAATAAAATTCTTCGAAGAAATTCAATTATTTTAGAAAATTTGAACGAATATCTCGTGAAGAATTTAATTATCTTTATAAATAGCAAATTTTTTTGTCAAAAATTCAATTATTTTCAAAAGTTTTTTGCAGTTCAATGATTTTGAATATTTACTATTTCCACAAAATTGATCAAACATTCAATTATTTTCATAAATGATAAAATTTTATTTAGGAATTCAATTATTTTCATCGCAGAATTTCCAATATTTTTATTACATTTTTAAATAAATTTAAGATTTAAATTTAAGCAACATTTCATTACTCAATAAAATAATAAAATTCGTTGCAATAATTCAACTATTTTCATAAATAACTTTTCATTCGTCGCAGAAAATTAATTATTTTCAAAATTTTTTAAGTAATTCTTCAAAAGAATTCAATTATCTGGAAAAACAACAAAGTTTTCCTCATAAAATCAATTATTTTAAGGAATTTTAATAAAATTCTTTTCCAAAATTCAATTATTTCGATAAATATCAAAATTCATCATAAGAATTCAATTCATTTGAAAACTAATAAAATACTTTCCGAAAATTAAATTATTTTCAAAATTTTTCAAAAATTCCCGTTAAGAATTAAATTACCTTTTTTATAAATAGATAGCGAAAATCTTCTCAAGAATTAAATTATTGTCATAAATTTTAATAATATTTTTGGCGAAATTTCAATATTATTTAAACGAAATTCAATCAAAATTCTTCGCAAGAATTTAATTATTTTCATAAATTAATATTTAAATTTTTCTCAGGAATTCAATTATTTAAAAAAAATTTTACTAAAATTCTTCAAAAAGTTTTCAATTATTTTAAAAAATTCTTTAATATAATAAATTTCAGTAAAATTTTAATTAACTTCCTTAAAAGAAATTAATTATTTTCAAAAGTTGTTAATAAAATTCTTTGTAAAAATTAAATTCTAAGAAACATTCAATTATTTAATAAATTATTTATTTTTGTATTTAAATAATTGATTTCTGCGTAGAATTAATTTTATTTTATTATTAATTCACCGGATTATCTTTAATTATTATAAAAACTTGAAGAAATCGATTCGGAGTGATCGCTTTCTTCATGTCAGGGAAAAACGAAATTAAATTTTTGTGGCAACCATGATCTTATTAAAATTGTATTTAAAATAATTGAATTCCAGCGAACAATAATTTACTATTTATTGATATTATTGAATTCTTTTGATTTTTTGAAAATAATTGTATTCTTCATAAAATTCAATTATTTTCAAATTGTTTTATAAATACTTTACAATAGGTCAATGATTTTCAGTACATTAATTTCAAATTCTTAAAGATTTAAAAATAAACATTATTTAAAAAGTTAGGAAACAAAAAAGCGAACAGCAACTAACTTGAAACTGCGAACAGATAACCGGAATATACAACGATTATTAATATAGATTTTCTTATTATTTACAATTTTTCTTTATTTTTTAATTTTCTATTTGTAAGGAAAACTCACTTGAAATTGGCAAACTTGATCTTCGATAGTCGAAAGAAATTGAGTGGAGAAGAAGAAGAAGAAAAAGAAAAAGAAATTTGTACTTGAATGATCATAAAAAAGGAATAAAGGAAATTGTTAATCGGCTCATTGTCGTCTTGGGCCGAATTGAAAAGATGCACATCGAAATCGATTGCAGAGATGAGAAACAATCTTTTTCAGCCCTATTATGTGTGTGTATATATGAAACTGAAAAACGAAGGGTGTACTCCAATCAGCCTTGAGCAATGCCGGGACTGAGAGAGAGTGGGCGCGCAGGAGGGTGTTCTCCGTTGGAGAATAGATTCGCGCCAGAAGCGTCGTACGTTCATTGATAAGCGTACGACCTACGGCTAAAATACATGACGTCATCTCGTCCTCCAGAAACATTACAGCGACTGCGCTGCGCTATATTTTCGCACTCAATATACATGTATATAGGTATAGAACTTTGGTAAGTGTTACCCCCAAACGAAATATAATATCACACACGAGTTCAAATTTTTACCTTTGCAAAATTTTAAATACATATATTCCTCTACTTCACTTGCATTGGTGCTCTCTAGCTTTTGAGAATAATTTCACTATGCCCACTCATTTTCTAAATGTCAGAGGGAGTCTTGTTTTGTAGATTTTAAACGCCCCCGAAAACGTATGAAAATTATTATTAAATATCATTAGAGAGACTTTTTAATTATCGCTGATGATAAAACGTAAAAACGTATATGGGCAATTCTACGTGAGATTTCAGTCGACCTCTTAAAATCGGCCAAAAATATTTTTTTTCTATTCTGTATTGAAAAAAAACAGATACGTATTTTTTTTTTATTTTTTTGGAGGCCAAATTTTTGAGTTATGAATTTTCAAAATTTTCGCTTTTTAAATGTAGGTATATTTTTAATGTCAGATAACTAAAAAAATATTGCTTCTTTTCATTTTTTGACAAGAGAAAAAAAGTTTTGTTTTTCTCTCTACTTTTGAATAATCATAACAAAAAAATTTTTTTTTCATTTTTTATTAAAAAAATAAAAAAATTTTATAAACAAATTAATTTTTTTTAACTTTGGGTATGATAAATTTTTAATTTTCTTTTTTTAAAACATACCTGGAAATGATAAGAAGGTTTTGCAAAAAGTTTCAGAGTGGGCCTGACAAGTTTGATGGGTCCAAAAAAATAATTAAGCTCTCCGTGCAGGTCTCACGCACGTGGCACAATGGGATTTTTTTACAATTTATTATTAAAAATTGTTTAGAGCCTAAAAATTCAATAATAATCAAAATCCGATAAAATTTGTAGGCTCTAGACAATTTTTAATAATAAATTGTAAAAAAATCCCATTGTGCCACGTGCGTGCGACCTGCACGGACAGCTTAATTATTTTTTTGGACCCATCAAACTTGTCAGGCCCACTCTGAAACTTTTTGCAAAACCTTCTTATCATTTCCAGGTATGTTTTAAAAAAAGAAAATTAAAAATTTATCATACCCAAAGTTAAAAAAAATTAATTTGTTTATAAAATTATTTTATTTTTTTAATAAAAAATGAAAAAAAAAATTTTTGTTATGATTATTCAAAAGTAGAGAGAAAAACAAAACTTTTTTTTTCTTGTCAAAAAATGAAAAGAAGCAATATTTTTTGAGTTATCTGACATTAAAAATATACCTACATTTAAAAAGCGAAAATTTTGAAAATTCATAACTCAAAAATTTGGCCTCCAAAAAAATAATAAAAAAATACGTATCTGTTTTTTTTCAATACAGAATAGAAAAAAAATATTTTTGGCCGATTTTAAGAGGTCGACTGAAATCTCACGTGGAATTGCCCATATATTATAGTTTATTTTATCTACAAAATATAGAAGAAAAACATCAATTTATTTGATTCAAAGAACCGATTACTTGCGTCTATTATCAAATAAATATCTATTCTTGAATCAATAATTTTTATTTAAATCATATAAATTGTAATTGAACCAATAATTTCAGCATTTGAAGCAAATATCATTTAATTCACTTAAATAAAAATTATTAATTCAAATATAATTTAATTGGCTTAAATAAAAATTATTTTATGCAAATATAATTTAATTGACATAAATTAAATAAAAATTATATGAGGCAAATAATTGTTTATTTTAGGGGAGACTGGGGCGAAAAGTTAAATTTTGCATAAATGATTTTTATTATTAATCATGATTTTTTATGATTTTTTTTATTCTATTTTTAGCCTACTAAAACTATTTTCTGATAGGTGATAAGTAGTAGATAAGTTAAAGTATACGTAAACAAATAATTTAGTAAATAAAAGATCTTTGTTTATTTGACAAAAGCTTTAGAATAGTTGTAAAGTTAAAAAATTGAAATTTCAAAAAAAAAAAAATATTTAGTTTATTTCACGTTAACCGGCTTATTTTTTAACAGAGTACTTGCCCAATGTCAAATAAATAATGTTTAAACAAATAAACCCAAAAAAACGAAAAATAAAAAAAAATTTTTTAGCAACATGTAAAAATACATTTAACTTTTCGCCCCAGGGTGCGTTTTTGGCTTTAACAACAAATATAAAAAAATCTGACTAAAGATATTTAGCAAATACCTTTAGGTATCTCTTCAGGGGACCCAAATAAGGATCTAAAAAAATCGCGATGAGAATAAATTCAAAAAATATACTTAAAAGTTGATATATTCTTTTTCGGAAAAATTTTTAAAAGTAGGTTGAAAAAAAACTTTCAATATCGACACCACAAAAATAAACAGAATTGCGCACAACTCCGGACATTTATTTAGGGTGATAACACCCTTCTATAATTAAAATTGAAATGCTCTAACTATTTTCGTTCGAAAGATAATGAATTTTAACGGTTTTGTCAGTTTAACTTTTCGCCCCAGTCTCCCCTACAATAGAGAAATAAATATTTATTTCATAATAAACAAATAATTGTTTATTTGGCAATCGATAAATTAATAATAATAATCGTTGAATTCCGGTAAACTGTTCTCAGTTTGAAGTTAGTTCTTATTGGTTTTTCTGTTTCCTAACTTTTTTAATAAAGTTTTCTTTTAAAATGTTGCAGATTTTAAAATTAATGTATTGAAAATCATTGAATTCTTGCGAAGAATCAAAATTTTTGAAAAAAATTGAATTCTATCGAGAAATTTTATTAAAATTGCATTGAAAATAATTGTTGTCTCGCGAAAAATTTTATTTAAATTTTTTAAAATAATTACATAGTTTTAAAGAATTTCTTAAAAATTTTTTTACAAAAATAATGGAGTTTTTTTTTAATAATTTTAGTTGAAAAATTTGAAAGTAATTAAATTTTGTAAAGAATTTAATTCAAATTTTTAAAATAATCCTGAAGATTAAATTCCATTGAATCATGATATTAGAATTTTTGTAAATAATTAAATTCTTTTGAAGAATTTATTTAAGTTGTTGGAAAATAATAGTTTTTTTTAAAATAATTTTCAATGAATTTTTTGAAAATTTTTTGAAATAATTGAATTCTTTTTAGAATTTTATTTCAATTTTTGAAAATAATTGAATTCTTTGAAGAAATTAAAAAAAAAATTCTACTAAAAATAAATTGAATTCATACGAAGAAATTTATTGATTTATTTTATTTATGAAAATAATTGCGAAATCTTACAAAAAATTTTATTAACACTTTTGAGGATTGGTAATTGAATTCTTTAGAAAAATTGTATTACAAGTTTATAAAAATAATAATTGAATCCTTTCAAAAAATTTTATTAAAATTCTATTGAAAATAATTGAATTCCTGAGAAAAATTTCATTACTTTAAAAATATGTAATTTAATTGTTGCGAAGAATTTTATTGAAATAATAAATAAATAATAAATAAAATAATTGAATTCTGTCGGAAATTTTTTTTAACAATTTTTAACAAATTTGTTTAAAAATAATTGAATCCTTTCGTCAAATTTTATTAAAATTGCATTGAAAACAATTAAAAGCAATAAGTGAATTTTTTAAATTTTGAATCTGAAATTTTATTCAAAAATTAAGGTTGATATTTGAAAATAAGAAATTTTTTTCCACTGATTTGAACTACTTTGAATTAGGGAAAAGTTTACAACTTATTCAAATTAGTGAAATTTTCCACTAATTCTTAGTCAAATTTTATGTTTCTAAAGTTCTGAACGTTCAAATGAAGGAAATTGATTTATTTCATCAACAAAATTAATTGACAAGCTGATGAAAAATATTTCGTTCGTTTGCACGTTAAAAACTCGTGGATCATAAAATTATTATTACATTTAGGTAGTAGATTTTTAAATTTTTACTGAAAAGTTTTAGTCTAAAATTGCTAAGAATTAGAAATTTTTACTAATTTCAATTAGTGAACGACTTTTTACTAATTTGGATTTCGAGAGTAGAATTAAAAATGTACTAAATTAGAAGAAAATAAAAAAATTTTAAAAAATAAATTAAATTAAATTAAAATAGCAAACAAATAAATATATTAATTTGTGCAAGAGTTCCGAAAAAATTTTACTCGTAAGCAATGGACATTAAATACACATTTAATAGGTATTTAATAAACAATTTTTTTTTATTTTAAAAATTCAAACATTTCTGGCAGAAAATTGATTTGATTCTGACAAAATAAATTAATTTTCTTGACTTATTTAAAATTACATATACATCAATCTTGATATATTTGATTAATTTTCACATTGTCCACAAATATTGATCAATCAAAAATTTGCAGTTTATAAAAAATTTGTACTTTTTCAAATACTGGAAAATACTAAAAAATGGAAACTAATATTTATGATTATTTCAGGTCGAACGGAATGGATTTTTAAAGACAAGTGAAAATCAGAACAGTAAGATGGAGGCAGGATTAAAAAAAAAGGGTAACAATATTCATCAATATTTATTCTAAAATATTTTTTTACTTTACAAAAAAGTAACTTCAAACTACAAAGGGTAGGAAAAATAGACGGAAAGGAGCGTAAATTGTAAAAGGTTTTTACCAACCATAATTAGTAGCTGTAGACAGTTTTTTTCGTTAAAAATTTCAAGGACTGTGAAAGAAGAAGAAGAAGAAGAAGAAGAAGAAGAGAAAAAAATTGCTCCGCTTGCATCTTACACTCTCACCTAGATGATATCTGCCCTGCGGGTATTTCGGCCGCATTCCTTTCTAGTTTCTAGCAAGAGTTAAAAAGCGTCTAACACCCAGACTAGACTCGCAAATTATATATACGAAAAATGATAATGATAAGAGACACCCTGAGAGGAAAGTTAAAAGAATAAAAAAAAGGAGGAGGAAGAAGAAGAAGAAGAAGAAAAGTCCAGAATCAGCTTGGGGGCTTGGGTGCGAGATATCGGAGATTGCCTCCTCGCTTATTGATTGGTCTTTTGTGAGGGAGAGAGAGGAGAGAGCTACACCCCCGCGAGAAGCGAACCAAGCGTCATCGATCCAAGAGTGACCCATATCTGGCACCACGAAGGTAGCCCCACTTCTAGGCTTCTGCGCTTCGTGCAGGGTGGTTTTTATCCCCACCATTATCCTCGGGTCGACACCGCCACCAGAACCAGCGCCACCAACCCCTTGCAACCCCTCCCCGTGACACGAGAAGCAGCAGCAGCAGCAGCCTCGACTGTCCTCCACGTCCGAGCAGATCTCGGGGCGTTCGGGATGACAGCCCAGTGAAAATAATTTCAATTCGAGAAAAGTACCAGCAGTTGCAATCCTGGCCTGCCACAATCCCTTCGATTCGGCCATCGTAAGTCTATGGATTGATAAATAAAAAAGGATATACAGTTCTTTTTCAAAGTGTAATCACCGTTTCGCATCGACCGACTCTACTTCGCACTTTCTTCCACACTAACATTCGACTACTTTTACTTCTACTTCAACTACTTCAATTACTTCAAATACTTCAAATACTTCAAATACTTCAGTTACTGTTACTGCTACTGTATTACTGTATTACTTTAGTTACTGTTCAGTTACTGTTGCTTCAATTTTTGCTTGAGCTAAAAATGAGTAATAGAAGAGGAGACGAGGACGACGACGAGGACGAGGACGATTTTGGTGACTGAAAAAATTCCATTTCTTTCGAAAGTCGCGCGGGCAGAGGAAGTAAAGTTGCTCGGTGCAGTGGTGAAAAAGGCACACTCACAATAAGTCGGTACCAGTGACGATGACAGTGGCGGATGACACGAGTGTTGATTGTGCAGTGGTGGTGGTTACAATGCTACACGACTCGCGTAAAGTGGTGCTACGTCGGGGTGTATATGTATACTCACGTACCTTTGGTGGTGAGGATCAATAAGCAGTGCTGTACAAGTAAAATCCAAACTCCCTTTTTCAACCACTTTTTTTCGATGTCCTCCCCTAGGGCGGTCTTCAAAACTCTTCAATACCAAATTCTTCTAAAAATTCGCATTTTTCGATTTATAGAATCGATTTTCCACTTGATTTTCTACTGTATTCTCCACTGGATTTTCCTCTGGATTTTCTACTGTATTCTCCACTAGATTTTCTACTGAATTCTCCACTGGAATTTCTACTGTATTCTCCCCTGGAATTTCCACTGAATTTTCTCCTGGATTTTCCACTGGATTTTCAATTGCATTTTCTACAATAAGAGTATTTTCATTTAGAAAAAGAAGATGATGATCTTCTTTTTCATCTTCTTCGCCCACACAGTGTATGTGTTGGAGCGCACCAATTTTCGGATGGTTTTAACCCATTGAACAAACCCTATCGACTTTTCCAGAGTATTACCCTTTCGAAATAAATTGGCGAGCAGGTTTCAAATTGTCATTAAATCCCCCGATATTTTTTTTTTCTCTTCTTTATTCGGAAAAATGGTTGCTAATCTTTAAAACCCCTCCCACTGCCTGCCCGCCCCTCTCAATGAAAGATGAGAAATCAAATGAAAACTTTTTTGATATGAAATTCATTTCCTGATGTATGTAACTTTTCGCCTTTGATACATCAGTCCTTGGATTTTATAATTGAATTCTTATGATTTATAAAAAGATTATATATCAAACGTTTGAGCTTTTAATTCGAGAATCGAGACAGTCTTTCGTTTTTTTTTCGACTTTAATTATTTTGCGATTGCGAATTTTCCAATTGTGAACAATAAATTTATCGTCAATTTGATTAATTTTACAGTTGATTAGTTTTTGATTATTTTTCTATTTGATTATTTTCACACTTGATTATTTCTCTATTTGATTATTTTCACATTTGATAATTTCTCTATTTGACTATTTTCACATTTGATTATTTTTTCTAAATTGAATTATTATTGAATTTTAATTATTGTAAATATTTTAATTAGATTGCGATTTTAAATTATTTCAAAAAGTTCGGATTTTTGAATTGATACTGAAATTGAATTATTGTAAAAATTTTAATTAAATTGCGATTTTAAATTATTTTTAAAAATTCAGGTCTCTGAATTATTACTGAAAATTATTACCAAATAATTGTAAAAATTTTAATTAGATTGCGGTTTTAAATTGCATTTTTTTTTAAAGTTCGGGGTTTTAATTTAATAATTTATTTCTCTTCCTTTCTATTCTAGTAAAATGCGATAATTAAGGAAGTAAATTATTTTTAATCAACTGCATTAAATTTGCTTATTTTCTGCAATCAATTTTAATTTTCCTAAAGTTTTTGAAATAAGTTTTTTTTGGTGCTTAAATATTTTTTGAATTTACTACACGAAAGAAAAGAAAAATTTAAATCGTACATTTACTTTGTTAGAAATTAATTTTTTTGGTATAGAAAATAATTTTTTGTGTAACACAATACAAATTGAATGAAATGAAATTTTCCGCTTAGATATTTGTAAAAATTACTATTCGAATTCAAAAAGTTTGAACAAAGATAGAAAATCAATGCTTATTGCAAAAAAGTCTCTAAATTAATAAAATAAGAAAATGATTAAATTTACAAAAAATCAAATTGAAAATTACAATTTGAAACTGTTTTCAATTTTTTAAGTAATTGAGAGAAAATAAATAATTAAATTTGAAAATAACCGAATTACAAAATAATTAGTAATAATAATTGAATAATAATTGCATTTTACCATTTAAATAATATTTAAAATTCTGTTGAGTTTGATTTTCAATTTTAAAAATAATTTCATTTTATTATCACTAAATTTGTTGAATATTTAAATTTTAGAATTTTAGAAAACAAATATTCCAATATTTTTCAACGTTCGAATAAGTGAAATATTTACTTAATATTATAAATATTTTCAAAAACAACTGACTGCAATAAAAATCAAGAAATGTAATACAAAAAATAGACAAAAAAAACTATAAGTAAAAACGAAAAAAGTAAATTCAAAATTTTGAATTTTAATAAATTATTTTCTAATGGGCGATACAATTTATTAATAATTATTAATTATAAATATCAATAATATTAGTAAAAATAAAATTAGAATTTTAAAGAAAAATAAATTAATTTTGTTCATTTGAACGTTCAAAAAATTTTAGGAATGTGAGAAAAAATGATAAAATTCTAAAAATATGTTTTCAATTTAAATGAATAGAAAAATTATTTTCGATTTTTATTCCTTTAATTTACCTTAAGATGTGATTTGTTAAAGTGGAACGAAAAATACTCGAATTGGAAATAGCTTTTATAACGTTTACAGAACGGAAATGTATAAACGGATATTACGTTTAACCCGCATTATCTTCTTGTATTATTACTGAAAGAAAATCTACTAATATTACCAGTAAAATAGTGAAATACAAATATTACAAATAAAAATTAATTTCTTTAGAAAAATTTTAAATTAAATAAAATATTTTCATATTTTGAAGCTAAATTTATAACAATTGATTTAAAGTTTCAACATAAGAATAAATTTAACTTAAATCCAAAAAAAGACAGAAATACAATATTTATTTTTCGAATGAATAAATAAGTAAATTTGAACATTTCCGTGAATTTACTATTTTTCGTTTAAACTTGTCATGAATTGAAAATTTAGGTATTGAAAAAATTGCTTTTTTGTATACGGTTTTGATTTTTTAAAGTTAAAGCTAATTTTTTAACACAATCGAAAAAATAATTTTATGAAATTTGATTTTTTTGAAGTTAAAAATAATTTTTGATAATAAAATCGAAAAAACTAATTTTTCAAATAGTTTTTTATGTTTTTGAGGAAAAAGCTCATTTTTTATAACAAAATCTTCACTAATTTTTCGAATAGTTTTGATTTTTTTGAAGTAAAAGCTCATTTTTAATAATGAAATCGAGAGATAAATCTAGAATGAGGAAAAGTTTTATAATTTGAATTTTCCTTTCTTTTCTTTTTTAATTTAAACTTTTTTCACACATTACCCGTTAAGTTGTGTAATATATATGCCCCAAATTCGACAGTGAAATTATGTTACGGTCTTATAGGTATATATATTTTAAAAGCTTCCCGTCTAAAAATATCCCCTTCGATTATCGAGATTCATCCAAGAGTATTTTATCAGAAAATAATCTAGGAATATTATCAAAAATCATCTAGTTCACTGAGTAGAAAATTAATTCTCGTGCCCTTGTCAACGTAGAGAATTATTCTACGGGAATCAAAAAACATTTATTAAAAGTCAAACTGAGAATTATGTCTTTAATAATTAATAGAAAATCGTTTAAACATTAATATAAATAGAAAAAAAAATTGTAAAAAAAAAAAAATGAAAAAATGAGGACCTTTGAATTTTTTTGCTAAATTGAATGAAAATTGAAATAGGAAAAAAGAAAAAACTTAGGGAAAAGGATTAATTTTTTTGGAGAGGGAAAAGTTTTTTGTAAGTTGAAAAATTCTTTTTGTTGAGTTAAACAACCCGAACTTCGTGTTAAAATACGAGTCTTAAA